TTGACTCGAAGCGGAACAGTGTCATCGTCTTTAGAGTGATATTCAAAGAACTCCAGAACTGGACGATCCCTAGGTGGCCAGCCTTCTGTTACGTCATCCGTCTTTCGGAAGACTACACTGAGTACAGGATGCTGTGGAACACCTACGTTCAGCGTCTGCATAACGTCTTGACAGAGGTTGCCGAAAAAAATTGCGGGACGTACCACCGAGGCAAGCTGATCAACCAGTCGCGACTTGCCTGTGCCACTCGACTGCAATATGGAGATCGTACGGCCGTAGTGGATTTTGGGTCGATAATTCGATTCGTACCACTTTATTGCTTCCAAGAAGTTGTCCAGGGCGCCGCCTTCGTACTCCTGCTGCCACGCCTCGATCAATTCACGGGCACGTTCCGTACTGACAGATGCAAAACAAAACAAAACAAAACACGAAAAATAGAGCAAATGAAAAGTCAGACAGCAGCAGAGGCACATTAATATGTATCAATTACTCAGGAATCATCTTGCGTTCTTCAACTTCAACTTCAGGTTCTATGAATGTGTCAATGTCTTGTAGTGGCCGTTTCGAGATAGGTGACTGAGCCACGTACCAGTACAGGAGAGGAGCAAAAGACGGGCCAGAGGGACCTTCCCATGCATTTCGACGATATCATCTCTGAGTTTCCTCTGATTGCCATCCTTGTCAAACAAAGCGTCGCAGAGTACGGTGGGTGGAAGTTCGACAGGAAACGTCTTACGACCGATAGGAGTGAACAGCACTTTGACGAATGCGCTGAAATCTCGTAGTTCATTTACAATCTGATCTGTAGTAGCCGTTAGCATTGACGTGATTGGCTCCCAGTTGTTGGGAAGGCTCTGAAGCCAAGCCTCGACTTCGCTTTCTCCCTCCAACGCCGACTCGAACTTGAAGGATTGATCTGCGGAATCTGCTGGCATGGGGTGAGAGATGGTGTTGAGCGGAGGCGTTACGCTTGAGAGAGGTGTTATAGTGTGAGGGGAAGAACGAAAGGATAGGGACAGCGTCGCAACTGAAACGAGACCTTATATACACGTGTGTCAGTTTATTGTTCTGCCCCATCAGGCAGATCAACAGAGATCAACACGATCAATATCGTCAGCGTGGGAGTGTTCCCACGCCCGCTTTCCCGGATTCCTCTCGGACTCTGCTTTACCAACGGTGTCTCATTGTGAGTCCTGACAGAATTAGGGAAGCTCCACATGCTGTGGCACTGACCATACTTATTTACTCTAACAGCTGGCCCTGTTATTTAAGCCGTAGTTTGCCAGTGGGCATCAGCTGTCGCTGGTATAGTACTATGTCTGTTCCGCTTACTTGTATACTCTTCTTCAAGAATCTCCTGTAACTATTGTGAACACATCGCGGCTTCTGGGACAGTGACTCTGATACGGGCCTGTTCAGCCATGACGTAGCCTCGAAGCCTCGAGGTGGTGTTGCTGGAGGAATTGATCTTCTTTCCTTTCTTCCTCGAACGAGGGCTACAAAGATTATTTGATGTCTTTTTGTTATCGAGCTGTTATTTCCGCATGTAGGCGCTGTGGCCCTCGCTTCTTTGGTTCCGGGAAACGTACGAGTACAGTAGATATCGCACATTTTCCTAGTCTTCCGAGTACCTCTAGTTGTGTCACTGTTCTTAAAGTACAGTATCATATCGATTTCGTGTATGAAGACGTTGAAGAACAGTGTTTGGTACACAACAGCGCTGTTCAGGAGGACAATCATCCTCCGGTGTTCAAATTCGAAATCGAGGTCCAGGCCGGGGGCATAAAGCACGACAGACGCCCGGCAGTTTACGGATTTCCCACGGTTCGCCTCTGCTTTCCGGCTCGAGAACATAAAGCAACGCAAGCGATCCGAGATCAACGAGCTCGCCTTTTTGCCTCCCTTTCTTCCAAACCACCATCATCGCCTTCGCTCTCCCCCCCACACAAACCCAATACAACCCCCAGCCTCTGTCCAAGCCTGCATTGCTCACCGCTTTCGTCAACCTCGAAAGTTAACATCTTATCTCCAAACAACCTCGCAATCATAACCAAGATGTCGACGATGACTATCACCCACTCTCCCGTCTTGACCAAGACCGTCTTCCAGTCCTCCTGGAACGCGGACGCCTACTCCTCTCCCCTCCCTGAGATCGGTTTCCTCAGGCTCTTCGACGACAACTTCGTCGTCGGCTTCGGAGAGGCTCAGAACTCGACCCCCAGGCTCTTCTTCGACGCACCGGCAGAGGTTAGTATAATCGCTCCTTTCTTCCCCCCTCTTTTTGTCCCTCTCCCTCTCCCCGTCCCCTTTCTTCTTCTCTCCCCATTACCTTTCTTCTGTCCTCCCATCGCAGTCTCTGATCTCTCGACTCTGGCATCACAGAAGATGAACACGTATAAAACCCTCGACACCACCCACGCCACTCCCTCCCCAGACGCCGCCTCCCAAATCCAGTACCTCGTCATGCCCCCGGCTCCCAAACTCCGTAGTATCCCTCTCCCCGCCTTTGACGATGAAGAGGATCTCTTCTCCAGTCTCGGGGGCGGGGAGCCCATGGAGGTCGACGACGCTCCCCACTGGCCTGCCGCTTTCTCCGTGCGCGGCCCGTCGACCTCTGGTGCCGGCCATAGCAGTCTGTCGGATACGGAGAGCGAGGCCAGCGCTCAGGGGGAGATGAGTGAGCTCCGCAATGCGCTTGAGCTCACGCATCTGAGCCCTCATCAGACGTTTGGCGCGACGTTCTGAGGAGGAGGGTCAGGACGCGTAGAGTCGTCGGTGTCGTCGGTGTCGTTGGATGAGGCGTCGCTCTGGTCGACGTCCTCGGTGTTTCTCACGCTCGTCACGGTCAATTTATGATTTTTTTCTTATCCGGTTTTATATTCTTTTTTAAAGGTTCCATGGATGTTCATCACTGTTCCTATCCCCCTTTCCATCATCATCTTACCACTCTATCCCCAATTTCACTTGCATCTCTCCAGTCATCGCACTGGCTCCCATCCCATTCCCATTCCCCTGTCTGTTTTCTCTGTTGCTACCATCATCATACCAGTCTGTCCCCCATCTCCACTTGCATCTATCCCAGTCTACTGGATACCATCCCCATCCCATTGTTTCCCCCATTTTATCACTCCTAGTTTTGCAGTCTTCGTTATCCAATTGCACACCCTACTCACTCTTCTCTTCCCTTTCCCAGTTGCATTTTTACTCATCTATTGTCGGTATACATACTGTGCTTCGCTGTCGAAACCTCTTCCATTGTTCCCCAGTCCAGTCCAATTGCATACTCGTGTTCATCCATAACTCCACCCCCACTCCAATAGCCTGTCTCGTCCCAATCCGTTCTTCCTCCCTCTCATACCCGCTTACCCTCCTCCCTCATATCCGCCTACCCCTTCGTCGTCCACATTGCGTTTTCGTCCCCGTTCGTAAATATTGTACCATCACCCACCTTACTCCCCTTGCTCGCCGTATCGTTGTCGACAGCTCTGTACCATAGCCTCGCTCGACGCCTTATGTCTTACGCGTCGGGCCGCGGGCGAGGCACTGGTTGTTTTTCGTTTCGTTTCGTTTCTTTCTGTGTGATGTTGTTGTTTGGTTGTATATCACACGTTTGTTGTTGGTTAGTTGTACGTTTGTCGTGGCTGGAGGTGGGAGGTGTCGTGGAGCTTGTCGTGGCGGATTGCCGTGGCGGTGGTCGTGGCGGTTGTCGTGGAGGTGGTCGTCGTGGTCGTCGTGGGTCGTGAGTCGTTGTTGTCGTTGTCGTAGCCGGTGGTGGTGTCGTCGTGAGCGGTAGAGAAGGAGGAAATGTTCTTATACCAATAAACAACACATAACTGAGTGGTCCAACTTGCACCACTTTTGGACCATCTACCTTTGTGTGATGTTGCTTCGCTCGTGATTATGTCGACCGTCGTCGATATGTTTGTGCTTGTGTTGCGTTCAGGATGCGTTTGAGTTTAGGTTTGACTTTCGCTTTCATTTGCAGCCCCACACCTGTCGGTCACGGCTGACACCGGTGTCTTCGCCTTGTGCAGGAACAAAGCCTTTTTCAATTCAGATGTCCGAGAGCAGGTAGCGTAGCTGAAATACGTATGGGTGCCTGTATCACCTCCGCGAGGTCGCGGCACCGGAGCTTGGAAGGCACGCCGCAGACTGAGAATGAAAACATCTTCCGAACCACTTTTGTGTGAATGAACTTCACCGTTCGCGGAGATTGTCGATGTGGAGCTTGCGTCTGGCCCCACTGTGGCCGAAGGCCCGGACGTGGAAAAGATCACCGCTCGCCTTCTCTAGGTTGCGGCTACTGAGGTGCTCACTACGGGCAGTCATTAGAATATGAGAGCAGGGGTTACAGGTGAGTATCGTAGATGGTGTTGGAGGTCAATGGAGGTGTGACAATTTTGTTCGGGTTTTGTACGGATTTTTGTCTTGTCGTGCGACTTGCCGGGAACCCCTTACCGGCGTCCGGCACGTCGGCGGCGGCGTTGCCTTGTGGCACGATGTTGTTGTCTTTTGTGTGGCTTCCGCTTGTCCGGCCTTGTTTCGTCAACGCTTCGTTGTGCTATTATCCCTCAACATCGAGCGACTCTTTTCTAGTGACGATGGATTCAAGTGCCCCTTTAGTCGCTGAGACACGACGGGCACCACAATGTATTTGGACCGCACATCACGACCACATCAACAATCGAACACGAAGCCTTCCATCATCAGATTTCTCATCACGCACTGTCAATCGTACGTCCACGCCTTCTGACGACGTTGGGTTTTGAACGTCTGCAAGTATATTCCGCGACATGAGGGTGCTGTCAACTATCCAGCTTTTTGATTACGAGCCTTCCGAGTCGTCTCGATCGTCCTGTGGTGATAGAGCCTACCACATTTAACTACAAAAGCGCATTTTCTTCAATAGGAGTTTTCTCCAGGTCCATCACTACTCGCCCCACATACAGCAGCCTTCGGCGACCCCGGATGTTACACAAATCGCCCACTTCTTGCGCTTGGACCGTCCCTCACCTTCCGACGCATGCGCACTTTCCTTTTTCGTCACAAAGACACTCCCTTCCCAATTGTTTTCCACGCTTCCCGTGAGATATCGCGGGTCGCGAGAGCCTCGTGTGCCGCCACCCAAATAACAACCCTATTTACCGCCGACGCTTCAGGAAGGCACTTCCTCCTCTGAGCTCTCAGTCGTCATCGCCCGGCACGACGACCGTACGCGATCTCAGCCCGTCAGAAGTCAGGTCCCAGTTGTTGACGCGTGTTTGATCGGTTTGGACATTCTTTTGTTCTCTTTTTGTGTTAGGGTTGGCAGCGTAGAGGTTTGCGTCCGAGACCCCGTTGTTAGTTGGCCCGGTTCTCGATTGAATTCGAAATCTCGTGCCTGCTAGTGGGAGTCTGGAGGTTGTTGTGTAGGCTACTTATACAGAGGCGCCGTTCGTGGGGCTCTCCGTACTCTCCTCTCACCCGTCCTCCTCACCACTATCACCGTCTTCTCTGCGTTTCTCACTTTTGAGGACCGACTTGAACGAATCATATACACGGACAAGTTCTACTCGACCCGAGAGGTTGGATTAGATTGGATTTGACAGCCGAGTTGACCCATCTGCCAGTGTTGGTTTCGACTTGATTGGTTTGGGCCGCGCATATCCCTTCTGAGTTTCCACACCCGTGACCGCGCGGCGGTTTTTCTGTTCTTCTTCTTCTACCATCACGACTTGACCACGACCGCCATCTCGTCCTCGTCCCCGTCCATTCCCCTCGTTTGAGTCGCGTCCTTGGTCTCGTTCGACGACGACCTTCCTGCCTGTCTTTCACATCGTTCATAGAGATGTATTCGGGTCAGTTCAGCGTCTTTCTCATCTCATGTCGCCTGTGTATACTGAACACTCTCTGATTGTTGGTCATGATCCAGGAAATACAAAATCCTTCATCGCTCTCGGAGTCATCGTTGGGATAACACTGCTGTTCCTCGTACCCTGCGCCGTCTACCTCATCCGTCACCGTCATCGGGGACGTCGACCTGCAAAAGATACCGAGTCTAATACCACAACGACCGAAAGTGATCTGACTTCGACGCACACTGTACCTGTATCCGTCCAGACTACAACGTCTGATGTAGTCGCGCCGTTCAATGTCCCACAGTACTCCACCGGTGCGTCCCTACTCTAGTCATCCTTCCTCTTCTTCCCCTTTTTACATCTACCTTCCCTCCCTCCCTCTCTTTCCCCGCCGTTCTCTTTCCATTGTCAGTCAATGGCCCGCTGACGACGCATATGTGTATATTGCACAGATCGAACCCCAGGCGCGAACATGCGAATAGCCTGTCTACGCTCGGACGGTTCATGGCAATTCACATACCCCGGGGACCCCACAAAACTCAAGGGTCTCTGCGACGTCGATATCGAAGCGAAGCTCCATGCGGAGGAGATGGCGGCGAAGAAGCGTGCCGAGGCTGCATCAGATGGTGGCGAAGGGGGTGGGGATGGGATGTCGGACGATGAGACGTCTACGGTTGTCTATTCTCCGTCTACCACCAACACTGGCACTGGCAACGGCAACGGTAAGATCCCGATGCCGACGATACCTGACCAGGACGATGATGCCAACAAGACGCCCCCGCCTTCGTACTCGTTCGTGGAGAGGTCCGTGCTGGCTGGTCGCTGATACACTCGGGGACGGGTGTGCTGGCTCACGTCAATGTCGAGGTTAGTGTAGGGATGCGATGTCTGCATGTGGAGGGAGTGGTGGTGGTAGCGCGTTTAAGTGTGCTATTCCGGTCTTGCACATGGACAGATGGTTTGATGGTTTGATGCGGCTGTGTTCGGGCATATGATGTCGGTTTTTGGCGACGCTTTACGCTTTCACGCTCTTCATGGTCTCTCCTTTACCTTACATGCTCATATTGCGTCGCTTGCACCGCCTTGTTCGATTTTTTTCTTCGCCTGTGGCCCCTCTTCCTCTTTTTTTTTTTGGATCCCGTCATTCTCCGGTTTGCTTTTGGACTCACTCCTTTCGGTCTTGTTGCGCGTGTTCGTTACACATTACTACACCCTCTTTTATTATTTATGTTACTCCCTTTCCTATTTGGCTGTGCATGCGCATACCCTTCGTTTGTATTCTACTGTGTTGTCAGTGCCCTCATTTACTTGCGTTTCATTTCTTGTGTTTTCGATAACCTGCCTCCGATGGCAATCATCTTGCTCTCCCCATCTTCGTAAACAAGTATTATATCACATCACCACTGTAGCCTATTAGACCCATCCGTGTATCCTGATCCTCATACGCTGTGCGGAACATCATGATCTGAGCGAGCCGAGCGAAATTCCATATGCAGGTCGCGGTTTCCATATGGGTGTGATTGGAAGCCAGCGCCAAAATGTCGGCGTGCAGTTGTTTGGCAAAAGCTTTGGATCCAAACAAACGTCGATCGAGATTCTGATCTGCCGCCACGTGCTTCCGTCAGATTTTTGACCTGGGTGCCACACTGTCCTCTTCTGCACACACGTCCACTTACCCTTTCGCTCGCCACACATCATGGAGGACGAGGTGTATGAGCCTCCGGCGAAGCGGTTTAAGGTTTGTGAGGTTATAGGCTGATATAAGTGTACTGGGACTGATATGTGGGGGTTATGTTTTGTAGCATCAGTCGTACCAGCGGACGTTGAAGGATGTGCATTTGCCTTCTGCGCTGGTGCAGTCCAAGTTCGACCATGATATTGCTGTGAGGTTTGGCTTGTCTTCAGGCATGAACTTGATTATTAACGTGTAAATATATGTAGGACAACCAATCGCACTTCCACGAAGCCCTCGAACACTGGAGACAACTGAACCTCTCACCCGGCTTCGTAAAGTTCGCAGGCAAAGCCGATGGATTATCAGCTTCGCTTCCTCTGCTACTTCATCATAGCAATGATATAGTCACACTCTGGCTCACTGCGCTGGAGACTTCGGACGATGAGGGATTGCGAGCATTGCTAGAGTGCGTAACCAATATTACCTCCAATGCCATTCGTGCTAAAACTTGCTTCCAAGTCTCATGCAAAAACTCGCACACGACCTCCGCACGACAATCTCATCTTCATATCCCCAGCTCCTCGATCGTCTCCTCATACTCCTCCAACGTTCCCTCTCCGCCCCGGCGCTCACAGCCCTCCTCGCCACATTCTCCGCTCTCTTCAAATATCTCCTCGTACCCTCTTCCTCCGATGAACCCCTCGTATACACCACATGGACTCAAATAGCCGCTGCGTTACCGAAGTGCGAGGCGGAGACGCAGAGGGCGATGGCGGAGGTCTGGGGCTCGTTGTTGAGGAGGCTGAAGAGTGGACAGAGGGAGGGAGTGATTAAATTAATGGTGGAAGGATTGGAGGGTGTCGAAGATCCGTGCGCGTGGGCTATTATATTTGCTTGCAAGGTACGTTTTCGTTAAACATTGTATCCAGTTCACAGAATACTTACTTGGGGGAATAGTCCGTCTCGCAAACGCTGCATACGGCGTCTGCGTCCGTCATACGACCGCTGGTCAAAGCACACCTCGAGAGCTCACGTCCTGCCTTGTCGTTGACTTGTGTGCGCCGTGTACTTACGGCGCTCATACATCATGTGAAAGGGTCGGAACAATTCAGTCCTGTTGCTGAAGTCGTGCTCGAGGAGTTCACCGTCGTAAGCGCCGGGGACGACGAAGAGCGGTTAGGGAGAGCGTTGGATATCGCATCCATAGTGAGCTCTGTGAGACATGGTTCTCGTCTGAAGCGTACGTGATAATACCTCCAAGAAACATCGCATCTCTTCTAACGTGAAGATACAATAGCACAACAAGTATCCACCCTCGTCTCTCACTTCCCCTCCCTCCCCCTCACCCCGACTCTTCACGACTCCCTTCTTCATTTCGCTCTGTCAACGGTCACAGCCGGCGACATGGCCCTCTGGATCGGACCAGGCCGCAAACTGATCGAACACTCCTGGAAAGATATCTCTTTCGGCATGAAGCTCTGTGGCGCACTATCCGAACTCCAATGGGGCGGCTGGAAATTAGTCGAATCGCCGCACGTTGTCAAATTGACGTCTACATTACTGGCTGAACGTCCGAAGGAGGCCGTGTCACTTTTGGCGGCGCTGTGGAAGGCTGGAAGGTTAAGTGAGGTGGATCAGGCGTGGAAGGGCAGGGTGGAGGAGTGGGTCGGGGAGTGGTTTGGGCGGTGGGAAAGGACGGAGGAAAAGGTGCGTTATTGTTTGACGTTCATCGACGTTATCGCGACCGAACCGAGAGCTGACGGCTGTCTTCATAGATCGAAGAGATGCATGATGTGTTGGCGCTCATGGGGGTCGTGCCCGCAAAGTTGCCGCTCTTGGTGGCGGTTGCCGGGGGGATATTGAAGGAGGAGGACGTCTTAGCGGATTACGAGGCGTCTTACGCGAACTCGAGCTGGGTGCTCGGTGCGTGTCTCGAGCAGCTCTCGAAGCCGTTCCCAAAGGGAGTCAAAGTGGACATCCCCGTCCGGGAGTGGGCGGAGAAAATCATCGAGAAATGGAATTGGTCGGAGCATGTGCTGGGTGCGCTGGTGGCACTCGTTGAAGCAAGGTAAGCTAAGATCTACGACACCGACGACCGTGCGTGGACGCTAATGGTAATGATCTATCCAGACCCTCTTCCGGACAGACTCTTATCTTGACAGACGTTTACCCCCATCTCCAAGCCTCGCTACTTTCGCACTCCCGTAACCTTCGCCTCGCCGTTCTCCGCCTACTCAACGGGCCCCTCGTCAAATGTACGAGCGGCCAACCTTCCAAGCAAGCCATCGAGAAAGTTCTTCAAGCAGAAGAAGTCGCGCTCGACGTGCAAGGTGTTCGGGAGCGGTCCCTTCGCATCTCCCGTCTAGACCAGTTCATCTCCGTGGACGATGAGACGGGGTCCGACATTGCCGTCCGCTGGCTACTCGCACAGCTCAAAGTCAATCTAAGACCGATATGGAAGCCGGCCGTCGAAGCGCTCTCCTCGCTCTCTGAGAGAATGGGGGACGTCGTCTGGGAGCTGACGTTCGCTGAGTTGCGGAGGGTGACGAGCCGCGGCGAGGAAGATAAGGATAAAGTGTGTTTTCCGGGGTGGGTATCGAGCCAGGGGAGTGGAGATGATGGTGACGGACCGTCGGAAGGCTTAGACGATGTTAGGGAAGATGAGAGGACTTGGAGAGATCCGAGCGCGCACAAGGTTCGGACGGCAGTCGCGATATGGAAGTCGGGGCTTTCGTCTCGCGGAGACATCGTGCGAGTGAGTGTAGAATTTTTTTCTCTCTCTCCCCACCGCTCCGTCGATTTCGTCCCAAAAAAGCTGTACAGGCTCCTGCAGGCACTGACGCGACCCCCACCCTTGTTTTGAAACGCCCCAATAGGCACAGCGCCCCACAGACAGGCTCGACCGGGTCACGTACCACTCGCAGCTTTTGGCCGCGTTGGGGGCGTGTACAGCCGTGGCGGAGAAGAACAATCGGACGCTCGTCCCGTTCTTCCTCGAGCTCGTGGGCGACGAACGCCCGCCCAAGCTCGCCCGCCCGACGCTCTCCGCCTGGCTCGCGCTCTTCTCCAAGTTCGCGAACCCTAGAGTGCTCTACGCGACTGACTCCCTCCACGCCCTCTACGTCTCCCTCCTTGCCCACCCCGACCGTTCCCTCCAGGGCCTCGCGCTCTCCTGCATACTCACGTACAAGTCGCCGCATCTCCTCCGACACGAGGATAAACTCCGCGGACTGCTGGACGAGACGAGGTGGAGAGATGTACTTACCGCCCTTGACCTTGCGGAGGTAGGCGAGGAGGACAGGAAGCAGCTCGTCGACGTCATCGTACGTCTCTTGTTTGGGATCATGTTGGAGAGGAAAGGTCGGTCCCGGGGGATGGACAGGAGGGCCGCCGTGCTTACCGCCCTTGGTGGATGTACGGACGATGAGTTGAACCTGCTCGTCGATCTAATGCTCAAGCCGTTGCTCCTCGACGGCGCCGCGCCTTCCTCCGGCTCTGCCGCCTTTGCTGTCCGCTCCATTCCTGCCGACGTCTCGGCCAAGCAACAGCTCGGTTTCCTCAATCTGCTCGGCGACGTCCTCCGGAACCTCGGTGCTCGCCTCATGCCACGCTGGGACGACCTACTCGCCGCTACCATCAGCCTCGTCGCTCGAGCACAATCCCGCCTCGAGTCATCTAAGGAAGACAAGGATGCCCCGGACCAGGATGCCCCGGACCAGGCGGAGGACGACGAGAAGGAAGAAGACGCCCCCGACGACGATGAAGAAACCACTTCCGGCTCACAGAAGACTGTCCGTCAGATCCGCCAGCTCGGTCTGAAGCGATACGCCGATTTCTTCCGCAACCCCGCTTCATTCGACTTCTCAAATTACATCGCCGTGTCGTTCAAGGCGTTCATTTCCCCTCGTCTCGCTACGCTCAGCCAGGAGAACACGCAAGCTCCCTCCGCACTTCTCGACCTCTTCTACGTCTGGGCCTCCCGGAAGGAGTATGTTGGCTTCTTGGTCGACTTCGACGGACGGGTGTTGCCTCAGATCTATGCGTGTTTGGTCGCACCTGGCGTCAAGCCCGCCGTTGTCTCACGCGTCCTAGACCTCATCGACAGGCTGCTACAACTATCGAGCGATGAGCCACAAGTCGCGGATCACGTCGTCAAGCCACACGTCTCTGTTCTTCTCACCCATCTCGCCACCCTCGTCGAGCGAACGAAGAAAGACGCGACGGTGTCCAACCCTCTCACACAGCGCCAGATCTCCATTCTCTCCCAGCTCTCGCACTATCTTACCGACAGCGAACAAGCGGAAACGTTACTCTCTCTGGTCTCACCGTTGCTGCGGAAGACGAACAAGGTCGTGGGCGAGAAGGTCAAAACGGACTTACTCAAGATCGTCGGGTCACTTATCCCATCTATTCCTGCCATCGCCGACGCCCAGAGCGCCGTATTCGTCCAGCTGTACGAACTTCTGTCTACGCTCTTCCTCTCTGTCCGATCTCGGCAGGCACGTTTGGCCCTCGTAGTCGCGTTCACTCAGCTTTCAAACATCAACGAGGCTTTGCCGTCGTCACTTGCAGACCTAGTCACTTCGTTGAACGCCTACTCGACGAAACGACTCGATGAACCTGACTTCGACCGTCGTGTCGAGGCCTTTACGCAACTCAACGAAACCGAACACGCCACGTTTTCACCTCAGCATTGGCTCCCCGTCCTGTACAACTCGCTCCACTTCATCCAAGATCCCGAGGAGCTGGCTATAAGAAGCAACTCCGCGCAAGCAATGAAACACTTCACGGACAGAGTCGCCGCGAACCCCGACTCCGAATACCAGACGATCTTCCTCCGGAAGCTCTACCCCGCCCTGAAAAACAGTCTCCGATCTCGTAACGAGATGGTCCGCGCCGAGGTCCTCGGCGTCATCGCCTACGCCATCGCCAAATGCGAACATTTGAACACGTTCCTGGATATGCGCGTCCTTCTCGCCGGTGGAGACGAAGAGGCGAACTTTTTCAATAATGTGCATCATATACAGCTGCATAGGCGGACGAGGGCGCTGAGAAGACTGGCGGATTTCTGCGATGAGGGGAGGATGAGGAGTGTTTCGTTGATGGATGTTTTCGTGCCGCTTGTGGGAAATTTCATCGCGTCGACGACGGATGTGGATCATCATCTGGTTACGGAGGCGATTAGGACGACGGGACGGATGGCGAATCAGTTGGGCTGGGGAGCGTATTATGCGCTGGTGCAGCAATATTTGAGGCTTTCGAGGCAGAAGAACGCGTCGGAGAAGGTCTATATCCGGACGTTGGTCACCATTCTGGACAATTTCCACTTTCCTATGGGAGATATCGTTGACGAGGAGAAGGAGGAAGAACCAGAACCGGAGCAGGCAACGGCAGAGGGCGAACAGGCAGAGCTGGAAGAGGAGCCCGTTGTAGTCGTACCAGCTGAACCGTCAGGTCCCAAGCCAGTACCTACATCTCGTATCGCCGATGCCGTCAATGGACGACTCCTTCCCTCTCTCCTTCGACATCTCGAACGACGTGACGAGAACGAAGACACCCTGCGTATCCCCATCTCCATCGGTATCGTCAACGTAGCGAAACATCTTCCTGAGGCAGACCGAGAACCACAGGTCCTTCGACTCCTCACCATCCTCAGTCAGGTCTTCAGAAGCAGGTCGCAGGAGACTCGAGATCTCGCTAGGGACACGTTCGCCCGCATCGCGGTCATCTTGGGCTCGAAATACCTCCCGATCATGTTGCGCGAACTCCGCGCTGCTCTGCTCCGTGGACCTCATCTGCACGTCCTCGCATATGCAACGCATGCGCTCCTCGTTCATATCACCAATTCCGACAACGTTGCCTCGTTCAAGAATCTAGACGAATGTGTGGCCGATGTAGCTCATGTATCGGCGGAGGTCATATTCGGCGAACCGGGCAAGGACACGAAATCTGAGGGATTCAAGACGAAGATGCGCGAAGTCCGCTCCTCGACGTCCAAAGGCCTCGACTCCTTCGCTATTATAGCCAAACACATCACGCCTTCGAAGATCAGCGGTCTTTTAGTCCCACTGCGTAAGATAATGCGGGAGACGGAGGCGTTGAAGATGATGCAGCAAGTTGACGAGGTGCTGAGGCGGGTCGCGGGCGGATTGAACTCGAATGAGTATCTCGTGCCGGGGGAGTTGTTGATTTTGTGTCATACGTTGATCAGTCAGAACTCGAAGTTTTCGCAACAAGGTGCGAAGAGGGTGACGAAGAGGAAGATCAAGGGAGATGCGATTGTGCAGACGAAGAGGAATGTGGTGGCTGAGGCTGATCATTGGACTACGAATTCGTTCCGGTAAGCTCTCTCGTTCGTACTCGAGCTACGTGATTCATCTGTTCTGACTTGCTTTTACCAACAGCTTCGTCGTCTTCGGCCTCGACCTGCTCAACACTGCCTTCCGCCGCTCTCGTTTCGATTTCCACGACCCGAATATTATCGCCCGCCTCGAGCCCATGGTCGCCGTCATCGGCAACACCCTTTATTCTGAAAACAGCCAAGTCCTCGTCCAAGGCCTCAAAGCCTCCGCCTCCATCGTCAAATGTCCCCTCAAATCCATCGAAAAATCCCTCCCTGTCTTCCTCCGCCAAACCATCGATCTCATCCGTCAGACCGGAAGCACCGACTCCGAAGTCGTACAGAACGCGTTCCGCTCATTGTCCATCATCATCCGGGACCAACCCTCCGCGCAAGTCAAGGAGAAAGATCTCATCTTCATACTCGAGCTTCTTTCGCCGGATCTGGAGGAACCGGATAGGCAGACGGCGGTGTTCACGATGTTGCGTGCGATCGTGTCGCGCAAGTTCGTCGTTCCGGAGATATACGACCTCATGGATAAAGTCTCCGAGGTTATGGTGACGAGTCAGGCCAAACAGGTTCAGGAGCTGTGTCGTGGGGTTTTGTTGCAGTTCTTGCTCGATTATCCGCAGGGTAAAGGGAGGCTGCGGAACCAGATGACCTTCCTCGCGAAGAACCTCTCGTATGTATACGAGAGTGGCAGGAAGTCGGTGATGGAGCTGCTCAGCGCCGTTCTCATCAAGTTCGACAAGGCGATCATCAAGGAGTATGCGGATATGATGTTCGTGGGGCTCGTGATGGTCATCGCGAATGACGATTCGGCGAAGTGCAGGGAGATGGCGGCGGAGGTGATTAAGGCTCTGTTTAGGAGGCTGGAGGCGGATCAGAGGAGGGTGATACTGTCGCATCTGCATTCGTGGTGCAGTCAGCAAGGGAAGGTTCAGTTGACGAGAGTCGGGTGTCAGGTGTATGGTCTGCTCGTGGACGTGTTGCAGACGGAGGCTACGCCCTATCTGCCCGTTATCATGGAAGACTTGAACGCCACGCTCGTACGGAGCGCACAACTATTCGATCAGGACGATGAAGGAGACGATGATGAGTCTTCCGACATGGACGCCGATGGGGTATTGGAATGGCAAGTCCCCTACCACGCCCTGACAGTCCAATCCAAAATCCTCCGCGTCTTTCCTTCCCTCACCACTCAACCCCAAAAACTGCCCTGGCCATCCATCGTCTCGCATCTCCTCTTTCCTCACGCCTGGGTCCGCACCGCATCCTCTCGTCTCCTGGGTTCGTTGTTCTCTGCCGTCCCGGTCGCACCTCCGAAGCCCCAGGAGGAATATGAGAGTGTATCGCCGTTGTATGGGGTGGATGTGAAGGATGTGGCGGCAAAGTTGTGTTCGCAGTTGAGGAGTCCGTATTTGGATGAGGGGTTGGCGTTGCAGGTTGTGAAAAATTTGTTTTGGGTGGGGAAGTGTTTTATTGCTGTGGATGTTGATGTTGCAGACGCTGCCGAGAGTGGAGCTGAGGATGAAGAGCTAGAAGTCGCCGGGAAGGGTGATGCTGAGGAGGATGGTGAAGGTGAACGTGCAGATGGAGATGGAGAGGAGGGTGAGGCCGAAGAAGCAGAGGCGGAGGATGCAGAGGAGAAGAGGAAGGATAATCCCCTTGCCTGGCTCTTCTCGAAGTTGTCATATCAGGCTCGGTCGGCCCATATCGCTCGTCGAAATCGTTCGGCCAATACCGTGAGTCTTGTGCCTACAGCTTCACACTTACGATTATTGACCGTATTGAATCTATTAGGAAACCTGGTATCATCAACCATCTGCCATTCTTCGTTGGTTTGCAGCCATGGTCACGTACATGGAGCCTTCGAAGGTCGAGCTTTTCCTCGTTCATATCCTGACGCCGCTGTATCGCATAACGGACGATGATACCATCCGTGATCCGCACATGGGTATGTTTTCATACATTTTGACGCTGTATCCTCCTTACTCACGGTATATCGGTCGATGCGTTGTAGACGAACTGAAGACGACAGCGACGGAACTTCAGGACCTCGTCCAACAAAAAGTGGGGACCACGAAGTTCGCCAACGTGTACAACAAGATACGACAGAATGTGCTTGGGGTGCAGAGGGAGAGGAGGGCGGCGCGGATCACGAGGGTGACGACGAACCCCCAAGCAGCGGCGAAGAGGAAGCAGCAGAGAGGGACGGCGAAGAAGGATAGCAGGAAGAGGAAGAATTCGCTGTATGCGTGAGTGTTTTCATTCATGCTGTTGAGATGGTTCAAGATTACTGATCGTGAGGTTTTTGTTCTCGCTCACAGAGAACGAAAAGGCGGGTTGAAGAAAGGGCGACATGCATGATTGTCTCCCATTATCGCGCGCCACCGCCACACGCCATGCTATTACCCTAAATTATTTACCTACAATTCTCTTGCTTCTCTTGGGATTTTTCTTGGCCTCGGACATTGCTCGAAAAGTATTATAACACGCACAAACTGTAAAATGTAGCAATACACATACGAAAAATAAAAGAGCGTCACGACATGTCCATCGTGATCTCCCCCTCACCTGGGTAACACAGATCGTTCTCCTCCCCGACCGCATCATCATCATCCTCATTCCAATCACTCGTCGTCTCCCACTCATTCTCAAATTCAATATCAATCGTCAACTCCTCCTCTCCATCCCCATCGTCCGTCATCGGCATGAACGAAGCTAACTGCGGGAACGAAGTGTGATATTGTTGCGGGTTTTTGTGCGAGACGGGGAGGACCCAGCGGCGTTCGCGGAGGCGCTTGTGCCGTTCCCGGTCTTCTTCGATGCGGCGGAATATTTCTTGACGGGGAACGGGTTGGTGTGTCAAGTGGTGAGAGGATGAAGGGCGGGAGGAAGAGTGGGCGAGTGGGGAGGGGAGGTCTGTGGGTCCGGTTGGGTCGAGGTCGGAAGTCGCGGAGGACCGGGCGGAGAGGACGGTCATTACGTCGTCGATTTTTTGAGGTTCTACGACGCGTTTGTTTCGCCAGCTTTCTAGGATCTGAGCATGAGATCGTGGATGTCAGATCAATAAGGTTTTCATGGGGAAGGCAGCGGGGGGAACGCGCCTGTTTGGTGCTCATGAGGTTGGGGAGACCTTGTCGACCTTCTGGAACGACGTTCTCCACTATCGTGCTCAGGTCCCGAGTGACATAGTCCACGTAGAAAGAGCTGTTTGACGCATTCTCTGTGCCCATAGCGGCGGAGTGGGATTTGGCGAGGAGTGATGATTCGCATAAGGAGTCGAGGAAGTAGAGGATGTTGATGCGGTTGTTAATAGAGCCCTGAGGAGCAGATCGACGGAGACACGCGCATGAGCGTAAAGTTCAAAGAGAGTCGAAGTGGTAAGGGTCTACCTTTTGACATTCCTCAACGATGCAATCCCATAGGTCCTCGCCACACCGAGAATAATACTTCAGGGCGTAGCCCACGACTTTCTGGATGGACTGTTGGGAACTGGTAAGCCAAGTCATTCAGAAGACATATCATGAGCAATATACGAAACAACTCACGCGTTCAGCTTCCTCAACAAGGCGAGGAACTGCATTCGAACTTCGAACGGGTCCATGCTGGTACCAAGGATGTCAAGTACACTCCAGATATTACCCTGCAAGATTATGAAAAATTGAGGCCTTTCTTTCTTCAAGTGATATACACGGCACCTAACTATCGTTGCTACTTTCTTAGCACTATTGACGTACAACGAACCAGGTTGGTGTGGGTAGAAGGAAAGATGTGGCGGCGAAAGCCGGCCCAAAAGGGCGGGTCAACAAGCGCCTGCATGTTACGTCAGCATTGGGATCGGCGCTACCGAAATATTCAATTGACTCGCGTCGGATTCGTGGCCCACACGCCTTCTCTCTTTTTCTCCCCTTTTTCCTTTCTTTTCGCTCATCGTCGTCCACGGTGCCTCCCATCAAAACACTCGCAAAACTCAAGGCCAAAGAGGCGAAGAAGAGCTCGTCCGGTCGACCGAATATCGCGTCCTGGATCAACTCGGCTGCAGCTTCAGAGGTTTCAGAAGACATGGAAGATGCTTCCGGAGGATTTGTGTGGCATAGGGAGAGAGTCGTAGATGAATGGCCGCAAGCTATGCAGTTTGCGCATGCTAAACTTATGATTGGTCGTACGAGCGAGCGTGTACTTTTTCTTCAGGAAGAATTGCTACCCTTGGCCAAGTCGAATGGTGCGCTAAGACCTTCGCTTTGAATTGCCTACAGTAATTCTGATCCTGTTGTATAGGCCTTACTTTACGGCAAAATTTGGAGATATTCAAGCTGTTGACTGAAACATACTCAAGATATGTCGACAGTGCTTCGAGAGAGGCCTTGGAAGCTGTTCTGGTTGAGCTCGTACGAGCGGACGTAGTCCGGGAAGAGAAGTTGGGCGTCCCAGAACAAATCATCGGTTGGATGTCGACTCAAGTCGGAAAAATATCTAAGAGGACAAGGTATGTCTAGCTTCATATTCTGTGTATATTCTTCAACTGATTGTCGTGTCAAGTTCTTACGCTCCCTCGGACATGTTCGTCCTCTTGAGCTGGTGTGGCGCCCTATACACCGTCTGCCTAAAGCACAATCCACAATTTTCCACATCCCAGCCTTATATCCTCCTCCTCGACTCCATGGCCAGTCTCCTTGATCTACTACTAAGCCCCGTCACTCACGCAAAAGCGGCCATACAAAAGAGCTCCGTCGTGCGCACCCGTCGCGCTTTACGATCCGTCAGTACTCGTAGTGTACTACCGTCGTGAGTTGCCGTTTACGATATTGACAATGCATGCAGGCCCCTGAACTTCTTCAGACTTCGATCGCTACGCTCTTGAAGCAGGCCAAGTCGTATCCGTCGCCACTTACCGCTCTTCCGTTGATTGGCACAGCGGTGGATGTGACCACTCATCTCAAGAACGTTAAAGATGCAAGTATCACCAAGGTCTCAGAAGATAACAAGGTAGATTTTTCTTTATATTTGCATCATTATTCTCAACTGAGCCTCTAATCCAGACAGGAATCTTGACGCTGTACTGCAATGCCGTCCTTATGGCAAGGGCCCCTGTTCTCTCACACGTTACGGTAAGTTGACTACGTTTATTCTCTATATTTCTTCGTCTCACCCGGATCACCCGGATGATAGACAGCGCTCCACGGGTTCATTCAGACGCTGTCTGAAGCCGAGTTCAAGCAAACAGTCCTCCCAACCATCGAAAAAGCCCTCCTCCGATCGCCAGAATACGCACTCCAAGGTGCTTCCTTCCATATATCTCCTTCCTCTCCGCTCTCGCACTAACCTCTAAACAAACAAACTCTATAAAGCCGTCAGCGACTTCTTCCCCGCCTACCCACATTCCCTCGACTCCGACACCTTCCGTCGCATCCTCACACCTACCCTCAACTGCGCCAATTCCGCCAACATCACCGTCCGCAGCGCCTCCCTCTCCCTCTTCAAAGTCGTAGTCGAGAAGAAAGCTTCGGACGAGAGCAAAGAACATGCTGTCACTGAGCTCTTGAACTTTGCAAAGGCAGGAAAATCAGTGGGTCCGGATCGGCAGATCCTCTACTCGATGTTAGGCTACCTCAGTCCATCAGAGGCGGTCTCGAAAGCTATGGTGGCGACAGTACCGGCGTTATTGGCGAAGGAGACGAATGATGCAGCGGCACCTGTACTAGGGCTTGCATTGACGCCTCACCTCGCTTACCAGCTGCGGGAGAGTATCCCTATCCCAGCAGACGTGACTTCGATATTAGCCAAGGAGATGCAAAGTTCCAAGCCTGTCATTCGTCGGACGTTTGTCTCGTTGGTGGGAGACGCGTTGTGGCAATTGGGGACACTGCCGACGGAGGAATCTAAAGCCTTCGCGAAGACGGTGATAGATGCTATTGATGCGAGCTTGAAGAGCGTAGCTGCGAATCCCAGTGCGGGACCTGTGGAAGGGTATATCGCGGTTAGTGTACTTCTTGGCCCCTTTGCAAAGTCAGGCGTTTTTGGTACGTCCTATCATGTTAACTTTCTCAAGCTCTATCGTATTGATTTTCGGGATCAATGTTTACGTTTGTAGAGGACGGCATAGCCAAGAACCCGACACTCCAGTCGCTGGTTGCGAGTTCGTCCAGACCGTCGTTCTTGCTTTCGGACAAGATATATCAGAAGGTCACGGACGCGGAAGACCAGATATGGTTACTACGAGCTGCTGAAAGCACGCTCATGTACTTCCACGCCGAGCTTCTCAAAGCTGACTCTTCCCGGTTCGGTTTCTCAGCTCAGTCGAAACCTCTACTATGCACTTACTTTTCTTTTGTTTGTCAGCGCACAACTTGGCCTCGCGTTCCTCCACCTCGCCGTCGAAGGCTCAGCCCCTTCTTTCCGCAAACGTGTCATCGCTTCTCTCGAACATCTCACCTCCATCTACCCCAAAGTAGTCAACCTCGTCATTCGGGATGCTCTCTCCTCCTACGTCTCTAAACCCCAGCCGAAGTCGTCATCTGCCACATCATCAGGGAAAGTGCAGAATGGCTCAGCGGCAGCGGATGAAGATACAGTGAAAAAGCCGGTGGTAAACTTGCAGCCGCGATTTACTGCGTTCTTGAGCGCGTGCGCGTGCTTTGGGGACGAGGTCCAGCCAGTTTTGAAGGAAGCGTTGATTGCGGACTTGGTCATTCTGGGGCATCATCCTACGATCTGTGCGTTTCTTGATTTATCTCCGGTTTGAAAAATATTTGGAAGACTGACCATTGGTATGATGCCGAAATGCAGGTGGCAACTCTCGGCAGGCGTGGATCGAGCTGTGTCAGAAGGCGAAGGTGGACCCGGCGACGTTGATCCAGAATCAGCTGGAGTTGCTCTTCAAGATCATACTGGAGGCTTCTGAGTCTAAGACCGAGGACGCGAAAGAGGCAAGCTATCGCGCGATCACTACGCTTGCTTTTGTCCTGCCGGGCGTCGTTCTTCCTCGAGTCGTGGATCAACTGAAGGTCGATGTCGCCACGGATATCAAGACTCTGACAGACGAGGACTTTGGCATGTGGACCACTCCTGAAGGCGAACCGTACTTCGATGGTAAGTCATCCGCCGGCCTCCTCCTTTGTTTGATACTGATCATGCACTTGTATCATAGTTTTGTCTGCTAAGAAAGGTCAAGCAGTACAGACTAGCAAGGGCAAGGACGCAGAGCTAGAAAAATGGGAAGCCGAGGTTCGCAAGTCGCTCGCCACCAAGAAGAAACCCGCGCTCTCGAAACAGGACCAAGCGCTCGTTCAAGCCCAGCTGGAGAAAGAATCGCAAGTTCGCAAGCGGGTCAACGCGATCCAGGAGAGGCTGAGGAGAGGCTTAAGAATCATCAAACATCTTGTGGCCGGGAATGTCATGGAGTTCAGTGCATGGGTCAGCGTTGTGGCGGAGTTGTTGATCGAGGGTGGATCGTTGGAGAAAGGGAAGATGTTGGTTGGTGAGGAGGGCTTTGATACGTATTTGGTGAGTCCCGTCAGATACGAGGCTGTGATAGCGGATTACTGATAATTCGAGTAGGAGTTGGGCAGATGTTGTTCGGACAGGTTAGACACATTCGCGAAGTGGATAGCTGTCGCTACTTTGCGGAGCCTTGAAGTCCCAGCCGTTCCTGAGGAACTGAAGGCCGAACCTCTCAACCGTACGTCTTCAACATTGTGAAATGCCTCGATGATGCTAATTGACTCTAATCCCCACAGAGTTGGTTTCCAGAGTACTATATCGCTTGCGTTGGCTCTCAGAGCAGGCTCCGCTCGATTCACCGACGTTTTCGTATCTTTTTCCTTTACTGCATCAAGTCCTCTTGAAGGGCGGTGTTGGGTTGTCAGAGGAGGATGATCCATTGGAGCAAGTCGCACTGGCTCTGGACATCATCAAGTTCCACTGTGGAGAATGTGGGTTGTCAAGAACCTATCTTGCGTACCATCACTTACCGATAGTGCATTAACGCAGTCTCCGACAAGAACTTCCCCAGGATGCAGATCATGGAAGGTCTCTTATTCGCCATGCGTCATCAACTCAAACTCGCGAAGGATGCATCTTCAGCACTGGTGGAACTCGGTCAAGCGATACACACCAATGCCACTCACGAAGAGGCCGCTATGTTGCTCCAAGGCACACTCCTACAGGAGGCTCATGTCCGGACGTCCTGCCTCCAAACTCTTCAGGTACTGTCTTATTCCATCGTCTGCTCGTGGTTCCTTGCACTTACTTGATCCACCAGCCTTTCGATCTCACGGATTTGGACTGGTCCCCAGAGTTGCTCATCGCTGCCAATGACGAAGACGAGCAGAACTCCCGGTTGGCACGTCTTATATGGGAGGATAACGGTCTAGACGTGCCCGAGTCGTTCTTGCAAACGATGCTCAAGTTCCTTGGTGAGTACTACCAGACTCTTTCTGTATAACAACAATCGTGCTGACAGACGATCTTGGAGCAGAACATGACAATGCGTATGTGCGCTCCAGTACAGCTGCTGCATTCATTGAATGCGTGGAGCATTGGCCACAGTCCATCACGGAAACGCTCGGTGCCCTTGAGGATCTTTATCGTGCCAAGGTGATGACCCTCTGTTCCAATTGGTACTCAAAGTAATTTCTAACGCGTCTATATAGGCAAAGATTCTTGCTCCAGAGTTTGATCAATATGTGAGTTCATTCATCGAGTAACCGTCTTCAGTAGTTCTAAATCTTTCGATAGGGAATGCTCGTCGAACAGAGCCTTGATCGCACGGACCCATGGCAAGCCCGCCTTGCGATTGCCGAGACCTTCCAGATGCTGTCTCCCAGCTTCACAGAGGCCAGTATTGTACCCTTCTTCAATTTCCTTATCAACGACGAAGCACTCGGCGACCGGAGTACCGAAGTTCGTCGTGGAATGCTGGACGCTGGGACAGCCGTTATCGATATCCATGGCAAGAGCAAGCTCGCAGAACTTATTGGCATCTTCGAAAGCCAACTCTCTAGCTCCCACCCAGCTTCTGAAACCGCAGACTTTATACAAGAGGCCGTGGTCATCCTCATCGGACGTGTGGCACGCCATCTTGAACCTACAGATTCCCGTTTGCCCACAATCGAGGCAAGGCTTGTAGACGCATTGAAGACTCCTTCAGAGCAAGTTCAGGTCGCAGTTGCGGATTGTCTGGCTCCCCTGGTCAGGATCACGAAGGACTCAGTTCCCACTCTTGTTGAGCAGTTGTTGGAGGAACTCTTCAACGTGCCGAAGTACGCTGCTCGTCGTGGTGCAGCTTACGGTCTTGCTGGTGTCATCAAGGGCGTCGGTATCGCTGGTATCAAAGACTTCGACATCCTTGGACGGCTGCGTACGGCTACAGAGGACAAGAAGAAATATGAGGCCCGTCAAGGTGCCATGTTCGCTCTCGAAACCTTCTCCAGTACGTTAGGACGACTCTTCGAACCTTACGCTATACACGCTCTCCCCCTTCTCCTCACCTCTTTTGGCGACTCCACCCCGGATGTCCGTGAGGCGGCTACGGATGCTGCGCGTGTCATCATGCGAAATATGTCTGGGTACGGTGTCAAGCTCATCCTCCCCGATATTCTGTCCGGTCTGGACGAGAAGCAATGGCGTACGAAGAAGGGCTCAATCGAGTTGTTGGGCATGATGGCGTACTGTGCTCCACGACAGCTCTCTCAATCTCTACCGATCATCATCCCTCGACTCACTGGTGTGCTGACGGACTCGCATGCCCAAGTCCGCGCTGGTGCCAACAAGAGTTTGAAAATGTTCGGCGAGGTCATCAGCAACCCGGAGATCCAGAACCTTGTGCCTATATTCTTGAAGGCTATGGTGGACCCCTCGAAGACGCCAAATGCTCTGTCCTCGCTTTTGAAGACTTCGTTTGTGCATTATATCGATCACTCCTCCTTGGCTCTAGTGAGTTGTAATTTTTATATTTTACCCGCGTTCTCCACCTTATATATGCTCGACTAGGTCATCCCGATCTTGGAGCGTGGTCTTCGAGAACGAAGCGCGGATACCAAGCGCAAGGCTGCACAGATTGTGGGCAACCTCGCATCCTTGACAGACTCGAAGGACTTCGTTCCCTACCTGTCCACCCTATTACCCATGGTGCACGTCGTTCTCGTCGATCCTGTCCCCGAGGCTCGGGCCACGGCCGCTAAGGCTTTGGGAACTTTGGTCGAACGACTTGGGGAGATACATTTCCCCGACCTCGTGCCCAGTCTCATTCGAACACTCAAGACGGACACCTCCGGCGTCGACCGGCAAGGCGCAGCTCAAGGTCTTTCCGAAGTCCTTTCTGGGTTGGGTATGGAGCGTCTTGAGGGCTTGCTTCCCGATATCATTGCGAATGCCCAGTCACCACGAAGCACCGTTCGGGAAGGTTTCATGTCCTTGCTCGTTTTCTTACCTGCGACATTCGGTACTAGGTTCCAACCTCATCTCCCCAGAATTATTGCTCCAATCCTTGGAGGTCTCTCAGATACAGAGGAATACGTTCGAGAAGCAGCCATGCGTGCCGGAAGGATGATCGTCACCAATTACTCAAGCAGAGCTATCGATCTACTCCTTCCAGAACTCGAGCGTGGCATGTTCGATCCTGGCTGGCGCATTAGGGTATGCCGTTTCGTATTCTTCTTTACACAAAGACAGCTCTCTCATACTTGCACATCTAGCAATCATCGATCACTTTGGTTGGAGAACTTCTCTTCAAGGTCTCCGGCATCAGCGGCAAGAATGAGATTGAGGAAGATGAGGAAGGAGCTGAGGTTGTCGTTGCCGAGACGTCAAGAAAGGCTCTCACCGAGGTACTTGGTGCAGAACGTCGCGATCGTATTCTCTCTGCTCTCTATATGGCACGCCAAGATGCAGTTCACGTCGTCCGCCAAGCATCCATCCACATCTGGAAAGCGTTGGTGCACAATACACCCAGAACTGGTACGTTGATCTTCCTACCGGCTGTGTATTCTTAGGCCTCAATTGTTTTCGCCTCCAGTCAGGGAAATCCTCCCCGAACTCGTTACCCAGATCATGTTGCTGCTTTCGAGTGGCGAAGGAGAACAGGAGGAGGTATAACCCCTTCAGTTGCGTGTGTTGGATAAATTGAACTAATAACTTGACAGACTGCAGAAAGGACAAGTGCGGAGATCTGCCGCAAGTTCGGCGAGAGAATCGTTGGCGAGATTGTGGCCATCCTTCGATCGAAGTCAACCTCTCCAGACTCAAGGACGCGGGAGAGCGTGTCTCTCATGCTCTGCGAAGTCATGTACGTACACAACCACTCTGTTCCGAGCTCTTGTTCTGACCATCCAAACAAACCAGCACCAACTCCAACGAGATTCAACTGGAAGGTCAAGAAGACGAGATTGTCTCGATGGTACGCACAGCCCTTGTGGACGACGAAAGTACCGTTCGCTCTGCGGCTGCAAAGGCGTTCGACGTCTTGCAAGAACATCTTGGTGCTAGAGCCATCGACCAAACCATCCCTACGCTGTTGGAGGCACTTCGCCAGCCTGGAGAGAGCTCCGGCACTGCGCTCAAGGCTTTGAAGGAGGTTATGAGCGTACGTTATGTTCTATTCGTCGCGCCTTGTGCGCTGTCCGTTATCTTATGCTTGCATTTCAGGTCCGGGCCTCAACAGTGTTCCCGGTCTTGATCCCAACTCTCACTGCTATCCCAATGACACCGTTCAACGCCCGGGCGTTGGCTTCACTCGTCACTGTGGCAGGTAATGCCCTCAGCAAACGGTTGACGGTCATTCTGGGGGCTCTCGTTACCGTCGTTGAAGGGTTAAGGGAAAAACCAGATGAAGAGCTGCGAGAAGCTGTGGACGAGGCTCTAAGGGCTCTCCTTGAGTCGATCAATGATCCGGAAGGCCTGAATACCTTGATGTTGCTTCTCCTCGGATGGTGCGTCAGTTTCCACGAATGAGATTTTACTCTTAGCTGACTGTATGACAGGGTCAAGCACGATAGCCCAAGACGGCGTGTCAGCGCGGCCAATTTCTTCGCCATTTTCTGCGAGGTATCAGACCTCGACACCTCGCTCTATCGCGTGGACTGGATCCGGCAACTGGTTTCATCGTTGGACGACTCCGACGTCGGTTCACATACTGCAGCTTGGGCCGCCCTGGACGTTTTTGTCAAGTCCGTCCCTAAGGATGAGCTTGAGCCTCTTGTAGTTCCTCTCCGTCGCACGATTGAGGGTACCGGAGGCCCAGGCACTCACGTTCCGGGCTTCAGCTTGCCCAAAGGCATCTCGCCTCTAGTGCCAATCATTATCGCCGGTCTCACGACAGGTAGCAACGAGCAGAGGGAACAGGCCGCTTACGCTATCGGCGATCTCGTGGAGCGTACCGAAGAGAGTGCCATCAAGCCATTTGTTGTGCCGTTCACTGGTCCTCTCATTCGTGTGGCAACACAGGCAACGACATATCCTCCAGCCGTCAAGACAGCCATTCTCAGCGCACTCACGACCATGTTGGAGTTGATCCCTGCGTTCGTCAAGCCGTTCTTCCCTCAGCTGCAGCGCACCTTTGTCAAGAGTGCCAGCGATCCCGCCAGCATCATCGTCCGGAACAAAGCAGCTCAAGCGCTCGGTGTTCTCATGAAGAGCCAGCCACGAGTGGACCCCGTTGTCACAGAGTTGATCACCGGAGCGAAAGCAAACGATGATTCGATTGCATCAAGTTTGGTGTTGGCGTTGTCGAACGTGATCAAGAGCGGCAATACGAATGTTGGTCAGAAAGCGCGCGAGTCTGCTCTTGAGCTTGTTGGTGATGCGTTCAGAGAGAGCCACGACGGTAAGTGCAGTGTTGTGTCATTGTGAGATAGTACTTATTTGGATCTTGGAACGTAGAACACTACATGCAGTCCATTGCACAACTCACTGCTTCTCTCTCGATCTACCCGCAGCTGCTTGACCCGATCATCGAGTACGTTTTGCTTTCACTGTCTACTTTGGCTGACTATTGATTACTAATCACATTTTTCCCTTAAGAACATATCTTCTGGGTGGGACGCCTCCGAGTCCCTTGGCATCCCATTGTACGCTCGCCATCCTCTCCCGGATCGAAGAAGACGAGACGCCCTATGAAGACGTCATTGGCGTCTTCCAAAACAACCTGCGCAGTGTGGCCCAAAAAGTCCAAGAGAGCATTGGCACGGACAAGCCCAACGTCGCACGCCCCGCACGAGAAGCGAAGGAGTTATTGAAACGACTAGACGACGGTTTGTACAGATCATGAGCGAGTTGTGTATCAACAGGCTGCGAGGCCACTGTTTTGCTATCTCGATGTGTAGCACTCTACAAAGGCTGTACTTTTTCTTTCTTTCTTATTCTGGTACTCAAAACCATCCTGCCGATGATAATGGATGCACTCGATGTCTTTTATGCGTGTCACCGCCCAGATTAACAGCTTATGGAACACATCAAACCCCATTCTTGAAAATCTCATCAGAGGCATGGATGTTGATGGAATTGATGGAATGTCGCGCATCGCTCATCGGTGTGGGGATAGAAGAGGCGATGGACGGTACGGTGTAAAGCGTGTCAGACGGTGCATTATTGTGGATGAGACTGTCAGGGTGAGTGAAGAATTGTGGCGTGGACTTGGTCATGGCAGATACCTCGGAACGGTGGATGATATGAAGTTGGGTGTACTAGCGTGGCAGGTGGGGATGTTCGTTATTTTTCGAGGACTGGTCGGAACCCATATTTGACTCGGGCATACTAGGAAGAAAACACCAGTATTAGAAGTACAGACGATCGGGGGCCAAAAGAAAGACTAAGATTCAAGAAAAATTACTAGTACACATTATGCGAGTGACATAGAGCGACGAAGCAAAAACAGAAGCACAAAGTCCACGATGAGACCGACTGGGAGCATCAAGACGTCCATTGAACTACTCGGACTTTGAGCTCGATACGCGAATCAAATCCAACAGGGCCTGCAACCTAGGATTTCCTCCAAGCCTCTGGATCTCTTCTCTGATCTCCGCTTCAAGAGTCTGCAGCTTCTCCAATGTATAGTCGAAGGACTTGGTCGCCTTCCTTAGATAAGAGATGATATGTGTCTTTAGAGTGGGTGTGGTCGGGCGTTTCTGGAGAACATCTATACGAGTGGCGTGTCAAGAGGTAGGCCAAGTCGGAGAGGAAGAGAAGTGAAAGACGAACTCAGAACTTGTCTGTTTGACATGTCGGCATGGATGCTATGAACGATCGGAAAAGAGAATTTGCCTTCCGTGAGGTCTTCTGCGAAGCCTTTGTTGGTCGTATACTGTACATTATACTAGTGAGCTATACATCGAAAAGAAAACCGAACATGGCTTTACTTCGGTGCTCTCTAGGTTCATATAATCGTCCCGTATTTGAAAGTATACACTGATTAGGTTGACTAGCGGGATGTAATCGCTGAAGAGCCTCGACATCAGTTCATTCCTACACGGGAATTATGTGCCAGGACTCACACAGCAACGTTCGTTGTTGCGCACGCCATCATCAGTTTAGTGGCCACTCGGAACAGACCTCCCGTCTCTGTGCCTTGTTTCAGAATTGGTCCAAAAAAGAATTGGTATGCTGTACGGCTTACTGTCTTTGACCATAGAGATATATTCGTCTTCGGTGGGACATTGGAGTGAGTCTCTCCACAGCAAATCCAGACCCTGCCCTCGATGCAGACTGAGTAGTTCGTCTAGGGAATGCGTACAGGGAGGTTGTACGGTTAGGCTCCCTGATAGTTCACGCATACGTGGTGTGGCGCCATACCTGTCACTATCTGGTCCACCTCGTTATCTGTGTACAACCGAGTCTCGGAGATGGTCGTAGGTCGTTGTCCTCCCTCCGAATCTGCGGAAGTAGATTGTGGTCCAGTCGAGGACGGTCTCAGCAAGAAAAGCTCTCGAAAAGCTAGGAAGTAGACATAGTTGGCTGCATTGATCGTCTGTGGGATCCCGTAAATCTTGTGCGCCACTATGGGAAAGTTCGTTAGCACATTCAATGGGATGTTGGTAGCGAGTATGCTGGAGAAGAGGCGCCAATCCGTTCGATGCACGATACTCTTATGTCATGGTCCCCAAGAGCGCAAATTAGCGCCTTGGTTAGCTGCGATCGGGTCCCGGAGATCGCGGTTCGCCATGAGTGCGCCACACATGACACGGGCGAGGACGTCGGCGACCAAGCCGCGCATGCAACGCATCCTTGTGAAAAAGTATATCACAGAGAGTGCAGAACCAGCGTCATAACAAACTGGGTGCTCCTGTGGGCCAGACTAGGTGTTCAAGGTGAGCTAGCTTACCGGGTTGACCTCGTCTCAACTGGGAGTCATCTTCGATGTCGTCAATCCTGCAGAAATAAAATGTGTGAGTAGAGTATTAAGAGTATTGCATTAAAATACTCACAATAAGCTGGCGTTATGAAGCATACTGACAATACGCGCGATAATGTGAAGCTTATCCTCGGGAACATGCAACCAGGTATTGAAAGCTGCGATCATCTCTCCTCGGACTTCCTTTCCAGGATTGGCTGCTATGTATGTGTAAGGTTCAAGAAGTGCCTTCAATTCAAATCATGTCAGTTTGGATCGTCAAGTTTGGATGTAAGATGGGGCATACCGCTTCGCCACTTGATTGTGGCGAGCTGGTGATCGGAGACGTTGGTGGCATGGCAAGGGTCGAGAGATCTCTGGTGGCCTTCAAGTTGTTTAGAGAACTTGTTGATGAGGGTAGCTCAAGAGACGCGACGACGTAATGTGGAGAATTATTGGAGCAGTACTAAGCTTATTACGGTCGACAAGGCTAGAGAGGGGATCCGATTGTGCAGTAAGTTGAACAATTCGGCGGAAGCCGGAGTGATCCTGTGCAATCGGCGTCTACCGCTTGGCGCGCTCGGATCCGGGGCTAATTTCTTTCGAGGTTGGTTCGTACCAAGTTCGTACTCGAGCTCCTCCTCAAACCTCGTCCAACACCCACGCAGTCTTTCTATCGTGTCTTGGAGTATAGACCTCGTATTCTGCTTTACTTCATATTTTGGCGATATCTGCTCGGGCCGGCAAGACGAAACTTCTTGTGGCAACCTGACAGCATACTCTTGCCAGATACATCCGTTTCAACATGAAGTCGGGTCACTGGTACCCGTGGATTACCGATTCTTGACTTGTATAGCATCTGGGAGCCTGTGAATGCTCTGTGGGCCAAGTTTACGGGCATGGTTATACGTGGTGGGCTCTGAAGGCTTAATTTCTGCTGTCTGATCACGGCAGAAGAAGGAACCATCGCGTGCAGCCATGTCAAGACGGCAGCAAGCCCCTTTGGATTCTATATTCTCTACAGGGCGGTGCTCTTTTGAAGACCGAATCCGTACTGGTGGGTTATGCATTGTTCAAGGCTCGGCGCCTACAAGGATCTTGGACAAGATCTTTTTGTGACTCGATTAGGCGAAAGGTGGCACCTCAGGACAAAAGGCCACACAGTGGCACTCCCATCTGGTCGCTTTGTCCCCTCCTTCTCCAGTATTATCAACGACTTTGCCCATCACCGTCGGCCTCGACGTTCTCTTGTCTGTTCGACCCAATGGTCTTCTCGGTATCTTATATACTTGGATACGTAGCTGGGTCAGCGTTACATTCAGCTTTCCGGCCTTTTAACCTTGTGGCACTCGGATACTGCGTCTCTCGTCAATATGTCTCTGGTGCTCATTTGCTCCCGTTGCTTTTTATTATATCCGTACTGTGTCTTTTTGCCTCCATCAGCACCGTCAATGTCAATATTTTTGGTGCATTCGCTCGTTCGTCATTAAGGGCTTTGTTCCCGGCGTCGTTGTGTGGCCCTCCAACCGTCAACCTATTCAGCACGAAACAGAGAGTACCAGCAGGCAGAGATACGTCTATCAATATGAGGAAATGCCCTTCGACCGGTCTGGGTGAGTTTCTTGCCATACTTTCACCTCAGCATTGGCTCACACTATTCGGAGCGTAGTGCGGCATAAGACCCATGCTCGTAAATCGCTGCAAATTATCGAGAAGAAAATTATTGAAAAACCAGGTACGTTTACATATGTTTGTTCATATTGGAGCGCCTTGTGAATTCTCGTTTGGTCTAGTCGAGGGCAGACGTGGCCGAAACTCTGAGAACTGTTTCTCCTTAACGCATGGGCGTCTCTCAAGAATTCCTACTACCTTTGAATATCGCAATGGAGGTATCACGTTCACATTTCCGGATAAAATGGATAAGTGTAACGCGAAGCCCATCACCGTCAAAGACCTAGGTATAGTCATTTTATTTTCGCATGGAGCGTAATACTCATCAAAGGCTCTAGCTCTTACCCGACGACCCACTCCTAGGTCTATCATCTCGAAAAATGTGAAGTGCCTACCAACCACCACTTTTGGTGTGTAGTCATGTCGTTGTCTCGCCTGACATGAATTCCCTGAGGTTCATGTCTTGTTGCAGAACACCTCTGTTGCCAAAGTTATGCCGAAATGTGTACCGAATTGTTCGGCATGAAAATATCCCATCGCCTCGGTGGACGGATCAAGTCTCAAAATTTCGACACTTCTCTCTCACAAACACGCCGTCGGATTGTGAGCACATTCTATCACTTACACTGTCTTGAATATTGATTGTCTACACCAGGATTATGTAACAATAGACATCCTCATCGCGCGACTACGGCAAGCTGTAGCACCGAAAGACTCGCCCAAGTCAGGCCACCGACCTTCATCCAAGGTCAAACATCCTACCTCCGCCAGTCCCAGGCCAGCGGCAGTCGTACCGAAACCCCCGACGCCACAACATGACGTAAAATCTATCCCAAGCTTGGCCCGAAGATCGCGTTCCTCCAAACCCAGCTTTGTCGCACGTATTTGTCCTTTGTGCAAGCCTTTGCAATCGCAAGGAATCATCACCGTACCATCTCTTCCATTACAGAGGACTTCATCATCACGAGCGGCGACTGTACCTGCTCGTCCTCCATCGAAACCTTCACCTTTGCGGAAGGTCGTCAGCTTTGTTCCTGCTCCTCCGTTACCAAAGCTTTCTCCATTGCGAGAGATTTCTAAATTCAGCACGCCTACATGTCCGCGAGCGAAGCCTACACCATTGCGAGAGGTTATCAGCTACAAATCACCTGTTCATCCGTTGTCGAGGCCTTCGCCAATGCGCGAGGTCACTAGCTTCACATCACCTACCCGTGCATTTTCTAAGGCTTCGACATTCGGAGAGGCTCTCAACCTGCTCGATCCTTATCGTTCTCGTTCAAAACCTTCGTCATTGCGAAAGGCTCCAGCCTCCACAGTACCTGCTCGTCCACCATCCAAGTCTTTGCCTTTTGGAGAGGCCACCAAGCTCATCCCACCTGCTCATTTTGATTCGAAACCTTCGTCATTGCGAAAGCCTTCCGCCTTCACAGTACCTGTTCGCCCATCGTTGAAGTCTTTACCATTACGGGAAGTTACCAACGTGACCGTACCTGCTCGTCCGTTATCGAAGCCTTCGCCATTGCGAGAGGTTGCCGACTTTGACCTCTCCGTTCGATCTGCACCCGAGTCTTCGGCAAACGAAACCATTGATACCAATGGTATCTCCCCTACTGAACGCCGTGCAGTATTACCGCTGCCTAGGCGGCAGCGCATGTTCTGCAAAGCGGGAAAAGCAGGATCCGTTGTGGTGCCGTCATTCTCGCAGCAACCATCCGTGACTCCTCTCCCCTTGGATCCCGAAGCCCGCGCGCCGGCATTCGTAGGGGACGGTAACAATGTTCAGCTGGCCATGGATTCGACCAGAAAAGTGCCGCGATCCTTGTTCCTCTCTACTTCAGTGGCGCCGAAGGCGATCACGCCACAATCCTTCTCCCCTTTTATCGACATGTCAGAGCCTTATATCATCGGGCCTCAACCATCCTCACCCACTCGTTCTGACGTAGAGATGGTAGACGCCTGCAAGTTCGTATCGCTCGAGGGGACTGATTGTGGTGACCGCGACATGATGGACAATCACATCACTTGTCTAAATTGCCACAAGGAATTTAAACGCAGCGACTCTGGTCACTTCCTCACCTGCGTTATACAGGAGAGATGTCGAGAATGTGGACATGCCCTGAACGTTGAAGAGGAAGAGGAGTGTTTATATTGCGAACGGAGGGAGGCTCTGCTCGCGTAAGTTGATCTTGTGATCCTCGCCGATCTGAGATGCGTCTTGATCCTTTTCTTCTCTCCTAGTGATCAATGAGCATCGCGAAACAGGCTGAATCAGCATTTTCGTGTCGCTATGTTGACTCCTACCCTCACCCGCGCACTATATATTCATTCAAACGTCTCCACTTCTTCGTTTTGATCTCGCTCTGGCTCGCATCTTCTTGCATTCTTCATTTTGCTCCTCTGTGTTCGTCATTGCTCTCGCATCTGCTCTCGCCATCGCTCTCCCGTCTCCTCTCCCGTCTGCCCTCGTCATTGCTGCTCCACAATCTGCTTTCGTCGATCTCGTCTGCTTTTCGTATTTGCTGCCATCTTCTTTCTCTCGCACCTCCATCATCGCCCCTCTAGACTCTCACACATTGTACAACAACTCACATCAAAATCTGGGGCTTGTCAATGTGTAAATCCACGGTCCAAAATTCTCTACACTAGACGGCAACCACACATATTCTCTCACTGTACTTGTCCAACATCATCCACGCACTCTTCGTCTTTCCTGTGTTTCTTTATATTTGTCCTTCATCCGCATTTCTCAGCATCAATGTACTATACCCATTGGACTTCAGCATGTCGCATTTTTATCTTTTATCTGCTTTGTCATTTTGCATTGTCCTGCTCTCGCATCGCTTTCTCTTCTGTCAATAGTCCTCTATCCTGTAGCGATCGCGTTTGCACTGTCGATACCGTAACTTAGTTGCATATTGGGGCTCATTGCCTCACTGTCTCATTCGTGTGACCCCCGGGTCTAGCACCTAAGAAAGAATCTTATGTCTATGATTCTGCAGACAACCAGAAGGGCATAATAACTACGAAACAACATGGAATTATCGAAGAAAGAGAAAGAAGTTTGAAAGACCCAAGCCCACGTCCGAAACACGCTCGTGAGGGAACCTTCAGATATCCAGACAATGCCCCCTGCGACATTGGAATGCAAGTTCCCAACTCTGATGCCACACGACCTACTCCGCCTCTGATTCCGGATCAATCTCATCGACTTCGCTGTCACTGTTATTATCGGTCTCATCGATCTCGTCCCTCTCGACGTCAGAAATATCACCCCGAACGCGTTGAAGATGCTGAACAGTGCAAGGTGTCAGGTTCGCTCGTATGTATCTGCTCAGAGTCTCTGGGTCAGTGAGACGATCTGAGCCTGGGCCGCCTCGCATGCGCTCCTCGCGAATCCTCGCGATGAGAGCCGTATCGTGAGAGGTTAATTGGGCGATCTCTCCGGGCAAGAGAGGGTCAGGCCTCAAGCACAGATACTTATAACCGGACATATACCACTCTTCCACACCATATTGGTGTCCGTACGTAATCTTATCGAGAGGTAAGGCCAGAGCTTCAAAACAGTGGATGGCAGTCTCCATGACCGAAGGGAAATTCCAGGCTTTGGCGAAGTAGAACAGCCGGAGCCACTCAAGGGGTCCAAGAGGGTTGAGAGCTCTATCGCGAATGTAAGGGTCTATAAGATGAGCTCTGTACAGAGGGTGGCGCACCTGGGTCCGGGCATGTAGAAAAAAGACAGAAATTGGTCGAACTCCTGCGGGTCTAACGGAAGTAAGATAGGGTACTTAGGAAATTCCTGTGTCGGTCCATACGGATAGACGAGGGCAGAGCGAGACAGATCTTGCGCTCTGGTTTCGAGAGCAGCATAGTGGACTTTGTACTCTGTGTTTTTCACCTGTACAGAGATGAATTAACGCTGTAGAATTATTTGGGACGGTATACGCAGAGAAGGTCCCTACTATGAACGAAATGTCCCCATCGGGGTAATAGAATGTAGGGTGCGGCGCTGCTATGACCTCTACAAGGGGCACATATATTGTACCATTACGAGCTTCGCTGAGCGGTCCTGGGTCTGTGAAAGGGACAAAACGATGCGGTCCGGATGCTACATCACGCCCTTGGACATTGAGACGCGCGAGAGGTGGATGGTGAGCCGTCCTTTGGTCTGTGTGAGCAGCCATGTCGGTATACAGAGCTAGGATGAAGAAACTTATTGAATGCTGAGGTATAAAGCGAAGAATCTACTATCAGCCGCACGAAAACCAAAGGAAAGAGAGGGGGGAGGCGTGGGAACTCACCAGTAGAAGGATGCGGCGGGAGTGAGCACAACTGGCGCTGTTGGCATGGTCAGGCTTTATATACCCTAGATAGAACGGCTCATATGAAATTGAAACGGCAAGCCGGGCAAAACGGCACGATTACCACGCCTCAGAACAGGTCGCCCCTTGTGGGTGGGAATGGAAGATAGCAATACGCTGTGAACAGAACAAGGCGATAAGAAACTACCGAAGATCCATAAACGGCACAAGCTGTTATACAAAGGACAATCCAGGAACTTGTGGCGTAGACTATGGTTCTTTATCATCGATGTACAGCTTCGCGTGTGCTTTCACGAGTTTTGTCACGGTCCTCGTGTCAACTGCTCGAGTCCTCATCTGTGCTCTCTGAAGCGCCACAGAAACTGTCATTCAGGGCACAACACAAGAAGAAACTGTAAGCGTACCAGAGCAAATTCGGTACCGCGATATATGAATCCCCATAATTCCTTCCATTCCGGGTGTGTCTTTCCGATACCACACGCCAAGACACAGTCGATGGACGCTTTCTTGATGACCTACGTTATAATGACTCGTGTAAGAAAAAAATCGAGACGAAGAGGTAGTAACCTACCCCTTTGTTGGCCTTCTCAAGCTCCCTCACGATGTTCGACGTCTCTCCTCTCACTTCGAGAGGTAAAGGAGGTATTTTGAATTCTACAGTCTTCGCTTTCGCTTTGCCGTTAACGCCCTGGGCTATAGTCGTAGTGTTTGACATCGCAGCCCCCCCACTGCCTTTAGGTATTCGCATCTCTCTTGCATGCCTTATGATCTCCTCGTCGTCTAGCGTTGCCTTGGCTTTGCCCTTTGCTTTCTCGCTCGGGTCATTACTATTTTTTCGGCGTTTTGTAGAGGAACCGCGAGGATCATCATCGCCTGCCGGATGTTTTCCGGGGTAGATAAGGGAAGGAGGGGGCATTCGAGGTGAAGGGTCGTCAGGCCTAGGCAGACGGACGGAGGGTGTCTGGGGAGGATCGGGAAGAATGCGTGCTGCGAGTAGACGAAGGACCGGGGGCGATGCTACACCTGGCACGTGCTGGTCGAGTGTAGAGGCAGAGCTTGAAGCAACGGGCGTTGGCGACATGGATGAAGGAGTTAGTTGGCCGTAAACAAGGACCTCTGACGTCTCTGGGTTATCTGCAGTTGGAAAGTATGTTAGCCCTGGAATTACAGTCAATTCTAGACGAAATTGCACTCTAAAAGGGACTTCATTCTCTGCTGCGGGCATCGGAAGACATTATAACAGGTTATACTCAAGACAGGACACGTCATGTGGATGTCGACAAGGATGAATTTTCACCCATTTCGAAGAACATCACAGACTCAAGTGGGCCACACCAAGCGGTACGCACGGGATCAAAGGCTGCGTGAAGTCTCACCTGGATCTCCAAGAGCAATTCTAATCGCACCTCCTGTGATGCCACTAGGAGAAGTGATTGGACGAGAACAGAGCTGGTTCTCGAAGTACAGCCTAGTGATCACAGCGTCAGGGTGTATGTCTCTAAGAAAGCCTGATAGTCAGCTTTCATGAAATGTGCATTATGTACGGCGTCAGCTTACACATTGACCTCTCCGGCACGGTCCAAATACATATCTTGTGGTTGTGCATCCCCGAGAAGGAGCAAGCTTCGTCCCCTCATGCTTTCTAGCGCCAAGGCCAGGGGATTGTCGATGAGATTGGCATTAACAAATTTGGCCGCCTCTCCAAGGGGTACGCTGAGACTGAGACCGTCGAGAAGAAGGGATGAGTTCTCGATGAGAAGAGATCCGCGGTAGAGAAGGCGATGACTAGGGGGCTGGTATACATAGGTTGTTTGTTTCTCAACTTCGTTGGCTCTCCTGATATTTGCTAACGACATCCTCCTGTTAGAAGCAGACAATCAGCTTCAGTATGTAGATGATATGTCGCAAGACCTTGAGCATACTGTTCATGTGGAAGCTGCGTTCACCTTGTCGAATGTCTATCGCGGTCAGTGGTGAGAGCGAAACACAAACACGACGCGTGACGCGTTTGTGGCGTTTCCGGCCATTTCCGAGTCTCCGCTCAGAGTGGTCCTTCCCGAAGTTCGGCCGTGAGGAACATGCCCGATCAAGCATGTTCTTTGCGTGCCCAACATCTCGCAAAACCGGATGCGCGTGCTTTGAATGCCTTCACCCCCTTTCTTTGATGCAATGCGCACGGCGCGCGGATCTATAGAGCATGCCGCTTGTGTTCGGCAACTTACTTGACTGAAACATTCTCAGCATACCTACTAGGCTCTTGTTATAAATGCGGGCCACCTCTGGCCCTTTTCCTTCCAAGTACCCTTCGCTATCCACCCACCAACAGAGATCACCACTTTATCAGGCAAATTCGCCTATCAAGCACTCCTCTACCTTTGATAATGCCTTATCACGGAGTGCGTCAAATGTGGCTTATGTGTCGTAGCCTATGCCTTTGACTGAACTTATGTGCATCTACAGAACCCTTTGGCCAGTCGCTCTAATGCGCTCTATGCCTCCTTCCTAAGCGATAGAGCGTCTGGGAGGACGTCACAATCATCCCGATACCCGTACGAACTCGACATAGACACCTCTGATGGTTATATACTGTCCTCCTGCGGCGAGATATCTCCCTCGGAGGAGTGTTATCTACCGCCATCGACGCATCTAGATAACGCCGCCGATGGTCCCAACGGGTCCTCACTGAGGCGCCGTCGTCCACCTCCACCGCGGAAGAGCTCGTCAAGTGTGAATCGAAATGCCTATGTCCGTACACCCAACGTGCGTTTTCGTCACTGCTGTATATGCTTAGTATCGATCTGATCAGTTCTTCGCCATAAGTACACTACACTTCGCTTTTCCGATCTCTCCAGTCCTGGATCTCCAGCCACGGAGAGGGAAAGGTTCGACAAGTACCTCGATGCGATGAGATCCCGCAAAGAACAGGAGAAATCGACAGCCAAATTCGCGACCGCGAAGCCATCTTCACGATCCGTTTATATGACGACCTCCCCTCGAGCCCCATATCACCATACACCGAAACCATCATTGACCGTACGCACGACCGATCTTTCCGTTCCATTCACTGCGCGTCCTTCGCCTCTACGGCCAAAGGCAGCAGGGTCCTCTACCCCTATGTCGGCTTCTCGTCTGGCAAGAAACGAGGACAAGCTCATCATCCTTCGAGTCACTCCCACACCTACGCTGTCGACGCCTGAGAAGAATAGCACCTCGTATAGTACCGCGTACAGCATGGCTTCAAGCACATACTACACGCCTTTTTCACATTCATCTAGCCTCGAGGCATACACGCCCAGGCCTGTCGCAGTTTGATCCACTCGATACTATTATATTGATAGTTTATTAATAGGTATTATGTCTCCATACTCTCACTTATGCGATTATCCTGTCGTCGATGTTGTACGTTCTTGTATTCTCTCCGTTCTGTCCTGCTACGTTACTCCATCAGAACTCTGCAGACGATTGTAAGCTAGTGGACTACCTGTCCCGATGTGTACGCATTTACGCTGAACAAGCATTGCACTCTGATGGTTGATCCTCGGTGTAATCTAATATCTTATTTCTGCTTTGTGTCCGTTTCTGTTCTAGTCACCACATAAATGCCAGATAGTCTTGTCTGCAATTGTTACCTTGCTTGCTAGGTCCTTGTCCTGCGATAATTGTGGCTGAGACCAACCTGCCTCACCCAACCAAACAAAGCACGTCATCTCTCCGCCACTCGCCACTCTCTTGTTTGTGGCGCCTCCTACTTCGTCAGACTCACTTCTCTTTCTCTCACCGTCTCTCTCAATCTCGTCGCTCAAATGTCTTTCCGTTGCATTTTTACGTGTCACCTCGCGCTTGGTACTGTTCTTACACGATGCTTTTGCTAAGATACAATGTCAACGACCGCGCCCTAGTCTCGCTCCGCTGACCCCGCCATCTCATGTGATCCTACCATTTTTCCGTGTTTGGTTCTACTTCTCCGATCTCCCGTCTGCCTGAATCGGACCTCGCCACTATGCGACACTAAGAACACCTTGCTCATGAAACTTCCCTGTCCTTATCTCTCCGAGAGCGCCACATAGAGGTCCAGTAAAGTCACTCGTTCCTTCGGTGGACATGCTATGTCCAGGATGCCGCTCGATATGGTCTGGCCTGAGGACCGGTAGTCGGTGTACGCGTAGTACGACAGCGTACGATGCTAATATCAAACATCACCATCGTCGTGGTGTGGAGCTTGACGAGCACCGCTCACGCAGCTGGGCCTGCCAGCTCTGTCTCCCTGGTGCGCTCTATCTTTACTAAGATGCAACCCAAAAGATGCTTGCGATGAAGCTCACCTTTGTCTCCGCGTTCGGTTTTGTCTGGGCGATACATAATGTCCTCGATCTCGCCCTTCGCTAGGTTGAAGGTCCGTGGCCACGTTGATCGTTACGAACACTTTCATTCTAATGGCTAGCTATACCTTGTCTAGTAGAGCTTTCCCCTCTGCCTGCACTTATTTGCGCCTAACGCTCACTCATCAATGGCATTCCGCTCCGCTAGGTTCGCCATGACCTCCCTTACACGCAATCCTCCGCTGGCAGATGTAACGTCTAATCTACTTCTTTTCACAATACCTCCTCACAGCCTGATCCTTCAACTGCCCCCATTCACTATGTCGGGGGGTGACCGACGAGATTCATTCCCGGATATAGCTTCCGCATAGCGACTCCAATAGAGATCCCTCAGGCTGCGCTCAAAAGCACCTGCGTTCCTAACACGGGAAATCCTACACCTACGACCGCCTCCCAAGATACTACAGCTCCCAACTCCCCATCGTCTGTCGGGCAATTCACTCTACTCGCCACCCGGTTCGCAGCCTACCACGGGCAGCGAGCCCACCCCTTCTTCCTATACTGCTGAGGGTTTGGAGGACGGGGGTTGGCCTCAGTGGGAGTATTCTGGAGAGGTTCATGAGAATTCACGAGACCAAGAGATGGCAGAGATTTAATATTGTAGTGTAGCAATCACTTGTACAAAGTATGGAGAACCATATACACGAGTATATTATTCTTCCGTTTTTCCGAGGTTCCTCTGAAGCACAAGCAAGGTCAGTGCCGCCCCAGGCGGAGCTTCCCGTCTGTGAGGAATAATCTGATTCGTTGGACCCGCCCCGGCAAATTCCGCTCTGAGACAATTGTCCCCAGGCGTGAACGCGATTCTTGGCTCGTCTCCATTAGTGACCATTCGTTTCCCGCGACGCTCGATCCTCAATGGCTTTACGGACAGTAGGAGTGCCTTGCTATCATAGCGATTCAGGATCAAGGGCCAGATATACGCATTACTTACATGTGTATCCGACAAAATCCTGATCAGTGCCGACTCGCGGAAATGACGTACAAAAGTACTAATCGGCGGTCCATTGTTCGACTTTTAGGGAGACCTCGTTAGGTCCACAACGCCCATGACTACCGGCGCGGCGCCGATTGGCATATTCTGCCTTCCATTTGTCGTTCTTTTTGGCACGTATATAACCCTAAGGATCTTCCCCTCGACGTCTTCTCCAACCTGCCCTGTGGGCGAGTCTTTCATCCAACTTTCATTGAAACTTCTACTTAACTTCCCATTCATTTCCATATCTTCACTATTATCTAATGACTTCTCAGCGTCGTGCTCTACCGTTCGAGATGTCGATATCAGATGACGAATGCAACACTCTTGTATGTTTTTCTCTCCGCACCTCTGACACTCAGCTCAATGATCTCGTATTAACTTCAGGCGACACCTGTATCGCCTTTCAACACTCGATATGCAAGTCCTTCCAAAAGACAACCGGTCCGTCTTAAGAAACTATCTTATGGTTGTCGAATGGTACTAACTTCCCATTCTTCAGTCTGCCAGCGAAACATTTCGCGGCAATTCCATCGCTAGCGATATTCTGCTCTCATGCAGGGCGCCGACACCTATCAGGGCCAGATCCCCATTTATACGCGCTGCCCGTAGTACGCTGAGTGCTCTTCAAGCTATTCCTCACGCCGTCATCCCTGGATCGTCTCGTATAAATAAGGACCGTAGCCGACATTCGTCGGGTAGTGCCTCCCTCTCTTCCGACTCCGAGTCTGACCTGCTCCTCTCGCACCGTTCGTCTTCGGCCTCATCCAGCTCCTTGTCTTCAGTTTCACCGTATATAGACGAGGACGATATTGTTGTCTTGGACAAGGCGACCTTGAAAGAGGATGCGGAGCTGAGCAAGACCCACATGGCTGCCGACATTTCTGACACACTCTTTCACCCAACTCCTGCGCTTCCTTTATCAGCGTCTACTTCTCGATTCTTCTCTCCTGAGGCCGAGCCCCATGCCTCCGCTGATCACATTCTTCGCCGTGAGGAGTCCTGCTCCACCCTTCGAACTTTTTCTGGTAGTTCGGACATACAGCTCTCTGCTTCTCGTCCTTTACCCACCCCTCCTGATGTCTCTACGCCCGCTGTCGGATCACTTGGCCCTGACAGTGATAACTATCGTCGCGACTTTCCTCTTTCGCTTCACGCTTATGGTTATACCGACAATTTCAGCTGGTCAGGGTCGGGCGCGGGCAGTGCTGCTTCTGTATCATCAAAAAGCCAGGACTCTTTTCTCTCTGACGATCCTAGCCTGCCTGCTCCTGCTCCCCGAAAGCGCAGCCGGAGTATCTCGAGGGTCGTCAAACGAGTCTGTTCGCCCGCACCACGAGACTGTCCTACTCCGAAGCCGAAGGAGCGCACCATGAGTCCACGTAACGTTCCACTGCCCCAGTCACGAGCAACTTCTCCTGAAACTACTGCTCGCGTATCTTCTCGTGCTGATCCCGCTAGTGGTAGGGTTATGGCTACTGAAGCGTCTGTGGATCAATGGACTGCTCTTCTCGACGGGATACTCAAGGCCACAGGAACGACGTATTCTTCTCCCTTGCCTATCGACCCTGTCGCCACTCCAGTGTCTAAGAGCAAACGGATTCACTCCCGGCCAGTTACCCCAACTTCAGCCCCTCGATCTCGAAACGCCCCTCGCAGCCGAGCCACAACGCCCGTACAGCGCGCTATCACACCTGCAGCGAAGGTAGTCATGAGCTTGGAGGCTATGATGAAGCCGTTGATCGCACCAGAGAGAGATCCGACCGAGGGCATAAATGGAGAAATGACGGTCACGGTCAGTACCGAGACGGAGGTGAGGAACGACCGCAATGAAATCCTAAATGCAGGGAATGCACCTACGGACGATAAGTGGGCGCATCTCGTCGTCGAGGATAAGATGTAAGCATTATCGCTACGGTAAGCGGGGTGGACATCTATAATTGCATGCCAATGTCTTCTTTCTTTCAACATGATTTTCCTCCGTTTTCTCTTTCTTCCCTTGATATTATACTATAGACACTACGATTTTCTAACGCCTTTTACCGCTTGTTGTTTATGGAACACTTTTCTCGTTCTTTACTTGATTTATCGTTGATTGTACATACAATACTCTCTATTACAGTTCGCTGGCCGACACATGAAAATTAGCTTATCTCTAGTTCAACCGCATTCTTTGCCCCGTTCTACCCAATATATCACTTCATTTTTTCCGTTATGTTGATACAAGGGGTCCAGATGAATTCTACGACATGTCTAATCAGTTACTCGCCACAAACAATACCCAAAAAGGTGCATTACACATACCGTATGAAGACTCGAAAGGAATACAGTGCAACAGACGCGTGAGAGATAAGCTTGTGAGAGGAGGAAGTAGCGATTCATTCAGCCTCGACTTGAGGGTTGTCGTCTGAAAAAAGCTATGAGGTTAGAAAGATGAAGTGCAGAGGATAGCCTAGTTGCTGGGATAGTCTGCCATGCTATGATGAGAGAAGTGTAGAAACCTTACGTTCGGGCGAATCACCTATACTCGAAGTAGGCAGTTCACTGGACCATGGTATTACCTCCCCAAGCCGAAAAGGGAGCCTTTCTGGTGGAAGAAGCGCGGCTTCCGTGGGTACCATGTTGTTCTTGAAACCGCATATGACACGATGTTCTGGCCAGTCCCTAGCGCAGCGTATTTAGGATCTATCTGAAAATGTCGATATCAGTGAAGAAGTGACATACTCACAATATCTGACATTGTCTCCCACAATACTCGACCACGTAACAAAGCTTGCACCTAGCCGTGCGTCGTGCATTGCACCCCCTTCTCATGCATCGATGGCTCATGAGCGACATCTTTTCGAGGTGGTCAAGGAAGATCCACAGTGTCTGGAGGCTTTGCTCATTGGCGAGATCGATTTTGATAAAGCCTTTACGAATTGGGTATAAAGTGAATGCTATGTCCAAGCATGCGCGCAATAGGCGAGGACGTGGGAAGTTGCGGCGAAGAATGCATAGAGTAGATGGGTACAAGTCCACAATACGCCAGATGTCGAGGAGAAGTGCAGTCACGGCTCCTGCGTGACATAATGAGTATTGAAGGTGTAAGCACACCATGGAACCGACTGACCAGATGCGTCCCGGACGGTTTCGCCTTTGGTGACTAGCAGGTTCTCTAAGGCGCCAAACAGATCAGCACGACCCATAAATCGGAGAAAGTCGGTGCCAGTGTCCCCCAAACCTTCCACAATGATGTGACGTAGACAGTAAGTGATAACAGCAAGACTTGTTTGGATCACTGAGCTCATCTCATCGCCCAGGGTAGGTGTGGCAGTGTCAGGTGATTTAACTATGTCGATGAACCAGGAAAGCAGACTATGCGAGTGAAACAAGGCGTCAAGAAATTTGGCTTCGGGGTCGCATTCCCTGGATGATCTGTAACATAGGAATTCAAGCATGTGAATGCCGCCGTATAGCTCAAAGGCCGTACACGACCGTAAATTTCGAGTATATTGTTCGAAGAACCGAGTGAAGGAGCCTTTAGGGGTCCCTTTGAGCATCCGAGCGTGCAGGTCTTTTGGCAAAGGCCCACAGTCTTCTGGCCGGAGGATGAGAGTGAATGCAAAGACGGCGATGATGAAGACCCCTGAGTGTGGCTCAATGAGCATACACCTGGTAATGAGGGGTATAGTAAAATCATCCTGCGAATTTAAGATCCTGCTCGTTGATTAGCACTGTCAGGAAACATTAGTTTTGGTGAACACTCAACGGGGTAAATGAATCAGCGTCATTCAAGAAGGCGGCCATAAGCCGCATGACCACCATCCTTTCATCGTGCCGACTCGGTATGAGCATAAGCTGACGATCATCCCACATCTACAAGCACCATCGCAGTTAGCTCTCAATGAAAATAATGGCTTCTAGGTAGTTATTGCGAGTAGCATACCTTTCGCACCAATTTGCTCCAGTTTTCTTTGATGACTGAGAGAACATGACCATTCGTACGTGATTCAGGGCTCTGGATGTGGTGGCCGGCATTCACAAGAATTTCCACGAAAATGATGAACGGTGACACCTACGACATGGCATATGCGAGCAGTTGAAAATCAGGTAGAGACTACACTCACCTTGTCGAATAAATCCGTGTATCGCTGATTCCGTTCTGATACGATATTGATTTTATGTGCTGTGCGTATACATGCGCAGATTTCCTCCGTAATCCCATTCTCTACCAACTTATCCCACATAGTTCTCGAAGGATCGTCGGCCACCTCGAGGACCGTACCGACTGCAGTAGCAAAGCTCTTTCATAAGAGCGTTGTCAGAGAACGGCTGATGCAACAAGAAGGATGGAGTCCTTCCGATTCACGCGATTAGACGACGCAAGGCCTACCTCTGGACCATCCCCGAACCTACTGCGCGGAGCAAAGCGATTTCGAGCCCAAATGGAATGGAACAAGGCCACCATTCGAACAGGGTTCGTGTCGATAACGTGCATCCAATATGTGTCTCGTTCCGCCATGGTCGTTATGATCGAAGGATTCCCCAGAGATGAATGATGTATGCTTGAGTTTTCAGCTACTGGATCAATAGGTTATAACATCAATCAAGGGAAAAGGCAAGTGCGATCTGGTTCGTGGCTGAAGTGACGTACCGCTGGGTCTCATGAAATTTGGGAGTCACCCTTGGGTGGACTTAACAGTCACGGTGTATTCAGTTGTTTATAATGGCAGGTGTGGAACGAAAGGCTAGTAACCCCTCTCCCGAGAAGCTACGGAACTATCCGTGGGAGTTCGAATTTTCGCGCCACATTGGCACTTTATGCATACGGGCCACATGATGTTCACCAGCTCAGAGCTGCAGCTGCAGATATATTTAATAGAAACAACAAGTGTATGTATGCTAGTGAACAAACACATATCCTACTTCGAATGGTGTCGCTCTTGTAGATTTACTCGCAGTAAGCACGAGATTCAAATGTAGCTGAGACCGTATATAATTGGGACTGCTGGGCAAGCGGTGCCGTTAGTAGTCCGTAATAAGCGCATCGGTCCTTTCATGTCGGTAATGTTTGGCCGGGCCATTTCTGAGAGCAAGAACTCACCGCATCTACAAAGACATAGGTCTGAAAGTCCCAAAACCGGCGTCGATGTAGTCTAGCAGTGATATGTGTTCAAACGGCCTATGGGAGGATCGAGCATTTCCGAGTCTCTACCGTGACCGTTCAAAGCCTGTTTTGATCTGAGCCACACTAAGGCGGTCACCGCTGATGTAAGTTAAGCACAGACTTGGGCCACATCGAAGCTCTGTGACCGGGAAGGTCCTCACGCCACACAGACCTTCCTTCTCCTCCCCACGACTTACATTATCCTCACCGTCATCATGACAGTCAAAACTCAAGTAACATATATACGCAAACATGCAGTCTGACAAACAGACATGCATCCAGACAGACAGGCAGACAAGAACGAAAAAGGCCAATCACGCTCCTCGGAGGTGAAAATCAAAATATGCAAGCGAACAGAAGAACAAAAAAACAGAGGCCCAACAAATATGGGGAATGAGTTCGAACGAAACATTGAAAAGCAAGAAGAGAAGAAGAGAAGACGATGGGTCGTGCATAAGTACTTACGGAGGTCGAAAACAAACAGGAGAGGAGACGACAGGAAAGGAGACGGCAGGAGAGGGGCCCGGGGGCATAGAGGCAACTTTAAAAGAAAGGGTTATGGAAGCTAAAGTCGAAAGAGGAACGAAGAAACGAACACGAAAAACCACTATGCACTATGTATGTAAATAAACCTTATAGACAAGATAAAACACGACACGACACGACAAACATCAATCAGACAGACAGACAGGCATGCATGCAACCAGGCGGGACTTCAAACTTCAAAAAAGGAAAAGGAAAAGATGATACCACGAAGACGCAAGACGAAGAGAAAAATAATACGAAGAACCAATCGATATATGCGAACGGAGATGGAACTAGACATGGGAAGAATCGAATCGAGGAAAGGATGGCAGACAGGCGGAAAAAAAAAGAGAAAATCAAATCGTAAGTGGGCCAAGAACCGTGCGTGAAACCGTGAGGATAAGGGAGAAAGGAGAAAGGGAGAAGATCGAAACAAGACATGAAGTACGGAGATAAGTAGCGAATGAGAGAGAGAAACAAACACGGAGACATCGAGAGAGTAAATAGAAAGTAGAACGAAGAAAAGAGGAATGAAGAGAGGAAGAGGAGAGAGACGAGGGCTTTTCGGTCCGTTACACCGTATGTTATGTATGGATGGATGAAGGACGCCATATGATGTGATGTGTGTGTTGTGCTATGAGAATCGGGAACCGGAATTGGACGTGCGTATGTATGTATATATATGTTATGTCGACAAGGCAATGGATGGATAGACGGATTATTCAGTCAATTGATTGGGATGGTGATGGGATGATTTGTTATGCGTATGTATGTATGTACGAGAAAGAACCAAAGGAAAAGAAACGAGAGAGAGAAACGGAGAGAGAAACAGAGAGAGAAACAGAAAGAGAAACAGAGAGAGAAACAGAGAGAGAGAAAATGACGAGTCGTAACGGAGTGGAGTGGAGATGGAGATCGTTCAAAAAAGAAATCGAAATTAAATTACTACAACTACCAGGAAATTCAAAAAATCAGCGAACAAACGAAAAGAAACGAAACGAAAAGGGAAAGAGTCGTGAACCAAAAATCATATCAAAGATCAAAAAAAGTCGTGAAAACCCAAAACATCACACCAGGCTGACCTCGGCCCTCACCTTCACCTGGCCCTCACCTTCGCCTACCACCTACCGAACTTCCTACCACCCCCTTCCCGCCACAGCCACCTGCCCTTGTCCCTGCCCCTGCCCCTGTCCCTGTCCAACGCCAGGATACCTCGGCCTATGTCCCCCTCCATGCTGCTGCCCATACACGCCCTGCATCTGGCCAAACTGCCCCGGAATGGGCATGGGCATCGCGAACATCCCATACGGCCCCGATGCCCCATGCATACCCATACCCATGTTCATACTCATATTCGGATTGGGATTATACCCCGCAGGAACCGCAACGGGGACAGGCATACCCACTGGAACAGGGACGGTGTACGGGAACGCGTTAGGCGGGAGGACCATTCCGTTTCCGTTATTGATGTTTACGCCGGGGTAAGACGAGTGCGGATACATCATCGGTGGGAAGCCCGATGGTGGTGGAGGTGGTGGTGGTCCATGGGGATGGTGAGCGTGAGCGTGATGAGGATGGAGGGCGTGTTGGTGGTGTTGTTGATGAACGGGGTGAGGAACGGGAGGGACAGGCGGAGGTGGGAACGTGAACGTCCCTACCGACGCAGGCGCAGAAGAGAGTGAAAGTGACTGCGAATGGGAGTGATGCTGTTGCTGTTGTTGTTGCGGACGCGAAGCCGGTCCAGAAACAGAGCCAGCGCGAGACGCAGCCCGGTTCGAGGTTGCGGACTTCGAGTTCAGACTCGAACCCGACGTGTCGATCCATCCCTCCGCCATCGTAACCACTGCCGCCGCCGACGCCAAACCAGAGCTCGAACCCTGCTTCCTATGCCTCCCTGCCCCTCCTCCTCCTCCGGCCTTCCCACCTTCCTTCTTCCCATTCCCATCCTTCTTCTTCCCCGCCACACCCAGCCCGACCCCACCCGAACACGCCACGCCCCCATCCTCCATCATCAGTCCCAACTCCTCCTCATCGAGCCCGAGCCCGAGACCCATATCCAGCGCAGAGGGCGAAGAACCAAGACCCAACGCAGAAGGCGAAGAAGCGGAATCGGAAGAAGAGGGATTGGAGGTATGCATCTGGATCCATCCGTCCGCGCCTTTCTGGAACAGTTTATGCACCTCGAGCGCAACCGACTCGCTCCTCGAGCTCGTCGCAGGACTCTGAGTTTCACTATTAGCATCAGGTGCTGCTTTAGTGGTGGTGGCGGTGGCGGTGGTGGTGGCATGCACGGGGCTCTTCCCACCGCCCGTCCGCCCTCGGAGCCCGTCTCTATCCGACTGATGCTGATATTGGTTGCCAGAGACTCCGCGCAGACGATCGATGATCTGCCGTGTGCGTGAATGCGACGTCGGTTGTTTCTTTGCGCGCCCGGAGGGGGAGAGTAAGAACGGCGGTAATAACGTCGAGTCGTCGATTTTACCACCACCACCACCACCACCACCGCCACTGCCAAAAGAGGGTGGGGAGGGCGACGAGCGGATGCCGTACGATGTGAGGGGCACCCAGAAGCCGTGCTCGTCTTTGTGGAGGTGACTGCCAGCGGTAGGCGGAAGGGACGAGGATCTGATATGGGGATGGGAAGAGTCTGCGATGGATTGGATGTCGTCGGCTGAGGTCTGAGGGGAGGAGGACGTCGTGGAAGGCGAGGACGCATGCGGGATGTCGTGCCTGCCGTACTTGCCTACAGAAACTTTATTATACACAATGTTATTGATTTTTGTCAACGAAGGGGTCTCACCACTCGAACGATGAGCACCGTACGCCCTCCGCGGCCTCGGCGTCTGCGGCATCTCCGACTCTACGCTCTCGCTCTGCTCAGAGTCCGTCAGGTCCACAATCGACACGTCCCTCTCGCCTCCTCTCCGACTCCTCCTCGACGGCGGATCCAAATCCAAATCCAAAATATTCGGAACCGCATCGACACCCTTCCGTGCGCCCTCCTCCATCGCAGCCCTAAACGCCTCCTCTCCCATCCTCTCCAACACGCCCACTTCCACGCCCTCACAGAGCTCGCCCAGTCTCTCCCTCCAAGCCTTCTCAGCTGCCGACTGCTTAACGGGAATATCGCCGAGGAGGAGCCGGACGCGGCGTGCGAGGGCAATGAGGTCTTCGGAGGAGAAGAGGCCTTGGATTTGGATCCCGACGTCGTGCTCGTACCGCCTGAGCGCAGACTCGGCGACATGCACGGCGGGGTGTTCTTCGCTTAGACACACGCTGCTCTGCTCCCGAGTCTCCCGAGCGGCCGGGGTGCCAGCGTTACAGTCTGAGTCTGAGGTGTGGCAGGGAACGAGCGGATCGCGGGCCTCCTGACATTCCGAACAACACGGCTCCAGTCCGCGCTGTGAATGTGAATGTGAGTGGGAGTGTGAGATGGGGACGAGCGCCGTCGAGAGCGATGGCGTCGACGATGGCGATGAGGACGGAGGATCGGGATGGGAGAGGAGACGATGGTGATAATGCGGAGGTTTGGAGAACGTGCGCTTAGGGGCTCGTCGGCTGTCGGTGAACGTCCAGGAGAGCGAGGGCGTGCTCAGCGGTGTTCTCCACCAGTCCTTCCCCGCTATAACCTGCCATCCCTCCCCTCCAACGACGGCATCCTCGACCGCAGCGCCTTCCACTCCCTTCCCCTGCCTCTGTTGGTCTTGATGGTGGTGATCATGAAGAAGAGAGTCGTCGGGAGGCATGAGAGATGCGGTGGGATGCCTTGCAGTGGAGACCCGACCGACGTTCTTCTTCGCAAAGGTCGTCGTCGTCGATGTCGTCGTCGATGCGCTGAAGCAAGTCAGAGGATGACGGAAAGCGGAAGGAAGGAAAGGTGAGAACTCGTGCGAAGGCTGCGTAGGCCCGAAAGCGAAGGCGCCTGGATCAAGTCAAGTCAGACTAGACGCTGGCTCGCGCTCCTCCGGGACGTCGTCGGTCGAGGGGAACAAAAAGGAGAGTAAAATCAGACGACAATGAGACTTGAAAGGCGGCTAAGTGGGCTCGCGGGGCATGCGCGAGCGGTGTGGTCCTCGTCGTCCGACTCCAAAACACAATTTGTTTCCTGCCGCTACGCCCGGCGTGGCACCCCCAAACAGCTCAGCCGCCCCGCCACTTGCCTTTTTCGTCTCCCGAATCGTTCCACGGGTGGCGTGTGTGGATTCAGACACGTAGCGAGAATAACAAAATGGATGTGGCATTCGGAAAGACTGTCGTATTAATTCTACATCTCCATAAACGAAACACCCTCCATCTCCTTCTCCTCCACCCACGCCCACCCGAGCTTCAACGCACGATCCCTATCCCTATCCCTAAACTCCTCGACTCTCGAACATACATGAATCTGAAGAGGCCCCGCTTTCTTCCTCGGGTCATATTTCCTAGCTAGCAGATTCCTATAAGTAAGTTAGGCGGTATAATCAGCCAAAGTTCAGTGAATCAAAGACAACGGATACATACTCACTGAAACTTGGACGGCGCTGTCTGAGTCCTCGAGCTCTTACGCGTGCGCTCGGACTCCGGCTCGAGGTTAGTGCGACCAAGCGAAACCCCAGACGCCGTCAATGAGTCGGGCGAGACAAGAGAGTAGTCACGTCCTCTCCTAGTCTGACTCTGCGGCCCGACCAGGTGATTCCCTCCCCAGTTATAGTCGCCGAAAAGAGTGTCAGATGCCGGATTCGTCTGAATCGCCGCCGTGGTAGTAGAATGGTCGGAAAAATGGTGCGACGACAGAGCACTAGTCGTACGATCTGTCAATGATCCAGCGTTCGACTGCCTCTGCATCGGAAATATCGCAACTCGGCCACCGACATTAATATTATTGGGACCTGGACTCATCGCCTCCCCCTCCTCCCCCTCCACATACTTCGCATATTTCTCCTTGAACCCCGTAAACCCATCAACATTGACGTCACTCCCACCGCCCAAAGCTCCAAACGTCTCCGATCCCCAGGGCCTCTTGTTCGCACGGGGCCAACCATCAGCATCAATCTCAGGACGGTCGTCGGACGCTAAAGACTCAGAGAGCGAAGGACGCGTCGAATGATCATATTCGATGCACCCATAGTTCCAGTTCCTGGTATCGTGGCCTTCACGCGTGAGCCAAGCTGATTCAGATCCACGGCGCTCATGCTCGTCAGAACCGAGATTAGAGGACAGCGTAGGGGTGAGTGTCACTGAAGGCCTCCTCGAGCCCATGGTCCGAATCTCGTTCGCGTATGTCGCGTTCTGGATCGGCGATCTGGGATGACCAGGCAAGATACCGAAATCAAGTTGGACTTCTTCTGGGATCCTGGTGGCGCTGTTGGTGCTGTTGTCGTTGCTATCGTCACTAGTACCGTTGCTGTCCTTGGTGGCGCTGTCGTAGCTGGGGGGAGATTGAGACTGAGCTTGAGTACGAGCACGAGCGTTGACGTGTTCGGCGAAAGTCTTGGAGGGCATTGGTGAGCGAGATGCGGGTCTGAAAGGTTTGGGAGGGGAGGGGGGTGGAGAAGGGGATGGGGATGGGGGAGGGGACGGCTCAGGGGATGGAGGGGGAGAGGGGGAAGAGGATGGACGAGCGTCTGTTGTTGGGTTGTTAGAAGGCATGGTCTGTTATAAGTATGCGCGATGATGGGTAATGGGTAGAGTCAGTCAGATAGATTTCTAATAGTGAGGCCTAGCTGAAAACTCAGGATGAAATAATGACGTACATTCTGGGATTGATGGGTCGTTGAGCAAACGAGGACGCTTCAGTTCGATGATAGGTCGCGGAGAGATGGCTGAGGAGACTGAGAGACGATGGTGCGTCGAAAGGATAGAGAAAGGCCCTTATTTATACCCCTCACCATTCTCCTCCTCGTGCCGTGCCATACCGTGCCAACACAAAATCCAAATCATCAAAAGCACAAAGAGCAGCACAAAGCGAAACGCAGCCGGCAACCAATGTCTTGATCCCAAACAAGCGATAAAAGGTGCCGAGTGGTAACCACGAGGCGTACTCTACAATGAGACAATGGGCATTCCACTGTTCGATCTTGGAGGCTTATAGATCTGTGGCACGGGCACAGAATATGGGCACTGGCACTGGCCAAAAGCTGGTCACCATACGAACAATGACGTGTCCTGAAGGAAGTTTTGGCGTATCGCCACGATCGTCACCATGAGAGAGGACAACGGCGTCGGAGTGCGGTGTCACAGATATCTGGCAGTGTGACGTTGTCCCTATGAACAGAGTCTGAACAAGAGTATCCCAGAGCCACGACTGTCTATCGAGACTGTACCATGCAGGACAGAGGCCAAATACGCCACAATAGAAGTATAAAAGGCCTTTCATTCGAAACCCATAAGGAAAGCACGTTTGCAGATTCAGAATGACTGGAAGCGAATCCTCCACGAACTCGGATGGTTTGGTCAGTGATGAGTGATGAGAGTTGTCAGAATACGAGTAAAGAAGGTTTCACTGACGCTTGGACCGTATGCAGCGACTTCCGCGGATCCTGCACCTGTTACAGTGCGCTTGGCAGGTCGCTGTAAAAGCCGCCACACAGGGATGTCATTGCCACATCGCCAGTCTGCTGGAGGCCACGACCGATGACGATGATGAAGAGGGTGATATTTGCGAAGCGAGAAAGGTCACCATAAAGAGGGCTACCGGGAGGATAATACGTGTAGATGTGAGCACTGTGCCACTCACCGCTACTTCAGTACTGACAAGTATGTCGCCTAACAGCATCGGGAAGGGGATCAGACGAATCATTGACGTCAGTACTGGACATAGGAATGCTTAGCAGGTTGTACGCACATTTCTTCTGGTTGATTCATGGCGTAGAAGACGCTAATGTCGGTACACGTCAACTACAGCTGTCATAGGCATCGGTATCGAGCATGCGGGGGTCTGCTGAATATTATTGTTATCTCGATTCGAGTGCTTGCAGCCTGGCCGTTGTTGAGCGCCGTACGTTTGGTCGAGGAGAGCGTCAATGACAATCTGTAAGAAGAGGGGATAGGCATCAGTGTTCACCATGGCGGCTGCTGGTATGGATAAAACGTCGAGTTCACGGGATTCTATGGACTGGGAAACACGTTTACACAAGTATTCAAGCTCCCTTCAGTGCGATATTGCTGGAGAAGTAAAAATACTGTCGGTCCCCATCGACTACGACCTTTACGTTGGCAGCTCTCAAAGCAAGACGAAGTTTACATGGACAGCCAGCCAGATGAACCAGGTCGACCACCCAAGCTTCCAGTAGAGTCCGGTTACAATTCAAAATGAGTACCAAGGACAGAAAAACAGCAAAAGCGACACATATTTCGTCAAGAAAACCGTCTCTAGCAACGAAAAGCACCCACGACGATGAAAGAAAGACAAGCCACGCCGGCTTCTCCCGATACCCATCCCCTCGCCTCCTCCACATGGCTCTGCCAACCACAGCAGCCCTCCCACCCACATTTACCAGCGTGTACCGTCTTTTTCTGCGTGCGACCTCTGCTTCCGTACTTCACCATAACGTCGCGAGAAAACAGCTAAGAACACTATGGCGTCCTCATTTTCGGGAAGCCGCGAAGATATTGCATACGTTGCGGGATCCGGGGCTGAATGTGCAGGAGAGAACACGGCGAGAGGAGTGGATGGCGAAGTGGGAGACCGGGGGTACGTTTTTATATCTTCTATCCAGAAAGTGTGGGCAGTAGTGGCTCGAGCTGACATGCATGGAATCTCGGTGATTTTATTGAATACGTCTAGTCGACCAAACATTATCTTTCCTCGCTACCTCCTCAACATCCCGCGGACTCCCTCATAACGTCACACGCGCCCTCTCATTTCTCAATTATGGCTACCACACTTGGAACACCGACAAGTTGTATGGTAACTCACACACATGGAACCCTTCTCCTGAGAAATACAAGAACGTCCACGAACAGCTGCAGCAGATCCAACGGACGGAGATCATAGCTAGGCGTAAAGCCGAACGACGCGCTCAGGAGGGAAATAGGAATAAGGACGTGCAGGCTGTTAAGAAGTGGGAGGGAGAAGGATGGGGAGCTTTGGAGGAGGTTGCGAGGATGGCGGAGGGAACGACGGGCGTATTTATGGGGAGGGTGGAGGTGAGGAAGAGGAGGGCTAGTGATATACATAGGCCAGGGAGAACTTGGACTAAATGATTCCGAACTCCTCAGTATGGTCAGACCTACTCGACGACCTGATGTTCAGCGCGTCCAGTGAGTCTCTTCTTCTCCCCGGGTAATCAACCAAGACTGACGAACGCGTAGCAGGACCATCAGAATATCCAGCGGCACGAGCTCTTGCTCAAACGCACATCGCAGTGGTTCATGCTTCACTCCGCGTTTGAAATGCCAAGGTGCAAGCCGCGGTTGATGTTAAGATATCCACACAGGTCCAAGAGCTGGTCCTGGGCCATGTTCGCCCAAGTATCATACAAGCTGCATCTTGACCAATTATGGATAATTAATCGATGGTTCAATCCCACTGCTCTCCTTCACAGCCGCTCGCTTACTATATATGTCGGCGCTGCAGCATCATCCTGTTGAAAGAAACGAAAGACAGGGATATCCCCGCAGACCTCCAATGCTATTTGAGTCATCAAAGAACTCCGCACTCTATCGTGCTACATCCCACATGCTAATCTTCACGAACAGCGGTACGTTTATCAACGTGAACGTCTTCTACTGTGCCTCCGATGCGATGCCACAACAAAAGACGGGACTGAAAGAAAACCTTCCCTTTCGCTAATAGCCAGGGGTGGTGCCCACCGTTGCTTCGTGCGCTGACGCACTGGCACTCCGTCAAACGAGGCGGAGAAAATGATCGAGAGAAGACTCACCTAGACGCATAGAGTTCTGTGCTCGTAAGAGTGCGTGTTCTGTTGAAAGAGCTCCAGGGAATATGAATGGCATTCCATCCTATTCCAGAGAGTGCGTGGTCCTATAAGCGTACTCGTTAGACGTCGTCTCTGAAGAGAGCGTACAATCACCACTAGTGTGGAGAACCTTATCCGTGCAGGATCGTCGCAGCTTCATTCCCTTTGACGGTACGGTGTCAGGACTGCCCGTTGGCACTGACAATGGGCGGGCACACGAGGACTACCGCATGCAAGACATGTCCTTGTTACCTATGTGTCATCTAGCGTAAGACGTCGATACTAGCTTTTTAGGCACTGGGCCCATAGACGAACAGACTCACCTTCGTGCTTGAGGTCAACTCATGTCCAGGGCGAAACCCCATTGTTGACTTCCTACGATCGGCAACCTCCGGTTTGCGTTCATCTTCGCCACAGACGAAGAGCTCTAGCTTCACCCCTGCAGACATATATCTTTCAACGGGTCTATTCCCTCTATCTCAGTGCCCCTCTTTCCAAACTGCGTCTCTTCTCGTGACTTCATTGGCCAGTGCCCATCCTCCATTCCACCTTAACCCTGACCTAGTGTTAGCCTCGCGTTCTTAACCCCGCTCTCAACCTTCCTTCCTGATCTGTCCCACCTCACCGTCTGCTCTCTACTCTTCCACGCGACAGTTCATCATCCCTGTTGGAATCCTCCATGTCTGAACGCGTTGCCTCTACCGAGGAGCGCGATCCTGGCTCTCGCGCACCTACCAGACAGAATGAGACACAGGCACTCAAGGTGAAAACCAAACTCATACACTTCATCCGGCATAGGGAGATGATCACCGACAAGTACACGGAGGAGATGCCTTCCGTTCCGCGGACGTTGAAATACTACGATGCTGAAGGCTACCAGTCTATTTACCTACCTGAACATGTACCCGCTGAATCGTCTTACGTGAACGTGAGTGTCAGATATCGCTTTGGCGAAACCTCGCGTCCCTTGCCCTCACTAACCAATTTCACCTTTTGTAACATTCAACGTAGCCTCCGCCGGCTCCGAACTATGAACGGCTGGAATTCGAAGGAGCAGGCGTACCGCCCGCCAACAAGCCATACGACCCGTCTCTCGAGGCGGCCATCCGCGATCTGGAGAAGACGAAACCTTCCGTCAACAGGGACGCGACTCTCGAATTCTTGCGTCGAGAACTGGTCCTTCGAGAGCCGAAGCCCGACCGCCAACCCGCTCCTGTGGCTGACCCGCTCAGAACTTCCAGAGAGCTCAGAGAGAAGACGCTTCAGTCCACTCTGCGCGACAGACGAGGTGTCGCACTCGATGAGGAGAGCGGATGGATGGACTTTGGGGATCTGCAGCCTAACTCGACGATGGTACTGAAGGCGGCGGCTCATCTTGAGAGAGGTATTTCTCCTAACCACTTGCTGAGAGGACCTCGTCGGTATTCTGACGGGTCCACTGACGAGTTCATCTGGCCTTCCGTAAGTGTCAAAAATGATTTTTGTCGGTTTCCGATGCTGACTCCGTCGTCACCTTACTTCACGTAGGAGCACGATCGTGTCTTCCCTACATTCTCCTCTGTTGATAGTCATTCGGAAGAGTCATCAGACTTGCCCACCTCTCCTTTCCCTCCCACTCAGTTTGGAACGCAGTTGATATCGCTCTCGGAGGCAAACAGGCGTTTTGAGGCCTCCAAGGAATTCCTCGATCCTTTGACCTCTACTCGTTTTGAATTCCCACCCACTCGTTTTGCGACTTCGTTGATCTCACTTGATGAGGCTAGACAGCGATTTGCGAACGGGGAGAGCAGTCCACCCATTGCCTCGTTCTCGCCCGGTCGTCGTGCTCTACCCCTTATGATCGCTTCAGGATCAACGTCAAGTCTACCTACCGATCTCCCTGAAGTCTATACGGTGAGTTCTTGGTCGTTTCTTTTCAGCTGCCCCGTTCTGTAGTGAGCTCGACCTGACCTTTGCTCTTCGCTAGCCCTCCATCGCGGAAGCAACCCTCGCCACTACGATCTCCGAAATGCCACGCAGCGCATCGACCGCGAAGAGCATCGACCGCAGAAGTCAATCCTCCTTGTCCATTCTGGACATCTCTTCCGCTTGTGAGGGAGAAGAGGACTTTGTTCGAGCTCACACGCAATCTTCCGATAACCTGGTGGAAGACCCAGCCTCGCCGAGCATGCATTCTCCCTCTTCCGGCTCGACACATCTCTTGCCCGAGTCAGACGACGTACTCGATATCTCCGCTGATGGGCTAGTCCAAACCATCATGAACAATGCGGTGGATACGGCCCCAGTGGATACGACTGAAGACGAAGAATTGGAAGGCGCATGGGAGGCTGAACTGCCTAGACGTCAAGGACGGCGCGGAGCGGTCGATTTTGACTCGCATCCTCGGTTGGTAGACCTCCTCATCTCACGACTCGCAGACTCCCTCTTGAATAACGATGGCAGTGGGGAATCCTGAATGTGTGGATCTTGCGTGGACGATGTGTTGCTGCTGTATCCGAGTCAGGGTGGATGAGGATGCGCCTTGCGTTGTTGTCGTGACAACTATTTTTTGTTTGTCGTTGCCGAATGCTTTATGTTGTTTGTACTACAACTATATATTCTCTACCGTGGTAATACCACCTTATGTTGTACAATGCCTCGAGACGAGCCCGGATGGGTCATTTGACGTGATAGCTTACGACGATGGTCTCGTAGCGAAATGGGAAGCAAGAGGGTAATCGTATTCATACTATAAAGTTACATGCGAATCTAATACATGGATGTAGGAACACAATTACAAGCAAAAGTAATACAAATAGTACTGGATGTAAGCGACAAAACAGAGATACGGTAGGCATTTGCATTGGGCGATCGTTACAAAGGACGAACAGGAAGACAAGCAGCAAGTTGAGACGATAGCGAGATCAAAACATTGGCGACAACAGAGACAGAAACAGAAAGTTATGCATGGAATAAAATGGATGACGAAATGCAGATAGAGAATAAGAAAAATAACACAATCGTTTGAGAGACATACTTGAAGGAAATAACGAGGAAACGAGCGGAGACAAGAATCGCAGGGAACAGTTCACCGGGGTGGAACGCTTCGACTATCCGAGAGCCTAAACAGTCATACATCAGTATCATCGTTCGTCAGAAAGATGTGGCGTCGTGTACTTACCCCAGATAGACTGTTGCTTTTGGATATTCTCTCCGGAGGAGGACGAGGGTTAAGCGGATCTATTGAAATATGAGCATTTATTGTAGACAAGTCGTGAGAAAACCCTTACTTGATGGATTGTTTTGCACAAATGTCGATCTCGGCCCATAGGTAGGCGGCGTAGTCGCTACGTGTTCGGGGCGTGGTATGTGGACCCTAGGATCTGCGTATCTCGGCGCTGTTGGCGACAAGTACATGTTTGGATTTTTCGGAGTCAACCAGTGGGTTTGCGCGTATCTTGCAGCCGTCGATGGTCCTGCCGTGGTTGGGGCTGAGGTCGTCCTACTGCTCATAGCCGGGGGTGGTGGTACTGGGGAGCCGTGTGGTAGTATCAGTGGCCCTCCGCGGGCGGCTGGACGGACGGCAGGTTGAGGGGGCAAGGTGGGGAGAATGGAACCTCTGGCGGCCAAAGACCCCTGAATCCCGGCTGGGTACGTGCTAGGATTCATCGGGGAAGGTCGGTTGGGAGCGCATGGAACATGAGAGGCGGGAAAAGGACTGCGCAGGTCCGATGGAACACTACTGGGGAAAGTCGTCGTGGTGCGCGAGGGACCTGGAACATCTCGTAAACCCGTACTTGGTGCCACACCTTCTGCAATCGACTGAGGCCCGTCTTCGTCGTATACATTGTTAGGCGGTGACGGAGACCTTTCCGAGCTTGTCGAACTCAACGAAGAATAAGACGACGATGATGAAGACGACAGGGACAAGTCGCGCTCGAGATCGTCACTGAGATCGGCCGTAGTGAGTGGTGGGTCTTCGGGCGCCGTTGCGGGGTCGGTGATTTCCTCTGATGACGGTGCGGGTGGTAAGGCTTCCATCTCTTCTGCCGAGGTAGCTGAATCATGGTTCGTGTGAGACGGCATATTTGAAGGCATATCTTTAGGAACATCCTCTGTCGAGGAAGAGATGGCCCCTCCAACTTGTACCCCATCACCAATGGCTGGTTTCGGCACTGGACGACGCGGTAGTGGGCGTATGAGTCTTATCTCCGGCTTTTCATCGACAACGGGTATTGTGTTTCCCTCAGCGAAACCAGTTTGAGGGGTCATTTCTGCATCGGGCGAGGAAACGGTGGCGGCGGATGGCACGGGATCGGAGGATGACACGGGATCGGAGGATGGCACGGGATCAAAGGAGTGGTCGAGTGATGCAGCCTGAGTGTCTTCAATGCCTACAACCGTACGGTCTGCTGTAGATGATATGGCTGACTGTCCCTCAGGTTCGCTCATATGAGCAGTTGCGGCGTTCGAGTGGAAGGTGTCCGTTACGGGATCGTGAGAGTTCGCGTGTTCGGGCGTCGCCCACGGTACACCCATACCCTCTCCCTGAAAACGTGACAATATGGTTGCGTTGTGATGAGGCAAAGCTCAAAAAATGCGATGGTCAAACCATAACTCACCTGGGAATGAAACTGATCCAAGTCGATACAGTCACCGGTCTGGCCGGGCATCTCAACATCCATATCAGACTGAATATCTGACAAAAAAAAAAGAATTAACACGATGGAAGCGTAGAAATGGATGGTATCAGTCATGAATTTATTTTGAGAAACTGTGCTCACCTCCGCCTAAGTCAGCAGGGATCGCCATCTGGACGTCTAAATCCGCATCCTTATCCTCCAAGATGGGCAGTATTTGCGATGTCGGAATATCCATGCGCTCCTCGACCGAGTCATCACCGTCAACCTGAGCAGAAAGACCTGACGTGATGGACATTCTCGCCAGCTCATCCAATATTCCTGCTGCCCGCTCGTCGGACGAATTTTCAGAGAGACTAGACGACGCCTGCGTTTTCTCTATTCCTTCCATAGCGTTTTCTTCGACGACTCCAAGAGAGAGACTGGACGACGCCGGTGTTTCTTGTACTCCTTCCATAGCGTTTCCTTCTACGACTTCGAGAGAGGGCCTAGACGACGCTGGTGTTTTCTGCACTCCCTCCATAGCGTTTTCTTCGACGACTCCGGGAGAGAGACCGCGCTCCTGGCTTGTGTGCATGTGTGGAGGCGCTACAGACGAAGGGGTGAAGGCGCCCGAGTTCCCTGTTTCTGGCTGTTCGACATCCATCGGGGTAGGCACCGTAGCCAAAGGTTGCTGTGCCAATCGGTTCCAATGATTAGCCCAGCCGCCGAGACCAGGTTGTAAGTCCTGCCGTAGAGCGGGTTGAGGGAGTAAAGGAGTGAAGAAGAAAGGGTGAGTGTATTGCTTCATGCCGTATACCGCACGGTCGGGATCGAAGGATTCTGCGGAGCTGCTCGATGCTCGGGACGGTAATTCTTCCTCGACGTCCTGTGGTTTCCTCGCAGGGCTTTCCTCCAGATGAACGGGTCCAGTAACTGCGGAAGGGGAAGCCTCGATCTTCACAGAACTCTCCGGTTTGTCGCTATCTACGACTTGAACCAAGGACGTATCCAGACCCAGACCGTCAGCCCGTGAAGATCGCGGGCGAGAGCTGTTCGGAGATGTGGAAGACGACGGTGACGAAGACTGATTCTCAGAAATGGAACAAAGCTCTGACCGCTCGGGAGACTGTGCCCTAGAGGCCCAACCGCCGGGCATAAGATCGGGTTGCGAATCTTCGACGTTTGAGCGTTCGGCGGAAGAAGATGATCCAACATCCAGATCAAAATCCGAGGAAGGGTTGTGTGTCGATGCTGTAGGTGATGCGATTTGACCGTCCTGTTTATTCAGTGCCGAGGAGCTGCTCTGGAGACCTCCGACCGCAGGGAGTGATGGGAGCGCAACTGAAGACGAGAGCGTAGGCGGTGAAGATAGCGCAGCCGATGGAGAGAGCGCGGGCGGGAGGGGGGGCGCTGGTTGAGAAGAGAGTGGAGACGAGGGTCGCACAAAGAGAGCAGAGGTAGAAGACTGATTCGCTGGTTTCGAGGTGGAGGCGTTCACCGGGAAAAGATTAAGGAGCTTCGGGGAAGGTGGCTCCTTCGAGTCCCTCACTGTGACGTGCTCAGTCGTGTACCTTCGATACTCGTCTCCTGGACAGTGACAATTCAGAAGGGACGACATTATACAGCAAAATATAGACTGACCATTGGAACCGTGCCCTAGGTTCTTGGGTCTCTTGCAAAATTTGCGAATCGGCGGAGCTCCAGAGTGACATTCGGCGGAGACTACGGGTTTGAAGTCGACTGCTGAGAGTAGCCACTATAAATAACAACGATTTCCAGAGCTCATAAAGTACGTACTTTGGGGAGATTTCTCTTCCTCCTGACCAGGTTGATGTTGCGCCGGAGTTTTCGATGATACGGACGTGTTGATAAAATGAGAGGTATCGATCACAACTGGAGCCGCGGAAGCTGAGACGGTGGATAGCATAGAAGTTTAGTGATATCAAAAGCCAGCCATACAGATGTTGTACTCACAAGCAGGCTGGGTGGCGGATGACACAGCCTGGGGGACTGCGGCCTCTGCATCGGGAGATTTACTGTGGCAATCGTCAGGAATGTCTTCATGTCAACAGAATAACATTATGGCGGTCAGCGATGAAGACAAAAGTAGCCGAAGAAGATACTCACTGGAACTATCATCTTCCCTCATCTTCAAATATCCATCTTCCTGGCCGACACTCGCAAGCTCTAGCCTTCGTGCGCTACTAGAAGCCTTCCAAGCAATCACGGCATACCATGAAAGCGCAATTACCCCCATAACCCACGGAATGCCTTGGACAATGTATTCGGAAAGTCTGATTGCGCGGGGGTACAACAAGCGGGTCGAAGGAACGGCGAAGCGGTAGTAGAAAGAAAAGTATGCGTATCCCGATAGGAGTTTGGTTGCGAGGACCTGACAAGACCGAGCGTGGTCCCTTTTGGCGAGGAGGGCTTCCAACGGGTGGCGCGTCGATGAGGCTTTGGGCAGGCGGTCAAGGCTTGAGCGAGCGAATGGAAGGTCCTCGTCCTTGATGTAGCCGAACCAGACGAACAAGAACATGCCCAGGATATGAAGAGGGTATGCGCTTGGGATTGACCGGAGTATTAATACGGAGAAGAAGGCGATGGACGACAAGACGTGTCCTCGGACACGCACGGTAGCGAATGCAAGACATGCGAGTGGAAACACGACGCCGAACAGGTCCTCAAAGCTGACTAACTCAGGGTTGTATGAACGGGTGCGATGTCTGTAATACATCGCAGAGTCCATGTTGGAGGGAGCAGTGGGTGGAGAGAGACAAAAGACAATGTGATGCCGAGCCGTATTGTGTCGCCCTTATAAACCAGTCGAACACGATCTCGTGCTCCGCGGCGTCAAGAAAGGAAAAGGTGTCTTTTGTAGCTTCTTCCATATTCCATCAGTGCCTAGATCTGTGATAATGATAATGATACGATCGCTTAAGCGACAGAAGCTACTCATCCCTACGTAATTGCCACTTGCGACTGAGACTAGATATCCAGCTAGTAAATGCAAGTATGCACTGACTCTGGCAATATACGACCTGGTGATTTTTTGATAATGAGACCCATCATACAGTCGTTTCTGTCACTGAAATACAGGCAGGCTCTAACGCATTGGCCCGCGTGTACGGGCCATGCAGTCAGTACGATCAGATCTAGATATGAGAACACGCGGAGGACAAAGGAGCGACCGTACAAGGCAACCTGAATGAGCGCCATGGCAACCTTGAACCAAACGGCATGCGATATCGCCTCCTGCACGGTCAAATCAACTCGCGGAGAAAATTTCAGCTTCGTCGAGTGTCAGTAAACTTCTAGTCGATAGCTCGCTGCGAGGGAAGGTCTCTATGGTTGAGGGAGCATGGTGAACAAAAGCAAGGATGTATGAAACACGGGTGGCGACGCGTGGAGCTCCGGTACTGGTCCCCACGACTCGGATGGCCGGTCCTTGATCGGTCCGGCGTTGTTTTGCGGTCTTTTTACCCCAAACCTTCCGACCTCAGGCCTGTTTGGATGCCGCTCGTAAGACAACTTGTGACGACTTAAAATCAATGTTGGTGTCTTCGCCAGCTTCTTCTTTGGAGACTGGTTTGACACTCTTTAAAAAAAGGATAGTAACCTACAGAATAAGTAGCCGTGACATGTTGTGCGTACAGATTGGTTATGAAAGATGTTCCGCGTAGAGTAAGTAGTGGAAACCAAACGAAAACGTAGCCAGGAGGAAAGATAGATATGATACGACGTGCATAGCGGGCGGTACGAGTAAATAACGACGAAAACAGGGAACAGCAATAACAAGCAATAACAGGACACATAATACGATTCACCACAAGGTGCAAGAGCGATGACACCGTATCCTCATCGCACAACGATCCAACCCGAAACCAGAAGTTTACGCATAAGCAGGTGGCCAGTCCTCCCAGGGACCGCTAGGAGGCTTTCGAGGCTCTTCCAAGAACTGAGAATCCGGAGAATAATGGTCCTCGGCTACGGGTTCACCATGCTCCAAAGCCGCGTTCGCCCAGTCGGTGATACTGAACTGTCGTTTGGGTTGCAATGCGATCGGTCTGCCTTCGTCTTCCGATTCAGACTCAGACTCTTCTCCGGCGGCAACACGCAATGAATGATCGACAGGGCTAAGGGGTTGGAGGCAGGGAGAAGAGGGGGCATGGTCGTTCATAGAATACGAAAACATGCCTAAAATGTCGTCAACAATATCGCCAGGACTGCCAGTGAAATACTTTTTAGGACGTGGATGTTTGCGCGATCGCTTCTCATCGCCACCGCCATCCTGATGGCCACGTTTACGTTTACCCAGTGGAGTATGGGACTGCTGACGGCGATCGCGGTCGGAAGGTGGCAAAGAACCGCTATCCGGATCGATATACGACCATAGTTCGCGGTGATCGTCAGCGTATTCCTGCCATAGCACATAGATCTCCCGTGCCATGGTCATCCTGACCATATGCCGGGGAAGGATAAGGGTTGAAAGTGGAGTATGTAAGCCGAACTCCCTGACTGCTTTCCAAATAACAGGGTATGGGTGAGCAGTCGACCTAATCATGGGCCAGTCATTGTATGCGTCGGGGGTATACGATTCGAATTCGCGCTTGGCCAGTTCGTCGTATTCCTTTCCTTCCTTGAACTTGAGGCGAAGAAGCTCAGCGGATGCGCTTGACGAGCCAAAGGGTACGAACTCGTATTGGTAAATTCTGTACTCGAAAGCGTTGTTCTTTAACACGGGCGAGGATCAATATAACAGCCGGCGTATGACACAAATGACACGTACCTTTACCAAGGGTACACCCTCGCCATCCGCCTTTCTCGGCCCAGATTGACGTAGATGGTCTTGGAGTGCGTCGTATATCTTAGCTAGGACACCGATGGGTGGAAGGAGAACCCAGTCTTGCTTATCGAATCGCATATGCCAATCGACTTGCACTAAAGCATGTGTCAGTAATCCATCTGAATCGTCCCAGTCAGAAAGAGAGCGTACATGGAATCGTGTTCAAAGGGCCGGTAAAATCGAACTGCTCAGGCTTCAGACCCCAGGCCACCTCCAATCGAGCTTTCTGGGGACGACGAGATTCGGATGAGCTTGATTAGCTGTGACATCAGAAAGATACGAACCTGGGCGATATCTAATTTATTGTCGACGACGTGCGCCTCTTGCACACAATTGCAAAGTAGTACATTGCCTTTGGAGTCTTTCCAAGGCGAATGCGTGACTGCACACCATCGACGAAGGTTGTCCATGGGTAAGGCCATCTCGGACCCGGGAGTGACAGAGAGCGGCAGTTGGTTCGGTCGCTTACAGTCCCTCAGATTAGTGGATGGTGAACCATGTTCAGGACAGAGGTTGCGATTGCCATGTTCGGTTGACTCTTGAATCGGATTTGTGCAGTTCGACAAAGACAATGATGTAGCAGTACTAGAATCGAGTGGCAGGGTGTTTGCGAGGATTACGGCGAGTTGAGACCGGGCCGCCTCCGCAGAGGCACGAGAGTCTTTCGAGTTACTGCTAGACATGGTTGTGGTAGATGGTAAGATAGAAACAAAGTCGGCGCGTCTTGTGCGTTACAACTTGAACGGACCGTCGGACGCCACGAACCTGAAACTCCGCAGACACGTCACGTGATAGTGCCTAATAAGGCACCTGGCAACTTTGAATATTTAATATTCTACGACTCTCCTTGCTCTCGTCGCTCGAGCTACCTGAATCCCATCATGTCGGCTCATCACACGACAACTCCCGATCATTCTTCCCATATAATATCTGTTAAAATTTCCAAGAAAATACCTCGGGAGAACAAGCAATGGCGCCGTGGTTTATCGACGGCAGATCTGGAACGGTTGAGGCGCAGAGCGGAGCCTATTGGAATGGCCGGCGTTTGTATGATCACACTTTCCAGGGATCTCAAGACACTCAATTTCTGTCATATGGTTGGGAGCGAGAAAAAAGAAGAAGATTATGAGGTCAGTGTCAACCCTACCCTTTAGTACGAGATAGCTCAGGTGTTTGTCAACCGGCGCTGAATAATTTCTGTTAGCTTCGGAAAATAGCATATATCTTTGGACTCCCGCCTGGGGGTTTCAACGTACATTCTTCACGCAACCTTATCATCAGTTCGTTTCCCCTTATTATGCTCTTGGGCTTACCTCTGACTGTGCATTGGCTAGTGAGGGGAGACCTCCACGTCGTACTAGATCAGGGAGGCATCGCAATGTTGCCCGACCTGTCCTTGATGAACAAGATCGAGGCGATATTCAAGGACGCTCGAGACAACGCAGCTCGAACGGGCTCCCATCTGAAATTTTTGGACTGGAAGAAGGTGAGTTCCTCGCAGTTCCGCCCTGGAACGTTACCGCTCATGCGCCCACAATGACCATTTGCCTTGTATCTAGTACGACTGGCTACAGGATCACCATACGTATCGCATTATTCCTATGGCTTCCTTGGGCATCGAAAAGGTAATTCGACGCGGATCCGGTGAGGTGTATTGGAGTCTTTCGGAGCTGCCGAAGATCCAGTCCTGGGTCCATCCCTTGATTGCCATCTGGCACGCAGGCGCAAAACTCGAAAAGCTCTCAGGCTCGGCGACAGGCCTTCAGGATATGCTTCTCCATCTCTCACTTGACGACTTCGCAGGCGCAAAACTAGAAAAGCCCTCGGCGACAAGCCTTCAGGATATGTTTCTTCAACTCCTCTCACTTGACGACTTCGCACGGCTTCAATCCGCTTTCAGGATCTGGCATATTTGGAAATCTATCTCTCTGCTGGAGGACTATGAACTAAAAGAGATCGACGAAGACAATCGACACTCTCCCAGGAAGAGGGTTGACGGAGACGAAAATCTTCTTACGACTAGAAGTTCCGCGCCTAAGACGGAGGCTCAGCAAGATGCGTCTGTGCCGAACGACGGTGACAACGATACTGGATCTGGTTCTCGTGGCGGAAAGGACACCGCAGCTAGTTCAGCCAAAGGCAAGAGTGAAGCGTCTCACGCTACTGTCATGATCAGCAGGAAACGGAAACAGTCGGACGATCAAGTCGGTGCAGGTCGAACCACATCTAAGCGCCGTGTCACCGCTCCGAAAGACCAGGAAGGAGCACGGGTCAAAAGATCTGCTGCTACTGGTGCGAGTGAGGACGCGACAGGTGGTTCCAGTAGCTAGGGGAGCTTGTTCGTGATCTCAGCCAGTTGCCTTCAGCGCAAACAATTTCCTTTCCCCGTATGGTATCGCAACTGCTCTGCTCTTGAATGTGCACTCTCGGCCAAGCTATATTCACCTTGACATGATCACTTGTTGATAGCGCTACCGAATACGTCCCCAGTCCTTGAACATATTAGTGCACTACCCCGACAATTCTCCGACTCTTTGTTACCCGTGCTCGACGTGGGCCTCAGTTTCTGCATCTCAAGGTTTCGACACGCACACTTGTCTTCACGCTGATTTTTAGTAGACACATTGGTCCAGAATTGTGCACACCGTCTTCGCAGGAAAACGTTCATGGATTGATTGGAGATATTTGAGAAGACTATGTTACAGAGACGGCACGATAGCACAGAAATAGCACAGAAATAGCACAGAAATAGCACAGAATATCCACAGAGATCACACACTTGGGACGAAAAGATCACTTATGGCTCCGAGTCCTTGCCCCTGGCTTTCCACTCTTCGCAGCAGAACGTGGCCTTCCAGTCGTATTCGCTCTCGGACGAGTAGATCTACCTCTCTGCCCTGACCTCCCTCTACAGTTGGACTCGCCTTCGCCTTCTTGTTGATCACGTCCAGGGCCGTCAGTGCTAGGGCCAGGTTCCTGCGCCCGATTCTTCGCGTTCTTAGAAGTCGTGGAGGGAGTCGTTTTGGGTTTGAGTTTGATGGATCCCGTCTTGCTGCGCGTCGTATGCGGATGATCATGGACGTTACTGTTGCCAACATTATTACCTGCGTTGTTGCCGTCGGCGCAGGCGCCGGCCTCCCCAGAGTTGTGGTCGTTGTTGTCGGCATTCGCACCGCCGTCAGTGTTCACCTGCCGGCTAGCCTGAGACGGAGCAGCTACTGAATTTCTCACTGTCTGCTTCGCATTATCGGCATCCGCACGCTTGATGTTCTTGACGGGTTTGAAGTCGGGCTCGAAACGGGGGGGAAGGGGGATGGACTTCCAGATATAATAAATCCTAAGGGCTGCCTGTACTCGCTGTGTATCATCGTTAGATAGACGGGAGAGAACGAGGTTATGTACCCAAGCCTCGAGTCTGTCGATGTAGCCACCAGCGTGCCAGATTGCATAGAAAGGATGTACCCAGGACGAGATTTCGGGCAGCTCCTGCACATTCCGGTAGACCTTACCTGGTCGAACGACAACGTCATCGTAACCAAGGACACCGAGGGGGATGATCCGATAATTCAGGATTTTATTCAAGTCGTCGTTCTGTTCGAAGTGAAGAGTAAGTGATCGAATATGCGGACATTCTGACACTGAAGACTGGGAAGGACTTACATCTTTGCAACCCGTAAAATCAGGCACACTGTTCTTCTTATAAGCCTCCTCGCACTTTCTACTGTAGTATTGCTCGATTGCCGTCATGATTCGGAGAGATGGTAGCATAACCCAGCCTCCTTGATCCAGAAGCTTATGATAATCGAGCCGGACTGAGTAAATAGTGAATAGTGAGAAGCGACAAACATGGACGAGGAAGAATGTGCATACGAAACACGAGGTTACTCGATGAGTGCACAGAGAACTCGCCAGGATTAAAACCACAGATATGTTCTAATCGCTGCATCTATTGTGGTCTCTCAGTAGATCCTCGCCTTTCTAGAGTGGTAGGACAGCTCACCTCGTACTGTTCGAATCTCTTCTCCCTGCTGATAATATGCGCAACAGTGACTGTCCGGGTGTCTTTCTCGAGAGAAATCATGCAGACCCCGGCTTTATTTCCAGCCTTGATGGTCAGCCGCGATACATCGTCTTGGGAGAGGTCACGACGCCATTGTACATTCCGACGAGGAGTATCTTCGATAACAGCCATAGCGGGAAAACGGAGGTGAAAGGAGTAAGTGGGGGAGAAAGCGTAGACGTCGAGGGAGAAACGAGTAACAAGATTTTAAATAGACCAGTGTCATGGCCACGTGTTGCGTTTCGAACATTCTAGACATCCCTTATGCAGTGTACTCTCAAAGCAGTGGCCGTAAGAAGTTAGTGCAGTGGTGTCCAAAAGTCACGGTCGGGACTCGGAGGCGGGGTCATGTCGGCCCGCCGGGACTCGGCGCTGACACATCACGTGCTTTCATCGGCCCCTTCTCACGCAAGTTCCCAGTCGGTTGCAAATCATCTCTTGCGTTGACCACCACCATCTCTTGCATTGACCAACATCATGGCTAGTCTCGCTTTCACAGCATCGTCGCACAGTCTCGTGGCTAGGGGCTCCTCATACCAGCCCTCAGAGAACACTCGACAATTTGTGATTGAAACGGTCGCAAACGCTAAGCGCTTTCGCAGCGCGACACGTTCTGTCTACACCAACCCGGTCCAGGGATCCCCAGGCGCCTACGGGTACCACAGAGATAGAGAAACTCCATCTCCTGTTCACGATACTACCGACTATAACTGGCTGGCGCGTTCTACCCCACCTCTCCCCCTTTCACCTCGCCAAGACCACCCATCGGCAGTCCCTCTCGAGAATCTTCGGAATTGGTGTGCTCTAACCCATTCCCAATGGAGAGACTCGGAGGGTCGCGTGCTGAAGTATAATGCCGTGCAAGAAGCACACGTCGTGAGCAGATCATTGAACCCAGACGATGTGTGTCACCTTGGATTTTACTGCCGAACAGTCCGGGCACTTACCGTCTTCGTTTTCCAGAAAGCTCGTTTGCAAGTGGCTTGGGGCCTCGTGCCGGGAGACTTTGATTTCGACGGTCCGCTTAACACAATTCCATGTAAGTCCTTTCTCCTGCTCCTAGTATGCGAACAGTCGAATTTACCGGTATGTCCAGTACGCGCGAATTGGCACACACTCTTCGACAAGAAGAGCTGGGTGCTTGTTCCCACAAGGGCCATGATGGGCAGTATCGCGGACGCGGCAGAAGACGTTTTGTTTGATCAGGGTGCTAGGAGTGCCGCTGATGCCAGTTACCCTTTGCTGAGAGAAGTGAGTTGTTGTATTCTTGATCAAGCACCTCGCGTACCGTTTTCTCTTGCTGGCACTATGGACTGATCCGCACAATCCAGGATGGGAAGCTCATATACAAGATCTATCAATATAAGATAGCACCTTTTGGCCGTTCAATCCCGAGCGACCTCATTCGTATGCAGTTCAAGAAGGGCAAACAGCATGTCGAGCTGGATAAAAAGACCCAAACCGTCTACAAGACGACCGAATTTGAGCGCTGGCCAACTGTATCATCGACCGTCCATCCCTTCGCGATAATATGGAAAGCCGTCACCGAGTTTGGGATCGACACAGAACTAAATCAACTCCACGTCGCAGAGCATATTCCTCTCATGATGCAGCTTCGGGAGATTTATAAACGCTGGATGAAGTACGCTGATGACCATAGTCATCTCTTGTTGCCCGAGCAGCTTGATCGCGACCCTTCTCCCCCGTCCAATCGCGGCAGTCGCAGATCAAAAAAGTCCTCCAACCGAAAACGTCAGCGCACGGACAGCGATGACGGCTCCGTTGGCGATCGACCCAAGAAACGCACACTTCCTTCTAAGCGTGATCGAAACGAGCCCGGCGAGGTCGACCGCGTTCCCAGCCTGGTCTTCCCCTCGTCAGAATTCTGTAGTCTATCTTCCTACCATCTAGAATCCCCGAGTCTCATTGATCGTCCAGTGCGTGTGGCGCCAGAGGTCGAGGAGGACTCCGACGACGACTACGAGGAACATCGCCCTTCGGCCCTCCAGCCACAGAGGAAGTTCAACATCGCTGATTGGGCGAAGACGGCCTCGGTGCAGTCAGAGTCGGTCATGGAAGCCGAATGCCCCTCTGATCCCAACGTTTCGGAGCAGCCACGGAAACCTCCTCGCGGACCGTGGAAGCTTTGGCCCCCTGCTTATAAATTATCGGGTTGCGTTGGGAGTCGACTCAGTTGATGGTTTGGTGACTTGTATAACGCGTCTTGCTGTCCTTGCTTTTGCTATTCGTCTGCTTTAACATGTTTTGTTTACACTCATGGTTTGTTATCTCCCTAATCCTCGCCCGCGATTCTTTTCATTTCGGTCAACAATACTATACAACATTCCTCGCGGTTCGTCTCCGAGTCATTCTCATTGCACAAACTGTCCTGTAGCGCGATATCTTCCTCTCGCTTGAGAGAGCTCCCTCAGGAATCCTCTTAGCTATATCCATCATTGCGTTCTGTATTTTTAAAGTAGCGCACCATCGTGCCCTAGTCACTATTGACAATCATCTTTTTGATCTCCTTGTCGGGGCTCGCGAATTTGCTTGTGAATCGCGTGTGGTCACAAGCACATGATCTGTAACCCCATTGCCCAACTCGAATTGGCCGGGCCCCGAATATGCTCGTGAGCCTTCGTGAGCTTTGTCTGTTCAGGCATCACGGCGTTCATCATCGCACCACCTAACCATTCTCAACACACCCAACGCATACTTAACTGACCTACCATGTTACGTGCTGGCGTCCACTCCCAGTGATTATCAGCGTTACAATCAGCATCCGTGTTGGCGTGCCGCACGTCGAATCTACGAATGATGCCGCATTGCACAGACATCATCGCTCGATCATGTCCTATCGTGTCCTAGTGAAGCCACGATGAAAAGACTCAAATACTTCTAGAGATTCAGTTCTTGCCGGTAGGTGACCATTCCGACTTCAGTGTTTCTCCTCTCTTCTTATCTCTGGGGCATCTCCCGCACCTCCTCGTCACGCCGAGGCTTGTCACCTGCTGTGCAGAGCGGTCGAACGCTCCGATAGTCATCCCGGACCGTCAAATACAATGGAAGAGTACTGCAGAATTGTGCATATGAAGAAGGCTCCTCCTTTCTCTGCGTCTGCGTTCATCTTCGTGGAACTACAAGCCACTGCTCGTCTCTCTCCTCGCTGCTTATAGCATTCACCGTTTACCTTTATCGTTTAAGCAAACGATATGCCCGCTCAGAAAACTATCATCGATCTCAGCCAACCCCTCACCGTCGGTGGTATGAGCTACGGTAACGACGATCACCCCGAATTTTTCTGCAAAAGCGCGTGCAGCATAGCAGAGCACGGATCGAACGTCACGCATATCAGCCTCGGGTCCCATACCGGCACTCACATAGACGCACCCATCCACTTCATCGAGGGCGCAGCCACCGTGACCGACCTCGATCTCAAAATGCTCGTGGCGCCAGCAGTTGTTGTAGACGTTCGGGGGAAAAAGCCACGGAGCATTATCACATGGCAGGATCTGGAGAAGTATGAGGAGAGGTTGACGGAGGGCGTTATGCTCATTCTGTGCACGGGTTGGTCGAAATATTGGGGGGAGGCTGAATATCAGGCCAGTCCGCGACTGGACGTCGATGCTGCGCGTAGGGTGCTGGATAGGGGCGTTAGGGTGCTTGGGATTGATACGCTCAGCCCAGATGGGAATGCACTTCCGGGCGAGGTAGCGTTGCATCCGGTACACAAAGAGGTACTTGGGAGAGAGGCAGTAATCGCAGAAAATTTGAACCATCTGGACGAATTGTTGGGCGTGAAGGACCCCATCGTCAGTATCCTGCCTTTGAGGTTGGACGGATGTGACGGTTCGCCCATCAGAGCGGTGGCGTGGCCAGCAAATGCCAAAGGTAAGCTCATATTTCCATAATCGCTCCGATGCCTTGTGATGCTGACTATCCTGGAGCTGGTCTATGAACGTTCTGTCGATGCGTTGGCTTCCAGGCTTTGGGTATAGCCTTTTCCCAATCTTTTGGTGTACGTTGCGCAAATCTTGTCACCTTCTTGACCGTTACATCTACTTTATATACACTTCACACAGAATAGTATCATATCTCAATATCCTCGAATATACCAGCAATATACACACCAACTCCGGCCAAGTGAGGAGAGTCGCGAGGCTGCGAGTGTCTAGTAGAGGAATGGATGTGACATAGCCCACGTATCTAAAGTCTACCCGATGTTTCTTACTCTGCATAAATTATGTCTAGAAATAACAATCCAACCAATTTCTCTTATGTGTTGGGAGTCACTTGAATAGCAATCGAAGGTTGATCGGAGGTGAAGCAGGGGCTGGGCCACATCAAGTGCCACCCCAACGGTAGTTGACGTGTCCAGTTCGCGCCAGGAGCGCGACTTGCACTTTGCTTCGTTCACCCATCTCTACTGGAGCTATGAAGGGGCTGACGTTCAGCAGCGTCAGCTTTCTTCTCTTATTCACCCTCTTCTCTCAGTCTCTTGCCGTAAAACACAATGATTTCAAAACATGCTCCCAGTCGGGATTCTGTCGTCGAGGACGTGCTCTAGCTGAACGGGCGAATACTACTCCACGCTGGCAATCCCCATACTCTCTTGATCCTTCTTCTATTTCAGTTTCGTCCAGCCAGGCCTCCTTTACTGCAGGTATCAAGTCGTCGCTATACCCCGATATCAAGTTCGGCCTCGACGTGCGCGTGCAGGAGGATGGTGTGGTTAGAGTGCGGATGGATGAGATTGACGGACTAAGGAAGCGTTATGACGAGGCTGCTGGATGGGCGTTGATCGCGGAGCCACTAGTCAACCAGGATATTACATGGACGGTGGGGAAGAAGGACGTTCGAGCGACATATGGCCCAAAGAAGGACATCGAGGTCGTCGTTGAGTTCCAGCCCCTGCGCGTAGTGCTAAAGAGGGGTGGCAAGGAGCAAGTCGTCGTTAATGGGAGAGGTCTTCTGCATATGGAGCACTTCAGGACAAAGTCTGAAGCAAAGGAGATCAAAGAGGGAGAAGAGGCCCAGGAGCCGATGCAGGTCAACTCTCTCGCCTGGTTCGAAGGTGACTCTGAGGATGGGTACTGGGAGGAATCGTTTGGTTCGCACAAGGACTCAAAACCTAAGGGTACTTCAGTAATGCTTCTCCTCGATTGGCATGAAATAACTAACATTATCTAGGTCCCGAGTCTCTTTCTGTCGATATCGAGTTCCCGAACCACGGCCATGTCTATGGTATCCCTCAGCACGCCACCTCGCTTTCCTTACCCACAACCACTGGCGACGATCCATTCTACAGCGACCCGTTCCGTCTGTACAATGCGGATGTCTTCGAATACTTGGCTTCTTCTCCGATGTCGCTCTATGGTTCCATTCCTCTGATGCACGCCCATTCTGCCGACTCAACTGTTGGCGTATTCCACGTCGTCGCTTCGGAGACCTGGATTGATATCTCGCATCCTACTACGAAGTCAACGAACACCCACTGGATCTCGGAATCGGGCATTCTTGACCTTTTCCTTCTGCCCGGTCCGACTCCGGAGGCTGTCTTCAAGCAGTATGCTACCCTCACGGGAACCGCACCTTTGCCAGCGCATTGGGCTTTAGCCTACCACCAGTGCAGGTGGAACTACGTCAGCTCAGACGACGTTAGGACCGTAGCCAAGAGGTTTGATGAAGAGGATATGCCAGTCGATGTCTTCTGGCTCGATATCGAGTACGCTGAAGAGCACAAGTACTTCATCTGGGACAAGAAGACATTCCCTGACCCGATTGAGATGACGAACGATGTGGCTGCTGTTGGACGCAAGGCAAGTGTTTGGGTCAAATTATATCTCGACTTGGTCCTGACTATCGACTTCAGATGGTCGCGATTATCGACCCTCACCTAAAACGCACGTCCAACTACCCTGTTTACGAACAAGCCAAAGAACTCGACGTTCTCGTGAAGAAGAGCGACAACAATGAGTACGAAGGTTGGTGTTGGACCGGTAGTAGCTCTTGGGTGGACTTCTTCAACCCTGCCAGTTGGTCGTGGTGGGCTAGCCTGTTCAAGATGCAAGAGGGCAAGACATGGTCTTGGACCCAAAGCACAGAAGATATATATGTCTGGAACGATATGAACGAAGTGTGTAGAGGTCTCCATACTTGTCGTCAATACCCAAATTACTTACGCTCCACCGTGCAGCCTGCTATCTTCAATGGACCCGAAATCACGATGCCGAAGGACAACGTCCACTATGGTGGCTGGGAACATCGTGATGTCCACAACATCAACGGAATGCTCTTCGTAGGTCACTTTCTCGATACCTCAATACAACTACTCGACTGACCTGTTTGTAGCCCAACGTGACTTCCCAAGGGCTCATCGCTCGTTCTGACCCACCCAAGCGTCCCTTCGTCCTGACTCGCTCCTTCTACGCTGGTTCGCAGCGCTTCGGCGCTATGTGGACTGGCGACAACATGGGTACTTGGGAGCACATGGCCGTCGGTATCAAGATGGTCCTCGCCAACAGTATCGCTGGCATGTCTTTCGCCGGCTGTAAGTATCCTAATTTTCCTTGCTTGCGTGTACGCAGCACTCACTGTATTATATGCTTTCAGCCGACGTTGGTGGTTTCTTCGGTAACCCCGAATCAGAGATGCTCGTTCGTTGGTACCAGTGGGGTATCTTCTCGCCATTCTTCCGTGCCCACGCGCACATCGACACGAAGAGGCGTGAACCGTACCTTCTGGATGAGCCATATAAGAGCATGCTCAGGGATATCTTACGCTTGCGGTACTCGATGCTCCCCGTATGGTACACTGCGTTCCGGGAGACCAGCGCTACTGGGTTGCCTGTATTGCGGTACGTGCATTATGACCATCCTTCTGCGACAGACTACTGAGAATTTATCTGGTGTTAGCCCTCAGTATGTGATGTTCCCTCAGGATACCAACGGGTTTGCGATCGACGATCAGTTCTATGTTGGCGGGTCAGGCTTGCTCGTCAAGCCAGTCACGTCGCCTGGCGCTAAGGATGCATCAGTCTATCTCGCCGAGAACCAGGTCCGTACTCCGCGTATTGCAAGCTTTCTATTGATCTATGATTGCTAACGATATCACGCTCCAGGTTTACTACGATTACTTCTCGCACAAGGCCTACCGCGGCTCTTCAAAAGGCAAATCCGTGACTGTTCCCGCAGAGCTCCACCAAGTCCCCGTTCTCATCCGTGGCGGCTCTGTCATCCCTACACGTGAACGGCCTCGCCGCTCCTCCCCTCTCATGAAGAACGATCCCTTCACTCTTCGTGTTGCTCTTGGTTCTGCCTCTTCCGCTCGTGGAGAACTCTACCTCGACGACGGCGTGACGTTCTCCCACGAAAAAGGAGACGTCGTCTTCCGCGAGTTTACTGCCGGAAAAGCTGGCAAGGGTATCCGTATCTCTTCCACTGATCTCGCCGCCGCACATCCCGGCGACGTGGCACTCTCGACCTACGACAAGCAGAATGATTTTGTGAAGAGTATCGAGAAGGTCAAGGTGGAGAAGATTGTCGTCCTTGGGTTGGGAGTGAAGCCTTCGAGTGTCAAGATTGAGGGTGGGGAGCAATTGGAGTTTGAGTTCGTTGAAGGTGTGGCGGCGGATGGGAAGAAGGAAGGGGTCGCGAGTGTGTTGACGATCAAGAACCCGGGGGTGCTTATCACGAAAGATTGGGAGATTGTCGTTGCCTAAGCCCTGAGCGGTGTAGGGTTGCATGGAGCACGTTACCGTGATTGTTTGGTAGTGTATAGTTATCTCGGATAGAAATTCCTTATACTTCCTCGGATGAGCGTATGGGCCACTGTGGCCCGGCGTCAGTCTACTTGTTCTCCGAGATATTTGACTAGCTCAAGACGGGTACGAACGAGATTGATATCATGGACAGGCAAATAAGCAGAAGACGAATTGAAACAGAAGATACAAGTAAATATACACGAAGATAGTTACAGAAAGTAGCGACCGCGGTAGCCGACCACCCTCCTACTTGTCCCTAACGGCTTATACCATACCCAAAGAAGCATTGAGTGTATCAATCTACATGATACAACAGGGTGTCATATTGTATACGCATGAGGGTGACGGTGCTCGAAGGGGCGCTCATAAGTAAAGAATAAATATATTGCGTTAGATAGTAGGATAGGTCGTATCGAGAGACTGTCGGGGGATCGGAAAAAGAAAAAACGGTAATGAGAAGCGGAAGCTGCGGGTATCCGCAGGGCAATACAGAATCCAAAAACAAGGACACACGAAATACAGACTGGACAAAACACAACTTGTTCTCGTCCAGATACTTGCGATTGGACCCGAAATATCAGGCATAAGCAGGACGCCAGCGCTTCCATGTACCGTGAGGAGGCTTTTGCGGCTCCTCCGAGACGCCAGGATCAGAAGAGCATTCGACGTCGACAACGGGTTCGCCCTGTGTAGACGCGGTCTTCGCCCAGTCTGAGATGTTGAACTTCCTCCTGGGCTGCAGGTCTGCTGGGCCATATTCCTCGTCATCGTCATCGCTGTCCTCAGCAGCAGCAGCAGCCACGCGTACCGGACGATCAACCAAGCTGGGAGATTGCAGGATGGGGAAGGATTGGGTACGATTATTTTCTGAGTAGGAAACCATGCTGGGGGTTTCGTCGACAATATCGGGAGATCCTCGAGGGCTTCCGGACTTTCCTGAGCGTTTGGAAGGTCGACTGTCATCGTCTTCGTCGCCATCATCATCAGAGCGTCGACGTTTTGGTCGAGATGAGCTGGTTGGGTGACGGCTGCCGGGAGTAGAGGGGGGAGAGGGACCATGATTACGGGGATCAAGCGACCAGAGCTGAGGGTTCGCCTCAGCGTATTTCATCCAGGATATATAGATGTCTTGAGCGTTGGCCATGAGAGTGATATGTGACCGAGATCGGAGTCGGTCGTACTGTAGTACACCAAGCCCAAACTCCGATACGGCCTTCCATATCATTGCGAAGGGGTGGACGGTAGATTGAATGACCGGCCAATCGAGGATGTCGTCCGGCTTGTAGAGAGTGCAGGCCTCGTCGTCTAGCTTCATCCACTCCTCCCCTTTCTTGAAATGCATCTGCAGAAGATACTCGTCGGAACTGGCAGAGCCAAAAGGCACTACGATATAGCGGTGAATCTTGTAAGCAAGTTTGTTACCCTAGTAAAACCGGGATCATCGTCAATCTGCGGCAAGGATTCAGAAAAAGTATTAGGCATACCTCCGTGATCAAGGGGCACGACGGTCCGAGATGACCATCGGAGCGCTCGACCGTCTCGCACAACAGGTGACAGGTCTCGGCGTGACAAGTACGGGGGTGCGGGAGATGCTCCAGAGATAAGAGGAGAGGAGAAATACTGAAGTAGGTTGGGTCACCTACGGACAAGAATTGAATCGCCAGAAGTATCCGAGTCTTTTCCTCGTGGATTTGCTAGGATGCGATAGGACACGATCAAGCAATGATATGTGTGCGATGCGTCACCATTCGTCGATTTGGCGTGCAGCACGCCACACGGATACTGATTGTAACGCTGATAACCACTGGAAATGGACGCCAGTGCGTAATGTGGTAGGTCAGTTGGGCATGCGTTGGGTGTGTTGAGAACGGTTAGGTCGTGCGATGATAGACGTCGTGATGCCTGAACAAAGCAAGGTTCACGAACATATTCGGGACGCGGTCAATTCAAGTTGGCCCTTGGGGTCACAGATCATGTGCTTGTGACCGCACGCGATTCACGAGCAATTCATGAGCTCCGACAAGAGGATGAAAAACATGATTGTCAATAAGTAGTGACGATGGCACGATGGTGCGCTACTTTAAAAATACAGAACGCAATGATGAATATAGCTAAGAGGATTTTTGAGGGACCTCCCTCAAGCGAGAGGTAGACATCGCGCTACAGGACAGTTTGTGCAATGAGAATGACTCGGAGACGAATGTTATATAGTACTGTTGACCGAAAAGAATCGAGGGCGAGGATTAGGGACTCGGTAACAAACCATGAGTGTAAACAAAACATGTTAAAGCAGACGGACAGCAAAAGCAAGGACAGCAAGACGCGTTATACAGCTCCCAACCCATCTACTGATGCCACTCACGACGCGACCCGGAAACCTACACATGCGCATAGTCAGGAGGCCAGAGCTTCCACGGGCCGGGAGGAGGTTTCCGTGGCTGCTCGAAAACGTTGGCATCAGAAGGGCATTTGCCTTCAATGACTGACTCTGCCTGCACCGAAGCCGTCTTCGCCCAATCAGCGAGGTTGAACTTCCTCTGGGGCTGGAGGGCCGAAGGGCGATATTCATCGTCATCGTCGTCGGAGTCTTCCTCGACCTCTGCCGCTACACGTACCGGACGATCAATGATACTCGGGGATGCCAGATGGTAGGAAGATAAGGTACAGCAGTCTTCCGAGTTGATGATCAGACTGGGAACGCGGTCGACGTCACCGGGCTCGTTTCGAGCACGTTTACTGGGAGCTGAGCCATTCCTAGGCCGATTACGAACGGAACCATCATCGCTATCCGTACGCGTACGTTTTCGCCCTGAGGATTTTCCTGATCTGCGACTACCGCGATTGGAGGGAGGCGAGGGATCGAGGTCACTGAGGTGGGGCGACAAAAGGTGTGGATGAGCGTCGGCATACGACATCCAGCGTTTGTAGATCTGCCGAGCCTGAAACATGAGACCCCTATGGTCTTCGACGAGGAGTTCTTCTAGAGGTGTGCCGAGGCCAAATTCGGTAACGGCTTTCCATATCATCGCGAAGGGATGGACGGTCGACGTGATGGTGGGCCAGTGCATGTATTCGGTCGGTTTGTAGACAGTGTGATCCGTCTCGTCAAGCTCGACGTACTGCAGTCCATCCTTGAAATTCATACGAAGAAGCTCGGTCGTACGGCTCGAACGTCCGAAAGGTATGACCAGATAGTCGTAAGTCTTGTATATGAGCCCTCCATCCTGCGTTGAAGGAGAAGTCAGAGAGTGGTGTTGACCATGGAGAACGTGGTGGCTTACCTCCGCTACTAAAGGGCACCCTTGGTCAGCGGCTACTCTGGCGTCCTTCTTGACTAGGTTATCTCGGCTGGCTTTGCTGATGAGGCCGAGGATTGGGTCGGAGGGGAGAAAGACCCATTCCTTCTTGTCGAAGCGTACGTGCCAATTTGCTCGTACTAAGAAAGCAAATAGGTTGGGCGCCTTATATAATGACAGCGAAAGAAATGACTTACATGGAATTGTGTTGAGCGGCCCATTGAAATCGAACTGCCCCGGTCTAAGGCCCCAAGCCACTTCCAAACGAGCTTTCTGAAAACCGAATAGCATAAGTGTCTAGGGTATTATGAAGATAAACGGAAAAGGACACACATCGTCTGGGTTCAACGATTTGCTCACGACGTGCGCTTCTTGCACACAATGGTACGGCAGTACCCTACCCTTTGAGTCTCTCCATTGGGAATGGGTTAGCGGACACCAATTCCGAAGATTCTCGAGAGGAGCAGCCAACGGGTCGTTCGGATGAGGCGAGAGGGGAAGAGGTGTGGAAGAACGCGCCAGCCAGTTATGATCGCGAGTGTCGCCGAGAGGAGATGAAGTTGGTGGGTCTACGTCGTAGGCGTAGTCGCCTGGGGTGCCTTGGATCGGGTGGGTGTAGATGGAGGGTGTGACGCCGTCGACGTGCCGCTGAGAGTTGGCGAGCAGTGAGGCCATGAGCAGTCGAGCAGACTCTGAGGGCTGGACTACGCGCGAGCTCCTGGTTGTGACTCTCGTGAGGGTATTCGACGGTGCGAAGAGGCTCATGATGGTGGTTGATGAGAGAGATGATATGCAACCGATTGTGAGATCAGAGCTTGCTCAAGAGGCAAACTGGGAACAATTGGGATCACATGACGTGTCACGCACATTGCCGAAATCAAAACTCCGCATAAATCATGTCAGGAATTGATATATTCGGAGACGCTTTGGTTGCGCTTTGCCGGACTCTTGAAGTTTGAACCTTGCCGCTTTATTTCGATTGCCTTGCTCCCAGTTGTTTGCTCTCGACAAAAACGTCAGGGTGGATTCATGAAATCCCTGAAAGCATCACAATGTTCCAGCGAGTCCGAGTCGGACTCAAGTCGGACCATTGACAGCTATGGCGACTGCCAGTGTGTCCTGGCCGCCATTATGTAAGTAGCCGCGGCAACTCGAACACATTGTCGCCCATTATGGTCATCCCTTTGGGAGTTCCGTTATACGGACAGTCGAGAATGTTCGAAACATGGCACACACGTCATCCTGACACCGGGATATTTAAGCGTTGCTTTCTCCGGCGCCTGCTGTGTCTGCGCCTTCTTCCCAACTTATCCTTTCCACTCCCGTTCTTTCACTACTATGGCATCCAATACTCAGACTCCCGCTAATGTTATGCACGGGGCTGCCCGAAATGGCATCAAAGATACTCCCCGTGAAAACATCCAATGGCATCGTGATCTCACTGAAGATGATCTGCTGCGGCTGGCCGGCAAGGCTGGGAAGAAGGCTGGCGTCTGCATGATTTCCTTAGACAACGAATATAAAACACTCGCCGTTGCGCATCTCATCAGTAGGGAGAAAAGACGAGAGGAAAACGAGGTGAGCTGCTTTCCTGAAGCTTGCCTACTCTTGATGGCCCAGACCTACTGAGAAAACACGATAGATCCAAAGAATCGAGTATATATGTGGATTTGCCCCTGGAGAATTCTGCGTCCATTCCTCAAGCAACCTTATCTATTGTATGTGCAAATATGACATCGTGTTTTCTGGTCATTTCTAACCGTTCCTACAGTACGAATTGATTATCATCAACTTTTGGACCAGGGAGGTTGGATCATGCTCCCACCTCTTGGAATCATGGAATCGATTGAGCGGTATTACATCAACAAGTGCAAGAAAGCTCGTGAAGGTAGAGAGGAGCCTGATTTTACGAACCGCTATGCAGTAAGCTCTTCTTTGCGTGCAGCGTCAGAGCACCATCGGTGTCTCGGATTACTGACACTTTGCTTTGCTTTCAACAGGACACAAACTTGAAGAAGAACCACAAATATCGTATTGTTCCTCTTGGCGCTCTCAGCTTCAATGACACGGCCATTCGGCCATCTGGTAAAGCTCATCGTAACCTGCTGGAACTGCCCGAAGTCTCGTCCTGGGTTCATCCTCTCTACGCCCTCTGGCACGCTGGTGGCTGCATTGACAGACTCGAACTTTGGGCGCTCAAGCTCGTTATCTCCCGCCTGTCCATCCAGGATGTTCAGCTAATCCAAGTAGCCCTTCGGATATGGAGTGTCTGGCAGTCCATCACCCTCCCCGAACGTTTCAAGCCCGACTTCAAACCTGCCAAGGACGACAAGCGTGCGGATCCCGATAATATAGGTGCTCCATCTCATGCTGGCCAACAGGTGAGTGCTGATGACGGTGAGGATGCCGACAACAACGGCCACAACTCTGGGGAGGCCGGCGCCTGCGCCGACGGCAACAAGGCAGGTAATAATATTGGCAACAATAACGTCCATGATCATCCGCATACGACGCGCAGCAAGACTGGATCCATCAAACCCAAACCCAAACCGACTCCCTCCACCACTTCTAAGAACGCAAAAAAACGGGGGCAGGAACCTGGCCCTAGCACTGACTGTCCTGTGCGTGATCAACAAGAAGGCAAAGACGAGTCCAATCGTAGAGGGAGGTCAGGTCAGAGGGGTAGACCTGTTCGTCGAGCCAAGACCACTGAAGGGCAGCATTCTGCTGCAAAGAGTGCAAGGTCGGGGGCAAGGACTCGGAGCCACAAGTGATCTTTTCGTCCCGAGTATGTGATCTCTGTGGATTTTCTGTGCTATCTCTGTGCTATGTGCTATCGTGTTATCTGTGTAAAACAATCTTCTCAAGTATCTCTAATCAAGCTATGAACGTTTTCCTGCGAAAACGGTGTAGTCAATTCTGGACCAGTGTGCCGACTCAAATGGTGCGTGAGGATGAATGTGCAGTGTTAAAGCCTTGAGATGCAGACCTCCGGCAGCTTCGACATATCGCTGAATATTTGACCTGACCGAACAACCGGCTGTCGGAGCCTGTGTCAGGACACCGAGAGAAACAAGGCGATAGGACTGGTGTTTATCGTACTCGTGGTTCCTGTTCCTGTTCCGTTATTCCTGTTCCGTTAGGACAGGTCTTGAGACGAGCTTTGTCACAGAGTCACGTCACGCCTCTTCGGTGGCGGTGGCGTCTTTTTGCTGGGAGCCGTCGCTCGAGATTTTTGTTACGGTCACTCGTCCTCCATCACTCTCGATTCCCGGTGTTTCCCGGTCATTCCGTCTCGTTCCGGCCTCTCTGCCTGTGTTGTGCAGTGCTCAAATACTGAAGTACTGACAAGTCTGAACAAACAAATGTGGGCTGAATACGGCCTACATTCTTCCACCCGTGTGAGGGATTTAATCTCGAGCCACGGGCATGCCGTGCTCGTTCTTTCCTTGAACGCAGGTGAACGTGGTGTGAGCTTTAAACAAGTTTTGTGGCGTTTTCGCCACAGCAAGGGTTGCCTGTTTTTTTTTCAGGGATGCTTGGACAAGAAAGCCGGTAAAAAGACGCATTATAATCAGTTGGCCAGCGCTGTTCGATCCGAAGGAACAGGTCTGGCCCGGAGGGCGTGGAATTCCGTTAGGACAGGTCTTAGAACAAGAGTCATTCATTGCGGTAACACTAGTCACGCCCCGACCTGTGGCGGTGGCGTCAAAACTGTGGGGCCTGTATGTTTTTGTCACTGCGTTATCTCCTTGAACTCTTAGTACCCTACCGCGATGACTTTCCGATCATTTGTTGCCATTAAGTACTCGGCTTGGGCCTCACTTTCACATCTTGGATCCATCCTCTGTATGCTGTCTGGAACGCTGGCGCTCACCTTGACAACCTCAAACCCGGGGTGTACAAAACCCTTATCTGCCGCTTGTCTGACGAGGATATGCAACGGGTCCAGTACGCTCTCAGGATCTGTATATCTGGAAAGGGCTATCTCTTCCCAAGCGCTTCATCCCAGACCACGTCCACAAGCAAGGGAAATCTATTCATGGTACGAGAGAGACGCGAAACTCCGTTGCTGCTTCTTCTCAGACTGGTAGACGGACGGACACCGCCGACACTTGCGATGAAGGGCATCCTGAAGACACCAACTACAATAACACCGGATACAGTTCACATATTAAACGCACCCAGACATCGTCCACCAGAGGCAAATCGAAGGCTGCCCCCTCTACTACGGCTTCCAAGGACATGAAGAATACGACGAGCAAGCCTGCTCCTGATAGGTCTAGGCGCGGGCAACGAGCTGAACGAGGATCCAGTCGCAGAGGGAGGTCGGGCCAGAGATCTGACTTGGAGGCCGGTCCTAGCTCTACTCGTCGGGCGAGCGTAGCAGAAAGCGAACAGTCGGCTGCGAAGAGCACCGCATCAAAGCCGCGTGCAAAGAGCGGGACGGCTTGAATTTATGTCTCCACATGTTTCGTCCTATCTCTGTAAATTAGTCCGATAAGGTCTATCGAATCGAACATTGACTGTGGGTTGTGCATGACCTCGTCCTGAACGATAACGAGACAGTCCTGTGAGATTACAATAGACACGGATTATTGAACAAAAGTATATGGTCTACGATTAGGTGGATAAAATCAACAAGTGAATTATTCTCGCACAAGTGAGGGTTAGAAATGTACTGTCATAGAAGACACCTTGCAGTGGGCTACAAGTTTAAACAAGACACAAGAAAGCAGGTGAAAGCCAAAACAGTCTCGATTCTGACGATGGCCACAAGCGCGCGGCTGCTGATCAAGGGAAATAACGAGCGAAAAGCCGGGAGTAAGGACTAAGAGTTGGATCTCAACGTGCTTTTTGTCCTAGCGCATGGTCACTGTAGACGTTTGGAACTATGTTTGTGAACTTATGTAAAGTAGTCTTGTCAAGTATCTTCAACCAGACGACGGAGGTTTTTATGGATATACACGGTCGAAATATCTTTGTTTCTACATCGCCATATTGTCTTCATACAAACTCTATTTCAAAGAGAACACTTCTTTAGACCTCCCCGCCAGTTAAGTCAATAGTGCGAAGTCGAAGTGCATCGACGATCTCGTCCTTTCCTATATCACGGACACCCACTTCGATTCGCGCTACCCTGTCCCGGAAAGCGCACTTTCGCCGATCGCACCGTCCGCAAGTGTCGATACGAGAATAAACGTGCTGTAGAGTTACCGTACCGAAAGAGAACAGACGGTCAATCAGCCTGTAAGACGTACATATCTGTGCCAAAAACGGCGCACCTTAAGTTTACTTCTAATTACACCACCTCCTCGCATTCTGGAACAACCTAAACCAAGGCCCCGTCCCTTCCCATTGCTCCTCCATTCCCTTCGGCGCCCACGAATTGCTCGCCAACGCAACCACCCTCTCCGGATGCGGCATCAACGCCAACACCCTCCCATCCCTCGTCTGCACACCCGCCACCGCACCCATCGAACCATTCGGGTTGAGCGGATACGTCTGCGTGACGTTCCCTTCTCCGTCGACGTATTGCAGAGCAAGCAAGCCTTGGGATTCGGCGCGTCTGAGGCTGGGTTCACCGCCAGAATATACTGCACGGCCTTCACCGTGTGCGACAGCGACGGGAATTCGGGAGCCGATCATGTCGTGCAGGAAAGGCGAGGAGCGGGTAACGGCGTTGTCCGTGATCTGAACCATAGTCACCCTTGCCTCGAACCTCCCACTCCTGTTCTCTTTGTACTCTGGCCAGCCAGCTCCCTGAGCCTCAGGCTCGGAGTCCTCGCCAGCACCGTTCCCGATCAACTCCGTCAAGCCGCTGAAGAACTGGCATCCGTTACACACGCCCAAAGCGAACGTATCTTTCCTCTCGAAGAAATCCTTGAACTCTTTCCGTGCGCCTTCGTGCAGCAGGACAGAGTTGGCCCAGCCTTTGCCGGCGCCGAGGACGTCACCGTAAGAAAACCCGCCGCAAGCCGCGAGACCAGCGAATCCTTGCAGACTGAGAGGTTCGCGGGAAGAAGTGGCAGAGGGGAACATGTCAGACATGTGAACATCGATAGCGTCGAACCCCGCTGCGTGGAACGCCCAGGCCATCTCCTGGTGTCCGTTGACACCCTGTTCCCTCAATATCGCGACCTTCGGACGACGCGTCAATGGCTTCGAGAGCAGAGGATCGTACTGGAACGTAAGGTCGTATGAGACTTTTGGAAGTGTGGGCGATGAAGAGGAGATCAAGTTGAATTCTTCCGTGGCACAGGCGGGATCGTCTCGGAGGGATTGCATCTTGTATGATGTGGATGCCCAGGTTTCTTGAAGCGCAGAACGGGTAAAGGAGAAGATAGTGGTGCCTCCGTGGATGATGTCGATGGACTGGTCGGAGGAGGGGTTGACGCTTCCGACGACATGAACGGAGGTAGATGGGAATCCTTCACGAGAGAACGCAGCGAGGAGATACTGCACGTTCGACTTCGCGACCTGCACCACCGCGCCCAACTCCTCGGTGAACAATGCTGCGACAGGGTCTTTACCTGACACTCCCAACGCGTCCAGGTTGATCCTCAGCCCGACCCTCCCCGCAAACGCCATCTCGGCGAGCGTGGTGAACAACCCTCCGTCCGAGCGATCGTGGTATGCCAGTACTGAATCTGGATTCGTCTCCCTCACCCTCTGCGTCCCCTCGAAGAACGCCCTCACTACCTTCGCATCCTCCACATCGGGCGCCTCCTCCCCAATCTCCCTGAACACCTGCGCCAGCGCCGATCCTCCCAACCTCGTCTTCCCACCCGCCAAATCAAAGAATACTAACACCGTCTCCTCCCCAACTTCTTCATCCGTCCTCAACTCCGGCGTCCAGGTCTTCCTCACATCTGCAACCCTCCCAAATGCAGTGACAATAAGCGACAATGGAGCCGTCACGTTCCTGTCGCTCCCATCCTTCTCGTTCATCCACCGCATACTCATCGACATCGAGTCTTTTCCTACCGGGATCCCGACACCCAAGGCAGGACACAACTCCTCTCCCACAGCCCTCACAGCTTCATACAACCCAACTCCCTCCCCTTGCACCCCCGCCGCACACATCCAATTCGCACTCAACTTGACCCTCTCCAGCTCTCCACTCCCGATATAGGCCGCCGCAAGATTGGTTAAACTCTCGCAGACGGCGATGCGCGCGCTCGCGGCTGGGGAGAGGAGTGCGAGGGGTGTACGTTCGCCCATGGACATTGCTTCGCCGAAAGGGAGGGTGAAGGAGTAGGAGGATCGCGTTACGGCTACGTCGGAGACGGGGGTCTGGTAGGCTCCGACCATTTGGTCCCTGGTGACGAGGCCGGTGATGGAGCGGTCGCCGATTGTGATGAGGAAGGATTTGGACGCGACGGAGGGAAGGCTGAAGACGCGACGGGTTGCTTCTTCGAGGATTGCGGTGAGCCCGCCAGTCAAGGAGGAAGGAATGTATTTGGAAAGGGAGGTATCGAAGGGGACGGTTTTGAGTTTGCGAGTAACGTCGTTACGAACCATACGAGGCGGTTTACCGAAGAGAGTCGACATCTTCAGGTTAATGACATCTTGTCCGAGTAGCCTATCCGTGACGACCAGCTCCTCTACCTCTGTCGCCTCACCCACGACTCCGAACAACGCCCTCTCCCGCTCCGCTATCGCCCTGAACACATCTTCGCCTCCTTCACCCGGCCCCACTGCGAGGACATACCTCTCCTGACTCTCATTGCACCAAATCTCCATTGGACTCAGCCCTCCATCCGCCACCGGAACATCCCTGATCTCGAACCTCGCTCCCAACCCCGAATCATGCACCAATTCCGGCAGAGCGTTGCTCAGACCCCCAGCTCCGACGTCGTGGATAGACTGGATAGGGTTCAAAGGCCCGAGATCGACGCAAGCATCGATGACCATCTGGGCCCGTCTCTGCATCTCCGCGTTATCCCTCTGCACGCTCGCAAAATCCAACTCTGCAGACCCCGCACCTCCGAGCGCACGAGATGACGCAGCACCGCCTCCGAGACCGATGAGCATCCCAGGACCACCGAGGACGATGATCTTGGCTCCGGGTGTGATCTTTTCTTTGTGCGCAAACTGAGGACGAACATTACCCAACCCACCTGCGATCATGATCGGCTTATGATACCCTCTAACCTCACCTCCTTCTCCTCCCTCGGCCTTGCCCACCCTCTCACAAAAAGTCCTAAAATAGCCCCCAAGCGCCGGCCTCCCAAACTCATTATTAAACGCGCTTCCTCCCAACGGGGCATCCTTCATGATATCCAACGCACTCGCAATATGTCCCGGCTTCCCAAAATCCTCCTCCCAAGGCTGCTCGTATCCAGGTATCATCAGGTTCGACACTGAAAAGCCCGCGAGACCGGCTTTGGGATGCGAGCCCCGGCCAACAGCACCTTCGTCGCGAATTTCGCCGCCAGAGCCAGTCGCGGCACCGGGGTAGGGAGAGACGGCAGTAGGGTGGTTATGGGTTTCTACCTTGATGAGAATGGGCATTTCTTCGTCTACCGTCCCGTAGAGCTTCAGGCCTCCCTCGGCGATGGTGGTAGTAAGACGGGGAGCGACGTGTCCCTCGAAAACGGCGGCGTTGTCGGAGTAGGCGGATATGGTGCCCTTGGGGTTGAGTTTTTCTGTGTTACGGATCATGGAGAAAAGGGAAGAAGGTTGAGATTTAGAGTCGAGGGTCCAGGACGCATTGAAGATTTTGTGACGACAATGTTCGGAGTTGACTTGCGCGAACATGAAGAGCTCGGCGTCGGTCGGATCGCGGGACATTCCTCCGTATGCCGCGACGAGGTAGTCGATTTCATCAGGTGCGAGGGCGAGTCCTAACTCTTGATTCGCTTGCGAGAGGCGGTCTTTCGGGGAGGAGTCCAGGGAGACATGGACGAGGGGAGCGGGAGAGCGATGACGGAAAATGTCGGCTTCAGCGGGGAGTGAAAGTTGGGCGATTTGGGTCATACGGTCATGTATACATGGACCGAAGGAGGTGAGGTCAGAGGATGAGAGAGGCTTGGAGTCTTTGAGGGTCACGACGTAGGCTATGCCGCGCTCCAACCTCTCGATGTGCGTCTTCAGGTTGCAAAGTGCAGCGATGTCAGTCGCCTTGCTAGACCACGGCGAGATTGAGCCTGGACGAGGAACGACATAGATGACATTTCCGGAAGGATTCTGCAAAGACTCGACGGTTCCAGGAAGCTGGAGGTTGTCGCCGTATGCAAGGAGACGGTCAAGGACAGGACGGATAGGAGAGGTAGGGTTGGAGAGACCGGATTCGGCTTGGACGGAGGTGGGGCTAACAAGGTGTATCCAGACTACGTCTACTGACTGAACAGATGGATTGGCACGTTGAAGATTGGAGAGAAGAATGTCGCGCCTTGTGGCGGACAGGACAGATGATCCCGGAAGGACGAGCATCGTTGCCTGTAGGTTGATTGATGTGGCAACCACAGTTTTCAGGATGAGTATGCGGCTAAGCGTATCTGAAGTGCTGATTCAGATATCAGGCGTCACGTACCTTGGTTCGCGAGATATACACAGATATAAGTTCGATGGGTTAGAACAAGTTGTTCTATGGTAGGAAAAGTGCCACACGAATTGGACGTCCGAGATCAGATTAGCATCCAAGTCAAAAACCACCTGACGGTGAACGCACCTACAGCGCAGATATAATCCGCTATCTACAATTTGTACAATGTTTCAAGCTCTGAGCATAGAGATCCTAAACAATCGAGCACCCACTGTCAGTGCATAATAGACGAAACACGATATAGCAAGTCTGGCAAGGCGCACCGGTGCTAGAAGCCCACAAGTCTGCTAGAGAGATGGATAAGTCGTTCCATACCAGTATGAAAGACAAAGTGAGGAAGAGTAAGAGAAGGGGTACAGACCAAGAGCGTTATGGGTCGAGTCAAGTCCCGAGAGTAGAAAATCTTTGTGCAGATCTTCGACGAGACCCTAACCTTGAAACGAGGTTTGCTTCTGTGTGACGTTTGTGGCGGCCTCAAACATTTTAAACAACTTAAACATTGATTACTGCAGAGCAAGAGAACGAGACAGGAGTACATAAGAGCGCAACATTGTATCATGCATCCGAGCTGAGTGAGTAATTAGAAGAAAAGAACAAACGCCAGGATACACATCAAACTTCAGTACTCGTCCCTCGAGACGCCCAACGCGCTGAAGCGGTGTTCACCCAACCGTTTAGCGAAGTCGGGTTGCCAGTCCTCCCAATCTCCATCAGGGACTTCCGCAGGCTCCTCGTCATAATCCGTAGGTGCTGAAGTCGGTTTTACAGACGGAGAAAGTAAGTCGATGAAGGAGTCATCTAGACCGCCAACGTCGACAGATCGCGAATCAACGGCCCATTTGTCGATGTCTTGAGGCTCGTAGGGAGCGAGAGCGGCCGGGCGATCATCTTCGTCTTCCGATTCCTCGTCGGACTGGTCTTCTTCAGAGACGAGCTCAGCCTCAGCAGACTGGGATCTACTTGAACTAAAGCAGAGAGACGGCTGGTTGTTGGTATACGACACCTCCGAGGGGATCCCGGCAGGTCGACGATAGCCTGATGGAGCACCGGTCGAATAGCCTGCGCCGGGGCTGCCTCCCGCACTCGGCGAAGTCGAGCTGCCGTCGGTTGACGGAGACGGCCCAGGCGACCCAGGGTGATCGTTGCTGTCGCCCTCAGCGTCCGGTTGGGGAGGGGGGGACCTTGCGCGGGCCTTGGCGAGATTATCTTTCTTGATAATAGTGTTCCAACGCTGGACGATATTGCTCGCCATCTGCATCATGCCCCAATGTCGATCCGAAACGAAATCTTCTTCGTTCATATTGCCGAAATCTTTGACAGCTTTCCATATGACGGCGTAAGGATGGGCTAGAGAGTGAATCTCCGGATAGTCGTCAAAGTTCGGCGGGCGGAAAAAGTCGCAGACGTTGGGCACGAGTTCCTTATACTCTTTGCCAGGTTCGAATCGGCGTCGAATCAGGGGTACTGTCTTGCTACGTTTGCCGACAGGGATAAACTTGTAGCGATGTAAAGCGAGGTTCAGATCCCCTTTCTGAGATGCCAGCATGAGAAATTGGTGAGTATCACTATTCTGGAATGTATAAGGCCCACCCATACCGAGTTCAACCACGGCACGGCCTTTCCCGCTTCCTTAGGGTTGCCTACATGCTCATCAAGTCGCAAAAATATCTTCCTCATTATATCATTATGAGGAAGAATGCACAGATCGTGACCGTCGAAAGACGCGTGCCAGTCGGCGCGGACTGGAAAGTAAAAAGGAAGATCGTCAGGTCTCGAAGACAACTGTCGACAGGACGAGAATTACTGACGAGGAATAATGTTCTGAGGGCAGTCCAGGTTCAAGTCTCCTATGTTAAGCCCCCATGCTCTCTCGATATTGCGATTCTATTTTAATAGCTCAGCGAATGCACGAATTGATGAACGGGTCGAACGCACCTCTTCCGGACCTGTCGACTGAGAAATCAGATGGGCACCTTGGACGCCGCACCACTGAGTCATCCCATCCTCGTCTTTCCAAGGGGCCAGGGTCAACGCGCACCAGCGATGAACGTCGGAAGTTTTGACGTTGACTTTCGAGGATTTGTCGACAAGGGGAATCATTTTGTTCATGACGTCGGCGTAGGAAGATGTGGATTTGTGTGATTTACGATTCAGTGAAGGGTTGTAGCTGGCGTTGTCCCAGATATCAACCTTCTTGGTGTTGAATGTATTGCCGTCGTCGACCTCTACAGGGTACTTGACGTTGAGTGACGCGAGGCGGGAGTGACGCGAAGAAGCAATAGATCGAGAATCAGCCATGGTGGTACGAAGTAAGGAGAGGATAGGATCACAGGATCAAGGAAGAGCTTATTTGTATCTTACCGTGGTTATTGTTCTCAATGCGAGTCAGAGACGGACAATGGCGACAGCCACGCACAAGACACGCAGCATAATCGATGTTGAACATTCGGCTCCGGGCTGCTTCGATACGGCCTTCGGGGTTTGAAACCCACGTGGGAAGAACCCGAATCTTGCCGTTCTTTCCCAAGCTATACCCGATTGGGGGCGTTCTTTAGGACCACCCAAATACGCGTTAGAATGCCGTCAGCGATCGCAGCCTCCAGAGCTGCCCCTTGAAGCACAAAATACCATTACCAAAATTTAAAGGCAGGTTCACCAAACTCATCTTGGTTTCTCTCAAAATTGCCGGAAGTTTAGCCAGAGTTTAGCCCTTTCGTGGGGACGCCGTGGCGGAGGATTGATGCCTCATAGAAAGGCGTTCCTGTGGAAAATGAGAAGGAAGACGTCCTTTTCTCACGCTACTATGACTCGTATGTGGACGCTGCATTATCGATGGGCTGATAAGCGTCCTTTGACACGGTACTTTGTTATAGCGACACGTTTTCAAATTGTTCGCGTCCGGCGTTGATTTGAAAGGGATAACGATGACTATATATTGGAGAACGTTCGTGTCAGTTTCGTTCGACTTCTTTTCCTTTCCATCCCCCACCAACACCTCTGTGCTCCTTATCTCTGATTAGGCATGGCGACCTACAATGTTCCACCGCCTCCCATCTATCGAGGCGTGACCAAAAAAGAAGTACTCCCTTATGAAACCCCTCACGAAAGCATTCAACCGCAGACACACATGAATTCGGCTGCGATATCCCGCCTCGAACAGCGAGCTGGGCTTGACGCCAACATATGCCTTATTACTCTGGAGTCACATGGCGCCTCTATCGATCGCGCACACATTGTCGACAGAGCCAACCTTCCAAAGGCGGAGGTCAGTGTTTATCTGCATCCCAGTTTGATCGTCACTCATAGGCCGCATTTGAAACGCCCAAGGTTTTACACCTCGAATATATCTTTGGACTCCCGCCTGACGAATTCCACTCAGACTCCTCGTTCAACGTCGTCTATTGTGAGTGCATCTGTTATGGCGCCGTCACTCGCGCACACTATTATTCATTATGTGGCAGTAAGACGAGATATACATGTCATGTTGGACCAGTTTGGTTGCGCGATATTACCAAGTCTGAAGATTATGGAAGCGATTCATGAATACTTCAAGGGCATCATCGACGAAAGGAAGCAGGTAGAGACCTCCGAAAAGGCGAAGAAATCCAAAAAGAAGGGCACCAAAGAAGCTGAACCCACGCCATTCAAGAACTGGAAAGAGGTACGTCGGATCGGTTATGTGAGCTGAGATCATCCGCACGACAACACCCCCTTTGCGCAGCACGACTTTGTTAAGAACGTGGAGAGGTTTCAGTATTACTTCATCCCTCTCCTCTGCACTCAGAACTTCGGCGTAGTCATCGATCGCGCAAACGAGGCCTACTTCGATGGGAAGAATTTCCCCGTGCTCTCTTCGTGGATTAATCCGTTGACCGCGATTTGGAACGCCGGACCCAAAATCGATGCGCTCGACAAGAGCTCTCGGTTTTCTCTGCTCTTGCTGGGCTGGCCGACGGTGCAACTTGTGACGAAGGCGTACGAGATATGGAGGCTCTGGAAATCTGTGTCCCTTCCACAGGAGTACGTTCCCCAACCGCCGAAGTCTATATTGGCCTCGTCTCCGACGCGTGAGTCCGGGCCATCGAAATCCCAGGCGAAGCCCCAAACAAGGTCACAGATATCGATCCCTTCGAAGACCGCAGACGACGCGCAGGCTGGTCCGTCCAGGGGTGTTGGTAGGCCGAGACCCGTCACTCGTTCCTCTCGATCTGTCAACAGTGCGATGGCTAGCCTTAATCTCAAGGACGGTGGAGACGCGGCAAGTCAGAAGAGCAGGGGCAGCGGTACGAGCAAGAAGGGAAAGGGGAAAGCCCGTGCTGACGATGAATAAGAGGAGGCGACCCGAGACCACGATTTGTTTGATGTATTGTATGATAGTGGAAGTGCCAGAGACTACCGTTACGCCTCTTTCGTGTTTGCTTAGCGTGTAAATATTACTCCCATACTGTGTTGTTATATGGATCCGAGTGTTGTTTCTGTGTCTCATCTTCGGTAGCGTCTTGATCACAGCAATTGCTTGTGTGTGAAGGGTCGTCGAACTGCGAAGATCGTGGTCGCCCCATCAGGTCGAGGTCACGACCTCCAAAAGATCAATTACTAGCTTAGTAATATGAAAGCGACCTGCTCCAGTGAAGACAGCTTCAATCTCATTCCATTCTCGTGGACGTCGGTGTAGCTCAGTAGCAGGAACCTTACCCCTACCAAGTATCGCCACCTCCTATACTGCCATGCGGCGGGCGATGATCAAGTGAATTTGTACCACATCAGCACTTGATAGTCTCCGTACTAGCGACTCACAGCACCATCTAGAGCTTCGGAACGGCAAAACGCACCACCAGTCCCAAGAATCCCTCTCCAAATTTTGTGCTTCCTAGATTTCGTGTTTCTACGCGGGTATATTTAGCGCCAGGAAAGGCATGATTCGAAGGAGAACGGGAACGCACCTCTTCCGACCCTATTGATGGAGGAATAACATCAGCGCCCTCGACGCCAGACCACTGGGTCACTCTATTTGGGGGTGTAGCCATCGCGAATGCGGCAGGTATCGATGAGGAAAGAGTAGTTGAGTTCTGCGTACACTTCGTCTCTGTAACGTTAGAATGACCTTTAGGAGGAGCGAGTGCGATAGAGATCATGACCGAGTGTCGTGCTGAGCTGGGCATAGTCAGGCTTGACACGGGAGATAAACAGGAACAAAGCTGTTACGTGATTATTGTGGCGTTTCAACGCGTATATTGTGGCGCTCTGTCTACGGCTTCGAACCAAACTCTGGATAGTGAGTTCAGACGGATGGCGAAAATAGAGGCCTGTGTAAAAGATTGCTGACAAGGATGAGTGGTTATCTTGGGTATGAAGAGCGTCTTCGGAGGCGAAGGCATATGCGATTATCGACCAAGCTTCGAATCCCCCAAGAGGTTCGGGGGCGGTAAGTATTACAAGTTAACCTACCGCTCTGCTCACCGTATACTCATAAGCTCCAATGCCCAGCGTACCTCTACCAACTGACATGGAAGTGCTCAAGCTCAGAACTCGTCTAATGGACCTTCTTTTTCCTTCCGGACAACCGTATGTTTTTACTGTCTCCGAAAGCGTATCATTCACCTAGTAAACTCCTTGTCAAAGGAGAAGTAGCTCGAGGATCAATTCCTGCGGAAGTGTGATAGATGCCACCTGAAGAAATGGTCGTTCTGGTTTGGAACGCGATGAGCGTTCAAGTTGAGCGCCGTGGAAACGGGTCGTCGACGTTGTCGGACGAGGTCGGACGCGACGCGACCGGCTGCTTATTTTCTCAACCCTCTGCGTTTGTACGTCCATGAAGATTCATGCTCGCTATCTCTTACAACCTATCTCATACTTGTCGCATACATATCAACCTGTCTAGCTACTCGCCATAGTCAAGCAAATACTACTGCCTTCTCAGTCATGAAAACAACATCCACTCAATGAGCATATCTAGCTATGTACGGCTCTTCGATCTCGTTCTCGTCTACATACGCTTCGCGAAGGCTATCGCAGACCCTGCTCTCTTCGTTCTCATCTCGTCATGGTGAAGATATTCTCTCCGAGATGTTCAACGAACTCAATTTTCCTCGCACCGAGCGAACCAACCCATTGCATCCTGGTTAGCAGCGACCATCCGAAGGAATAACAAAACGACAACAGCTATCAAAACACGATGGCCAAAGTTAAAATAGGAATATAATCCCCAAGCTTGCTCGGTGCTCGTTGCCTATCAGGCACATAAGTTAGATATTTAGGCTCCAAGGTGCGTCTCTCTACGTCTCTTCCCTCTCCTATCCCTTCCTCGAAGCGCGCGTCCGAAGTCTCGGCATCCATCCATACCTACCATAGCTCTTACAACGGAATATTCTCCTTGTTGTTCTATTTGTCGTCGTCCTCGAAGAACGACTCGTCAAATGGCCGCGCGGACGCGTTGAAATCCTCTGGGACCGGCTTCTCATCCTCCACCGTCAACATGGCAACCGAAGACTATAAGGGCTCTCCGTCAGTCTCAGTCTCTCGCACGAAGCAACTACGATACACCTCACCTTGCGCTGGCCAGCCTCTGTCACGTTCACCTCCCGAACCGTCACCCCGTTCACTTCAACCACATCCTCATCAACCATCTTCAAGATCCCCTCCTCGATGTGCCCCCAGTCGAATCCTTCCTCATCCGTGACAGAAACAGAAGACGATTCTTCAAAGTCATAGGCTACAGACGCGACGCCTTTCACCCAACAAGCCACATCCTCCACTGACTTCTCCATGCCGCTCGCGAGCTCCGGACTCAGGGCCACATTCTCGTCAAGCAGAGGGCAGAAGTTGTGTGGAGGTGTGATGGGGCCCGAGCTATCTCTGGAGATTTCTCCACTGTCCGATATCTCGAGGTCGGCGAGGGGAAACCTATGGTGAACGCGGGCGATAGCCTCCCTGGGTGATATGTAGGAGGTCTTGCTCCAGGTTGTGCTCTGACTGGACCTGGAGGACGGCGGCCAAGCGGTGGACATGGGGTCTTCCGACGGCGAACTGCACGAGACAGAACTTTGAGGCTTCCCAAATGGTGGCCAGCTAGTGGTCTCGATGTTGAGCTTGGGCCTAGATTGGGCGTCGTCGTGCTGAGGATTCTCGGTGAGTGTCAGACCTATCTTGTTCAATTCTGCAGACGTACCACAACGAAAGCCTCCATATGGGCGTACCAAGAGTGGTAAATGCGACGTGTCCCTCGCCTCCCGTTTTCTGTGCTGTCATCAAACGCAATCTCGTAGCCAAAGCTGCGAAGGGCGGAGTTCACGCGGGTGATGGACATTGTGGCGTTTGTAACTTGAGCGGTGAGTGGCGTGATAAGAGGGTCGAGGGTGGGATGCAATACAAAATCGTATGGGGATGATATGGTGGAAGGGGACGATGAAGATGTATATGCGAAGAACTTGGAGGTCTTGGTGTTGGTCCGGGGCTAGGGAGCTTCAAGTTCAGCTGCTTCTGCTAGGACGTCAAGGCTCGGGGCTCGAAGCGAAAGCGGTGTGCAAATAGAAAGCAGTCGGTGCGTTTGTATTATTCGTGGGCAGAGATAGGCTGTATTATGTGGGGGGTGAACGCTGGGTTGTGACCGGGGTGGCGAAAGAACAGTCCCAACGTCGAGAACGCGCTTTATGTGTTCGCGTCTTATTGGTCACATGACCCGCGTCGCCCTCAATGCCTCATTGTGGCAAGTCGTGCGCTTTCCCCTTTGTACGCCCTTGGTTACTGCATTGTTTCTTTGTTTCCTTTGCCATGCACTGGTGATGTCTCACTTACCGCGTGAGTCTTTACACCAGTAGCAATTTCTCCAGTTCATCCGGTCTTGATGAAAGGTGAAGTACGAAATCTCAAAGAAGCTGCTCCAATGCCCCATTCAAACTCATCCATGGTCTTGATGCAATCACTATGTTTCTTGTTGTAATACCGGTATGTCCGACGGAAGACTATTCACGGTCCTCATGTCGCCCTCACATATTGGTACTGTAGTGGCTCACCTCTGACAATGCTCCTGGCTGTTCCCTCGCAATCGCTGTCGATTTACATGTACATTGTGCAGTCAGTGTTTAGCAATAATATGATTACGGTTTAAACTGCCTTGAGCTCTACATATCTTCAGTTTTCGAGGACTGTACAACGGAAACAGATCGGAAGTATAAGTAAAGTGCCACACTCTGTGGCGTCCATAAAGCCGGGATCGGACCCCACATCTCGGCCCGAGTGGCGCGTCTTATTACACGCGAAGAGCTGTTCATCCACATCCACAACCAATCCACAATAAGAACGCGAGCTTCAGCTTACGCCAGATCGCCAGTTCTAGGTAAGTAGCAGACGTTCCGTTTACAGAAGCTCTCCTCGCCATAGATTTGCGTCTAACTTCCGTCTGGGAACGCTTCATCTGATTTTATCGCATAGGGGCTTGATTTGGATGAGTACTGGCTCAGAACGAACGCCACACGTTTCTGTGGCTCAACCGATGGTCACCCAGCTCGCAGCCAGCGCAAAATTTGCAGGCGTTCGAGATACTTCTTCTCAGCTCGAACCAGCCACAGAAAACCCAACAGTCCCTGGGTTACACGCATTCTATACTGATCGCCATCAACGCAGCCAAATCTTCCGCCTACCCACGGAGATCCTCGAGAGCGTCTTCTTCCATTGCACAGATCCGGCTCGAAACCATGGACATGACGTCGAGCCACTCACGGAAAAAGCGTCACTCCCCACTTTGGCGGCGGTGACCCACGTCTGTCAAAGTTGGCGGTCGGCTGCCCTCAAGTACGGCGCACTATGGTGTCAGATCTCTGATAATTTACGAGGTCGATGGTCATCGGTCTTCATCGAGAGGTCCGGGCCTGCACCAATCGACGTACACATCACTCTTCCTCGACACCCTACCAGAACACGAGTAGCCATCCAGTCTCAACTTCATCGTGTACGAGAACTTCATGTCACTGGTCGTCCCGACGATATGTCGATTTTCCTTCTCGGAATTCGTAATCAACCAGCGCCAATGTTGCGAAGCCTCGCTTTCCACAGACCTCCCGAGAATCTACGCGTCACCTTCACCGATCCGTATTATCTCACTCTTCCGAATGAATTGTTTAACGGTGTCGCACCTCGGCTCGAAGAACTCACGCTATGCTCCAATATCGAGGTCCAATTTTCATCCCTCATCATCTCCAACCTTCGGTCCTTGCAGGTCCATGGTGGTCTGACACTTTCCAGACTCCACGCAGTCTTACGCCACACTGCGAATCTCCAAAGTTTATTTGTATATTGCGGTTTCTACGATGAAGAGGTCTTCGACTCTCTCCCGCACGGCATCATAGGCATCGGGGGCCTCGCAGACGACACCGTGGACGTATCTCCGATAGAACTCACACACCTAGAAACTCTATTCCTCGAATGCGACAGTTTCGGCGACTCCGCTCGCTTCATCGATGGTCTTCGTTTCCCTAAAACCACGTTCATAAGCCTTTTGGTGCCACTCTACATGCAAGGCAACACTGCAGAACTCGTCGTCGCCGTCCTCCTCGACTCCATTGCCGATCACGTCCGTGGAAGCGACAAGCACGGAATCAGCCGCATCGAGAGTGTTTCGTACGAACATACCACCCTCAGAGACGACACGAGCATAATCGGTATCACCGGTTGGTCGGCCGACCCTCACGGTGGACCATCACCCATCTTTCCCGGATCGCCATCGTCGACCCGCGCTCCGATATTCGAACTACGGTATACTTGGGAACCCTATACGAGACAGAGCGAAGTGATGTGGGAACCCCTTTTCGTCACCTCCAATACGCTTCCGCTCGCCGGTACCCGTTTCCTCGCGATCACCAACAAGTCTTTCACGCAAGTGGAGACCGGACGCCGCGATCTGTCGGGCTTCAACGATGTCGAAATCCTGCTCGTCAAAGGCGAGCAATGGGAACTATCGAGCCTTCTACGAGCCATCTCTGCCCCTATCTCATCACATCCGGTCGTCGGCCACCTTGGGGCTACTACATTCAGTTCAGTGGGTGGCGAGGTGGAGGACGCGACTGCTACGATACTCTTGCCGCGCTTGAAAAATCTGATCATCACGACGCGGGACATCAAATCCCTCGGAGGGAGGCTGGTAATCGACCTGGTCAAGCTCGTGCGGTCAAGGAAGGGTGTCATGGACTCTGTAGCGTTTGAGGGATGTGATTGGGTGTCGCCACATATTTCGAACATGCTCAGGCCGTATGTGAGGGTGACATGGGACGGGAAAGGGCCTGAACATCGTGCGCCGACGACTAGTAGGAATAAGAGACTTGGGACGCTTCCTGAGGGTGGCACTATTTAGTTTATTAGTTCTGTTCAAAAAAGAACCGCTGCATGGTGAGCCTTTCTGCGCTCTTATAGACGGCCGAGAAAGCTGACTACTAGATTGTAGCCGCCCCGTATGAAACTTCTGCACAGTAATCACAACATTGCTATCTGGGACTTCGCGCAACACAGGGACGAAACGCATCAGTCGTGATTTATCACGCGAATGACCTCGAATATATACAGGTCCATAGCATATGTGGATAATTTGCGGCTTCAACTGTCGCTGTACTCGTAAAACCCCTTCCCGTTCTTCTTCCCATACCACTGTGCATCGACCATACGCTCCAGGAGGACACTGGGGCGGTACTTGGAGTCTCCCGTACCCTCGTATAAAGTTTGCTGGATGGCGAGACATGTATCGAGACCGATGCTGCATACTGTTGTTAGCATATCGCTTTTATGGGATATGTAAGACGTAGAGACTCACAAGTCAGCTAGACGCCCGAGCCATGTATGAGTTGTAAGTAAAGGCAGTTAAGAGTGAAGAGTGGAAGGCGGCGAAGTGGAAGGTACGGACCTAATTGAAGCGGACCCATCGGGTGGTTCATGCCCAATCGCAGGGTCTTGTCGATATCGTCTCGAGAAGCGACGCCCTATCGACGGTATGAGTCAATACCTATCTGCAATGGAGGGTCATAAATGAAAATACCTTCTCTAACCACATGATGGCCTATTAATGGATGTAGTGAGTAAGAAAACCCTTCGGATGAAGTGTGGGCTTGCGCACCTCATTGATGAACGGCATCAGCAAAGCATTCGAGACGAAACCTGGGACATCCTGTGAGGTCGTCACTTCTTTCCCGCACGCAATGGCAAATGACCTTGCACGGTCAAGCGTCTGAGGCGACGTTTGTAGTGCAGAGATTATCTCGACGAGTTTCTAGCACCCCGGTAGAAGGTCAGGAACGTGGGTGGCGTTGTGGCGTGGAAACCCACCATGACAGGAACTGGGTTGAAGAAATGCAGACCTACACGACAGCTTCAGCGTTCACAGGGTGCTCTCAGACGTTGGGATACATGAAATGAGGGATGAACGTACCAACTACTCGAGAGGCGCTTTTCTTTCCGGCTTCCGATGCAGCTGTCTGGCCCTGTGGAATAGTCGCCGCCGCAATCTTCGTGATAGAAATTGACGACGTATTCGTAGCCAGAATCGCATCTGGGCCAAGTTGTGCAGATAGATCTCCAAATATATTTTGCTTCAAATCCAACTTCTCCGAAACTGCCTACCCGGCATCACGATGCGCTCAGTTCCAGCCCCTGTTCAAGTACACAAGAGTGGTGTGGCCCACGCACCTCAATGACCATATCGACATCCCTCAAACCTGAAATGCCTTTGCTACCATCTATTACGGTGATTCTGTCGCGTGCCTCTTTGGCGTCGATATCTTGGATCTTGCCTTTGGATACGTCCTTCGCTAAGAGCTTGTCCATGAGTTTCAGTCCTTTCCCAATCTGTTCGTCTGAGCGGTCGTGTAGCAAAACAGGAATTTTGGCGCGAAGAGCTGCTACGTATGCAATCCCAAGCCCTATATCATGGATGGAAACAAAATATGTGTTAGGTTAATTGTTGAGAAAGAATGATTAGCACGCACCCATCTGGCCAGCACCCAAAACGCCGAGCGTTCTCACACCGTGAGCTACTGCCTGAGCCATTTCTAGAAAACACAAAAGCAGAAGCGATTTCAGTATATGCTCAATACGCAAGGCATTCCGCTCACAAGCAGAACGAGGCCTAGAAAGAATGTGGTGGATAGTATTCAAGAGCTCGTTCGTCCAACATTCGCGTGCGGGGTAAGTAGCAGTTTCACATGATTGGCCGCGCATATGATCCGGATGCGGCGGTAGAGGGACTATGACGACGTTCTTTGCTCGCCACCATGACCTCGATCAGCATTTATTCGACTCCGTTAACTGTGACCATCACAACATCTAGGGCCTCTGGACATTGTTGTCAACGATGACGAGCTCTCTTCCGCCACTGGTCCAGGCATTTTCGGGAGCTGTGGGTAGTGCAACTGCCAATGCGGTCTCGTACCCACTCGACCTTGTCACAACGCGACTACAAACCACAAAGTCTAAAAGACTGCAAGGTTAGTTTGCTGCAGATGAATACTACATGGCCCTCCGAAAGGCTAAGACGTAAGTGATGTGGACAGGAATTCGTGGTGCTCTTGCTGTCCTTCACTACACGGTCGAGAGATATGGCGTCTCCGCCTTGTACGACGGGCTAGCGTCAGACACGGCCTCGACGATGTTGTCTAAGTGAGTACTATCGCCTTTCGCTTCAGAAATTTTACCAATAATTCGACTGTCTAGCTTTCTGTACTTCTATCTGTACTCGTGGTTGCGTGCAAGCTTACTTCGGCGACTATCCCGCCAATCCGTCTCTTCCAAAGTGCCACTTCTATCTATACCCCAAGAACTCGGCATAGGATTTGTCGCAGGGGTCGCCAGCAGACTCATCTCGACCCCACTGAGTCTGATTACAATACAACTTCAGATGGAGAGGGAAGGAAGCGACGATGAGGTTGAAGAAGTCGAGGAGAAGGTTGAGCAAGGCAAAGGTAGGGACGTGGAGAAAAGCGTGAATAAAAGAAAGGGTCTGCTTGGGATTATGAGGACCATATACGAGCAACGCGGTCTGGCCGGGTTTTGGAAAGGTTATCATCGAACATATATATTTATTGCACGACGAGCACACTGACAAGACTTGTACACAGGTTTCGATACGACTGTTCTACTGTCGCTCAATCCATCTATCACCTTTGCCTTCTTCCAGCTTTATCGCCAAGTCTTTCTCCGAGGCGAGCAGCGTAATAAACCTCCCGCTCTTCATGCATTTCTTGGAGCCGCCGTCGCCAACTCGATAGGTACGCCACCGATAGCTTCGAGTGTCTGTGGTGTTTTGTGGCGCTGATCATTTTGTGACGCAAGCCGTCTCAATACTGTACCCTCTCATCCTCGCGAAGACCAGGGTCCAACTCGCAAAGGATAACCCGTCGCGAGCGACTCGTGTAAGTACTAGGCGGGTGCTGTATGATGCTTACCGAAGGCAGGGTGGATTTCCGGGAGGAATGTATCAAGGTTTGGAGGCCCAGATTGCAAAGGGATTTTTGAGCCAGGGTATCACCTTCATGGTCAAGCAACGGTAAGTAGCATTTGAGTCCAGGCGTAAACATATCTCACTAACACCCCTTGTGCCTTCAGTGTGGAACACTTAGTTGTGGCCGCTGTGATGATTATGCGCAAATAATATTTGAAGACAACCGGTTCTGACTGGTCTTGCACGTATCATCTCGCAGCCCCGAACGGATTGACGATTCGAGAGCGAAAATATTCATCTCATAGCGCAAATGCAAATGATCAATCCGTAAGCTCTCCGACTTCCTCTTCCCTTCATACATGTACATCCCTCTCTTCTCCCAGTCTCCAAGAGTTCCTCTACGGTGGCAAAGCGAATGCCTTCGAATAGCGTCTCCCTTTGTTTGTGAACGATATCGTTTGGCAATGCGGACGCGCCTGAAAATTTCCACTCGTCCATGTAGGCCCTCGCGAGCGTGACTTGTTCCTCTGGCTCGGCATAGCAGTCCGCGATCTCGCGATATATCTGCGCTGGCGTCCGATACTCGACCGACTCGAACTTCCTACCTATTCATGACAACAATAACTATAAGTTTCCCCGGGATTCAATATATTCCTGTATGTTAAACTCACCATGAAAATTCTGCACCCATCCCAAAGCCTCATTCCACGTTCCCTCCGTGCCCATCACATACGTCTCTTCAGGCCACTCACCCCTCGGAACTTCGATCAGCCTGACCAAAGCCTTGGCCACATCCCTCCCTGCCGTCCATCCAATCCTCTCCTCTCCCGTCCCCGGAATAACGGCCTTCCAGTTCTTGGTATCGAGTGGCCAGAATCCATCCGGCATGTCCTTATAATATCGCTTTTCGGTCTCGCCAAAATAATCCATGAACCATCCCATGCACATCAACGTCCACTCAACCTCCTTCGACTCGTCATCGCGATGGAGTTGCTTATGCTTGCGGAGCGCTCGACGCAGGGCGCCGTGCGTGGGGATATAAAATCGAGGTTTATCGGGATGGTTGATCAGGTCTCCACCGTACTCTGACGGCACGAATCGAGTGCAGTCGGAAGAGAGCGAGCAGGCGCGAAGCATGGCAAGGTGGGCGGTGTTGTAGAACGACGGGTCGTTGGAATGCAGGAAGGAGAAGAGGATGGTTGCGTGGGTTGTGTTGAGGATGGAGAGGAGGGAGGATTCGGTGTAGTCTGTTATATGTTGGGTGATGGAGGGGCGGTTGAACCAGGGTCGTTCCTGTCGTGGTATGAGCGATTAATGAGCTAGTATACTTATGTTAGTGAAGGCAAAAGGGTACGTACGGCTCTGGTGATGAGGACGATAGAATACCGGTTTGTTTTCTCGAGTTCTTCGACGAGGTATTTCGCGGTGTCTGAGGCGCCTGCGATAGCGACAACCTGTTTATCGGCCATGGTGCTTGATTAGTCGAGTGGGGATGTATCTGTACGGTTTCTCCACGACGCGTAGCGCACCCTCTTTATAACACTAGCTGTGGCGTTGGTCTGTGGCTGAAAAGCAAGTCCCTGCCCATCATCCACTTCCTTCGTCTTCCTTCGACCCCATTGAAACTATGATCACTAAGCAGATAGGCTTGGCGACCCACTTAAACATCAAACTTGGGACGAATGTTACGGTGGAGATCTTTTTGGAGTAACTACGCGGTCTGTTTATTCTGAACGCAGTGGGCATTAGGAGACGCAAGCACCTTCCAATACGCTATGCTGAGCTCGAGGTGACGGTGCCACCTGCTGAGCCAGGATGGCGCCAAAACGCTGGGCCTCTAGACTTTGAACATGCGGCCATCGCTGGATTGTTTCCTGTTCTCGAGAAGATTCTCGTTTATTTACCCATCGTTCTCGGGGCGAGTAAGGTATTCGTCTCATCGCAGTCTCCTGCAGATCGGGTCGTACTCGGATTGCAGATTGCATAATTATAGGAACCGAGCTGCTAAATCTCAGAAAGGATGAGCTGACTTACGAATGCAAAGACGTCCGAGTCAATGAAAGCAGCCACGAACTTTGCTATATGTAGACAAGAAGGACAACCGGAAAATAAGGAAGGCCTACCTAGTACAGCATGCATGTCCTGTACTTCTGAATGCAGTGCTGTTTTACAGAATATCTTCATGTTTTCCTGGAGCATATCAATGGCCTAGATCTGTGCCTCGCTCTTCGCGAGCAGGCTGAGAGGCGCTGGCTTGATATCTACGTGATGGCTGGACGGTGAACTCGGTAACTCGGAACAGCACGATACTTTCGCCACAACGCACCACAATATTCGCCACACCCCCAAAACGTGCAACTCCATCAGCGCACCGGGAGAGATCGGATTTCCGTTCCGGACGAAACACGTCCTCTTGGGTCTGAATCGTGTGCGTATTCCAGTCAAACACGCTCATCGTACGGCAAGCAACCGCAGAAACAGGACAGCATCGTGATGATAGTCAACAAAATATCCGTAAGAGGAACCCTCTGAAGTTGAACGCGTTATCATCGAGGCTGGCGGACGCGGGGATGTCGTAGCGTGTCTGGGTGAGTGCGCCGAATGCGGGGTTGTCGCGCGACGGAGTGGGGCCAAACAAAGACCAAACAAAGACGTAGGTTATCAGGTCGTTCGCGCTGACTCTGTCGTTCCTCACCCGCCACCATGATCCCCTCATCAGTATCCCTGCTCTCCTTCTCCATCGGACTTGCCGCACAGGCAGTCGCCTCTCCGCTCTCTACTAATTCCAACAATGTCAACGCCAATTTCGCCCGCACGTCCTCGCTGCCGCTCGCACCGTTGCTCGGTGCCTCCCATGACGCACCCCACGGGACCGTCAACAACTCGTACATCGTCTTCATGAAGCCCGAGCTTCACAGCTCGGCGCTCTCCAACCACTTCAACTTCCTCGAGGCGGCGCACCAGGAGGACCCACTCGAGTCCGCTGAGGGCGAGAGCGGCGTCAAGCACGTCTATGACGGGCACATTAGGGGCTATGCGGGGTGGTTCACGGAGAACACACTCAATAAGATCAGGTCGATGCCTGAGGTCGACTTTGTCGAGAGGGATCAGATTGTGAAGACGCAAGAGGTTCAGGCGAAAGAGGTTCAGAGGTCGGCGCCATGGGTACGTTCTCCCTACATTCATCCCCCGCAGCTTATCTCCTGTTCGTGTGACGCGTCATACTTACTGTACCGCTTTCATTCATTTACCTATAGGGTCTCGCACGTATTAGCCACCGCCCCAGGCTCTCCTTCGGTACCTTCACTCGTTACGAGTACTCTCCCGATGGTGGTGAGGGTGTCGACGTCTATGTCATCGACACTGGTATCAACATCCACCATGCCGAGTTCGAGGGCCGTGCCTTCTGGGGCAAGACCATTCCTCAGAACGATGTTGACGAGGACAACAACGGTCACGGTACTCACTGTGCCGGCACCATCGCTTCCAGGAAGTACGGTGTTGCTAAGGCCGCCAACGTCATCGCCGTCAAGGTCCTCGGTTCGAATGGCTCCGGCACTATGTCGGACGTCGTCTCTGGTGTCGTCTTCGCCGCTGATTCCGCTGTGAAGAAGGCCGCCGCTGCTCTCGCTGAGCTCAAGGCCACCGGCTCGACAAAGCACAAGGGCTCTGTCGCCAACATGTCGCTTGGCGGTGGCAAGTCCAGGGCTCTCGACCAGGCTGTCAACGGCGCCGTCGACGCTGGGCTTCACTTCGCTGTCGCTGCCGGCAATGACAACAGGGACGCGTGCAACTACTCCCCCGCTGCTGCCGAGAAGGCCGTCACCGTCGGCGCTTCTACTCTCGGTGACGAGCGTGCCTACTTCTCCAACTACGGCAAGTGCGTGGATATCTTTGCCCCCGGCTTGAACATCCTCTCCACCTGGATCGGCTCAGACCACGCCATCAACACCATCTCTGGCACGTCGATGGCTTCGCCCCACACCGCCGGTCTCCTTGCCTACCTCCTCTCCATCTATCCCTCCGCCACCTTCGACCCATCGCTCTCTTCCCTTGTTCCCCCGCCGCTCAACACTGTCCGCCCTGGATCGCCCATCGCTCGTGCGTACCAGATGGCGTACAGCGTTCTTCCTAGCTGGGTATCGAGCTTCCTTCCCCCCATGCCCCTCCTCGATATCATCGGCGGTGGATCGGATGTCCCCGCGTTTGGTGAGAACAAGTCGTTGAGCCCTGCTCAGCTCAAGGCCGCCCTCGTTGCACTCTCGACCAAGGACATCCTCACGGAGATCCCCAGCGACACCGTTAACCTTTTGGCGTTCAACAACGCCACTGCTGCTTAAGGGTGGATGTACGGTCTTTGGCGCAGGGAGCGGTGATGGTTGGATTGATGGATGGAGACTTAATGCTATCGTTGATGATGATCATGATAGAGGGTCAGCTTAGTTTGTTATGCGTTTTTGTCGGTCGGGGTATTACCCCAACCTTGTAATTTAGTGTTCACAGTCCGCTACTGTTCAGTTGTGTGTTCTCTCGCATCAATATCGTTCACGCCCACCGTCACGATTCCAGTCTTGCAAATATTCGTCTGCTGTCGTCTTTTACATGCAATTTACGTTCGTCGAACTTGGAATCTTGTGTGATTTTGTGGTTTGTCGTTGTGAACCTCGATTCCAGTCTGGCAAGGAGATGACTAGTGATGGTGTGCTGCCATCGCAACGACAATAATGATTGTCGCGTGGTCGCGACGCGACGCGTGTCGGCTATGACGTCATGCCACGTGGGTCGACCTCGAAAGAACTTGATTTTTGTGCAGAGAACGCCACACAAATTCTCAGTACGTCTCCATCATCGACGGTGCTGTGTGGCGCCGACTGTAACGTTGTTTGCAGTTGTGGACCCCATTTTATTTCGCCAGTTAAGGTTCACAAAGGCAACACGAGGTCCGAAGTTCTTGTGGCGTGTTGTTAAGGGTTACTTTAGCTGTGGTATAAGTATAAATCCTGGGCTTGTCCTCTTCTGCGGAGAAACTCTCGTCGTCTTCTATATCCTTGGAAAAGTTTTGTTCTGCTCTTTCTAGTTAGCCAGTTACTCTCTACTCTGAGGACACGAAATTTGTTGGGGCTCTTCTCTGACTTTGACCTGGAACTGGATTCTGCTGGTTACTTACTTACTAGTACTTCAAAAAACCCGCATTCCGACCTCCGTGGGCCGTAGTAACAATGGACGACTTCGACGAAGATGATACGATTCCACGCTCGCCCGATGTGAGCACTAGGGACGACAAAGAAATGACAGCGGGAGATGCGCTGGAGAGCTTGGACAGGGAGTGGTACCGCGAGGTGGCGAAGCGGGCGAGATGGATGGATCTGGTGGGTGATTATGCGGGGAGCGAGAGGTTCATTTTGGATGGTCAGTTCTTTCGACTTTGATATCGGTGTGGAAGTTTTATTTTTATTTTTGAGTCCTGACGAGTTTTGTACTATGCACTGTAGGAGATTCGCTTTTTCAGCAGGTGCTCGATGATGAGCTGCTCAGACTTGGACGCCCGGGAGGTAAGCCCGTTTTCGAATTGAGTAACTCGAGCGACGTGGTCAAGGCTCATACGCTGATATGTGCTGACATCTGTCCCTGTTTTTTTTGCAATAGACCCTTCTTTCCAGATTTTGCACGCGGTGTATAGTATGGAGCGGTTCTTGGACGAGATGATGAAGCGGAGTGCGGTCTTTGATGTCGTATTTTGGCACGGTCAGTGTTTGTTCTTTATCCCTAGCCTTCTCATTTGTCGTTCGTGAACCTTGTACTCGCGCAGCCGTCACACTCGGTGACCAGTCTGTTCGTGAACGCTGACTTGAAGTGGCTTCACTCTTCAGACCTTCGACACGGAACCCTAAAGACAGGCAGTCCAGAATTTGTCTCTACGTCCAGAGCGCTGGCTCGTCAGCTCCTCTTCGCACACCTCGTACAGCACGCAGAAAAGACGGGGTTGAATGTCTTCGCCTTCAGAGGCCTCGAGGACCCAGAATGGGACAAGTATCGAAGGAAGACGAGGGTAAGTTCATATATTTCAATCAGGACGTTGTTGATATCTGATTTTGCTTCATAGCCAATGTTCGTCATGATCAACGATGGCGGAGGACTGAATGAAAATGCGAGCGAACTGGAGGTCGGGCGAGTTCTGACTCAGAGAACACATATCTTTGAGTTTTTGTCCCACGGAACTGCCGTGAGCCTGCTACGAGGCAGTGAGTGTCGAGACTCGAAAGTAAGTCCTCCTCTATCGCACTCTTCCGCAATTTCGCCGGCTCATGTCATAATTGTCACAGATATTCTCGTTCGTTTTCGAACAGCATTTCGACTTGGCCGCGAAGCAGAAGATTCCTAGGAGCGACATGATATGGGAAGCCGCGTCTAGAGCGCACGAAGCACTCGAGGTAGCTGACACATCACGCTACGAGGAATTGGAAGTCTTGCCCTTACGAGCCAACATGCCTCAGAGCCAGAGCTTGGACGACATCCTCCTGGAAGTCGTGAAACTCAGCGATGCCCGTAACGCTACTGCGCCCCAGACCTTCATCGAGCTTCTATACCTCTTCATAATCCATTGCCTAATCCTACCGACCTTATCTGTCAGTGAACGAGCCCGAGATCTAGATGCCCTTGATCCTCGCCTGTTGGAAATGCTATGTCAAACGTTCCTTCCATCCGTGTTCCTTTCGCTCGAAACGGCAGTCTCAGCTCACCAGGCATTTGTGGACTGTGACGGAAGGCTCTTTGCCTCCCTTCTCCGGTATGTTCTCAGCGAACCCGACAGACCCGTAGATCAACTCGTAGGGCATGCCGTTCATGTGCGGGCCTCCGAGATCTGGAACTCGACAGGATTAGGCCAGCCGCCCATTGGTCTCGCCACACTCAGACGCGAGTACAGCGTCGACGATGATCTCTTCTCCCCTCCAGGGCATGAAATGTCGTCTCCGAGGCCAGACTTCAAGCTCCTCGCTTTCTCTAACCCCGTCTTCGATGAAGAACTCTCCGCCGTGCATATTCATGTCGATGCCGTCCCTGTCGCCGCGCAGACTACCTCGCCTACCTCGCCTACCTCGCCTTCCTCTCAGCCCGTCGCCGCCTCCTCCACTTCCACTGCCGACTCCGACTGGGACTCCGAACCTGAGCCAGAGCCAGTCATTGCGGTATCGGAGTCCATACCAGTAACGGGCCCAGAGGGAGATCATCCCGAGTTTACGTTCGGCACGGCCTTCGCCGATACGCGCCATTGGCACGCAAACAAACGAGCTATCCTTCCAAAACATCTCGGCGGAGAAACTAGTCACGAGCTCCGGGACGCAGATATCAAAGCCAGGATGCGGAGGTTGAGGAGCGAGCAGCGCTTCATGGCGGCTTTGCAGCGGTTAGCGGCAACATTGACGGGAGCTTCGGGGACGCTGCTGGAGCAGATTGTTATCACGAGTGCGGAGGGGAGCGGCCGAAAGACGAAAGCGGTGAAGGAGAAAGAGGATAAGGCGAAAGATAGAAAACTGATCGTCCAGGTAGGCTGTTGCATATCCTTTTGAAGCTGTGTTGCTGCTCATGCTTTGGGTCACCAAGGAGAAGAGCGTCCGCAAGCCGAACGCGTCTTCCAAAAAGAAGTCTACCGAATCCTCCGCCGACAAGATCCGTCGTCAGCACGCGGAAGCCAAAAATAATAAACAGAAGTCAGCTTCCGAACTCTGGTGGACAGAGCAGTTGAGCACCATGGCCAGCCTCACCTCCGAGGGCAAGATGCTTCATTTGAAGGGGATCAGTCGGAACGAGAAACTTCTGCAGGACTGGCTTGCCGTCGAGTTTAGACTCTTCCGACTCGATCTTGAGCTCAGACGCTGGATCGATGAAGCGAGCACGCTGTCGGATCCGGTGGAGGTCGCGAAGATTAGGGACCGATACACGGTGTCCATCATGAAGGTGGTTAAGGAGCTGTACGAGAGACGGGGTTTGACGCCGACTGCCCTCAAGACGCTTAGGTCCATCTTGCTGGCGCTTGGATTTGGCGATTACGCTGAAGATCTGGAGAAAGCTGCCAAAAGCCAAGCCGAGGATACGGATCGTCCGCTGAGCTTCAGCTTTCTCAAGCTTTGGAGCGCGTCGAAGAAAGCGCCGGTACACAAATTTATGAGGATTGAAGAGCATCCGACCAGGTGGCAGCTTCGGTTGTTTGGGCAGTTCATGGATAGGAGTATGGATAGTAAGCCCGATGCGAGAGTGTCGTTTGATCCGGACGCGTGGCAGAGGGAGGTGTTGGACTGTCTGGATGAGGATGCCTCTATACTTGTTGTCGGTGAGTCCAACCTGTATGTGTATCAGCGTTGTGAGACCTGATCGTTGTATATTCAAGCCCCGACAAGTGCAGGGAAGACGTTCATATCTTTTTATGCCATGGAGAAGGTGCTACGAGAGTCGGATGACGGGATTCTCATTTATGTGGCGCCGACGAAGGCTCTTGTCAATCAGGTCGCCGCTGAGGTTTATGCACGATTTTCGAAGGACGTGAATGGCCGTAAGTTCCATTCATTCTCGTTTTTCGGAGTTAGGGCTAACAGTTGCTCTACAGGCGCGTTTTGGTCCATCCATACTCGAGATTACCGCGTACATGACTCGCAGAAATGCCAGATCATGGTCACGGTACCGGAGATCTTGACTGTCATGTTGCTGTCTCCTCCTCTGGCCAGGACTTGGACTCCCCGTATAAAACGGTCAGAAGCGTTTCTGTGCTATAGTCCAAGCGATTTACTGATACCGTACCCCACCCAGGATCATCCTGGACGAGATCCATACTATTGGGCAACAAGAAGGTGGCGCGGTCTGGGAGCAAATCATTCTCCTTGCACCTTGCCCAATCATGTAAGTCTCGTTTGACTAGCTTCTACACAGATGTGCTTGTGAACATGATCATTTTTAGTGGTCTTTCAGCCACGGTTGGTGAACCCGAACTGTTCAACACTTGGCTTAGTCACGTCCAGAAAACCAAAGGATTCAACCATCGCTTCATTCATCATCCTCACCGATACTCCCACCTTCGGAAATTCGCGTACTTCCCCCAACTACAACGGCCCTCCAAGTTTACCGGTCTTGACCGTTACCAGCCAAGCAATGGTTTGAAGTTCATTCATCCCATCTCTGCATTGGGTTTCGGGGTATCTATGCCTCCGGACTTCTCGTTGGAGGCTGCAGATCTTCTAGAGTTTCGCGATGTCATAGCGGGGCTTGATGCCGGTCTTGCTGTGGGAATAGACCCCGAGCGTTTTTTCCATGGCCATTCGACATTCTTGACACAGAAGGACATCTTGCGATATGAGGTCGTGGCAAAGGAGGCCTTGAATACACTGATTACCACGTCGGACCCTCTCAATAACTCCTCGCCACTGAGGAAAGTCATTCACAGGGTCCAAGACCCGGTGGTCGCGCGGACAAGCGGACATGTTCTCAATACGCCGCCATCCCCAAAGATGTTCTTGGACGGGTTGGTACCCTTGTTAGCCGATCTTGATGCCAGCAACGACCTCGTGAGTTTCTATGTTTACTGGTGATACGGCGTCTTGCTCTGTAGAACTAATGTATGCTTTTGTTCAGCCCGCTTTACTCTTCAACTTCGATCGCAAGAATTGTGAACGTATGGCGGAATATATCTTGGAGACCCTGCAGGACACAGAGGAAGAGTGGCGAGCGAATAGTGTAGAGTGGAAGCGGAAGCTCGAACGGTGGGAAGATTGGAAATCTAGGGAGAAGGAGCGCGCCCGGGCTCTCGAAAGGATCAAGAAACAGGACAAGGAGGAGCCGCAGAGAATAGACGATCGTTCTTGGGAAAGCACATTTGATCCTGACGACCCTTCGCCGCAGTTTTCCTTTTCAGCGCCAGCTGCATACCAAAAGACAGACCTAGAGGAAGACATGCGGCAGTTGGAGTGGAGGTCGTCAGTGCCGCAGTGGGTATTGAAAGCGCTTTGGAGGGGGGTTGGAATACATCATTCCGGCATGAACAAGGTCTACCGGAGTCTGGTCGAGCGGTGAGAACGATCTGTTATACCCCGAGCTTTTGTCTGATCACTGACTTTTCCTTAGACTTTTCCGCATAGGTTTTCTTCGAGTGGTAATCTGCACTGGCACAGTATGTACCTCTCGCGCTGTGGTAGTGTATGTTATCAGGCTCATTAGCATTGCCCGATCTAGCTGTCACTAGGTATAAATGCTCCGACGAAGACATCTGTGTTCTGCGGGGATTCCCCTTTCCTGACTGCTCTGATGGTATATTCTTCCTCCTGCTCCCGTTCATTATTTCCCAACTCATGTGTGCATTTACAGTATCGTCAATGCGCTGGCCGAGCTGGCCGCCGTGGATATGACCTGTTGGGTCGAGTCATATTCTATGGGATGCCTCTGGACCGAATACACCGTCTGATTCTCTCCAAGCTCCCTCGCCTCATGGGAAGCTTCCCTCTTTCTTCAACTCTGTCTCTTCGCCTTTTCAACCTTCTCCACGGATCCGCATATGCAAAATACGCAACCGACGCCATACAGAGCATTCTGCGTCTTCCACAAATCAGCTTTGGCTCCGAGATCGGCAAGGAACAGGTTCTGCATCACCTCCGATTTAGTATCGATTTCCTGCGCCACGCGCATCTCCTGGACCACAACGGACATCCTATCAACCTTTTTGGTATCGCATCGCACCTTTACTATCAAGAACCGAGCAATCTCGCCCTGGTGACATTGCTGCAGAGCGGCGTAGTACATGAAATCTGTGGGCAGAAGAGCTTCAAACGGGCACAACAGGACTTCATGCTGCTTGCCTGCCACCTTTTCGGAAGACGTTATCTTCCGGATTCGTACACGACTGCTCGAGGAGTCCAGGATCTCGTGCGAAAAGGGCCCTCCATCGTCGTTCTTCCTCCCCTGGATTCACGCTCCCGTGAAGTGTTGACGCGGCAGCAGCAACAGATCCTTCGCATTTTCACGGCTTACGCAGTAACATTCGCTACGCAACACTCTGAGCGCCTCTCCACGGAAACGAGGCTTCCTCTCAGCAAGGCAGATATTTCGGGAGATGATGCTCGAGATGATACGCCCTTTGTGGAACACCTGGAACGAACCTGTCTTCGAGCCCAAGCAAGGTCATCATTCGTGGCGAACTCGGGCCACACCGACTCCTTCAGGAGTATATCGGAGCTTGCGAACACGGTACGGCAAGGAATACATATCAACGAGCACGCCATCCCATCGTTCGAAAAGATCATCGCAATCTCTGGACAGTCGGGTCAATTGTTCGCGTTGAATGCGCATATCTATGATTTCTACAAACACGGCCAAGTCGCCGCGCTAGCTAGAATGAATGGCATCCGCCGTGGAGGTGAGCACTGTTCTACTAAACTCGCAGATCTTGCACTGAGCCTATCGATTCTACAGATATCTGGTACCTTTTGCAAGACTTCTCGCTGACATTGGCCACCATCCGAGGCGACCTCGAGAATCTTCTTACTGCAGCAGGCAAGGCATACAAGCCTCAGGAGATGTCCGAGGACGCGTCGGATGTAGTGGGCGGTTCGGATAGCGGGTACCAGACACTTGATCCTGCGGAAGCCGATGATGTGGAGGATCTTAACGATGGCGATTCATCTGCGTTCAAGAGACCGCCCGGGGTTTCGGAAAGGGATTGGCGGGTGTATGAAGTGGTCAATGCGGTGGTAGTCGACTTTTCGGCGAAGTTCAAGGCGATGTGGTCTTAGCGTTGTCAGATAGCGTGGTTGAAGCAAGATATGCATTGATCGTTACACAATATAGGCTTCGTTACTTTAGATGACTGTGTAGGCGCGCTGATACAAGAGGATCCTGATTATCGCGACTTCTCCCTTTTCAGAACTGCGCAGGGTACCCCTATGAAAGTTGTCTCAGCGGCCGACGCATTGACAGGAGACTCATACGACGTACCTAACTTAGGTAGACTCTAACTCCCGAACTCGGCGGCGAAGGGCGTCAAGCTCCTCATTCGCGCTACGCCAGGCCAGTGTAGACTCCTTTTCTCGTTCTTTATCCTCCCACTTTCGTTCGAACAGGGATCGCAAAAAGACCCAAATATACTGCCAGCCTCGGATGCGATCACCGGGAACGACGTGTACGTGGCCTGAGAAATCTCCGATGACAGACTCTTCGTCTGTTAGCGGCCCCTGCCACTTGAGGCACTTGGGGTCGTGAATATGCTCGACGAGGAATTGGGCAATACGAAGGGAGCGTAAGTGAAGGTTGGGAAGATCGTGGCACGGGGAAGAACCGACGAATAGCGTGGCAAAAGGCAGTGAAGGAGGGGTCATCTCAGGCCTTAATAAAGGGTCCGCGTTTATGTCGAGATAGAGGCCAAGATGACGCAAGTTTGAACAGCTTCGGAAATGGGTGATTGCGATGAAAGAGAGGAAGGGCTTGGTCAGGACAAGAGGTGTGCTGTTGAGATCGAGTTCTTCGAGATCGCAAGGCCACTTTTCTACGAGATCTTGAACCTGATCATCCTTGATATCAAGAGGATGGGCGGTCTGTACGTGGAATTTGTTGAGGTATCGAAAGCGAAGAACAGGAAATATGTCTCTGTAGTTATAAGTGGGATAGTCTTTGGGGGGGATGGCGACTGGAAGATGAGAGGAAAGGTCGAGCTTGAGTGTCGTCAGCGATGGACAAGTGTCGGAAAGGGCAGTCATGAGATCCAATAAAACAGCTGATGAGGTGTTGTCCGGGATGATGTGGAGCCAGAGGCTGGTGAAGTGTGACGACGGACAATTTGCCTGTCTAAGGAACTCCTGTGCATGATCTACGGATGCTGCGAGCGATAGATACTGGAGGGAGGGGAAAGAGCCCGGTTCGAGGGTGATGCGGGAGGCTTGCGCATCTAGATGATGGGTCCCCGAGAGACAACCATGATGTATATCGAGCGTTTGAAGCCTCGCTAATCCTGCGGCAGCGCGAGCAATATTGGGACTGAGTCCCTGGCACGGGATGAGAAGTTCCGAAATCATGGGCAAACGGGAGACCAATTGACAGATATCATCCTCTAGATCCCCGAAAAGATCGTCTGAGACCACCTCCAACTTCTCGATGTTTGGGCTCCGATCGGTTACTCTGGAAACCAGCCTGTGCAGGATATGCTGTGACGGCCACTCGTTTAAGAACCGTCGCATGCGGAGAACTACACGCTTAACTGACGATTGCAATAATAAGGAATCGAAGATGTTGGTAGTCGCATAACCATCAATGGAGCGCAAGTTTGGGAATACGGCTAGAGTAGGTCGAGAAGACGATACTTCGTGCAATGCCTCTGATGATAAAGGGGCCATTCCATCAAGAGATGGATCTTCAACGACACGAACTCGGTAACTGTTCGTGAGAAGGCATTCCCAGTCCTTCGCACTTGGTGGATCTATAAAATCCTATAAACAACGTTCACTGGCGTCAACGAGGAAAAAAATCCCGCTTATAGAGCGACTGGGTGACTTTCTGTAGCAGTCTAGGAGTGTTCCTTGACGCGCAGAAGCACAGATATGAGGGCCTCAGCCAATCAACAGTCGCTCTGAGCCTCCTTTCTGTGATCTAGCCGTCTGAAATGTGCACGTTCTAGAGGCTTAGAACACAGAAAAGAGGCTCAGATCGATTTTTGATTGGCTGAGAGCCTCGTATTTGTGCTTCTGTGCGTCAAGAAACACTCCTAGACTGCTACGAAAAGTGACCCACTACTAACGCACCTGGGTTGAGCCACCCTCCGTATCTTCGTAGATGCCCAGTTTTGTCAGCGCATCGAAAAGCTGGTCCAACCTGGCCTCACGCCAGACTTCATCGAGAGCTATGTCAGACCATTGCTTGCAAACGAGAGCAGTCGCCACATTGGACTTTTTATCTAGGCAAACAAATATCTGGGCAAGAATTTCGGGTATGGATAGAGCTGGATGCATCTGCCTAAAAAGATAGATGAGTCATGCTCACCCAAAGTTTTCCTGGAAGGGCGAGAGGAGGTGTCACTCACACTATCGCGTTAAGTCTAAGGATGCCAGTGGTTCAGAGGTACAAAAGATGTTATGTTTTCGAGTTGCCGGTGATTCAAAGGCGGGATTATCCGGGCCGGACCGCGTCTGCATTTTCGAAGCGCGTCGACGCGAGCCCAGTGCGAGCCCTTGTCCCTTGTCTCTTCACTCCCTCTCTGGTCCCCAAAAGCCACGACAACGGTAGCTGCATATGTTAAGTTCTTTGCGTGTTTTATCCAGAACTGTTTCTAGGTCAAACGTGACCACTCTCTGTAAACTTTCTTCGCCCTTTTCTATCGAAATGCCTCGTGCAGAGCCGGAACCCAGACGTGGAGGCCACAGAGGTCGAGGGGCGCGCGGTCGAGCCAGATTTTCGACATCTTCGTCGCAACATGCTGCTCCTGCTACGGCCAGTGCTCCTGTAACTGCGCCAGCACCCTTACCGGCGCCAATTATTGATCCGGCCGCAACCACAGAAGCCAGGTTCGCAGACCTGGCAAGGGATGGTCTCGTGGATGCCCAGGTCATTTCCGCTATCACAGACGGTCTGGGTTATCAAACGATGACCGCCGTTCAAGAGGCCACAATTCGACCCCTTCTCGATGGTAAAGACTGTCTCGCGAAGGCCAAAACTGGCACGGGGAAAACAATCGTACGTCATTTCAATAACGTTGTCGAAATCTAACCAGAATTATTACACTCTTCTAGGCATTCCTTGTACCCTCCATCCAAGCCATTCTTCAAAATACCGATGTTACGAAAAACGCCACTCACGTCCGCACGCTCATCATCTCTCCGACCCGTGAACTCGCCATGCAGATTGCGACCGAAGCCAAAGCTCTCCTCACCAACTACCCCAAAATTCGCGTGCAGACCTTCATTGGAGGTACCAACATGAAGACCGAAACAAATTCATTCCTCGGACACAACACTCCTCAGATCGTCGTTGCCACCCCTGGCCGCCTGCAGGATCATCTTTCTTCGAACCCGGAGATCAAAGCGCGCTTCCAAGCCGTTGATTTCTTAACCCTTGATGAAGCCGATCGCCTCCTGGAACAAGGCTTCAAGTCCGAGATCGACCAAATCCAATCCCATCTTCCTTCGCCTTCCCAACATCCTCGTCAGACACTCTTCTTCTCCGCCACCGTTCCTCCGCGCGTTACTGCTCTGTGCCAACAGCTTCTTGCCCCCGGATACAGAACCATCAGCACCGTCTCCGAGGATGACGTCGACACTCACAGTCGTATCCCCCAATTCGTCCTGTCCGCCTCCATAGAAGACCAGATTCCCGCCACACTCGCTCTCATCACGAAACTGAAGGCCGAAGGACCTGTCAAAGCCGTTCTCTTCTATCCTACCGCGCGTGGAACGGGCGTCGCCCACGACACCTTCACGAGCCTCGCACGTCCTCCGATTCCGGCCTCGTCGTGCTTCGAGATTCACTCCCGTAAGAGCCAGAGCAACCGCACGAAAACGGCCGAGGCGTTCAAACAGGCGGAACAAGGTCTTCTTTTCTCCTCCGATGTTTCTGCTCGCGGCATGGACTTCCCCAACGTCACGCACGTTATCCAGGTCGGGCTACCTTCCAGCGGAGAGGACTATGTTCACAGACTTGGACGTACGGGCCGTGCGGGCAAAGAAGGCCAAGGCTATCTGCTCCTCGACAAGGATGAACAGTTCTTCGTTCGCAAAGAGCTCAAAGGTCTTCCGATCTCTGCAGATCCCGCCCTTCAACAAGACATCGACAATCGCATGGACGAATCTCGCCAGGCCGTCGGTACCGCTTTGACGAAGGTCGATCCTGTCGCGAAGGGGCAAGCCTACCAGGCATGGCTGGGATACTACACAGGCTATTCGAAAGATATGGGGTGGAGCAAGGAGGCCCTCGTCAGGAGGGCTAACGAGTACGCTATAAAGGGCTTGGGTTGGACGGCCGATGAGCCACCGATGATCACCCCGAAGGCTCTTGGGTTCATGAACTTGAAGCCGTGGAGACATCTGTTGAACGTTGGCGATGTCAAGTCCAGTCACGGTCCAGGTGGTGGAGGCGGCGGACGTGGTGGTGGTGGGCGTGGGCGTGACGGTGGCCAGCAGTCGAGTTCGCGTGGTCGGGGCTCGCAGATGGGTGGGCAGCAGGGTCCGAGGCGTTTCGGGCCCTCGGCTTGATCATCGACTTCAAAGCACCTTGGGCTTGGGTGTATACTAGATGAGATCTCATACCTGTAGAGCTATAGACCTTCCGATCTCTTTATTAGCCCACCCTGCCGCGCTTTGCGCCTTTGATCTCGTATAGACGTATCGTACGGGAGATGCCAATGTAATCCAATGGGAGACGCTAAATGCAATCCAAAGACTTCCAAAGACCGCCGTTCTCAACTTGCTTCAGGGGCTCGCAGCAGCAGAAGTACGCCACTCAGTTAGCCCGGCAAAGTCCGGCAGCATCCGAATAAGGAGTGCCACATTATCACGCCCAACAGGGGTCTTTCATCTTCTTCGAGCTTGACTTGAGCCGTCGAAATCCTTGGACAGGCTTTTATTCTTTCAACATGACTGGAATCAACTCAGAGGCTCATTGGCAGCGAATGATTGAGACCTCTCCCTCTGCTGTGGTCGATGTCTTCAGGCGTAAATGGAAAGACAACCCTCGACTTAGACTTCAAGGTAACGGCCAAGACCATGGTAGCATTGAGGTGGGCGTCTACATTGTCCCACCATTGGGACTTCAGCAGCACTATCCCTGAAAGAAAAGCTTATACATCTGTGAATGATCATAGAATATGCCTGTGGCCCTATTCGCGGTTGGCGAGGTGGCGGGCGGAAATTCCAGTTTGCAGTGGCAGCGTCTTTTGCGTGCCGGTATCGCTGAAGAACTCTGCGGATGTTTTCTTCGGGCGCCCGTCTACACGAACGAGCGGGGCGTGAGTATTTTTTTAGGCTCCCTACCATCTGTCTCCCACTTTCGTCATGACTGACAGGCTAGAATGGCGCCTTCCACAGGTTCAATCGTCCGAGGTGCACTTTCCTTACCTGCAGGTGTTGACTCAGGGTTCGGGAAATATTGCAGAGTACTCTGGCCCTCATAGCCATAAATTTGTCTCTGCGCTGAAGAATAACTGGAAGGCTATCACACAAAGAGTACGTCCCCAAAATGTCTCGTACCCCAGATTACCACATAATCGTCAATCGTTGCATCGTCGCTAGTTGTGGGAAGAACGTCAGTATATTACAGCAGCTGATAAGCATGAAGAAAGGATGGTACTTGGAGCACTAGTTTCTGATTTGATAGATATCGATTCTTCGACATTCTCGAGGTTGGCACTCTACGTTGTTCTCTCCCAGTGCTCTCTCCTCATTACTATTTCTTCCAGCGTCATGCACCCACCCGAAGACCTGACAATATCGCTCCTAATGCTATACCTCACTTGTTCAAGTCGATCCGACGAGTTCTACGTCTGCCTTCAGTCTTTGATCGACATGTCTGGCGTCGACTGTCCACCATCCACCGACAAGAAGAGCTCGCTAGGAATGTTCGAGTACTTACAGAATCATCCACTTCCAATGGAATTTCACGCCCGAATGCTTATCGGCATACAAGACCGATCCTTCTCCTCCTTCCTCTCAATTTACACCAAACGTCTTGCTCGACTCTCTCCAGGATTCTTCATGGGCGCCGTACGACTACTCTGCATTCTTGCCGCAAAAGCCGACTGGACCTCCAGTTCAGACAGAGAATTCTTTCACTCGCTACTCCGCTGTCAGCCACTGTTCTCGATCCTCATTTCCGCAATGATAACCCCTATAGCAGAGACTCGGCCTCCGTCTGGACTTACGTCGACTCAGATTCCCATCCTAGTTCTTATCTTGCTGGCAACGTGCTTAAAAAGCATCTGCGAGAATTCACCAGAGGAAAGTGAAGGGTTCTTGAGGATATGTATCCACGCTCGTCTCTTTGACGGCCTTGAGAGCATCTCGAAGCTGGACACGAGCCGTCGTGGTGATCCGAGTCTATTGTGTGAGTCAGCCATCAGCCAAACTCACTTCCACCTTAACACTGACTAATACACTTCCATAGGGTGGGTGACTAGCATCCTCTCATCGATATGGACCCTAGTAGTCGACCGGAACCCCTCTCTATTTTCGCTCCTTCGAGGTCATTTCCCTCGTCCCCACCTAACCCATGCCTGCCTGAAAATGGCGTTCGCGCCTTCCGATGATCTTAAACAATGGGTCTCTCAAGGCGAAGATCGAGCATACAATATTCGTACTACGTGGTTATTGGTCAGCAGTTTGAACGACGGATCTCAGCCTCATCGTGGTTGCATGAAACGAGGATGCAGGGCGAAGCGTCTTTTCCGTTGTAAAGCGTGTCGGACGGCCGAGTATTGCAGTGCTGAGTGCCAGACCTCGTAAGCATCTTTCCTCTTGGCTTTACTTTTCGCGACAGTCTATGAAGCCAGCCCGCAAAAGTCTAATCGCTGATACTGCACGCAACATATCTTAATATTTTGGTGTATTCGATAACAGGGATTGGAACAGCCATCGACTTATGTGCGGATTTAGGCGAGATGGAGAGTACGGTATGAGGGCCGTCCAAGAGTATGAATCAGGGCATCTCGTCGTTGGTCGACCGGATAGATTTCCGTTTCGTTTTGGGAATGTCACGTCATGGCCACCCACTGATTCCTCTTCTGCTCAATAATACTCCACAGTAGATGTCCTTGATCGATTGATCGCTCGCTGGTCTGACCGTAATATTCTATAAGATAGATATTCATTAACTTATGCTTCTGGGCCGAAATACCTATCTTGTCACTCTGTTGCCTTTCTTCCACTAGCCGAACTTTTCGTTGAACAGTGTTGGCCACCAAACTCCCTTCTACCCATGCTCTTGCGAGCGTGTCACGTCGTCCCTCTTTTTCCGTTCGTTTCCTTGCGCGACGAATAACCTCAAAATAACTCTAGCACGGCGGCGAAACTGATAATCAGATGTGCTACACTGATAGCTCGCGAGTGATACTAGACGACTGACACGAACGTGACCAACCCCATTGATGTTTGAGGTACTGGTAAGCGGCAGGACTGGGCGCGTTTGTATTCCCCCGGCAGTTGCAGTTTGTGTAGAGAGCGCTCAAGCCACGCACAAAGGGGGAACGATGCATAAGATTTCTAGTCGCGCGTAACACAGCCATGAACTACTACTGTACATCCATTAAAGATTCGACAGAGACAGAAAATAATTACACCATGCTCAGTTCTGGTCCATGTCGTCTCCAGCCGCCCTTCCATTCTGCAGTCCTGCGCGCGTAGTGTACTCAGCTTGCCACTCGACCCAATCACCGGCAGGCAGAGGAGCAGGGGTTTCCTTCTGGTACTTCTGGTAATTAACGAACGGGGAAGACTCGCGAATCTGGACAGTATCATCCGCGAGAGCTAAGGGCAAGGCGTCGTCGTCCTTCAAAGGCAACGTGGAAACAACGACGACATTCTTGCGCCACTGGTCGAGCCTGGCTTCGGGCGCTTCGGTGGGCATAATATTGCATGGTCGAGTGTGGTCTTCGGATTCCTCAGAGACAGCAGTGGCAGCGTCCTCTGAAACCACAGTCTCGGAGTACGGTATCTCTTCATGAGGATCAACAGCGTACTGTTGGCCGGTGTTCCCCCGTCCCGACGGAGGGTCGCTGGGATTAGGTTGCTGGGCTCCAGTCTTGTCCTCTCTGTTGCGGATCCATCGACGACTCGACTTCGAAGCAGAGGACGCGGCATCAGCACCTGGAGGAGGCAATGCCTCTGGAACAGCATCGTCATCGATGTGAAGGCCCTTCTTCCACGTAGCGACAATGAGCTGAGCCTGCGCCATAGAGGCCCGAAATTGGCGTGGCAGAGAGTTCGTGTCACGGTCTCCGAATTCTAGAACAGCCTTCCAGATGACGGTGTAGGGGTGAACAGTGGAGTGTATGAGGGGATAATCATCGAAATTCGGAGGGGTGAAGGTTTCGAAAACCTTCTTGCCCAGTTTGTCGCGCTTGTCCTCGTTAACGAATTTGCGACGAATCAGCGGAAGGTTCATACTGCGCTCGCCACAAGGAACGAGTTGATAACGGTGGGCAATGAGGGCAAGATGCTTCTTATCCTACGTGAATATACTTATCAGCAACCATCGTTCGTTCTCCAAGCAGTAGAATGATCGGTGCACGCACGGATTTGAACCATGGACACTGCTTCGGAAATGTAGCCTTGGGTTTACCAAAGTTCCCGGCCAGGTGGGCGCCTATGGCATTGAGTGTGCTTTCACGAGGGAGGAGAAACCAGTCACCGTTATCGAGACCTCGATGCCAATCAGCACGCACTAGAGAAAGAGTATATCTCAGTCAGCTACATGAATCATCGCTATTCTGATAGAGCTTAGCCTACGAGGAATTAGGTTGAGGTCGTGCTCCAGCACGTCCAAATGTAGATTAGGGAGTCCCCACATCCTTTCCAAGTCACGTCGCTGAGTTAAGTCGAGCTCATCTGATCAATATACATGCGAATCCATGATACAACTTGAACGCACCTGCTCATCGTCAGTGGCCTTGGGAATCATATGTGCGGCTTGAACGGCGGAAGAGCACATATGCCCTATCTCATCTCTATATGGCTCCAGTGTGAGAGCGCACCATCGTGTAAGGTTTGAGACCTCTATTGGGGAGGGCATGAAACCAGCCCCGAGCCTGTGACCGGAAAAGACGGTTCGAGTGTCTGAAGATGATGAGATCGAGCGTGCTCAACCGCTGGATTATAAGTGTTCTCTTCTCCTCCTCAGAGTCGGTCTCGGGTTTCTGATCGTCCCCAGAGTTTTCTGTGTCTGGTTCTCGAGAGCTATCGTCAACGCGGGAAATTCAGCGAAGATTCCACGCGGAGGACCGTGTGGCGAACGGAAAGAGACGGGGAGATCACGACCAAGATTATTTATACCCGGTTCGCGAGATGTAATTTCCTCGTATCACCGGACACAAGATAATGTTTCGGTGAGCTCGTGTATGTGCGTGCGTGTGTGAAAGCGTGCGTTTTGGGGGCGATGCTTGAAATGATCGAGACACAAGTTGAGCCAACTTTGAAATTCTTCCGCGTTCCGGGCTGACCCGACCGGACTCTCGGCAATTCGCGTCGGAATCCTTCACGCCACCTTCACGCAGTGCAAGCAAATTTGCAAGTCTTGCAGCACCTCCCGACCCCATATCGACCTGATCTACACTGCTGACTTCTGGCGAGGAGAACTGCGATCTTGAAAATTTGAAAAGTCATATTGAGGCAACTCAGAGGCCGCTATCGGCTTCTGAGTCATCGAAGGGGCAGGGTGCGTGTCCGTTCTCAGACCTCCGGATTCGGGCGTGGCCATGCCAGGATGGACCAGAACAATGCGGCTGAACATCTTTTGTCCCGGTAACCTCGACACTGACAAAAGGCTTTGCATCATGACGCGTCATTTGGAGGTGTCACGATCTTAATCACGGCTGGCCCTCGTCGTTTTGTTCCCTCTTAACTCCTCCGCTCACACTTTGACGGGCCTCGTTATCACCCCCATTCTGCCCCCTCCGCAATCAAGAGACATTCGTATCAATGGTAAGTCGTCGAGCTATAATTGAAAGCGCCTTCACATTCAGGCTCAAGGTGTACCTCCGACCATCTTCGGAGTTGCTAACATGTATATATATCTCCAGAGCGGGTCTTCTATTGACGACGCAGCAGCATCTCGCCAGCAAATATTGACGACACTAGACAAGGATGCTGAAGAGCGTTTGGCGCGGCAGGCCGACAATGAAGCTTACAAATGCCTGATCACACTTGAGCAAAATAATTTTACCATCACCATCGCGCATGTCTTCGATCGGGAGAAGATTGGGGAGTCTGAGGTGAGTACTTGGTGGTATTAAGACTGTGCCCATTTCGTTGACATCATAATGCCTGCGCAGCGTAAGCGCTTCGAGTACTTGTGGGGATGCGAAACAGATAAATTCCACTGCGATACCCCAGCCAACTTGTTATATCGTGAGTTACACATCCACAATTTGGTTTGTTGCTTTCTCACACCACCTCCTAGTGCGTGCGGACGTTCATTGCGGGTTTGATAATCATGGATGGGCTATGCTACCTGAACTCAAGTATCTAAACATGATCTATGACTACTTCAATCCGATCGTCGCCAACCTTATAAAGCAGTCATCCTCCGCGTCGCCAGACACTAATAATGAACATCCCCATTCTCCATTCACTTACTGGGAAGATGTGAGTATTTACTGCAGGTCCTTCAACCCATTAAAATTCGCGCTTTTCTGATATATTTGAAATTTAGTTCAACTGGTGTAAAGATCAGTACGTTTACTATGTGGTTCCTCTGAGACGGGAAATCGACGGGACTCTCGTCACTCGTCGCTCGGGGCCGGGATGGGATACCTATTACGGCGGCGAAGGTTTCCCAGCACTGAACTCTTGGATACATCCTTTCTTCGCCATCTGGAACGCGGGGTCGAAGCTCGCATATCTCCGGAATGTGCCCTCCCGGCGGTTTTGTGTTCAGGACATGGAAGACACCATCATCAGAGCCCTCGTGTACAAGGCCTACGATATCTGGAAGTTGTGGATGAAGTGTCCCATCTCGACCGATTGCAGGATGCCTTCCCGGGAGCCATCGCAAACTCCGTTGGAAAGCGCCAATGGATATGCGACTAATCCGTCGGTCTCATCGGAGGACCATCAGAGTTTTCATTTTGGGACGGGTTTCTTAGACGTTCACTCTCGGAAACGGACTGGCAGTGAAGGGAACGATATCGAAGACGGGCGCCCGCAGAAGAAGACCAAGGCCGGCGGTGAGCGTGCTTGAGCGTCGAAGGAGGAGAGGATGCGGCATCTAGATCGCTTTGGGCTTGTACCTGGTATAATTGTGCTTGATGTTTTTATTATGAGGCTTGGCATAATTCGTATTTTGATCGATAGTTTTTGTGTTCTCAACTTTCCCAATGCTACATACGTCCGAAAGCGTGCTCACGCTATTATGTTTCGTCCTTCACCGCCCCTGATGACACAAATCCTGGAAGAAAGTAATCTGCACGTCCTTCGCCGTCAGTCATCCCACTGAACCCGAACTCGTCCAGCATCCCCATGCTCCTCGCAAGTCGACTACTCTCTCATCGTCCCCAGATCGTCCCCAGATCGTCCCAATATCCAACCAATCAACGCGAAAGCATCCGAATCAAACGCACCGGCAGCATCTTGGCTCTGCGATCCCGCGGTCGATCTTCAAACATACTAGTGAGAATTTCCTCCAACGTTTCGGCCTTCGTCTCGTCCACCTCCTCATCTTGATATTCACAACTGATAAGGTCGTATAAATCGAGGTCCTTGATGCATCCAAACCGAACGTCATCCGCATATCCCAACATGTCATCGTATCCGCAATCGGGGATACACTCGACGAATCGAGAGGTCGAAGTAATGGGCGGGGTGGATCCGACGTGTCTGCCATCGACTATGGTCCACATGCAAACGAGGTCGCCACACTCGGATTTCGTCTCGCTAGAATCGACCGAAGCTTGCGTATCCGTATCGTCCTGCATTCGAGTATTGGTAGGGGGAGTGCGCGATGCGAGATCAAGATCCCAAGCGGTTGGTACAAGGACGCCGAATTCTGCGTATGACGATGGGGCGGGAGGCCATATCGACGAGATTTCAGAACGGAGAGAGTCAGGCGGGGGGGACGGAGGAGACACAGCGGGCGGGGACAGGCATGAAGACCCTGAGGAGGGCACGGGCCCGGGTGTTTGGGGACTGCTGAGAAGGGTGCTTATGAGATTGACGAGACTATTGAAGGGCGTAGTTTCAGTGTGAGTTGTCGTCAGAGTCGTCCTGCCGGCCACGATGGATTTTAACCTGGGCCGAGGTGCAATAATGGCGAGAGGATAACTGAGGAGGAAGAGACGATGGGGCGCCATGTATTGGTAGCTGGAGGTTCGAAGTAAGCACCAGAGTTGAAGAAAAAACAAGGGGAGTCGGCAGAGAATTCGAACTGGCCCCTTTCGGTGGTGGCACAAACGCACTACCATAATCGTTTAGGGTGGATCTGCACTGGCATTAGCGAGGCTTCGGATCACGAGGTGAGGATGTTATCAATTTCCTATCGATGAGCGAGGTCTAGGACGAAATTTTCGCCCTCTGCTAGTAAGACGACAACATGGCACATGATACGTCGAGGTGAACGAGCTCAGACTCAGCCGCGAGGATTCAGATGAAGTCACAGAGGAAAGAGTTGAGAAGACTCCTCAAGAGGGAGAACAAAGGGGCGTTCGATCGTTGAGTCTCGCACGTCGGCGGCGTAGTTACCCACGCCACACCAGGCCACACTGTCCTGCCAACCACGAGCACGACTGACTTTGCGTTCTTAGCAATGTAGTGGGTTAATGGTATGGCCAAAGCATCTTGTTATTGGCAAGCGGATGTTCTTCGGGAATTATGAAAGAAGAAATAAATAAAATACAGTAATATTCGATCGATTATCCAGTTCTTTCAGTAGTGCATGGGCTTCGAGTCCCATCCCGGGAAGACGAGTAGTTCCCTACCGCGCTCAACGATTAATCCTCATCTCACATCTCCTTTCAACGTCCAGAGTCCGCTTAGCACCGCATTCCATCCACGCACCATCCTGCTCGTGCGCTCAGACTCATCCTACCACGACCCAGAACTGATCGCGTCTCCACCATGGCGGCTACATCAACATCTCGCATAACCCCAGAAGCTCCACCCCAAGCGGATCGCAGTCACTGACTCGACCTCTTGCGAATTAGACCCATAAGTCGTCGGTCTTGCACCTGAGGCCGTGACTGGATACTGACGCCTTCTGAAACGATCCTCGCGAGCTCTGCATCCGTGTGTGGATTCGCCGGGTGAGAATCAGTGAGCCGCTCAACGAAACGAGAGCCGGACTTGGCATTCTCGCTGGGAATGACAGGCTTGGGAGCGTGTGGATGAAGAGGAACGCTGGGGTAAGAGTTGCTCCTAATGATCTGAGCGATGTGGGGAGCGCCGTTGGCTAGCGGGCCTGGTGTTTTGAATAGTTTGTGATTGGGATCAAGGGGATCGATCGTGCAACGAGACCCGGCAACGACTTTGAAGCCAGAGGCCATGGTTGGTGGCGAACTAGTAGTGGATTGGGGTGAGGATGCGGAGGTGGATGTCAGAATAGATGTCAGATCGGTCATGGGCACGTTGGGCCTGTGACCGCACACGTTGGGTGGGGATGCTCCAGTTAGTAATGTGGCTGTGGCGCCAGCGAAACTTTGTGGTGAAGACATCGGAGCAGGATGACGCAGGATCTCGAAGGAGGGAGTGGTCAAGAAGTATCGGAGGCAGAGACCGTGCCGGCGCGACGAGTTATAGCAGTGAGCAACACAAGAAGACGGCTTAAATCGCAAAGGATAGAATCTCACGGTGGCCCACCGTGAGACTGAACCTCAGTTAGGGAAACCCCGAGGAAATGCCTCGTGTGTATCGAGGTGGACACGAGTTCGAGGGAAGCTGGGGCAGGTTGGGGCATGGTGGGGGTGTGTTGGAGTGCGACCAGGAACAGAATATATGTACTGGATCCAGCGTAGGGGATATACTTGGGAGCACGACCGAGAGTAAACACATCGTGGAACTGATGTATTTATAGAACTGTTTGTGCGGATATGTTCCAATGTTCATGAAATTGGGTCCCAGATGGTTCCAACAGCGCAAGAAGTCCTATAGTTTTGAGCAGAAATATTCAAGAAGAATACGTAACTGGGTGCATACAACTGGTAAGCCATTTTCTGCACACCGTTGAACGGGTAGACGCCACGTAAGAGTAGCGAAGTTTAATTGAAGCCTTGAGTCGTGGTGAGAGACGGATCATGGGGATACTTGTGTCCAATAGAAGGGGTTGCCAGTGTAGAACTCGAGTCGTCTCGTCATTTGAACTTTAGCACGGCACGCGACTCCGCGGTGCTCTTCCGTGCTAAAGAAATTGCAAATTCAGGCAAACCCACAATCTTATCTTCCACGTGAGGGTGGACGAAATACGCCACAGTCACAGTGGCCAGGCACACTATAATCGCCCAACTTGCGCCATGTTGTGCCGGCGGCACACCACAGTGGCGTACATGCATTATCGTCCTTTAGCGTTTACCCCGCTGTGTAACTAGTGTACGGGTATATAAACCACTTATCCAAGTAATGTATATATATGTTTTCTGAGTTACATATGCGCCATTTACAGCACAATGAGAGTTGTGCTCGAGCTGGAAGGAGGCCTTAGATCGAGCCCGGTCCGGATATCCGCCGTGCCGCTTACATACCAGAGTCAAAACGACAGACCCATCGTAAAGAAAGAGTTATTGCTAGCGCTTTCCGGCCTCCTTTATTCTCATAAATGTTCATGGGTACTCGCAAGGCTGTATATGTGTCAGAGAAATTGTTTTTGCACATGTCTATGCATTTGTTCTTCGAGTACAACATACAACTGTACGATATATGCTCCTGCACTACAACTCGGCACCACCCGGCCTTTTCACTGAACGCCACCCGGGAATCTGAACTCGCCCTCGCCACCCGTAAATCTGAACTCACCCTCGGGAGTCAACTCGTACGCGAACGGGTTGTTTGCCAAAAAGGAAAACAGCTCCCCATTGTTTTCATATGCGGGGGCTGGTATGTTGGCAGCTGGCCGATTGCGGAGGAGTTCTGCAGTCTCATCCTCGAACATGCTCTCGGGATCGCGGTTGGCGGGTATCGTGGCGTACGGGTTTACGAGCATATCGTCGTACATGTTGTCGTAGGGGGGATCGTAGTCGTTTTGGGTAGGGAGATATCTATAGAAAGGTTCTGAGAAACGAAAAAATACAAAACAGGATGCAAGCTGTAGAACTTACAGCTCCTGGTTCATCATCATGTCCGATTCCGAGTCGTGCATATTGGCTTCCGGTGCCGCCACGACAGCTGTTGCTAGATGATAACAGGAATAGTAAGCTTCGTATAAACAAGAGAGGTGGAAACAAATAAAAGAGAAAGTGTTATGAACCCACCTTCAGCTTCAAGTGAGAGATATGGGTGCACTCGAGCATTGCCCCGCGACGTCTGACTCTTCGGGGCACGCCCGCTACTTGAGCTGGCCTCTCCTTCCGTCACCTCTATTCGTCTTACACGCGTACGGCTGGCCTTCCCCTTCTTCGCATCGAGCTCCGCCTTCAACGCCTTCTCACGTTCAGACTCCAACCTTCTACTTGCCTTTGCTTGCTCGTACTGGTCTGTGAGTGCAGCGACCTCTCGAGATTCACCCGCAGCTGCCATAGCTTTCCGAGCGGTGTTCTGGTTACGTGTGATGCGCTTACCCATACGATCACTGTACTCATTGTGTTTGTTCTTGAATACACCACCATGTTGACGAACCGCTGCAAGCTCAGCAGCAACCTGGCTGTCAACCTTTTGTGCTCTAAACGACAGAATGAATCAGGATTAGCAGAGGACAAAGGTAGTGAGGAAGGTGACGAAGGTGATAGAGAATACAGACGACATGATAGCCTCCAATAGTGACATCCCTGTCCCCGTCTGCTGATTCGTCCAAGCATGCTGTGATTCATTGCCGTTAGTTGTATTGGGTGTGCTATCCCATGCATTCAGAGCGATCTTCGTCCGGGACCGCATAGCGCAAGGGAGAATCCACGAGTTGTCGGTCTTATGCTTGAACCAATCTGCTCGAACACAAGATCATGATGAAAATGTGTTCAAAAAATCAGGGGGTCGTCAGCGATAAAGAGACAGTGGATATGACGGACAGGGACTTGGAATAGGCATACCACGGAGTTTTTGAGAGCTATGATTAATACAGAATAATTTATACCTCTCGAAGTCATCGTCTTTCTCGATTGAAGGTAGATTAGAGACATATGTGTAGTCCTCTTTGGAGAGATCGTGCCGGAGGCTCATGATACCGCTAAGTTTAGCCATCCGAACCACCACAGAAGTTAATATTGTTCAGAAAGTTGGGAACGATACAAAGCATACCGTTTAAAGTGGGTGAGACATATCTTGATGAAATACTGGATGAGTATCTTCGGATCGTCTGTATTTACACCGCTATGGGCTGGATCGTTCAGAGGAAGAAAGGCGTCACCACACCCGAGGGCCTGAGCGATCTCCATGTCACATCCAATACTCAATAACTTCCCATCAGGCATCAAAGCTTTTGGACCAAAACGGCGACCAGTGAGCTTAACCACGACATTCTGGATTTCCTCCCATATGCGCTTGTAGGCCGCACGCGTAGCATAATCACAATAAATGCGGCCCACAGTAACCACTACTCCCCAGGATATCGAAATCAGTCATGAAGACGAGACATAAGAAGGAGCAAAAGGACTTACAACGATTATGAATGGGCGACCACAATGTCACTTCAAACTCATTCATACCTCCTGCTACACGTTTGAAAGTGACATCGACCTCGATGGTGGTAGCATCGTGGATGAGGTCAAAAAGGGAGCGAAGGCCGGTAACGACCATATTGATACCATTGGACGTCACGACGGTTCGTATATAGCGCTCATCTTCGGGACCCGAATTTTGCTTGATTTGCCACTCCATGACACCTGTATGCAGCGAAAGGCGAAAGCGAGAAGGATCAGCGTACAGGAGAGTTAGAAAGAAGGTTGTGAATACAACGTACCGATGATATCCCGGCGTGACGGAAGCTCGACAGCCTTGAGTCCACGGAGAATATCATTCTTCGCACGACTCTGAAGGAAGGCTGGGTTGTACGCCGTCAGTGTCTTGCCTCCGAGCACCACCTGTGTTGACGCGGCTGTGATATCGAGTGATGAGCTATGTAATTCAGGGAGTACATGGAGATATAGTCAGTACGTACCCTTGCCGATCTTATTGACCGTTGCACCAACTACTCCGAAGACCTGAGATACCTTCTGGAACACTAACTTACCATCCGCATCGACCTTGGTGAACGGTGGCATCGGATGGTTGTGTGGGCTTGTGTGGTCGGGAACCACGATGGCTAGGCGTTGGAGAGAGGCGTCCATGGGAACGAAGATGGTTCGAGATGCTGGGCAGGCTCGTGTGACGGTCTTCATGGTTGTTGGCACACCGTCGACAATATGCGTAAACTCTATGTCGAAAGACTCATCAGTAACGATCAAAATAGAAGACAGACTTCGAAACGTACTGCATTTAATAGCCCTGCGTCCAATACGGCCATGTACCATGAACGAACAGCTAGCACGCTTAACAATGATCGGTGAAGTCGAATCGGAGTCCTCTGGTGGTGGGAGCGGCTGGCCAGCGATGATGCGAGACAGACGATGTTCGTCAACGTCCGTGGGTATTGCAATGTAACGATGACCAGGATTGGTCTCGCCTCGCCTGAACCCCGTACAACCGATGAAGTAGGTCTTGCCGTTCTTCGCACCCTGGATATGGCATGATGACAATGCATGGGAATGAGAATTGAATGTAACGTACGTTTTGGTATCGAGCCTGTGAGAGGCCTCCGCCACATTTGGGAAACGGGCAAGGGCGGGTCTGTATGGAGCGCCAAAACCTACGAGACCGTTGGTCAATACGATACATCGAGCTATAGATTATGTGATGAAGGTCTGAACATACGTTGCTACACGTTGATTGGCATCCATTCCCTCCTGGATACGAATGCGCGTTTGTGCATCAAAAAGAGCGGCTCGCTTCTCGGGCTCAAGCTCGAAACGCTCGCCGCTGATGATGGATAGGTCGGCGTCTTCGCAGTGCTGAGTGCCCTTGCACTCCATGCGAACACGTCGACACTTTACGAGTCCTTGGGCCAAACCGAACCGTTCACCTGGTATATCTGCTGTTGTACAGTTCTTTCCTGCACCATGCGAGGCCCATGAATCTTGGTCCTGCATCATACAGGATGCAGTCGTCAGATCATGAGGGGAAGGGGAAGCAAAGTAGACGTACCCGGTTCAAAATAATGGAGTCCGCTCGATCCGGCGGCGGACGCTTGCCAGCAACGAGATCACTGAAGTCGTATTGGGGGTCGCGGAGATCTAGGACATAGCCGGTAGAGACACGAGGGATTGGGTAGTAGTGAGGAAGGCCGTGGACGGTCTCAAGGACCTTGACTCTGCATTGTCGAGTGATAAAGAAGGTTGGGGAGCCGAGTTCGGGGACAGATTGTACGCTTTCGTCGTGCCAAACTGTTGCTGCGATGTCGGTAACCAAGGAGCCGCTGGGAGTATTGTCATCAGGCGCGCAGGGAGTGTCATGGCCGTCAAGAGAAGAGGAGGTAGAGGTGGGGGTGTACGAGCGAGATGATGAACGACTAGAGTTTCCTGGCACGGTCCCAAGTATAGAAGCGACCTCGTCGTCGCTATCGAGAAGCTCCAGACCCTCTGTACCATCCGGAGCGATGAATGATGACCAGCGTGAAGCAGCGCTCGATGAGGCGCTCGAACGGCGCTGGCGTCGGGCTCCCACATCCCCATAGAGTAACACCTCGTCATCGGTTGGCTCAGACTTCACAGCGGGCGCCTCACCGGGCTCCATCTTGACTGAAACGGAACTCATGCGTGACACTGAACGAGAAGGAGGCGCAGAGCCTGAGAAGGAAACTTCACTCCCTGCTCGAGAACGCAGGAGAGCAGCAGGGTTCGTCTTCAGATAGGTTCTCAGCTCGGCAGCATCGACCCAAGCAGTGCCAATAAATTTTCCTGGGTCCTTTTGAATGTCATGAGAGGAGTATCTCTACAAAAGGAGGCATCAGAGTGAGGTTGAGACGAGAATTGACCGCAGAAAATTACCCATTCACGAAATCTATCCAGTACATAGGCCGGAACGTTGTGGGCGAGGTCGGGGTCATCGAGCTCGACGTCGTTCATGGCAGTGGGATGGAAAGGGGTGACAAATAATATTTATTACAGAATCTACATATTTCAACATTTTCGTGGCTTTCGGGCGGACAATTTTGGGGATTTGTTTTCGCCGCTCCGTTTAGACACTGTTTGTAGTAAGTCTGGAACACGCGGCGACGAGATACGCCACTGTGGGCAGGCACCGCCCACAGTGGCGTATCTCGTCGGGCCTTGGCGGTGCCTGACGAGTATGACTGTGGCGTATGTTGTATGTACTCCTTCCACGTCCTTGACTCGAATTTATCGCTGCCACTTCAAAGGACGGTGAAAGCGACGAAGAAAAGACTCTTCCTGCGACTTATTGCTCTTTCATCTTACGGTCATTGGCCCGCCCCGGACAAGGAGTTCAATACAAAGTCAGCATTTCGCCGCCGGCTTGCCGTCCGGATAACTCTTTATTGCCTTCGCTCATCGTCGAGCACGGCGAGCATGGACTCGCCAAGGACTATACCGGACAGCGAGGACGAGTCCGAGCGGAATGCTAGGCCGACGCGCCAACCGATATTCTCATTATCTTCCTACACATCTCCTACAGCTTCTCTGCGCGGCACGACCCTTGATTTACCTTTCGATTCGTTAGACACGCCTGGAATAATCACGCCTGGTATACCCATCACGCCACGGATTGAAGAGACGACCAGGCTGTTAGAAGCTCAGCATGACGCGAGAGATTTGGAAACAGGGCAGGAGGGAGGCTCAGTATTGAGTACTGGGTACGGTGCGCTCGACAGTGGAGAGCCTTCTAATGGAGGTATGATTATCAATCTTTTGTCGCTAAATTGTCTCGCTCAAATAATCTGGTACCACATTGACAGAATCGGCAAAATCTTCGCCTCCGAGCAAAAGATCGTCGAGATGGGCAAAAGTTCAATACTATATACCCTCACTTTACTGGATACCGAACTACTCTCTATCGCTGTTCGTCCATCTTTTCCCTCCATGCATGATTGTGTGTAGATGCTCAGAGGTTTTGGTTCAGACTTGGAGGAGACCTTCTTGCAGGTGCAACCGTCTCCGCCATGCTCATCCCCCAATCAGTCAGTTACGCATCGTCGTTGGCGAAGCTCAGTCCTGTCACTGGTCTCGTGCGTATATTTCCTTTCTTTTTCTCATGCATGGGGATGGCCCGCCCTTGTGAGTCCAAACAGGTTTACACCTATGAACGTGGCAAGCGCGGTATAGCACAGCTTGGACTTCTCAACCACCCCTCATGTCGGTGCCACAGCTCGTCATCTTGCTATATTTGCTTTCACATCTTTCTGATGACGCACTCTCTTCTATCTTCGAGACCATATCGCGCTATGAATCTCCCATATTAGATCACCCGTCTTGATGGCTCCTACTCTTGATCCTGGTTCACAATACTGAACCAAAAAACATTCTTGCCACACAGTTCTCTGCCTCGATACCGCCTCTCGTCTATGCCCTCCTCGGAACCTCTCGCCAACTCAACGTTGCACCAGAGGCGGCACTCTCACTCCTCGTCGGTCAAGCCATCTCTGACGTCTTGCATGCCGACCCTCACTCCCATCCCGAGCATGCGGATGCTGTGGGTTTAGCCGTGTCAAGCGTCATTGTCGTTCAGGTAGTCCAATCCGTCGAAGCAATTGTCAGTCTTGCGCTGACAGTAAATATCATCTTGTGTGGTTGTTGTTTGAGTTAGGTCGGACTGATCTCGTTTATGCTGGGCTTCTTCCGTCTTGGCTTCATCGACGTCGTTCTGTCGCGCGCTCTCCTTCGAGGCTTTATCACCGGCGTTGCCGTCGTCATCCTACTGTTCGTTTCTATCTCTTTAACTCTCCTTATCATTTCACCTCAGATTGACTTGATGGATTTTCATCTATATCAGCGAACAACTAATCCCCATGCTCGGCCTGACCGCTCTTGAACACTCCGTGAACCCCCATACATCACTCGACAAACTCTTATTCTTACTCGAATACGGATTCACACACTTCCACCGGCCGACGGCAGCCACCAGTCTTGCGGCATTGTGCTCTTTGGTTTTCCTGAGAAGTTTGAAGGGGATGTGTAGGAAGTGGCCGTTATTGTACAGAATGCCCGAGGTACTTGTTGTTGTCATTCTTTCGACCAGTAAGTCTTCCCTTGGATTGATGATGTGCTCGGTGAGCTAGTTGCTGTTATAGGAATGGAGTTACTGACGACATGGGATCAGTTTTGAGCGCTCAGCTACGGTGGGATGAGGACGGGATAGATATCCTTGGTGCTGTGAATATCAACACTGGCGCTCATTTCTTCAAATTCCCGCTGCATCATTCGCATTTGAAGTATGTCCGGCAGACGACATCGACAGCTGTGTATGTTCTTTTCTTCTTTGTGCGCTAGCCCATGATCACTTCCATGTCATTGGTGATCTTTCAAACATCCCGAGTAACATAAGTTATTAATCCCTCCTTCCATTCTCTCTCGCGATAGTCTCATCTCAATCATCGGCTTCCTTGACTCCATCGTCGCAGCAAAGCAGAACGGCTCTCGCTTTGGACACTCTATCTCGCCTAATCGTGAGCTCGTAGCGCTTGGTGCAGCAAACTTGGTGGGCTCGTTCGTTCCCGGGACGTTGCCGGCTTATGGGAGTATTACAAGGTACTTCCATATTTGCGTTTGTAGATGTGACTGGCTGATGCTGAGATTGATATAACAGGTCGAGGATCAACGGCGATGTGGGTGGACGAACCCAGATGGCTTCGATCATTTGTGCGGGAATAGTGTTGCTGGCGACATTCTTCCTCCTCCCATGGCTATATTTCTTGCCGAAGTGTGTTCTTGGTTCGATGTGAGTGCCCAATTTCCATCTCTAAGGATGCTTTGTACATGCAAGAGTGGTTCCAGTACTGACGTTGGCATATGGTGCGGGTTCGGCATGCTAGTATATGTCTGGTTGTGTATAGTCTACTCGCAGAGACGCCACACGACGTTATATTCTACTGGAGGTGCGTGCTTCCATCCCTTTTCCTTTGATGACTTCGTTGAACACATATATCTGCGTCGCCGCACGATTCAGGATGCGCGCCTGGATTGACATGGCGCTCATGTCTCTCACCTTCATCCTCACTATCATCTGGAACGTCCAGGTCGGAGTAGTCGTCAGTTTGATCATCTCGTTGCTGTTGGTCGTGAGGCGGAGCTCGAAGACGAGGATGTCGATTTTGGTAGGTCTTCATTTTGAGCTGGCCCCTTCATCACTTTGCTGAAGAATCGTTTCTGCATTGGTCCGGTCCTGTCGGTCATGTGGTGGTATTGTCGTGTATCGCGGCGTGGTCGAGTAGGGCAGGATTCCAGGAACGGATAGGTGGAAGCCTATCAACGAGAACCCAGAGGCGGAGGAAAATATCCCGGGAACACTGATTGTTAGGATTAGAGATAACCTCGATTTCGGTGCGCCTTTTCATTTGTTCCTCAGTCTTGGCGCATGCGCTGACGAGTCGGTTCCCCAGCCAACACTGCACAACTGAAAGGTACGCCCCTTCGTTGATGATACGTCTGGAGCAAGGGTCGTTTCAATAACACGTACTTGGACCACCGTTACTGTAGAGCGTCTACGCAGACTAGAGCTCTACGGTGTTGATCCCATCCATCCCTCCGAAGCGCCGCGAAGACAGCAGGCGAGGGTTATCGTGTTCCACCTCTCTGACGTTGAGTCCTGTGATGCCTCGTACGTTCTGCTCTTTTGCTCCTGTTTATCCTTGTCTCAAGTAATGAATTTGTGATCATGTAGGGCGGTGCAAATATTCTACGAACTGTTCGAGACGTATATCGTATGCAGCTTCTCGCCTGTATCTTCCTTTCTCTTCAGCGCTGACTCTATCTATCGTATCTCCCACTCAAATTTTATCTGCTTGTTTCTTCCAAAAGAATCGTGGGGTAACTGTCTACGTGACACATCTTCGCCGAGTCGTAAGGCACAGCTTCGAGCGAGGAGGCATCGTCGAACTTATTGGCGAAGAGGCATTCTATCAAGATGTGGCGGCGGCGATAAGTAGGGTGGCGAGTGAGCATCAAGTATTTGGTGGGAGATTCTCCCAGGGTGGTTGACGGGGCCGCTGTAGGGTTATGGGGATGGAGATGTTTACGACTTTTCACGATGACTAACGAAAGTGGTTGTGATATCCCCTCGCGCAGATGCGGATTAGGGCGAACTTCGTACATAGACTATCACTGGATCCGAGCACATTTGACTATGGCTGGCTCTTGTGTTCTTTCCTTTCCTCTCTTTCTTCTTCTCACATTTCTAATCCTTGTACCTCTTGGGCTTGTCTCTTTTCATCTCTCGCACATGCTGCTCTCATTTTGTTCCGTTCTCGTTGCACATCGCATTGGGCTTCTGTTCGTATTCTTGCATAGTTCACGCTAGGTGTTCTACTAGTATAATGAGTAGCTCATTCTGTACTTTCAGTGTCATTGTGGTCTTCTTTGTATCCATCACTAGCATTGCCCATGATTGCTGGCTTCGATTGGCTTCCCAGTTTCACTTTTCCGATGACCTCGACCGAACGTCATCACCGTGCGAACTCAACTCACTAACAATTTGACTTGTTGCGCGCGTTTGCAAGACCGCCAGCACTTGTACCCTCAAGTTAGCCCATATCTTCATCTTTTCGCCTATGGATCATAGGAGCATCTATCTACGCTCGAAGCACTCGCAAATCAAAAGGCGGCTGAAAAGCTCAGGTTACCCAGCATCTGTCACGGAGCCTGAGAAGTCCCACAACCGGATCGAGTCGTCCTTCGTCTCTGGCTGTTTTCGTGCCCGCGACTTGCGTACCACGCGAGTCTTTTGCGCAGATTCGTCTTCCTCACATGAAGACCCCGACGAGCTTGTCCCCGAAGGAGAGTCAGGAGTGAGATGATCGAAGTGACGCGAGCCTGAGACGGAGAGAAGGAATGGATGTAGTGGGTGGAAGGACGTAGAGCCGATTGCGTCTGTAGACAAATCACCCATAATTATCGCCCATCAATCGTGGCATTGGCCGATAAAGTTGGGCTGTAGGCCTACCTTCATGTGCGTGGAACCTTAGAGCCGGACGGTTCATTACGGTATTTGTCGTGGTGGGCATTTCACCTGTAGTGTCCATGGGCAAATCGGCGGGAGGTGCGCCCTCATCGAGGTCAAACATGCATACATCTCCGTCCTTTCCATGCACGGCATGTTAGAATAGTCCACGGAAGTGAGAAAGTTAGCGTGGTGGGCTTACCGGGGTGCCCGTACTCATCCACTTCCCACCGATATCGACGTCAAATTTCAACCGCTGGTTTGTGTCCTCGCTCTTCCGTGCCGCGGTAGCCAGACCTGTGGCAGAGGCGCAGGCAGAGCGATCGAACACCTGTACTGGCGTGAATGTGTCACCTCTGAGGTCCCATGCGTAGATGCTTGTATGACGGCGAAAGGAAGCATAAAGGATGTGCGGTTTGTATGGATGGAACGCGATCTGAAAGAATTTATTAGAAAAAATGGAGCGATATTAAAGGATGGATAGTGATGTGATGATATAATTGCCTGTGACACCGAAGCCCTGACAGCAGCATCACTGAATCCAATCCACCCCACCGCTTTACCATTGTCTGCATCATCTTCGTTGAACAGCGCGATATTAGCACCATTGATCGAAGGTGGGCTCAGCGAACCGGCCGCGAAAAACGAGCCGGAGGGGCAGAAGGACAAAGCCGACAGTATGCCTACCATCAGAACAGTAATGAGATGTATATCCAGTTGGTCTACTAAAGCACACTATAGAGGCCTCTACCTTTGAGCCCATCTCTGCTTTTGCGGGAAGGTGTTGTGAGTATACGGGTGCCTTCGCCAGGTGTTTGAAGATCGAATACTTCGATGGCAGAATCAAAGCCACAGTACAGTCTGCACATATGTTAGGGTTGCGTTCAGTGGCGAGACCAGACGGGATTTAAGCTGACCTTTGTCCGGTGAGGTTGAACGCTAGACTATGTGGTGCAATCTGCCGCTCACGATGGTCGACAATTTTGTATGACGCTCTAAGCTGCGGTATCTAGATATGAGACCACAGCCATGCCAAAGATCAAGAGAAGACCCACACGACCGGATGCTGCATCCAGCAGTCGAACGGGTGACTCTCGTACAGATGCAACAAAGCAGAACGAAGCAAGGTCAAAGACTGTGGCACGAGGATACCAAGCATAGTCAACGATTGGCGCTGCTTGAGGCAAGGTAGTCCAGGTTCTGTTCGCGATCTGCTCTGTATTGGTCGTCAGTTCAGGATTAGAGGAAAGAGATGAACGGCACTCGCCTGTCTGAGCTAATGATAAGTGGAGAATTTCTGGAGGTCTAGACAGTTACATGTGCATGAATGAGGTGAATGATAAGGGATCTCGGATACCTACAAGTTGAGCATCTGAAAGCTGCGATTTTCACAGTGAGCGAGAGCCATTGAGCCATCGGGACACCTGTTCAAAAGAAAGAGTACATAAGTCAGATTTATGCTTAGAAGGGTAGAGTCCAGCAGTAACGGGAGGACAGGTCGTGGTCCTTCATCCCACTTATCTGGCAGCAGCTCAGTAAAAACACTCACCATTTTGCAGACCGGACAAAATTATTGGAGAAAGAAGGATCAGGCGTCAAACGAACGGTGCCACCTAACAATGGATTTGATGAGACATCGTAGGACGGCGGCGCCCATGTGTATTCTGCACTTGTTTGCGCCATCGGAAACTGAGAAGAAGTTGCTTCGTTTTTGCTGAATGAGTGCCACACAGAAAGCCTGGTGGTGGTTCGTGATCAAAAGGTATCGGCGCCAGTGGCACGCCACAACAGAGGTTCAAGTTCGGCTCGGGAAATGCCGATAGAAGTATTTTCTTCCGATTCCTTGGCGGCGGAGAACTTGAACATCGCGAGTGACGCATGCGCCCTCCGAACATATAAAAGGCTCTCGCTTCTAGCAATAACGATAACTGTGACCCTCTCGCTGACTCGGAATTGTGAACCTCTTGAACCTTCCGTGCAAGCCTTGGGCTGGTAGACGTATCTGGCAGCTCAGGTCACTTCACTTCGTGGTTGACCAACATGCCCGGGCTCACGCTATCAGATGATTTTTTCTTCTTTCTTCAACATTATGATAAACAGGCTCCCCCGAAGAAGACACCCCCTTCAATCTCATGGCTAGTTTGACGGACAACTCGAACACAAGTTCTGACATTTCTTCTTGGTCGTCTATCCTCCCTCTCGTCGTATTCTTCGTAACAAGTATTTACCTCCCTCAATACCCTTCACCGCTATTTACTGACATCTTTCACGATTTCAAGATATCATAATCATATTCCCCTCCTCCGTTCCCATTCCGTTTTTTGTTCTACGCCTCGTCCGAAACACACTCGTCTCGGCCCGCATCATCTCACCACCACTGGACTCATCTGCCTCTCGCAGAAGACAATTCCACTTCAATTTTATCACCGTTCCACTAATCAGCGTTCTCGTTCTCCTTGCCTGTGGCGCTATTGATGGAACGACGATACATAGGGGTATCGTGGGAGCCGATGGAGTACATCCCATCGATATCATGGCTTTGTTCATTTCGCTGGTCAGTTGAGTTTTATACGAACGAATTGAACTATCCAAATAAGTATTGAGTAAACGTAGGCATATCTATCCATATCTCTAGATGCCACAGGCCTATTTCGATTTCTCGCCTTCTGGGTCGCAAGAAAAGGCGGCAAGTCGGGCCAGAGGCTCTATTTTTATATTTACTGCTTTTTCTTAGTTAGTGGGGTCATCGTTGGGAACGTAAGTCGCAACTTTGTTTGCCCAGTCATCAATGTTGAAATTTTCTGCACTTAGGATCCAGTCATCCTCTCCGGCACGGTATTTCTAGCGTACCTCACGCGTATGTCTGGGTGTGTCGCAATCAGTGACCAGTCCGAATATGATATTCTTATATTCGTTGTTTTTCATTGACAGCATAACACCACCGACAGCGTGGATCTACGCTCAATTTACTGCTGCAAACATGGGTATGCCTGCTTTTTAACTAATTATCTGCTTCCTCTAATATTTGACTGCCATGCCCGTAACAGCCTCCGCCGTCCTCGTCTCTTCTAATCCGACGAACCTTGTCCTCTCTGGCGCCTTCAACATCACCTTTATAACCTACACCTCAACTCTCATTCTCCCCTTCATAGCATCCGCAATCATTGTTTATCCCGTGCTCGCCTGCTTGCTACTCAGGAAAGAAGGGTTGATTCCGAAGAGGATCGACCTTGGCTTCGATGATGATGCCGGAATCGAGACACAAAATTCTGACAACAGTCAACTCCAAGGAGTTCAAGCCAATGAAGGCAATAGTGATAGCGTCTCATTGGCAGCCACTGCCGAAATCGAACTCGAACGCGCCCCTTCGACAAACGCAACCTTGACCCTCCACGATAAACCAGGGGCCATTTTCGGCTCTGTGCTTTTGCTCGTGACGCTTGCGGTGTTGGTGGGCACGTCGACGATAGGAGTGCAGGTTTGGCAGGTGACGGTCCCTCCTGCGTTGATCATGCTGGGGAGGGATGCGTGGTGTGATTGGAGGAGGTGGAGGGAAGCGGAGAAGGGAAGAACTGATGGGCATGGTGAAGATAGTGGTGGTACTGGCGAAGTGAGCGATATTGAAGCGGTCATGGAGGATTCCACGTCGGAAAGGCCGATCGAAATGCAGAGGATGAAATCCAACGAACTTCCACCTACCGCTCAAAATCAGAACACTTCGGAACCAGAATCTGACCTGCCCCCGCCCCAATATCAGCGCCACCAACCCCAACGGGTCACTCTATCTTCCCTCTTTACTCCCACCGTCACCTCCCTCCAACACATCTTCCCAACGATTCACACCCTATCCCAGCGGCTCCCGCTCCCTCTCCTCCCATTCGCATTTATGATGTTCATTCTCGTACAAGGTCTCGCCTCCAAAGGTTGGGTAGAGATATTTGGCGGTTGGTGGGATAGTTGGGTTAGGAGGACAGGGGTCGTGGGTGCTGTGTTTGGGATGGTGGGTATTAGTGGGGTGTTGTGTAATGTGAGTCTGATTTCGCCCTATCTTCCTTTACAATATTTCTGCCTCCCTGCCTCTGTCTTTGCATACTGCGGAGTACATCACCAACTCACCGATCGAATCACAGGTCTGCGGAACGAATATCGGAACCACCATCCTCCTCGCGCGCACCCTCCAAGCCTGGCTCTCTTCCACCACCGGCACCACCACCTCCGACACACCGTCCAAACTCCTCCAATACGCCTCGATCTACGCCCTAGCCCTCGGATCGAACTACGGCGCGTTCACCTTTACTTTCGGGGCTTCGCTCGCCGGGTTGTTGTGGAGGGATATATTGCGGCAGAAAGGAATTGTTGTGAGACGGTGCGTTTGTCCACCGCGATACGCCGGCCCACCCTCCCCATCTGTTCACCATCTTTTCTCTTCAAAAACGCACGTTATTCGCTGAGCTGACCATATATCGTGCCCCGCAACTGTCCCGATAATTCTAGGCTGGAATTCGCAAAAATCAACGTCGCGCTTTGGATCGTCGCTTCTCTGGCAGGTGGGGCGGTCTTGGTCGGACAAGCGATCATTAAACATGGATCGTGAGGCTCGATTTTATGGGGAAGCAAAATGAATTGCTTTCTAGAGCATCCATGAAGGGGACGGTCTAGTAGTAGACTGCGAAAGCAAGGCGGTGGAAGGGAAGGTTGCATAGTATGAAGGTACCGGCGCCACAAGTGGTGATCAGATGTGGTGCTTGTGAGTTGGAATGTCTCTTGTACTATGTTAGTGGTTCATGTCGCTAAGATTGCAGACGTTGAGTGCGTAAGTGCCACTATCACCTTGGACTCAGTTTCTCCCTCAAACGATCCACCGACGCGTAAACGATGACCGTCTGGATCGTCGAGCGATGACTAGACCTCGAACAAACACAAAAAAACCATACACTCGACAGTCCGCGATCCTGATACCCCACGACGAACTTTTCAAAAGACAATGGAGAAGAAAAAGAGCACGAAAGCGTCAATTCCGGTGTATTGACGAGAGTGGGATTTGAACCCACGCCCCCGAAGAGATCAGATTATCTTTAATATATATGGCTTGGAACCTTAGTCTGACGCCTTAGACCGCTCGGCCATCTCGCCATGACATGGTACATGGTACCGTGTGTCGGGACGGGGGTCAGGGGGATTGCGGACGGGGAGCTGAATACGGAATGTGGTGAGGCATCGATATGGATGGGTAGGATCGTAAGGGGTGCAGTAATCCGGATGGACCATCCTGAAATGTATAAGAAAAAGACTACGTACACTTGAGCACGACGGAAAGCCCAGGGCACGAGGTTAGGACCCAACGTAGCACTGATGGACTGAAAGATTTCCTGAGAGCGCTTTATGCACGAAGCACCCAAGCCAATGACGCCGATCTGTGAGACGACATGCATGCATGCATGTATGTGGACCTGGCTTGTCGTGGATAGGCAAGCTAGCAGGAGAGAATACTACTAACTTATCAATTCAACAACAATCGGAAGCCCCTAGACCGCTAGCACTCGCCCAGCTGAGTGGACCTGACCAGGCAAGACTACGCCTCTGACATGTAATAGACAAACGATGGAATTCAAAAGCTGAATGTTCATTTGCCCCTGCCCCACAGGGCAAGTACAGGAGTACGGAGTAGCGCGATTGAACAGGCCTGGCTTGATATAAAACCGAAGTATTATGACAGCATTTCATCGAGGTTGCGGCTTGGAGAGAAAAATAAATCGTGCCCATGCTGTTGAGGAACAGTCGCGACCAAGGGGAAGACAGAGCGAATTTTCATCGCGCTTGAGGCTCGGAGAAAAATAGACCGTGCCTGCACTGCAGAGGCATTACTACGACCATGGGGAAGACAGAACAAAATTTCGATCCGATGCGACCCGCATTATCAGAAATTAATGCCCAGGCTAGTCATGCGCGCATGAAGTAAGGCCATTCGAAGACTTGGCTCTCAGCTCTTCACTATCGGCGGAGACTGAGAGGACCATAGTATCATTGCTATAATACAGCTAGCAAGGAGGTAAGAGCTTCAGTCGCGACATGCTAGTCATAATCTCAAAGCTAGTCCCATGCTTGAATATATGAATAATCGCAATAGCTGAGAGCCATAACACAACACAGTGAATGGCATCGGAGGTCGCCGGTCGGCGGAGAACTATGACGCATGCGCGAAGGATAGCTTACCCCGACGAAGATTCACCGCAATTTTGTCAGTAAGACGAGATTGATGGCATCTGCGACCGACAGTGCAGCATCTCATCGGAAGCGAAAGGTAGATCGACAGTGCGTAGAGAGCTTTGAGGATCCGAAGCACCGCCGGCAAAATCAAGGCCAAACCCATATGAGCTCTGACAACTGCCAGCGTAATTGACATCCTCGCTATATGAAAGTATAATTATCAATAAATCAATGCAGACAGCGCAAAAATGGATGGTCGAACGTCAAAAGGAGCCTAGAGAAAGAAGTGGATGTATCCTGTCACGCCGAAACGCTAGCAAAATAATTGACATGTGCGTGGGACGAGACGAAGAGTGCAAGGACGCATACCCATGAAGGATGGGTGCTGCTTGATGTTAGCCGACGTGGGAAGAGGTGTTACTTTATTGCACGGGAAATCGCGACGGTGTCGGGGAGCCCCGTTGCGTGCGTACATGAGGAAGGGTTATCTGTTGTCTTGGAATAGGCGGTATTCTTCCGACCGCATCGACTCGAGCGCAAGCAGACAAGATGTCATCTATTTTCAGACAGCGGAAGTCGGCAAGCAAACTTAGCCATGTAACGAAAGAGGCAGAATTAGAGCGATCAGTGATGGCCGATGGCAGAGGAGTCATGTCATGGTGGTACCTTTTTGGAAGATTTTGCGGCGTGGGGGAAAAGATTCTCAAAGCCTGAATGAAGACAGCGCGATAGAGGGTGTTCACGAGCAAGGAGATCTCGTCAAGTGGACAGCATGCAGGAAAAAGGGAGTGCTAAGATGCCCTGGCTAATCGCGACTAGTGGCGAGCGGGTACTATTAGATAGTCGGAAGGAATAATGTAGCCAGTGAGTCGTGGAGGAGAGAGCTGGATGTGGTGATATGACCTGTCCTAAACGACGTTAATTGAGGTCGTAAAGGGTTGCCCGATGGGGGACGAGAAGAAAAGAGGCCTCTGCCCTGGGCGGCAGTTGCCGTTCCGGTATAATGAAGCGATAAGATTAGATGTCACGGCGGTTGCCCGAGACCGGCCAAGTTGGGAACAAAAGCAGGCGTTGTTCAGCCCGACCTCCCTTTCTCTCTCCCACCTCGCCTCGCCTCTCCCTTTCACCGTCTTTCAGCTCTGCGAGTCAGTATCCAATGCTTAGACGAATGACAGACAAACTGCTTGCTCATCCTGGCAACCGTGACCATGGCTCTCCCTCACCCACATCTACGCACAACAATATCCCATCGTCATCCTCTTTGTATAAGCACAATCCTAACCACCCACTCGCACCCACATCAGGCCATCCCCATGCACCAGAATATCCTCTTCATCGAGGCTCAATCTCAACAGAACGAACATCTGAATCGGGAGACCGCTCATATCTCGCTAGACCCTCAGTCGAGCGGCACTCTAGTCTCAGCACCCCCATGGATGAGGACGAGGAGCTTCCGCTACCCCCGCAACCGCGGCGGGTCATGGGCAGCTACAAGCTCGCCGATTTCTTCTTCCACAGAACACTGGGCACGGGCAGCTTTGGTCGTGTTCACTTAGGTGCGTTCATTTGTTTGTTTGTCGGGTGCTTTTATTGTTTTAGGATGTGAGAGTCGTCGTCCCACGTGGTCGCTCTCTCTTTTGTGAGATCTCCATCGTCCTGTCACCAGATGGCATGGAAGCATCCGTTGCTTGATGTATGGTTTGGAAGATTAGATGGCGGGTACATTGCGATACCGCCATCACATCTGTTGCCTCGGGTGGGTTAATCATTGTTGTGGCCCAAGGTGCCACGCGAGTTTGACTTTCCAGAGCCCTCAGTGTGGGTCGAAGATCATACTACGGCACATTAGATAGTTGCCGCAAGCAATGTACCCATGCTCACTTGTTTCTCTCTTTCTCATTCCATGCTCTTTCAATCTGATCCCAAACTCACCCCTATTCCCACGCCACTCCTCGCCTCCCGCTTCATACAGTACGCTCAAAACACAACCTCCGCTTCTACGCCGTCAAAGTCCTCAACAAAGAAAAAGTGGTTCGTATGCGCCAAGTGGACCACACGAATAACGAACAGCGACTGCTCCTCGCCGTCCAATACCCGTTCATCGTCAACCTCTGGGGCACCTTCCAGGATTTCACCAATTTATATATGGTTATGGACTTTGTCGCCGGTGGAGAGTTGTTCACGCTTTTGAGGAGGTCGAATGTGAGTTATCTATCTCCGTTCCATGCCCGGTATGGGTGTGGCTGTGTTACTGGTTGGAATGTCATGTTGAGCAAATGCGTGTACTTGCGTGTTTCGTATAGCGGGTAATGTCTCCTCACCTCCGCCCATCCATTTCACAATCCCTCCAACATCACCTCCAACTCCATATCCATAGCGTTCCTTTCCTCTTCCATTTTCAGCTCTTACTGACGCTTCCCTTTTTCCCTCCCCTCGCATACAGCGCTTCCCTGACCCAGTAGCGAAATTCTACGCAGCCGAGGTCTCGCTCGCGCTGAATCATCTGCACAAACACGACATCGTCTACCGCGACCTCAAACCCGAAAACATTCTGTTGTCGATAGATGGACACGTGAAGATCGCGGATTTCGGCTTCGCGAAGTTTTGTCCGAATACGACATGGGCGCTCTGTGGCACGCCAGACTACCTGGCCCCGGAGGTGCGTTCCTTCAACCGCATCCCATCCTTCTCCTTCTCTTTCTTCCAAAAAGAGTCAAGATCGACATGGCTTACTGGTGTCCTGTTTCTGCTCGCGTTCGTGTGTGTCGTGTATAGATCATCAATCAACAGCGATACAATAAATCGGTAGACTGGTACGCCCTCGGCGTGCTCGTGTTCGAGATGTTGACCGGCCTCCCGCCGTTCCATATCCCGGGCGAGGCCGCAGGATCGCCGATGGGGCTTTATCAGAGGATTCAGAGGGGTATACCGGCGATCAGGTGGCCTGTTGCGTCTTGTGAGTATCAATTCTTTTCCTTTGCGTTCTACCACTCTTCCGTTTTGGGATCACTCCCTCGCCATATGTGGACGTAGAAATAAGATGAGTGCATGGATGCTGACCCTCGTCTGACAGCACAAATGCCAGCGTCGACAGCCCCTGGGTATCCCTTTATCAACGCCCCCGCCCGGGATCTGATATTACGCTTCCTGGAGTCAGACCCTTCGAAGCGACTGGGCAACCTGAAGAAAGGGTCGTACGACGTGTTTAACCACTCCTGGTTCGTCGAGGTGGACTGGGATAGACTGGAAAGGAGGGAGGTGATGGCACCGTATATGCCGAAGGTGATGGGTGAGGGGGACGCGAGCGCGTGAGTCGTCTTTCTCTCTTTTATTTTCTTTCTCTTTTCGTGTGCACGGAGATGTGAAGAAGGGAAGTGATGATGGATGCTGATTTTGGCTTTGATGTAGGTTCGAGCAATACCCGGATGAAGACGTCTTACAGTCATATGGGAGTTATGGTGGCGATGTAAAGGATTCGATGAAGGAGCTGTTCCCGGATTTCGAGTATACGGCTCATTGAGGTCTCTCTCAGGCTGACCGTATACTTTTTTGGTCTTCGGTTTTTTTCGCACTGCATCATCAGCACCCTCATCATCCTCATCATCCTCACCCTCCTCCTCATATCATGGACTTTGTTGTATACGCCGTCGCTTATGGATTAAGCGAACGTGCGATGCGGATTCTTTCTTCCTTCCTTTCTTCCTGCGTTTCTTTCGCATTTGTTGTTGTTGTTTGAGAGATTGTGGTATACCTGACATCCCGTCTCCTCGTCTCTGTAGTTGTTCGGATATTCTCCCCGAGTTCATCCGTGTCGTCTGTCTGCCCGATGTTGGCACTGTTGTTTTTTGGAACTCCCTCCCTCTTGTTGTGCCTGTCCTTGTGTTTGTGTTTTGTCATACCAACCCGTTCGTCGACATCCATGGGTGTTCTCCGTCTTCGCAATGGATTCGAGTCGCTGATATCCTTTCATCGTCCTTTTTCTGTGGATACCATCCAATGGAATATGGGGTCGTATCAGTTGAACTGCAACTCGAGACCTTCTTGTCCACGCTTCTCTTCCTATAGCTACTCGAGTACTTCCGGCTCCAGTTCCTGTTCTTTATTCCTTCCTGTATATTCGTTTATGTTTCCTGTTTCAGTCTGTATTGTCCCCTCGCCTTGGTGATGAGTCTTTGACTCTCACGCGCAACCTCCATACATACATAACTCACAAATTTGTCACAAATTCACGGATGCTTACTGTCATTGATTGCCTCTTTGCAAAGTATGAGGCGAGATGCGACTCCAAAAAGGGAGGTCTACATATCCGGTTCCTGAGGGTGATAGTTCCTCGTACGCTCGTCTATCTCATCCCACCTTTGGAATAACCCCGCTTTCGCATAGGGGCTCTCAAGCGCATCAGCGGTTCCATGAGGCAGTCTGCAACTTGGCGCATCATTCATACTGCCTCTTAAGATCACATTACTTGCCTTCTCAACAAACTGTATAACGCGATATCTGAGAGCCACACAATAGGCTTTCCTAAGACGCTGGAGACACCTTCCGTGATTGCGGCGATCGATTCTTCTGAGACAGACTCGGAACAGAGGAACTTTGCGATGTACGGAGCAGTACCCGGAACAGTCACATTGCGAAGAGCTTCGAAGAATATGTGGTCGAAGGTCATCTCCTGGAAGTCGCGGTAGAGCTCTGAGTCCTCGTCCCTGATGTACGAATATTCCCGCAGCGTGTCTTCAGCGACGACGAGTGGAGTCCCCATTGCCGCGGTTATGGCACCGCCAACTGGTCCACCAAACAAGCAGCCAATGGCGATTCCGACAGCGAGGATTGGCGATATAGCACAGTGAATTGCGATACGCTGTTTCCACTGATATTTCCACAATGCACAACATTATTGATCAGAGGTTGATGTCGATATTATAATTTATTGCATGAAACGAGAGAAAGAAAGCTGCATACCGGATGGGATGCTAAAGCATGCACACCTGCGACAGCGACCCCGACGAGAGGCACTTTCACCTCACCACCACGATCAAACCAATGGCCACTTTATTTACACGGGAAAAAATAATCAACTGTTTTAGACTGTTTTAGACTGTAGTCAGTCACATGAAGGATAAAGAACTCTCACTGGCGCTCGAATACGAGTGTCCCGTTCCGATTGGACATGCATCTCGCGACGTCGATTGCACTGTACACGTACTCATCGCCATCGATGCGTAGGTCTGCACACAACAGTACTTCGGTGGAGGAGACGATGAGGGACACATTCCGTGCGGAATCGAAGAAACGATCTCCGTTTGAGGTGAAAGATCCGCTGCGATTTCCGTAATGGTCGTTCAAGTCGATTGACGAATGGTGGAATGTTCCGTCATGGCCAAGGCAGAGGGCGTGGAGTCTCGAGTCTCGTAAGGTGAACGTTCCGCATGATTTTGGAAGAAGCTCCGTCCTATGGAATGGCATATCATATATGATCAGACGCACCATGCAACACTCAGAAGAGTAAAAGAAAAATGCGATTCAAGACGCACAAGTTCCCTTTTGAGAACACGAGACGACCGCATCTACGTTGGTCACGAACATGTCAAGGCATAGGGATGCTGTTGTAAGAGTGCCGTCAAAGTTGCGAAGCGATCCCTTGATCAATATTCCTTTATCATAGACGCAGGTATGGGCTGATCGTGAAAAATTCCTTGAAGTGAGGTCAAAGGACCCATTCTTGTTTCCGATGTACTGGTCCAAGTCAAGGATAGATGACCTCGTGGAACCGTCCATCGCAAGACATGATGCTTTAAGTATCCCCCCAGATAGAGAAACCGTGGACGAGGTCAGTGAGAATGACATCTCCCAGTCACACAGAGCGGCCGCGACGACGTGATGGTAATACACTGACAGGCTCGAATTTACATATATTTTATTTAGAGGTACGGGCGAGATGGCCGAGCGGTCTAAGGCGTCAGACTAAGGTGTTCGAGAGCACCAGATTATCTGATCTCTTCGGGGGCGTGGGTTCAAATCCCACTCTCGTCAGTATTATATGGATGTAGGTCCAATGTTTTGTGGTGGTAGGTTAGGATTTTTATCGAGAGGGGACTAGATGTGAGCCTGTACTTATGCAAAGCATATCTAATCTACGTTGAGAGTATAAGATACGTAGGCATATATTGACGCGCGGGAACATACTGACGTATCGAGCCTTGTGTCTTTTTTCGGCTCCCACCGCTCAACCTGCCAAGACGGTCTTACGACTGCCAAACGACTGCTCATCCGGATCCCCATCCAAGCTCCAACCCCTCCACCACCGCGCCCGCCTCCTTTTCCCTTCTTACCCTCTTCCTTTTCTACTATTCATCCCAATCCTAACTCTCCGGATGGTTCCTAAACCACCTCGTCACCGCACTCGGAATCGGACAAGCCGTCGACTCTCCCTTCCCGTCCGTAGAGTCATACATCATTTGACAGCATTCGTATAGTTTACGCACGTGGGAGTCGCATTTGGAGGGGTTGTAGGTGTTGCGGGAGAGGCAGGTTTGGAGGGAGCAGGCTTTGTGAGGTGGGTACGTGGTTGCCGAGGGTGAGGACGGGGTGAAGGGGAAAGACGAACGGCAAAATGATTTGGTGGTGAGAACTAGGATAAGCAAGCAACGGTAAAGTTTAAATAGTAACTTACCTTCGGCTTGACATGGTGGGTCGCTGGAACTGGACTGAAAGGGCATGACGATGAGGAATGAGATTCTGGGGTTGGATATGAGTCGAGACCTACGTTTGACATAACAGTCGAAGAAGGTATCAGAGTAAGCGGTATAGATAGCCCTTGTCAGTCAGGGATATCGGAGGTGAACGTGAGGTGCAAGCAAGGTTAGGCGTAGACAGTGCGCCAGGTACAATTTGCGCACTGGCAAACTCAGTAAACAAGAGGCCACAGATCGAAGAGTTTGTACTAGATTTAAGAGCACAAAGAGGCCAGCTTCAGGATGTCCGTAAAAATGGTAAGTGGTAGCGTGTTGGTGGGTCTCACAGAAATGGCGAGTGGTTCGAGTTGAACTTTTCGGAACGGTGGCATCGACGTCATCACATCACCATCATCCACTCTTCTTTCGCGCCGCTCTTTCGGGCCAAAGGCTTTCGATCCTAACAAGGCCAAACAACCGCCACTGGCAACGCACCGACACACTCCGGGCCGAGACCTGATATACTTACATCTGATCAGGGACCGGTTAGCTATGATAGGCGAGTCCGCTACAATATTCGTATAGGGAAAAATAAGCTCCTGTCGAGATTTTGGACCCAACCCCCGGGCTGGAATTGAACCAGCGACGTTTGTGCGACGACGAAAGTTTGATACCATGCGGTCACATCTTCTATAGTCGTTCAACGCTCTTCCGACTGAGCTACCGGGGGTACAATACATGTAATGTTCTAGGTGATTTCTGTCCTGCATACACATTTGAAAACCTAGGTCGAAAGCGTCTTTTTTTTCGGGCGGTCATTGAGCGGCCCCGGAACCTTTGGTTTGTGAATGGCTGCAATAAAACATAGTAAGCAGATTAGTTATTAAAGATGGGTAGGCAAAAGATCTACCGAATGCAGAACAACCCTGCGAGCTGGAGTCGAACCAGCGACAATGGGAAGCCAACAATACAACTAGCCTATTCGTGGAACCAACGCTCCAACCGCTGAGTTACCGGAGGGATACTCTCAAAAGAGATACATACGCATACGACGGAGTTATGAATGGGGTGGTTTGGAGCGGTTCGGGCAAGTCTTGTATGCGTAACAGTGATGTGGCAAGTCGAGTCTTTGTTTATCTGTAGTATTGAGGAGAGCCGATACTGTAGTGTCATTGGAAAAATCACAGAAGGTACCGTTCTTTAGATTAAAAAGGCAGGCACTCCGAGTCGAAACCAAACCGCCGCCTACGAGACTATCGACGCAGATATGATGTGTCTCCACCTTGAGTCCGCTACTCTACCTGCTGAGCCACAGGAAGAACAAAAGCGTACGGTTGAGTAGGTCTTTATAAAGACGACGTGAACGTACGAATGCACTATCGTGGATTTGTGCGGACTTGTCCCAACAGCTACCTCTGCCAAACATCGACATTTTTCGTCGATAACCAGCTTTCGCCTGATCTGTGGACGAAAACAGTAACATGATTCAGAGTCGTCACATTCTCGGTTTGCCGGACATACAAGCCTTCGATATCAATGAAGTACCCATAGATACGAATATAAAAATGGACCTCCAATGACGTGGCAATCCTCCGAGCTGGGTTCGAACCAGCGTTTATGCCGCCTAGGCCCTGCTTGGACGAGTGGCATCGCTCTACCAGCTAAGCTATCCGGCGGATACAACTGGGTCGTTGGGATAGGGCGAGAACTACATAGTCAGAGGCAATGTGCCCAGCACGATGTTTTGACTTGTCTTTGTCTTGCACTCCTAAAGAATCTAGACTCGATGGGGGGAGGGGGACAGCAGCGTTCAGATCTTTAGTTTGATCGTGTGGGTTTGATTGCAGTGTGAGGAGTGAAGACACGTCATGGTTCGGGGATGATGGGATAAGAAAAATCGATGACGGATCGAAAGAACAGGCCAGCCCCTCAGCTGGAATTGAACCAGTACGTAGGAAAACAGAGTCACACGAATGATCTACTCTGTTCTACCCACCGCTCTACCAGCTGAGCTATCAAAGGGATGATCGTATCGTTCTGCCGTTGGTCACATGTAGAAGGACAAAGCAGTACGAACCTACGAATGTAGTGGCGTGGCAATGGACGGAAAAGTCTGATTTGTTGACGGTGTCGACGTCGATCACCACATTATGGTTCGCCCCATGGCTTGCGAGTTCTCCTCACCGTTGATTATTGCCGATCGAAACAACGGTGGACGGAGCAAATCCGATGTCTGCGTAAAAATATTGACTGTCATAGAAGGTTACAGCACTCCCCGACCTGGAGTTGAACCAGCGTATATGAACATGATGCCGGATGATTGCAACACTTCATCCCATCGCTCTCCAGACTGAGCTATCGGGGTCATGTAAGTGTTCGAACGTAAGTGACCCTGGATCCTGTAGAGAAAACTGGCCGTGCGCGAGATCTATGTTGGATGGTCGTGGTCACCGGGTATCTGGAACCTTGATGATCAACGGGAGGCCGCATTGGACATCCACACTAAGAGGCAGAAAATACACAACAATATCTCAGCACCAAGCCGTGCAAATAGAGAATAGAAGCACTTTACTATGACTCGACAAAATGTTGGCTGGACAGCTCATCATGTTCGAGCTAAATCGATATAAAAAAATATGAACATAGTTGAGGGCTTAGGACACATGTCATCGATTCGAATCCTTCACTCTTCCGGCCAAGATTACTCTGGGCGTTTGCATAACTGTTGGCTGCAGGTAGAAGGTCCGGGATCGGACATCGACCAGAGGAGGGTTCAAAAGGAACGAAGGAGTGCTAGACTCGGAGTAGCCTTGATAGCATTTCATCTTGGGTTAGCTCAGGCTGACACGGAGATCTACGCAAGATGGCTCTAGAGTCTCGATTAATCATCGTCTACAGGCGCCAGCGAAGAGCGGGCAAGCATCCGACTAGGCAAACGGCGTTGCAGTTGTCAGCATCGCCAGCACTCAGCTGCGGGAACTCGGATTCAGCATAGAGTACCAACAATAAATTATATCGAGAGGATGAGATGAGCCAGTGCTGGTATGCCTTGTCGAAGCAAGTCCAAAAATGCGATATATCCAGTCTAAGAATGGCGTCGGGATGTGAAGTCGCAAAGGGCTGCCATCTTGGGTGCCGCGGTTGTTTGTGCCCCACAAACAAACGGCTGCCGCCCGTCCGCGAGCAGAAATGGGACCCCTCCTCTCCGCAACGCCTTCACTCGTCCACCGCGTTCCTCTTGCTGCACGCTCATCATCTCGTCTGGCTCTACGGACTGAGAACTACGACCTGGGCGAAAAACTGTGTCGAACCGTGCGATATCTGTCGAGATCAGCCGAAAGTGGCCTTAGTGGACCTCACACGCTTCGATCCGCATGGGACCGGCTTAGGACATGCCTTCAAAGAAAACGGGCTCTGGTGGTGCAACACGTACTAATGGCAAAGGGAAGAGGAGGGCAAGTGCTTTGGAGATGAGTGAGAGGGATGTGCAGAGGTTGGTCGAGGAAGAAAGGGCTGCTATGCTCAGGGCACGCCAGACGGAGTTAGACCAGGTCGTGGATGCTCATGATAATTTGGTGCGTTTATTCACCGTTTGTGCATGGAAAGGTAAAGTCTTATGCTTTGATTGTGGTTTGAAGGTTCGCGAGGCTTTCCATTTGAACCACTTCAGGACTATGGTTACGTTCGATCCGAAGGTATGACTACTATCATCCTCTCCGCGCTCGGACTCCTGTCTGAGTAATTCTACTTGTGACACGTAGACCGCCAAGGAGGATAACTCGGCCGTATATCAAGAGGTATGTCTAATTAAACTATTGGTTTCATCACCCCTGGCAGTACCATACGCGATGATTCTACCCGCGACGCGTTCGTCAAACCCGTCTCATTTATAAATAACCCTTTCGCCACATATCATCTACCAACCGTCTGCCTTGCATTTCTGGCATGCCCAGCCATGCCCACTTTGTTCTGATATACACATAATGCTGATTGTATCAACCAGTTCAAAGCCCAGTATGATCTTTTGGAACATAGCATCACTTCCAGCGCAGGACCTTCGCGTCGGACAACGCGTCGCGCTCACAATGAACGCGTTGAATTACTCAAAGGATCTACAAGCTCTGCGTCTGCGTCTGCACCCCCCGTAGCAGGACCATCCACCATCTCTCGAACGCGCAACGACTCCGAACCGGGCAATAACGCTGTCTGGGATATCCTCCTAGCTCAGAATCGTGGCGTAACGCCGTCGAAACCTTCGCACCATAAAGGACGAAGCGTCTCCGTGGTTGAAAATATTCGTGCACAGGACAATCCGACGGAGAGCGCTTCTGCACCCATACCAGCACATACCCAGAAGTCGCATGCAAAACGACGTGTTTTCGTCGAAATACCAGCCTCTTCTGCTGAGCGGGCCACATCAACGTCTCATTCAGAATCGTCCTCTTCCCAGCGCACACTACGGAAGTCTACCACGGAACACTCTGCAATGGCCCCGCCACCGCCACTTCCTTCGAGATCATCATTCACAATCGACAATAGGCGTGCCGCGTCTCCGCCACGAAAACGGCGCAGGACAGAACCGTCTTTGTCTTTGTCTTCGGCTTCGACACCGACACCAACAAACAAAGCTGCGATCGCGGCATCACCCGTTCAAACCCCCACCACGTCTATTTACAACTCTGCTTCTGCTTCCATCATTCCCTCGGCCACGACGAAAAGGCGTTCTGGTCGGTTTGCACATTCTGTCTCGAACGCTATGGACCCGACGCCTCTGTCGGATTTGAACACTACGACGGCCTCAACGCCCATAAATCAAATAACGAACCGCCTTCCTAATACGTCTACGAAAGCTAAAGGCAAACAAAAGGCAATCTTTCATGACCTCTCGACTGCGACCCTGCCCGACATCCCCACACCTACTTCTGCACCCGCTCGTGCCCCTCCATCACCCACTCGCCCTTCTACTCCAGCGTCGACCCTCGTTCTTTCCAATGCCAATCATGCCAATAAATCCACGAATGCCAATGTCAGCACGAACACCCGCTCCAACGCCCGAGCCCTCGCTTCCACGCCATCCACCTCAATCCGCCGCATCAAACTGATAGTCCGCAAACCTCCACCTTCATATACTTCACCCGTCCAAAAACCAATTCTCAACCCACCCTTCGGAGGGTCCGTGGAGAAGCTGCTGGAGAGTTATACGGCGCCTTCGTTTGGAGTGCCTTCGCGTGCTGGCTCGGCGGGTTCAGGTCCAGCGCCGAGTCCAGGGCCTGGGACGGGTGCAGGTGCTGCAGCGCGGATGTGGAAGAATGAGTTGAAAGATATGGAGGAGGATGAGCTGCAGGAGCTGGCGATGAAGAAAGCGAGGATTTGGGAAAGGATATGCGAGGCGAGAGCGAATGGGATGTTGAGGTTTGATTTGGATAGTATGAGGCGGAGTCCGAGTACCGCTGTGGGTGGGAACGGAAGCAGGAGTGCGAGTAGGAGTGGGAGTGTGGCTGTCGGAGAGGGTGCTGGTGGGTCTGGAGCGGGAGCGGGAGCAACGGCAGAGGATGTGGAAGGGAGGGGCAAGGAACCGAGGGATATTTGGGATTTCGTGATTCGGGACGTTAAAGCGGCGTATAAGCGTCGATTGGCGGATTCCGCCGCTGCGAGAGCCTTCGGCGGACACGGTGGGAGTTTCAGTGCTGGGACGACAGCGTTGGGGGTAGGACAAGGCGCTGGGGCAGCGATGTTGATGAAGGCAGGGTATGGTGGTGTTGGACCGTTCGTTGCGGGGATGGTGGCGGCGAAGGTGAGGGGGCATTGGGAGGCGGTGGCAGCGAAGGAGGAGAAGAAGAGGGCGGAGTTGGAGAGGGAGTGGAGGGCGAGGTGGAAAGTTGGGTTGAGGGAGCTGATCAATGAGTGGAAGAAGGCTGTTTTGGTACGTCTTCGGATTCCTTATTCCATGTCCGTGATGGTGTTCAGTTCATGCTTTCCTCCATCTTTCTCTTTTTCTAACTTGTTCTCTAAATTGCGATCACAGTATATTCGAAAAGAAGAACAAGAGAAGTGGGAAGCCGAGGAGGCGAGGAGGGGGAAAGAGCATCTTGATGCAATTTTGGATCAGTCGGGGTTGATACTGGAAACGCAGCATGCAGAGTTGAGTAGGGCTGCTGGAAGGAGTCGGTCGAGCAGCGTGTCGGCGACTCTGAGAGATTGGGAGGATGAAGACGACGAAGAGGATGAAGATGAGGAGGAAGAGGTCAGTGGCGAGGACGTGGACGAGGAGGAGGGTGATGATGGAGATGGAGATGGAGATGGAGATGACGGGGAGACGGAGGAAGGAGGAGAGACGGAAGAGACGTCTCAAGGTCCTGACGGTGACGAGGAAACTAGCGTCGCACACGCCTCAACACGAAATTTAGTTGAGTACCAAGATGACCTCGACGAGTGGCGATCAGATCCTCCGACGCCACATTCTACTCCCAGTGTCGACCCTTCAAGAAGAGGTTCATATGATGTTCTCGCAGAGTTCGACGACTCTATGAATGGTCCATCGCCTTCCTCTGACCTCGTCGCCACACCTTCGACGGTCACCTCTCCATTCGCTCCAGCGCCCGAAACTTCGTACGACGGTTCAAACTCGCGGAAGTCGTTAGCGTCTAGTGCGTTTCAGCCAGTGGAACGCATGGATGTCGATATGGTGTACCATGGGCAGGCACTATTTCGTTCGGAGGATGGTGGCGTGGTGCACCGTGTCGTTGCCGATGCAGTCAATTCCAAGAACCCTCCACATACGACTGAGGTATTTCACGAGACGGTGACGAGGGTGGCGCATCGACCTACGGAGGATACTTTGGTAGGAGATGAGCCTAGAATCATTAAAGATGACCCGAAGAATGGACCGCCAGTACTCGAACAAGACATCGTGATGAAGTCCGGCGTCCCTCCTATCACGGATGCCCCACAAGTCTCTTCTCCCATCCTCATGTCTCCATCCGTTGAAGCACCGGTCGAAGGGGGTCCTGCTCAAATCCTCAACGAACCTGTGGCCAGTCCCAACGGTGATGTGACATCACCGGCTTCAGTTCTGAATGGACACGCAGCTGTGCATGGGGAGTCGCAGGAGAATGAGTCCTCTGATGATGATGATGACAATGAAGAGAGCCACAAGTCTATTCCCTCGTACCTTCGCCCGTATGCCGTCGCACCCGTAGATTGGGACCCCACGAATCGGGTGACTGCTCCCCTCCTTCTTCGTGGACACCTTCGACCGTATCAACAGGCAGGACTCGAGTGGCTCGCGAATCATCACTTGAATAACATGAATGGAATCCTTGCGGACGAGATGGGGCTGGGGTATGTTTAACTTCGTCATCTCCGCGAGAACTTTCACTGATCAACGTCTCTTGTCTACAGGAAGACGATTCAGACTATCGCCCTTCTCGCCCACCTCGCTTGCGACCGCGGCATCTGGGGCCCTCACCTTATCGTCGTACCCACCAGCGTCCTGCTCAACTGGGAAATGGAGTTCAAGAAGTTTCTCCCCGGCTTCAACGTCCTCGCTTACCACGGTACCACCAAGCGTCGGAAGGAGCTTCGACAAGGCTGGAACGACAAGTCTCACTTCAACGTCTGCATCACCTCGTATACTCTCGCCAGCCGTGATGCACACATCTTTAAGCGCAAGCCTTGGTACTACATGATCCTCGACGAGGCCCACATGATCAAGAACTTCAGGTCGCAGAGGTGGAATACGTTGTTGATGTTCAGAAGCTGGAGGAGGCTGTTGTTGACGGGGACGCCACTGCAGAATAATCTGTCGGAGCTTTGGGCTTTGTTGCAGTTCCTGATGTCTGGGTCGAACTTTGCGAACTTGAAGGAGTTTGGGGAGTGGTTCTCGAGTACGTTTTGGTCGCTCTCATGTACCATCCTCATATCGCTGATTGCATGCTACGTAGATCCGTTGGAGAAAGCCATCGAATCTGGCACGGTCATGGACGACGACACTCAGCAGCGAGTTTCGAAGCTGCATACGGTGCTGCGTCCATACCTCCTGCGTCGCCTCAAGAAAGACGTGGAGAAGGAACTTCCACGGAAGTACGAGCATCTGGTCCTGTGTCCCCTCTCCAAGCGTCAACGCTTTCTCTACGACGAATTCATGTCTCGCGCTCAAACCCGAAACGATCTCGGTTCGGGTGTGTACCAGAAGATCGCCAATGTCCTCATGCAGCTCCGTAAAGTTTGCAACCACCCCGACTTGTTCGAAGTTCGACCCATCCGAACATCCTTCCCCATGACGACATCTGCCGTAGCAGATTTCGAAATTAAGGAGCTGCTTGTTCGGCGGCGATTGCTCCAGGACGAGTCGGAGTTCGGTGACATCAACCTCGACCTACTGGGCTTGCGGTTCATCGACCGGCAGAATACGTCCCGGGTTGCAAGTACAGAGACTATGCGCCTGCAGGAGACGGACCACCTTCCTTTTATTTACGAACTCCCAGGCAAGGAGCCTCCCTACGACACTCGGACTATCAGGGGCTTTAAAATACACCGCCAATACCAGCACCGAGCCGCCATGATCGCACGATGGAGTCACTTCGCATATCTTAACCGTTTGCGGTGCAATTCTCAACCAATCTACAGCAGGGAGACCCTTACTTTGGTAGAGCGTTGTACTCGACGCCTGCTGCCTTCCTCTGCTCTGGACCGGTCAAAGAATTACCTCGAGATCGCTGAGCCCATCCATTCCGCTATCAAGTCCTACGAGGATCGAGCAGCTGAGATGGCTCCTCTCGTCGACAAGTTCGCCTGTATCACGCCCGCCGTAGTGGCTCCAGATGTCCGCTTCCACGCCCTCCCTGCCGCATCACCTGTCCTCTACGGAAATCTGGGCCAAGATACGAAGTTCGACGCCATTCTGCACCAGCCAAGTGTCAAACTCCAAATCGCCTTCCCCGACCCCTCGCTCCTCCAATACGACTGCGGCAAGCTTCAAGAACTGACACGACTGTTGCGAGAACGCAAGGCCGGAGGTCATCGTTGCCTTATCTTCACGCAGATGACTCGTATCCTCGATATCTTGGAGTCTTTCCTGAACCATCATGGGTATCTGTATCTGAGGCTGGATGGTGCGACGAAGATTGAGGACAGGCAGTATATCACGGAGAGGTTTAATTCGGATCCTAGGATATTCTGTTTTATTGCTTCGTCGAGGTCTGGAGGCGTCGGGATCAAGTGAGTCATGAATTCCATCGACGTTGTTGAAGACATAGTTCCCTGACATTTTGTACAGTTTGACGGGTGCGGACACCGTCATCTTTTACGACAGCGACTTCAATCCGCAGATGGATCGACAGTGTGAAGACAGGTAAGTTGGCTCTCCTTCGCGTGTATGATTGGAACTTGATTTGAGTTGTTTTCAGAGCGCATCGTATCGGTCAAATTCGCGATGTTCACATATTTCGGTTCATCTCGCAACACACCGTGGAGGAAGCCATGCTCCGAAAAGCCAACCAAAAGCGCTCCCTCGACGACCTCGTCATCCAGAAGGGGCAGTTTGATTGGCGTTCGCTTTTCGGCCAGGTCGAACAGGTTATGGAAGGCGAGGGATTCACGAGGGCGTTGGAAGACTTTGCGGATCAAGAGGACGTTTATGCGGCGAAGGTCGCGGCGGAGGAAGCTGGCGAGCTTGAAGGCGCTGATCAGGCTGACTTCGGCGAGGATGCGCAGGCGGTCGCAGCGTCACACAAGGTCAGCATGGAGGATATGTTACCGGTCACTACAGTGGAGCCAGTAAAGGAGTCTGAGCAGGACGGGCCGGAGACGGAGCAGGTTGTTATGGCCGATGAGGCTGATGGTGAGGAGCAAGAGCCTGGGGCAACGGCGGATTACATGGTGGCCTATGTGCGCTATGAGTATGATTTCTTCAAGGAATGGAGATTGTAGGTCTTTTATGCGCTTTTTCTTGCGTGTCTGTTATCATGTGCACCACTCCTTTCGATATTGCCGGTGATTTGTACTTTTGCTTGTGGTACTTTATGCTCGTCTTTCTCGATATTTCTCTTACGATATATGCTTTCTTGAACCATGAGTCCATGGCGAGTATTTTGCGGTCTTACTCCTGACGGTGCCTCTCCATATGGCTCGTTGATGTTCACTCACTGAGATTCCGGACACAATCAGAAATGATGGTGCGTCCTGCATTGGCCATCGGCGCCTTCCTCCCGGGCTTGTTTAGGTGGCACGGAACTCCGACTGTCACGCCCCCGTCGCGACATTTGACACCGTGTCACCGCTTTTGGTTCACTCGCTTGTTTCTCTCGTACTCCCACCATCCTCCCCCTTTCTCGACCAGCCTCTCGCCCTCTTCAGCCGCATCGACATTCGAAGACTTTTTGGTCTACCAATTTGAGGAGAAACTATTCGGACTGCTTTTTCCACCAAGAAGGTCGACATGATGGTTTCGAGATAGGAGAACTGTCGGCGCAGCGAGCAGCCCCGAAGCTGTACAACGGAATGAGCCCACCTTCGCTAGCAGCCTCACCAGACAATACCCTTGCTCACGAGTCAGGCAGGCCATTTTCCTTCTTCGGACGACTATGAAGGCACACGAGGAAACTGAGGTCCGACCGGCGACCGGTTTTGGGACCATACACATACACGCTCTCAATACCTCCCGGTTCACATTACAGCGGACATGATCGTGCGACTGGGAACTGGATCCATTCCGGACGATATTCGGTATTCTGCGAGGTTCGAAGTTCTAACCAAGGATGTCTCACACCCACGAGAAGGACGAAGGCAAAAGAATAGCTCTGAGGCAATCGAGGCGGCTATATTTGCGCTCGAATCTCGATGAGGTGACTCGGGCTCATGAATCGGATGCCGGAACTAATGAAATGGAAGACAAATGAAGGGTTTGCTTGAGTCTTTTGTTTCTTAGTTAGGAGCCCCCGACGTTAGGGATGACTCCGCAAGGACCGTGGATGTGCCTTTTCGACCTTGGAGTGCGAACGAAATAGGGGTTCCATTTGATAACACACGCGGTGCACAGAAATACTTACAAACTGGACAATCATGGAGTGGGGAGGGGGTGAGACATGCATTCAACATACCACGGGTCTGCATACGGGTCATGGTTGCAGAATCATCCACATATAAATGTTGGGCTGCTGGCATATCCAATGCTGAACTCAACAGGCAGTCACCAGTGTCAAGAAAAGAAAGAATCATTGTATTTTTTTACTATATCTACTGGGCTTTCTGGTATATGTATAAAGTAGTAAGAGCTAGGGTTTTCTTTTTCTGTATGTGGATTTTTGAGTATATGAGAGCATGCATGAATCATCGGGGCGTAACAGAACCATCAGAGCATAACAGTATTGACTATGAGTAATTATATGGGTAGCACACAGTAAAAGAACATAATGTATAAGGTATAAATCCACAGGACACTCTGCCATAACCTTGGTCCCTGGTGGACTACAAGATCTAGAAAGCGGCAGGCACTCACAACACGACAAGAACGAAGCACAACGATCAACCTCCCCATCGCACATCGCACAACAGTCCTTCGACTCATCAACGCCACAACCCAGCCTCATCCATAAGCACCTGCCAATTCGCCGTCCGATCCGGTACGATCTTCTGGAGTGTCTCCTCCAGCTTATCCCGCTGCATCATCTGCGAATCGAAAGCCCGACACCACTCCTGCACACTCCGCGGCGGAAGACCCGGCGGAATTGGGTCCTCTGGTTCTATCCGAAACCCCGACTCTGACCCTGAGGAGGACACGGACGACGAGCTCGCCACTTCCTTTTTCTTCTCAGCGAGGATCGTGTTCTTCCGAGCTATAAGCTCCTGGAGCGGTGACCTCGCTGGACGCGTAGCAGCGGAGTCCGAAGTCGACCGTCCAGGGAGGAAGGGAGAGATATAAAAAGATACGCGTGCGGGTGCTGTTGATGGAGACGAAGCGGCGAGTGGCGTTTGCGGTGACCGAGGTTGAACCGGAGGTGCCGACGTTGATGCGTGAGGAGCCTGCGTTGAATGCGAAGATGTCGGTGAGATTGGCACGTCCGAGCGTGTAGATGATGCGTGCTGCGGTGGACGTGACAAGAAAGCAGACGATGGAACGATTGGTCGCGTTGCTGGCGAAAGTGGCGAAGGCACTGCTCGCGAAGAACCAGCAACCGATTGAGAACCTGACGCAGATTGCGCCACGGAAGTGAGCAGTTGAGAAGGAAGCGTCGAAGACGAGGCCGCTGTCGACGGCGGGGGGACGTGCAGCGGTGCGCTCACACTCGTGTTCGCGGCCGTCGAGGTGGAAGCGACGGGCGACGAGCTGGCCAGAGCGCGAACGTACGACGGAGCTGTCGATGCCGGCGTCGGCGAACCGAGCATACCGGGGCGAATCCTGAACGGACCATCCTCCGTGGTCGTCGGTCTGCTCGAAAATGCCGCCGACGACGATGAAGGACCGGCGGTAGGAGGGAGGGACGGAAGGACGTGTTCCGTGGTTCGGGTCGTGATGTTATGTGCCGGCAAGAGAGACGTGGACGATTGAGCGGCGAGGAGGGTGATGGCGGACTTCACGTTCTCGGATCCACCATCATCGTCCGACATGTCCATATCGTCCTCGTCCTCGTCGTCCTCTTCGGCGTTGGGCTTGATGTTGAGCGTCGCGATAGGCGGGAGGTCCGCATTCGGAGTCACAGGTGTCTTGACTATGATACGGTCACGACCCTCAGCGGGCTCAGGCGACGTCGAAACGGACGGCGTCGGAAGATGAGACTCGAGAGTGAGCTGAGGCCGTTTACGTTCGAGGGGGTCCAAGAGTTGTTTACGATCCACGTCCATGGCTTCGTCGGCTAGATGGTCCAAGCCCGCGAGCCTGAACGCCTTGGGGGGTACGATTGATCCGTTGTCGTAGAAGAGTTGGCAAAGGTCTTTGAGGTCTACTTCACTGCTGATCGCATAGTTTTGGAGCATGCTGACGGTCGGGTTCTTCAGTTCAACGGCCATCTCGACAATGGCAGGTTCCTTTTCCACGGGAATGGACGGATAGTCTATGCGCGCCAGCACGTATCAATATGGCATGGCACAGCAGAGCAGAAAGAGATAACGTGCATTAGTATCTCCTCGTAGATGTATAAAAAGAAAGAAAAAGCGAAAACGGAGAGACTGAGGCATTACTTACGTCGTATCTCCTCCTTCGGCGCTGGCTGCGGCGCTTTCTTCTTCTTGCGCTCTCTGCTGAGCCAGGCATTGACGCTATCGACAGTGAAAGAGGTGTTGCCTGCAGCATGGAGGAGATCCACCAACTGCCGCTTCTTGTTTATATCCGGCCTTTCGTTCAGTTTGAACGCAGCTACACGCCACGTGCAACAAAAAATCGGAAGATGTGTCAGTCAGATGTTTCAACGATAGTAGGTTGTAAAAATAAAAATCTATGCGCCAGATGATTTTTTGGCGAATAATCGCGCATATATGCGTTTGACATTAGGATGTTTTACTCACTGAACATGATAGCACGGCCCTCTGGATTTAGGGGCTTCCACGATCTGGGCTTTCCTTGATGACCAGCCCCTGCTTGCAATTGTTGTACAAGGGATGGAGGAGCCGACGTCGACGTCGACTGTGTAGATTGAGATGTTGCATTCGAGCTCGATGAGGGAGCGGCGGATGATGCGCCCGACGCGTTGGACGCGTCGTTTTGAACTTGCGGCACCACCGGGCCGGAAACGCCGGGCGTCGAAGGCCTTCCCTGCACCGTGGGCGAGGTCGGTGTGATAGGTCGTCCGAAATTACTCGCAACAGGTGGGACATAAATATCAGCGGGATTCATTTCTTATTGTTTACAAGGATATGACCTGTGAGAGAAAGGGGAAAAATGGTCAGCATTATGGTATTTGTATGCTTTGTCAATTTGATGGTATTGTTAACAAAGAACTCCCCGAGCGGAGTAAGCGTCGACCAAAGTCGATGATAGGAGAACAAAGGGGAAACGCTCGGAGCGGGATGTCGGGGATGGAATGAATGTCGGCGCTTACAGGGTAAACTACGAGACGCGGGAACTACCAACAGCGGGAACGTGTCCGAGAATGTTGCGATGATGCGTTCGCTGTCCTTGTATGTTGATCTTGGTGGCGGCGGCGACGATCGCGGGGAACTGCTCTTGTAGGGGCCAGCGGCGGGCGGTGCTGGAAGTGGGCGGGGGAGAGGGAAAAAGGAGAAGGCTGCAATTAATCTGGTGCCGCTGGCTTATAATGCGGCTCGCCCAGTGGCTCTTTGTGCACTTCCGAACTGAATACTCCCGTCACCATGTCACTTTGGAAAATTGGGCAGCGAGGTTATTTAGAGTTTCTGCGAGGTTCTGCGACCTTCTTTCCATGTGCAGACCAATGGCGACGGAGGAATTGGGTGCAAAATGCGGGGATCAGTAAATTGAGTTCGTTGCTGCAGGCGCAAGCGCAAGAAAAGACGACTTTTCTTAGCGTTCTTTTCGCGCTCCGCTTGTCAGCCGTCACAACCTCTTACCGGCCGACCGGCTCTGCTGCCCACTTGCTCAAGCTCCCTTTCCAGACCCCAAGACCCCGCTCCGTTGCCCCAATTGGTCGCGGCTGAATTTTTAGGGTGCCCAGACCTCACCACAATTCCAATTACCTCTCTTTCGGCAGCCGAAATAGCCATCTATAGTTAGATGAAGAAATTCAGTGAGCATGCACTTGTCCGGTTTGAGGGTCTTTGCCAGTTTAGCGGGCTGATTTCCGCGATCAGGGATGGTCTGAAAGGGGGAAGTGACAAAGCAAGGGGTGCATCCACATGTTGCTTTCAAGCTGCTCCCACCACAGTCCTGTCCCTCGAGCTCTGACCGTGGATGCTCACCGTCTCTTTTCGTCGCGGTTGCTTCTGCTCGTACACGTTCAAGCTCGTCGGTCGATGAATCCATTCGTTCAATTCAATGGACGCGCAAAGAAAGCGGTCTTTTCGAGCTCTTTCGTTCTCCCGCTCCTCGGGATCGGGATCCACCCTGAGGTGCGTGTGAGACATCCCACGTCATTTAGGCTTGATCGTCGCCACCGGAATACGCTATCCCCAGGGGCCCATGCGCCGTCGTCACATACAATAAGAGCAGCGCCCGCTCCCCTGTCTTCTAAGTCTCTCTCGTCCGCCCTCCTTCCGTTCATGACCACCACGACCACCCGCGATCATCAATCCTCTCACTCCACCCTTCCGCTCACCCTGTTGTATGTCCCCATTGAATCCCTTCGGCACAAAGAGCGACGACGGCTGATATACGGGTTTCTCGTTCTGGGTTTTTGACAGACGCGACGCGTGGCTCGTTGGAGACGGGCGATGAATGTAGGTAACGTGCCTTTCCTCCTTGATACGAGCTCGATACATGCCCGATACAAAGCTCGATACATGCATAATCGGCTAACCACCTCCCTTTTCCTCTTCGACAGGTACTTCTCGGACCCGAACGTTAGAAGAAAGCCGTGAATCGCACTTTGGGGCTCGGGCGTGTTAGCCTTCAGGTCCACGCTCTACGAAGTTGAATCAATCAAATAGGAACTTGAAGAACCGAACGTGACGATAAGGCCGGCTCAATCTGGACGGGAGGCTTCGGGATGGGATCCTCGCGCGATCGTGGACTGCCAACGGCCCTCGAACGCTCGAAGTTTGGCATAGGTCGCGATATCGATATCGGTGGCTCGTGGACCTTTCGCAAGATGGACGAAACTACGCGCTCGAGGCGCGATTATGAACCACCACCACGCAATGAACGAGGAACGAAGACCGACCGACCGCGACCGCGATCCCTCTAGAGATCCAGGCTTCCGATTCCGATTCAGTTACCCCGGGCTCTTTCTTTCTCCCTCGAGGAGAAGAAAGAATAGCCTGACCGCACATACCACATTATTACACACATATAAAACATGCATATAAAAAAACCACAACCCGTTCTCGCGAAGTGACGCCGCGAGACCGTGGTCTGTCGGAATATCTGCTTGCCTTCGGGCGAAAAGAGTGAAATAGAGCTCTGTGCATACGTGCTACATGATGCTGCCTACATGCTACATGCTACACGATGCGCCCTGCATAGACCCTGTCCGAGCGAAGTGATGTCGCGAGGACGGGGTCGTGCACGAAAAGTCCGCATTTTGAAGGGGGTGGTGTTGTTTGGAGGAGGAGGAGGTATCGGGTAAATTGTTGTTGTATGTAGAGAGCAGACCGGCAGGAGGGTAAGTGTACAAAGGTGGGGATTGTGAGAATGTACATAGCATACTTGCGGCCCCCGCGCAGCACGAACAATACAGGTACAAGCTCGCCCCCTGGTGGTTTCTTTCACGAATCACTGGCCGTTCCGCTCAAAATGTAGCACTATACCTCACAAAAGCAGGTAGACAACTATACTGGCTTTATGATACATACAATGTCACGAACACGATGTTACGACTAGTAATCCAATCAGGCCTCGCCTAGCTTACATATGCCTAGCCATATGGCATTTTCATTTCAGTGAAGGTAAAGGGGTGCAGGCAGCGAGGCCTTTGACTCTCATACTACGCACAGAGACAGCACGCATCAATACGTACTCGTCACGGACCCCACCAACTTCTCTTACGATCGCAGCCACAAGTTACAACGAGAGAGCGAGCCTCGAGCACTCCCAGCCTAGTCACGGTTCGTCAACAGTGCGTAAAGACACGTATGCCAAACCGCGATCACCAACTCGAATTCCGCAAACGAAAAGGTCGAAGCTCTGAAGGCTGACGTGTACGCAAGCCTGAGTACGTGCGTGCGAACGCGAAGCGGGGTGTGCGAAAGACGAGTCGTGCTGAGTCGTACGGGATCTCGTGAGTCCGCGATATCTCTGGTGGTGGGAAATGTGGCATTTAAGTCATCGTGCTTTGTTCCGCAGAAGGGAGAACCTCTGAGAACGTACGCAGTGTTTCTGATTCGGAACGGAAGGAGTTGATGCCACAAAGGGAACTCCGCACGCCACGAGCATGCAGGTTCAGGTTCTCCGAATGGACGTGCTCGATTATCGACGCGACGTTGGTGAGATGACCCTAGGCGTCCGGAAGAGTGATAGACAGAAAGCGTAATGGGCGTGACAGGGGCCGATAAAGTCCTTTGGAGCCTAGACCGGGATTTCGTGAGTCGAACGTCTCAGTGGGAAATGTAAGAAGCAATCCGCACCTGCATCTGAATCATCTTGCTTTGTTCCGTAAGATTGCATGAGGGAGAGCATACTTACACGGTGGTTCTGACTCAGAACGGAAGGGTTTGTTGGATCATGGGAACTCCCTACGATGCGAGCGTACGGTTTCTCGGAGGATAGGTTTGCGTTCATCGATGGGCGGGCTCGCGACACGACACGGCGGTGGTGAGATGACCCAAGGCACCCGGGAAAGTGATAGACAAAACGAAGTAATGGGCTGCATAGGGGCCAATGAAGTTATGGACCGGAATTTCGTATTTTTGGGCTACGACGTCGAAGGAACAAAGACCGGCAGGTCTGGCCAAGAGTCGGTAAGGCTACCCTGCCAATGTTCGGATACGCTGGCCAGACATCCTGGAAAGCGCAAGTAAATTATGTGGGACGAGGTCTTCGTCGAGGCACTTCCTGATCCATAGAGAAGATGGATTAGAAGGCTAGTGTGCATATGGATGTGGTACTCACCACTCGTGGATGAGAAAGCTCCATTAGAATGGCGCAGGGCTTCCTTGGACCATTGGACCAGTACGCCGCGATGACCCAAGACTGTTTAGGATGCAACCGTAGACCAGTAGCACATGTTTATGGGACCTGCGACGAAGGCAGCGTTCTTAAAAAACCCTCTTCGAGCTTCATCGACATCGCTCGACGGTGTTTGCGCGACTGAGATACCGGGAAGACGACTGGAAGCCTTGGCGCGCGCACGAGTGGTGGAATCTGGTCCACATACGCAATCACTTTGTGGTGCCTGCGTATAGAATTCACATGATACCGGGCCCCAGTTGGAGTCAGTATAAGATGGAGCCATGTCGACAAGTCAAAATGGAAGAAAACCAGCGAAACTGAGCGGAAAGGCGGGAGCCGGGAACGGAGAGAGATGAGGGTTGCTGTCAAGAACGGCGTCGGAAGCATGCGCGACTCCGCCCGACGCGTCCCGAAACGCGTCCTGCCCTTTCCTTCGTGCATTTCCGTTTAGCGCCTGATCGCAAGCTGACCGTGACAGTCTGTTCGTGTCGACAGCAGAGCGATCCAGAAACGCAGAGGCCGCCTCTAAGTCCGCTGTCGGCTACTCGTATTCACATGCGCCTCGGCCACGCTCACCCGTGACGTCCGTATCCTCTCTTCTCGTCCATCCGTTCCCGACTCCGAGCCCCGCTATGTTTCCCTACCCCGCACTTTATCTGGCTTGCAATTTGAGCACTGCTGTCTGTTATTGCCCCGCATTTGCTGCTACCCCGCACGAGCTGCTACCACAACCCCACATAACGTCTATCTCAAGACAGTCCGGAACTTAACTGGCTTGCTGGACCCCTGTCTCAACTCTCCAGCTCATACTACTCAACTTGCTTGACCATAACGTCTTTTGAATCCACACTGCGATATCCTGATACTTACCTGCGAACATGTCGAGATCATCAGGGAGCAAGGAGCCCGTAGGATTCGGTACACATATAACGGCCGGAGGTATCGCTGGTGCTATGGAGGCTGTAAGTCTGTCGTGTACCATGTTCCCCTGTCGAATTGACCACGGCGACTTACAATCGGTTTCCTGTTGATACTCTCTGTAGCTATGTTGTCAACCACTAGACACCATCAAAGTCCGGATGCAGCTCTCTCGGTCAGGTCGTGCTGCAGGCGTACGTTCCTATTCCTACCCCCCACCTTCACACCCTTCTACGTATTCCGTCACAAGTATCTGCACTACTAACACTCGCGCAACTTTTTCAATTCCAGACAAAACCCCGCGGTTTCCTCGCCACCGGCGCCATGATCGTCAAACGCGAAACGCCCCTCGCGCTCTACAAAGGTCTCGGCGCCGTCCTCTCCGGCATCGTCCCGAAAATGGCCACTCGGTTCGCGAGTTTCGAGGCTTATAAGGAGTGGTTGGCGGATGAGAAGACGGGCAAGACGAGCGTTGGGAATATATTCCTTGGTACTCCAACCTCCCCTGCCCCTTGCGTCGTCATTCACTCACGCCCTCGTTTGTATGTAGCTGGTCTCGGCGCGGGAACGACCGAAGCCGTCGTCGTCGTCACACCCATGGAAGTCGTCAAAATCCGCCTACAAGCCCAAATGCACTCCCTCGCCGATCCGCTCGAGACGCCGCGATACCGTAACGCGGGACACGCGGTGTATACGATCGTCAGGGAGGAAGGTATTAGCGCGCTGTATAGGGGGGTGACGTTGACGGCTGTTAGGCAGGCTACGAATCAGGGTGCGTTTTACTTTTCACCTGTCATTGTCCTTGTCCCTGTCATTGTGGATTTGGATGGGGAGGGACAGAGAGAGAGAGGAAGAGAGAAGCTGATGGATAATGGGTTTTTGGGACGATAGGCGCGAACTTCACGGCGTACCAGGAGATCAAGAAACTCGCACATCGGTTACAGCCTGAGTTGGACGGATTGGAGTTGCCATCGTATCAGCATATGGGTATTGGACTGATCAGCGGAGCTATGGGCCCATTCTCGAATGCGCCGATCGATACTATCAAGACACGTACGTTTTCCCCAGTTCCCCTTACCCTTGTCCCCTTACCCTTGTCCCCTTACCCGCCTTCCACTTCCACACGCATCAGGCCTCCAAAAATCCTCCTTCCCCCCCTCCACCTCCGCCCTCTCCCGCATCTCCTCCATCGCCACCGAGATGTGGCGCGTCGAAGGCGTGTCCTCCTTCTACAAGGGCATCACTCCGCGCGTGTTGAGGGTCGCGCCTGGACAGGCGATCGTGTTTGCGGTTTATGAGCGGGTGAGGGGGTGGATTGAGAGGGGGAGGGGGGTTAGTGAGGGGGAGTGGAGTAGTGAGTGAGGTGGTGCGGTGGGGAGGGGGAGGGGTGGGAGAGGTTAGGGATGGGGAAGGGGTGGGACAGGGGAGAGAGAGAAGGGGGATAGATAGGTTGTGTTTGTTTGTGGTGGTAGGGGCCCGGGACTGGTTGTGTGTGGGGTATGGTTGCGTACTGGAAGGGATTGTTAGACTCTGTTATGAACTTTTGCATTCCATGGCTTCTGTATTATATGCATGTATGCTACATGACTAGTCTGCCAGCTCACATTCAGACACGGAATCATACATGTTATCTTCAGCTTGATGACTGTCCTACAGGTCTCAGTCTCGCCAGTACGTACGATAATACACAAAAAGCGTTCAACCTTCGAGACTCGAGTACGACGAACCGATAAGTCAGTTGCGCCACACGAGTCAGAGTTCAAAGTGCGGAGTGCGGAGTCTAAATTTAGCTCAAGTTCGAGAATCGAACGGGCCACCGTGGCTTGGCACGGTGCCACTGGCATCATTCCACCATCTCCCACAACTTCAAGTTCGTCTCGATAGAGATACTGATACCGTTCTGATATGAAAAGTGCAGGACAGACGGCCAGGATTAATAAGGATAAGGAGAGTAAACAAGCTGAGGTCAGTGTACTAAGAGCGCGGTGCTGGTGGACCTACCTTGCTACATTCATCCAGCTTGAATGTGGATAAGTCCTGAGCTAGTCCTTCTCACTGTCCATATCGTAACTATCAGCCATAACAATGCTAACCGATATCACATTTAGGTCTTCTACACAAAAGCGACCCAAGCGGAGCTCAACGGTGATTTCGACGCTGCCTTTCGTCTGTATCTCGATTCCGCAAAAGCATTCCTCCATCTCAGTCGTACTGTACCTGCAACTACGACTGCGACTTCCACTGAGACTGCGAGTGGAGGTCGTGGCGTGGACGAGAAGAATGGAGGTGGAGGCGTGGACGAGAAGACGAAGAATGCGTGGAAGATAGAGGCGGCGAAGGCGCTGGAGAGGGCGGAGAAGATTAAGAAGGTGAAGAAGGATGCGGTTAAGCCGGTGGTAAGGGATGCGTTTGCGGAACGTAGGTCTTTTTGTCGTTTGTTTGTGTTCGTGAGTTTGCGGGTGGAGCTGATCGAATAGATTAGAGGAGCAATTTTTGGTGCTGAAGAAAGGGTCGGTCGTTAATGGACTATCAGTCCCGTTCTGGTCGGATGGCGTTCCAGAGAACGAGCCACGATTGTTGTACCAGTACGTTGGGCTTTCCTTCATAAATATTCTACGATACGTGCTTCGATTCTGACTTTATTGATGACTAGGGATCCTGAAGGCCAACTTCAACTATCAACAGAACAAAAAGCCGCCTCCGTCGAATGGCGACGACCATCTCAACTCCCAAATACCGAGATCGACGTCCAGTCAGGCTCTCAATCGAGCCTTCGACTCCCGGATTCCAAGACCATCCGCCAACGAACGGTAGCAGACTGTTCGCTCTGTGCGTCCATCGTGGTCTGTTTGCAGCATCATGAACGACATGGATCTACTGTAGGTCGTAATATCTTCCGGGCTAAGTACTAAGTATGTTGATGGGTTTTACGATGCTGATATCTTTGAACGATGATGTTATGCGCTCTGTGTTTTAGGCAGTGTTACCTGCTCTGCACCCACTTGGCAAGGACGGTAGGTCGGTGATTTCGAAACAGGGCAAGTATGAGCTACGGACGCTGTTCAATGGCGCGTACCGACGAGTAAGTGATATTTGCACGCAGAGGAGCCCTGTGCTCACTGAACGAGACCTGGTCTGCTAATACACCATAGATATGTGAGTCGGCTTCTACCCGTAACTTATGCTAGGCACGATAATTCTGACGATGATCATTTCCATTCTTCAAACCTCAGCTATCGACGATAATCTGCCCTTTCATCCTAATGGTCAACTGCTGTGCATGTCCTTGATATCCACGAGGCATACTGGACCCTTGGACATGTGGCCCTCGTTGGTCGAGAAAGCGGTAAGCTCTTTGATATTGATCACCCTAAGGTTACAGAGGTTGACGTTGATGACGAACCATTGTGTGCCGCAGTATTTGAAGCTCATGGGTGGCTACGACTTTCACGGATCGTGGGTAGCTCTGTGAAGTCCAGGTACTTATAGTGAATCATGGATCTGACCAGTTTTGTTCATTGCGTAGGAATTCGAGTACGGATATACAGTACGTCGGAATTTTCGCTTATACTCCATTCGCCGAACCCAGTTTGACATTGCCCGCGTTCATTTAGTTGTTTGAATGGATGGATACCGGAACATATCGAGATGAAGAGGTATTTCACGTCCTTTCTCCTAACGCCACACACATGAAGTGCTGAACGTGAAAGCTCACGTCTATACGGTTATCGGTCCTAGCAGCTCGCGTTTTCAGCGGGAACAAACGTGGACACGTCTCCTTCAAGGCTTTTCCAACGGTAGATGCCCTACATCCCTAATCCTGTTCCAATATCCGCATCCTCTGATCGAAACGCCGCCAAAAATCAGGAACATGTGTCCTCACAGTAGGAACGGGCGACAAGCCCAGACAAGACTGGTATGGATCCGAATATTCTCTCCTGGCTGCCCATAGCTACGCCGTTGTTGGTGAGTCGTGGCTTCTCTTTAACCTTTTTCACTGAGGGAAGGTTGCTGAACGCGAAATACGGGCGGTATGCATGCTAGATATGAAAGAACTGGAAGATGGAACTCCGTGGGTTACTGTGTTAGATAGTTGGGTGTCCCAGGATGCTGCTCTGCACGAGTTGGAGGCAGGACAAGGAGAGGGTGCAGAAGCAGCTCTGCTCGACGAACAGCCAAACAGTTAGTCATTGCTTTCCTCACCCCCTCTAAATGTTGATCTATACTTCTATGGATTTAGTTGATGAATATGTGCCCGCATCCAGAAGAGCTCGTGTTCGCATGGGACGATCTATGTAATGTTTTCGACAGCCTGTATGTCAACTGGGACCCCAAGATTTTCTACCACCAGACAAATCACCACGCGTGCGTCTCGATTTCCACTTGAAGTGCGAGTGCTAGTGCTTACGAGGAAATCATCTACGGCTAGATTATGGAGGTCATCCCATCTCAGCGACGTGGACAAAGATGATTGTGAATGCTTCCACCCTTCCCCCTTCCTTCCCTCTCGTTCGCTAATATCTACCTTCACTCATTCCCCCAGCATCCCATCAAACCGTCCGCATCCATATCGACGGGCCTCCGAAATCTCAGGACGGGCCAGCAGAAGTTTGGTTCCTCCTGACAAGACATCGAACGGACACGAGACGGACATCGGAGTATATCTCGTTGCATATTGAAGTTGATGATGTGCAGTCCTCGAGCTCACTGCAGCACCTGCCAGTGCAGGTACGATTCAATTGTGGTCTCCGTCTGTGTTGAACCTTTGAACCTAAGGCCTAGTGCTCAATCCTGCACTCTGTATATATTCAGGGGAATTATACTAATAGCCCACACGTCCTAGTATGTTCAGCATAGCTACCGGTGTTGTGCCAGTCATACACCCTCCCCATCGCTAATATTGTCAAATTGAACACCAGGTCCGAAAATGCATCGGCTCTTCCTCATTCATGTCCTCCAGACCCATCACATTCTCCATAACAACATCTTACGAAGGTCCCTCTCCTTCTTCCAATGTTGGTTTCACGATCACCGTGTATTCCACGACGCCTGCGTCGTGGGACCATACTTTGCTCAAGCTTCCTTACGAAGTCAAGGTTCGTCACCCATCCTGCAGCACTCGTGCACCCTCACTCCACCGGAAGAATCACAAAATGTTGAGTATTGCTGGGGTTTATTTAGGCTTCGGGGATATTGACGTCAAAGACTTCGGGAGGGAATTATAACCTGCCGACGTATATGATCAATCCCCAGTGGCGTCTACAGATCACGCCGCCTACCACATCAATATCTAACACTTCGAGGAGTAGTTTGAGTGGTCCGAGTAAGGCGAGGGTATCGATTGTTGCGAGGACGGAGAAGGATGTGCCGATTAATGTGATGGTGGTGTGGGGTCAGGGGAATAGAGTGTTTGAGTGAGCTTCGTTGATTTATTCCTCTTTGATAGTTTGATTTGAAGAGTGCTGATCGCGCGTTTCACCGGATTTTTTGGCCATTATACGACACTTTACAGCGTAGTGCAGAACGAAGTAGCGGCGAACTCTGGAGCATATAACTATGGATACGCACATGTCGAGAAAGAGCTTCTCGGTGAGGATACCATCTATGAACGTTCCTTGTGTTCGTTTGTTCGTCCATTCTGACTGACTCTCCACCCTTACGTTCTTCTGCTACTCGATTCCGGCGGGGATCATCTTCAGTGGGAGACTACACCCTCATCCTTTCAGCGTTCGAACCGACACACCAAGGTCCCTTCTCCCTCCGACTCGAAAGCTCACATCGCGTCAAGATAGAGCCTATTCCTCAGGAAGGAGCAGGGATGTTCTCGAAAGTGATACGCGGAGAGTGGTACGCGCTCCCTCTGCTCCGGAAAAAGGAATCGTAATAGCTTGAACTCTTGACTTTGTGTGATAACAGGGCGAGCACAACGGCCGCAGGGTCACATAACTTCGGGCGTTATGGATCGAATCCCATGTATGAGCTCACGTTATCTGCGCCTTCCCAGATCCGGTGCGTTTTCCTCGACCATCATCAATCATACATCTCTCCTTTCAGTCCGTGGCCACCACCTCACTCACACGCCCTCACCTTTCTCACAGCGCTCGCCTTCAACTCTTCACCTCCACCTCCACCTCCACCTCCAGCACCTCTACGACATCACCCACGACCAGCCTCAACATCTCTATCTTCCCCTCCCCCTTCCCCAACGTCACGAGCGCACCTCTCCTCACCTCCGGTCCCTATTCCGACGCCCTCTCCGGCGTCTCCACGCCCCTCGTCTCCCTCAAAACAGGGACATACGTTCTTGTTCCGTCGACGTATGATCCGGGTGTAGAGGGTGGGTTTAGGATGGTGGTTTATAGCAGTGCCGTAGGTGTTGGTGTGAGCGGGCCGCTGTGAGTCGGGGGGCTTGTCGAGTTTTGCATTCAGACGGTTGTTTGTTCACGGAACGGGCGATACCATTGACGAGGATGAGGACAGGGACGGCTAAGTAGTGTACATGACTGTTTTGAAACTAAATGACAACGGAGGAGAAAGGGAGGAGATATCTGATGCAGTACACGGCACACTTCTACAGACTATCGGAGACAAATTGTGAGGAAAAGGAATTTGAACGAATAATGAGACAATACATGCATGTGTTGAGAAATTAGGGAATCAATGTTGTGAGAAGGAAGAAATTAGGGAATCAATGTTGTGAGAAGGAAGAAAATGCGAACGAAACGGAAGCAGGACGGAGGGAAAGGAAAACTACAGCCAGCAAATTTGATCACAGATAGCGAGGATAATAACAATAACGACAACGACGACCACGGCTCGATTCTAGTGTTCGTACACCCCAAATTTCTCCGTCACCAGCATCACCAACGCGACCCATCAGGTACTCAACAACTCTTCGACCGAGCTCTAACATATCCGAGCCCCAAAGCCGAACCGCCCCCATCTGCGACCCCACCCAACGGCGACCACGCCCTCACCCTCGTTCCATGTGGTAACCCAGCACCGGAACCAACGCCCTCAGCCTCGGGACCAGCACTGACACCTCTCGCTGGGAATGGTTGAGATTGTGGGTGTGGTTGTAGATAGTGATGGGACTGAGATGGTGAGTGGGAAGGAGGACCAAGGTCGGCTCTTGACACGAGCACCGCATCGTGTTCGTTCTCCAACTCCGCTAAATTCCTGGGTGGCGACACAGGCGATGGTAAGGCGTTCGTATTCCTACTCCCATCTCCTTCATCTCGACCACCACCACCGCGCACATTTACTTCCCGCCCATTGCCAGCCCCACTCGTCTCTTCCATCCGTGATGTTCCCCTCCTCGCACCGAAGACGGATCCTCTCATCCCCCCTGCCCGCTCCTGCTCCCTCATTCGAACCGCAAACCTGTCAACAACTCTCTGCCTCTTATCCACGAAGCCATCATCAACACCCTGCTCATTCAACCGCGGCAGATTACTAAGTCTGCCTTCGATCACCATCCTCTCCATCTCTCGCGTAAGGAGCTTCATCGTCCGTTCATCCACATCCGCGCCCACACTTGCTGCCCGTTGTCGCTGGCCCTGACCCTGATCCTGTTCTGTCGTAGCGGCCGAAGACGCAGGCTCAGAAGAAGCTCTCAACAGAGGATGCTCCCTTAAACTGGTCATCTCTTGCTCCAGCAGCTCCACGATTTGTTTCTCCAACGAGCTCACTTTCTCAGCCACGACCCTCGCGTTCTCTGCGACTTTGCGAGAACTGGGGTCGGAGGGGGAAGAGGAGAGGCCGGGGAAGAGGACGGGCGCGACGCGGGAGAGGGCGATGGAGAGGAACATGAAAATCTGAACGCGAGTTAGGTCAGTGAGCGGTCGAGGGAAGCCACGGTATTTAGAGGAAGGGAAGAAGGGAGGGAAGGGATAGCAACGAACCTGATGCAAAAACTTGATATGCTGGAACGGCACCCTCGTCGGAAACAACGCCGATAAGAGATCCGTTCGGCGGCCGTAGACACCAACAACCTGTGACCCCGGGGATGGGCTGAAGAGGAGGGCGAGTTCGGAAGCCATGAGGGCAAAGAAGAGGATATAACGCCACTGTGGGTTTCATGTGACGAATCACAAGATAATGTCAGTGGTGGGTTGGGGTGACGGCGGAGAGGATGATGGGAGACGGTGGGTGGAAGAGATGAAGAAATGCGGGGGTGAAATAGTGGATGGGAGAAAAAAGAGGGAAAGGACTCACGAACGCAACGCCACTGCTCATTCCGATAGCAGAGAAGAAAAGGAGCATGAGGCCTGTGAATATATGGAATCCAAGGGATTGCGTTAATCCATGGTACATGTAGTCACTGGGCGTCACAGTTCGCCTCCAGTGTAGCGCTTCAGGGCCAAACCTGCCCCCAAAAAAATCATAAAACATCACTCATCAGCTTCCTCCCCTCTTAACGATGACTGGCAGGAAACTCACCGATCATAAGCCCACCTCTTCGTCGGATCCTTCAACGCCTCATATCCCTCCTGAATTTTCATAAATAACTCCTGCCCCTCCACACCCGCCTTATCCGGATGTCCAGTCCTTACAAACGTCTTGTACGCAGTCTTTAGCCCGTCGAGATCGACGTTTGGCTTCACATTGAGTAGCTCATAGAAATTGGGAGGCGTAGAGTTGTGGGCTTTGAGGAAGTTGTAGAGGAGATAGGAGATGACGACGAAGGTGAAGGTAAGGCGGTAGTGGGTTTGAGTGAGGATGTGTTTAGAGGTAGGTGAAGAGGGGGATGAGCGGCGGCGATTGAGGTAGGGGTAGAGGAGGTAAGAGAGGAGGAGGCGGGTGATAATGTCGGGGACATAGCTCCAGCCTGCGAGGCTTGTGATCGTGGTGAAGGTACTCGACGGCATCTGCTACCTTTCTACCACCAAAACCAAAGCCAGTCAGTATTATGGCATCGTTATCAAGACAATTGAGCAAAATGAGGAAAAATCAGATCCAGCTGGCGCCGGAATATGCAATGTGATCTCCTACTCCCCGCCAACCCATAGATTCCCAAGCTCGCATACACCACACCACGCTTTGCCAAAACAACTCATCTCAATCAAACGAGAGCGGATCAGCCCCGCTCCTGCTATGATGTACGCACGTAACCACACGCCCTTGCATTATTCTTTAGCAAGGGTGCTTTATAGCATGCGCGTCCCGCCAGTATGAAGACGAGGACGTATTGAACACGTCCAAGAAAAGATAACCACATCTGTCGACCACCCGCGACAGTACGAAGAATATAACAGATCAAGCAAACACTCGACAAGTCAGAACTCTGCGCGGGCTCGGCTCGACGCGTGCCACTCTCCGTCTCGCTAACCATCAAAGGTAGCAAAACAAGAGAATGACAAAGAAAATGTAAACTCCGCCTTTGCTCGCGCGCCTTGAATCTCTCGACGCACAAGCCTACTGGACCCTTCCCTCAGTCCGTACGTCCCTCCGAAGAGGAAGAACAAAAGGAGAGAGGGTCCAAAGGAGTCCGGCTGTGTAGCAGCCTGGGGAAAGACCCGTGAATGTCTGTCCGGCCTTACGATACGCCACGGAGATCTCGTGAAGTGACGCAATGGATATCGAACAGTCCCAGAAGGGGATTTTATGGGTTCAGGGTGCTCGTTTCGTAGAAAAAGACAGCGAATTGACGGACGAGGTGGGCACGAGTGGGGGGTGGGTGGCGCGAATCGACCCTTTTACTAGGGGACATCATATATTTTGAATTGCTTAGAGAATATATACGCACCGTTAGAGATATAACCTATTATATGTGGTCTGAAGCAGATCTAAAGGGCAGTGATGGTGTGCCGCTGGCGGGAGGACGCGTTCTGCTCAGTGACTGTATCTTCCGAGTCGGTTAGTCAATAGCATCTAAACATAATTCAAACAGAGATACGCACCAGACAATAAAAATGAAAAGAGAACGTATCCCGAGTCTAAGGGTGTCCTATGCGCATTGTGTTGCGGCGATTGAACGATGGTGGTGGTACTGGTGAGCGTGCTGCAATTGTCTGGCGCGTCCTGTGTCTCCTCTCGCTAAACGTCATCCGGCAGACACCGCGCCACCCTTTGCAATTGACTGGGGCTTGGGCCACCGCATCCTTTCAACGCCAATACGGGAATAAGTGCTGTGGTATATATTGTGTATCTATGGTACATCCAATCTACTGAAAACCACTACCCATGACTCCCCAAATAATCACCTTCTGAATCGATTACATCCCCGCTCACGCCCTCCTCCGTGGCCTGAACAAAACCTCGGCCCTCTGATTCGGAAGAACAGACGTTCCAAAATATTGGTTAGGCGGACGCTCTGTGACACCACCCGGAAGCCTAAGATCATAATTCAGAATAAAGTAACACAGAATTGCTTTGATCTCGTTCGCTGCGAAGAATCGCCCTGGGCTGAATATTGCACCTCAGTCGGTCAGAATCGCGCAGATGGCTTGAGAGAAGGAGAGGGGAAGGCATACCATACGTGTTTTCCCGAGCCAAATGCCAGATATTCCGCGCTCGTGCTCGTGAACTGACGCGCCATGCTCTCTTCCAAAACCTCTTCATTCGCCCCCTTCTCGACAAACCTCCACGGATCGAACTTCTCCGCGTCCTCGTATGTCCCGTCATTCATATGAAGAGAATGAAGCGATGCGGTAACAAAGGTGCCTTTGGGTATAAAAGTCCCGTCTTGGAAAGTATAGTCCCGGAGGGCGTAACGGTTGAGCGAAGCTAGGTGAGGAGTGGGCCACATCAGTTTGTGTTGGTTCAAGCGTATGAGAAGAGAAGAAGACAGCGTACTAAGGGTGACGGCATTAATCCTCGAGCTCTCCCTCAAGAAACTATCCAACCTCCTCATCCTCTGCATACCCTTCTTCGTCCATCCGTCCTCGCTAATCACCGCATCGGCTTCTGCGCGCAGAAGAGGGATGTACTCTGGATATGTGGCCAGATAGAAGATCGCGTGTGTTAAGGTCTGACAAACGACAATGAATGTTCAGTTATGCTGTGGCGGTGTTTGTCGTGAAGGTGATCTAGGAGAGACATACCATACTGGTCGCATGAATCGACGAGAAATTCATCTGGAGCAGACGGACGATGAGGGCTTCCGTCGTCCCTTCGGCCCCTGATGGAGCCTGCTCGATGAGCCACATCAGGTAATCATTCTACGGTTTCAACGAACATCGTCAGGATGGGTATACGAAACATGTGAATGTGTGAAGGAGGGTAAGTTGAGAACGAACCGGCTTGTCCTCGTAATGTTTATCCTTGGAGAGTTTTGCCTTGCGTTCTTCAATCATATCGCCCACAAGACGCCGCATTTGACGTTGATATTTCTTAGTTTTAGAGAGTAGGGGGCCTATGAGACTATCTCGAGCAGTAAGCGACGGATCACGATCTTGAATCAACGAGTATCAGAAGAGTGAGTACCTACCGGTGAAGAAACGCTGGGAAGAGGTTAATAAAGACCGCTCTTTTCGCCACGTCCATCGTGAAATCAATATTCAAGTTGCGATATTCCCGGTTTCGACCTACAACACATCGGAAGACGGTCAGTCAATGAGCTCCAATACTTACAGACTTTCGGCGTGAATATCTCTGAGCCAAAGAGACTTACACAATGGCGCCCCAACGACTACCCTGTTCGTCACCCTACAGACCAGCTTCATTATATTCCTATGCACCACAACGCCCCTCCACTCGCCCTCCCCTTTCCGTCCATTTGCCCCGATATCGGAATCGAAATTAAACACAGAATCGGCAAACGCAGCGTTCATCTCGTCGACGAGAGCAGAAAAGAGAACCCCAAGATTCCGCGTAAGCGTGTTTCGGACTATTGGAATGTGATACCGAGATTGTCTGAGTGTTGGCGAGATGGTATATCGAATATGAAGGATCTACCGTCGGTCAGTCTGCATTAGCATCAGAAATTCTGAGAGGGTTGGTTGATAGTTTGAAAGCAGCGAAGGGGCTTGTGCTCACTTTCTCAGCAAAATCCGCAAGCGAGAACGCGTCATCTGGCGCGTTACAGAGTTCGTCGACGAGTTCAGGACCATTCGCTACGACTGTTGTGCCGAAAGGGAATAGGTGTATTCGGAACCATCCGCTGGGGTACTTCGAGCCGAGAATCAATATGGAGAGCAGACAATGCGATTCTGGATGTAGAGTACAGATAACTTGAAGCCACTTACTCTGGACGATCCCTCGATGAGGTTCGCTCTGCATGCATTGAGGGTGATTAAATCGAATGCGGGGAAGAAAAAGCCTAGCCAATCCCAGGAGGATTTCCCGATCATTGGTATGTTCACCTGATAATTGTCGGCGGTATGGATCAAAGGCTGGTGCGAGTATGACGCTGAGGGTGAATACTTACGGTTTTATCGCGACGAACCACTCGCGAGGCAAACACCAAGAATACCAGTCCGAGGACAGCACTGCTAATCTGGACATGGGAGGAAATTTGAGTAAAGAGAGCAGAGACTGAAGGACTCAGAGTCAGAATTCCCTCCATGATGGTACGTCGTGAGGAGAGGCGTTGAGCGGTGCTTTCGCGGCTCTTAGGAGAGAGCGAGGCGGCGGGTCCTGTTTCATGACTGTGTGTTCCATGCGAGCGTGGAATTTCGAGTCCAGTAGGGGATAGTCACAGCGCTGAACTGGCCTGGTGGCGATGATTTTCGATAGTACCCGGGCGATCATCCTCGTGGAAGCACAAAAATACGGCCATAGCATGATTCGTGCCAAAAATAAGGATCTTGCACATAATGCCGACTTTTCAAGTCAAGTGTTCAGAGAACGGTCAATGCGTTCAAGATGGAAGTTCTGGACATGGGCGAGCCAATGTCAGGGAGCATTTCTTTCCATGAATCGGGTTGAACGGTCTAGTAGCTGAGGCTAGACTCGTTGTTACCGTGGCCATTGCGCGAGAAAGCGCCTATCAGGGAAGGTTACACAGGATCATCGAAACTAGGAGCTGAGCGGGAGTTTGAAGGGATTTCAAGAAGAGTTAGCACGGCAACCGCCGTGCATTGAAGCACCCAATTTTAGACGCCACGTCACGCCGATCATTCTTTGTTCCAGATCCGCCATTTTCCTTGTTTTCTTTGCTCTCTCGGCCTGCATCCTTTGCCTGTGCAGCACTGACTGGACGAGCCGGTATCGTCTATATGACTCGTTTCCTCTTGTAAGATCGCCATCCGTGACTGTGGCGACCATGAAATTGTCGCAGAAAATCCGACACCGTATGTCCCACGAAGATGTTCGTCGTTTATTCTTGGATCCTGGCCCCTGCGGCCTGCGGATTCTGCACAGCAGTAGTTTCCCTGGTAATCTTCTCAATGTGTCGAACAATTAAACCGCCTCGTCACATATCGTGTCACTCAGTTCCACGTTATTGTTTTCGCAGTCGTGACGTCATCTGCATTGGTCTCATTGTCTCCCAAAAAGGCACGGTCCAACTTCTTTGCCTTCGCTCTCTCACCGCGGAGGCGTTCCGTTGCCTCTCTACGCTAGCCTCGCCGAACGGCTAAAAACAACTTCAGACCGTCTATTGTACCTTCTTTACGCTTACGAACCTTTCTTTCTTTCTTTTCTTTCCTGCAACTTTCACTCACTCCTCGACTATTCCTGCTGGCACAAGATTCTCACCACTCAGACGCCCTACGAAGATATCCACTGATCACTTGGAAATAATGACGAGCCATTCCAATCACGCGCCAAACGAGTTCCGTACATCTTCACCGACGGACAACAGGTCTTCGTTCCGTTTTCCATCCAAGTTCAAGGAACATCTCTCCATCGATGTTCCTCATCCCGACCTCCAACTCGAACACTCCCACTTCTCACCCGACTCACCCCCACCACCTGTACCTCCCCTTCATCGAGCCTCTTCCTCCACCCACTCCAACCAGCGCAGCACATACTCGTTCGGCTCTTCGACGATGTTTTCACCGCGCTCGAAGGCTCAGGATCTGGAGAAAGCGGATGACCCTCCGATAATGGAAGTTCCTTTGGACGATCGTTCACGGTTAGCAACTCCTAGTCCCCGGAGGGAGTCAGGCTGGGGGATAAGGGATCGGTTCACGAAGTTCTTGTTCGATGCGAAGTCGTTGAAGAAGGAGCATTCGGAGCCTGATTTCGGAATCGCGATGCAGGAGACGGTGCAGATGGAGCAATGGGCACCTCTGAACATCGAGAAACGAAACCCTCCCACGTATGCTCAACAAGAGCAAGACCAACATCTTCCTAGATGTACGTGTTGTCCGCACCATCATGACCATCAGAAGAAGCAACAGGAGGGAACGTTGAAGAAGTGGAGACGGAAATTCCTCATTTTCCTCGGCCTTTTGTTTCTTCTTTGGGTCTTCGCCAATCTCGTGGCGTTGGACGCCAAGGTTCTGTCTCCCGGTACTTCTTCGTCTTCATCATCTGGCTCGGGTACTACAACGGCGTCTGCGCCCTCAGCATCGTCATCCTCGTCTTCGACTCTCTCTGCTGCCGTGCAAGAATGCATCACGGAATACACCGTCAACGCTCCCAATTCTCCAACTACGTATCCCTGCTCTACCTGTCTTCCCCTCCTCTCCGCCCTTCCATCAAGCGTTACGGACGAAAATCCCGCCGCGCTCGAAGCGACCCAGTTCTGTGCGCTTAGGGCACTCTGGGAGGATTCGGACTCAACGGGGCAGAGCGGGTTGGAGAATGGTGGCTGGGTGGAAGATGTGAAGTTTTGTTCGTGGAGCGGGGTGACCTGTGACGGGTCGTCGAGGGTCTCGTCTCTGTACGTTCATCCCTCTTCCCCCTTTATCTCTCTTTCCGTATGTGTTTGGACGTGGGAGACAGGGCGCTGACTATGGCTGTGTGTGGTGTATAGGGAGTTGACGACGCCTGCGGTCCCCGCGTCGATACCCGTTGAGTTTGGCAATCTTACCGCCTTGTCGAGTTTGCAGATCATAGGCGACGGCACGATCCCTGGTGCGTCTCCCTTCTCCCTCCTCCCTCCCCTTCTTATTCTATCGTTAATTTTTCGATCACTGACATCAAATTCCACGAACACGCACAGGCGGATCAATCCCCAACTCATTCCTCTCCTTATCCTCGCTCACGTCCCTCCACCTCGAATCAACAGCACTGACCGCTCTCCCAAACGATACGCTTGCTAACTCGAATCTCACGACGCTCGTTCTCGTCAAGAATACGCAGATGGGGTCTTCGTTACCTACGACTCTTGGTGCGATGCCGTTAACGCAGCTGTATGTCTCTCCCTTTCCTGCTCACAAGCTAGTTTAATTGCTGACTTGTTGACTTGTGGCGTTGAACTGCTCACTCTGGATGCTTGGACATTGGGCGCGGAATATTAATAGGATCGTGACTAACGAGACGCTGACGCTGACGGCGGATCAAGAAACGAACATTTGCGGAAGGACGCTCTCGACGTGTGATCTTCAAGGAACAGGGATCTCCTCTTGCGGCTCCTGTGTCGTCGGATGAGCGCTTCTCACTCATCGTGGCCTCTTTCAGTCTGACTGTTTCATGGTGGATACGGACTTCTGTCACACACGCGCTGGATACCATGTTGGTGGATTTTATTTGGTAGCTGGATGAGCTCAGGACTCTTGTCGTCGTCTTTATCATCGCCTTTCACTTTGCTTCATCTCACGAAATGACCCACGCCAGAGCTGCCTAGTGTAGCGATGGCCACGATTTGTTTCTTTTTGACATGCGTACTTTATCCTTACTTACCTACTGTCATGCAACCTTGGCTCGGTCCAAGCATTCTCCCACCTTCCATGCCTGCCCCTCGTCTTTCCATCGGTCACTTGGTTTCGAGATGGACCTCCGTGCATGGACACGTCGCTTTGCCCTTTATTTTCATGTTCATATACTGTCGCTACTTTACGTCACTTTGCTTTACTCGGAGGTACATAGATTCTGTCTGTCTGTTTTTGGTTCGTTGTGGATTAATCTGTAGCTATACTTACGAGCGTGGTTGTAGCCGTCGGTGTTGTGTGGGTGGTAGTGTTCTGCAGTGGCGTTGTGTTGTGGGATCAATCGATTATTGTTGGTGTCGGTTGGTCCAAAGTTGGCAGTGTTGTGAGACTTGACTCAATGTTCAGACAAAGACGCTCTTGCGCTTTTTTTACCACCTCTGTCTCAACCTTGTTCAATTTTATGCAGAGCAATGCTCCGAGAAAATGTGTGGCGCCCGTAGACCACTCCGAGCGCCGAACGCCACAGGCGCCGCTATCGAAAGAAACAGTTATCCCACGCTCTTCTCGAAGACCTCACACATGTCTCGGCGCACAAAATCTCTAACTGGAAGATCTGAGCCATCAGGCCACCCAGGACGCCGTATGGATGTAGCGCAAGCTATGTACCAGCGGCAACAGTTACAAAAGCAGGCCGCTGTCCTGTCGCGCACGCAATCCGATGCCAGCAGCTGATTCGACGACCGTCCATTATCATACCCGTCCCCGTCGCACTGTGCACTTCGAAAAGGTTGAAAGTCAACCGAAGGAAAACCTGTAAACCTAATTCCATTCAGTCTCCTGCTGGTAGAAAGTTCACCTGTGTGGGGTACATTTCATCTGTCTCACGGTATAAACGAAGGGGATTGAGAGCCACCCTTTATATTGCCGAATTCACTCACATCGCACAGAGCGGGAATCAACCCTCTCACGCAGTAAATGTCACCAATTGTATGCCACCAAGTTTGCTCACAACAATTCAACGTGTATGGCTCTCAACTTGTAGTATATTTTATTGGCAAAAAAAATACAATACACAACAGAGCCTACATACAGTTACAGATACTATGAGGGCTTCAAAGCGACTAGCTAGCGAAGGTTGAAACTGGATAACCAAGAGACCAACACTATTGACCCTACGTAACTCGGAGTATACATGCTATCCCATCTAAGTGTCTCATTGTAGAAGAAAGCAAAACCTAAAGATGGGGCAAGTCGAACCGTAACAAGACTCAAGAGGCCCAGACATTGGGATGCTTACACGGTAAGCAGGCGTACCAAACAAAGAAGTCACGCACCGGAAAATGAAGGACATGCACTCTTCACTCGCGCTGACGTGTCCGAAACTTCTCTATGCCAATCATTACAAGTGAAAAGTCACGCACCAACGAAACATGATTCGGATATTGGACGATATCCTGCATCCACACGGTACTCTTCACCATTAGTTCTCCCAGTTGAAGACACATCTGTACATAGAGTCATAGTCAGTAAGGACATCGCTCGAGAATGAGTAAGGTGACGGGGCGAACCAGGCGGGCGATTCGAGGTTCTGCGTAGCGAGGAAGAGCCCTCGGTGGGACTCGCCTGCACAACTGGGATACGTGAATCGTTCATGTCAAAAAATAAGAGAAACGGAACCACAAAGACATACCGACTACAACGACCTAGAGATACCCATTCGCAGGTGTGCAAATACCAGAATGTCGCTCTACGTCGTGGTTGAAACGGAAGTAGCAAGACGCGGGGGGGATCGCCGCAGAAGCTGTGCCACGCATCCGCTGTGGCGGTGAACTTTAGGGCAGACCGAAGTTGACTTTCCTGCATTGTTATTTCACATTTCCCGTCTCACCCGCATTCACTCCATCGCCGGCTGCACCCTGAGCGACTCGTTTAACAAGTGAAAAGTGGAAGTCAACCTCCCTTAGAGGTGACATTCAGCCCCTTTCACGTGCACAGTGCGTCCCTGCACCGGTGTTTCTGGTACGATTCGAACGAATTAGAAAGGAGTGCGTCTGTGCGTGATGGTGTCTCATCGACCCATGCAGTGTGCACTCATCGGATCATGACCGAGATTTGCTGTTCTGAGGCTTTATAAAGCTCGACCGGTCTCACATACACATTCGAGCTTGCGGTCGTGTGCTATCGTCTTTTCGCCATCCTTCGAGTGAAACTCTTGTCTTTTCTCTTTTACACCGCGTCCAGCACATCGGCCCCATCGTTCTTGCGGCCGACTGACAGAGTTGACGGGATCTACGCTTTTTTGGGTTTTCAACTACGCCGATCTTCTTCGACAGCTCGGATTCTCAACATCTTCGCATTCCCAATCTCAGAAGGAAGAGGGATCGCGTACATAAGCCGCTTCGCTCACTCAAATTTGACTATGGCGCTTCCTGTTCGGGCGTCACGCGGGCTGTCTTCTACCTTCTTACGGCGTCGGACGACATGCTCAGGCTCAGGATGTACGGATGCTGGGAAGATGGTCGGTGAATCGACGTTGGGACGGGAGTCATCGGGGAGAGGAGTGGGTACAAGAGAGACTCGGAGGTGGATGAGCGTGAGGCCAGCGGTCAATCCAGGCTCATCACAAAGTGCTATTTCGTCGAGTTCTCGTGCGTTTCCTTTCGTTTTCTATCCCTCGTCTAAGATTAATATTTATTGCGTGTGGAACCAGCCACACCACCGCGGCGTAAGAAGGTGACAATTCAGTCGTTGCATTCGATGCGAGAAAAAGGCATACCTATAACGATGCTCACCGCATACGACTACCCGACCGCCCTCGCACTTTCCACCGCCCGAATACCTCCACCCTCATCTCCATACCCCTCTTCATCTTCGTCCCCACCTATCTCTTCACCACAAATACCGCACCACCAAGCCACAATTGACATCTGCCTCGTCGGCGACTCCCTCGCACAAGTCGCTCTTGGTCTCCCATCCACAACCCTCCTCACGCTCGATGAAATGATCCACCACTGTCGAGCCGTCTCCCGCGGTCTCTCTCACCCACACTCCACCAAACCTTTCTTCCTCGCTGACCTTCCCTTCGGCACATATCAGACCTCACCAGAAGACGCGATTCGGAATGCTATCCGTCTGGTGAAGGAGGGTGGCGTGGAGGGTGTGAAGATGGAGGGTGGCGAGGAGTTGGTGGAAACGGTGAGGAGGATGACGAGTGTTGGGATTCCGGTGATGGCGCATGTGGGGTTGCTGCCGCAGAGACACGTTGCGTTGAGTGGGTATCGTGTGCAGGGGAGAGATGCGAAGTCTGCGAAGGGAATATTGGATGCCGCTCTTGCATTGGAAGAGGCAGGAGCGTTCGCGATGGTGTTGGAGGCGATTCCGACGAGGTTGGGAGAGTATATCACGAAGAGGGTGGGGGTGCCGACGATTGGGATTGGAGCGGGGAAGGGGACGAATGGACAGGTGCTAGTGTGGGACGATGCGATGGGGAGGTGGGAGGGTAAGAAGGCGAAGTTTGTGAGGAGGTTTGCACAGGTTGGGGAGAGGGAAACGGAGGGCGTAGGGGAGTATGCGAGAGCGGTGAAGGAGGGGAGTTTCCCGAGTCGAGAGGAAAGCTACGAAATGCCCGAAGAAGAATTTCAGAGGTTGTTGGCAGAGGTCGGAGAAGCTGAGGCTCAGCCTGAGTCGCGGTAGATCTGATAAGATGTTGGTCTACATAGGTCTTCGTGTTGGTAAATAGTTTAGAAGGGGTGTTGTTTATAGCGGTATCTATTTCACAGAATCTTAGCCATTTGGACTTACGAACCAAGATATCTGACTACTCTAATGACACTATGTAATTTACGCAGGAAACGCATTAATGGGCTATGTCCTCACACCCAGCTTGAAAATATTCAGTTCAATCACCTGGATGTTTATGTGATCCTCGCGCACCACACATCGCTCACGATCATTATCAGTCCACCCACCCTCCAAGGAGGGAATGTAAAGTGGAAGAGCTATCAGATTGTTCGTCTAAACATCCTTAGCATAGGCGAGATAATGGTGCGAGGCTTCATACCGTATGTAGGCCACACCGCTCGGTATAGGTGGATGTCGGAAAGTACTAGCCATCTCCAAGTCTACGCATTTGAATCAGTTTATTTTATTTTACGATATCTGACTCTGCGAGGAAAGTAAGAAGTCATTAACTCTCTTCAACGTCGTTCTGGAAGGATTAGCCTGTGGTCTCGACGCAATAATCCATTCCAGCCGTCTGCGGATGCTCTGCTTCGTCGCAGCTGTTTCTCGCAAGAAAAACAAAACAAAAACACAAAAGTCGACATCAATATCGCAATTCCATCCCATTCTCATAAGGAAGGCAGAGATGATAGACTCACCTGTACCAATACGTCCACCAACCAAACCGTCCGACTCAGCGCCTCGATACCGCCCCTCGTCATCAAACAAGATCTGCAACGCCGCTACCGCCACACCCACGCTCGCGTCTTTGCCCGATTCGCAGGCGATACAGACGTCCCGACCTCGATATACTCCTTCCTCTTCCCCCTGTTGTCGTCGGTCTTGTGCGAGATGGGACGAAATGAAGTCAAGAGATTGCGGGAGAACGCTGTGGAGGAAAGAGTGTTGGCCTTTTTTCCCGGAGTCGAGGTAGAGGTGAAGGATCTTTGGTTGGGGTGGAGTAGAGGAACGAGATCCTAAGGTAAGATTGGTGTTGGTGGCCTGTTCAGGGAGTGGAGCTGAACTTGAAGCGGATTGGGATGAGAGGGGAGGTGGCGAGATGATGAGAAAGGCCGTATCCCGATCGCTTGGAATATCGTCGTGTGGAAGCATAGACGACGAAGACATGTCTACCGGCAGATCCTCTATAGAGCACACTAGTATCCGCCCATCTACCTTCGCGATCCGTGATGGTGGATTTTTCCTGTTACCTCTACTTGAGGACGTCGAGGCTTCGGTTACGATACGTCGTACAATCCCTTCAAGATCTTGGCGAGAAGCGTCGAGGAGGGTAGAACCGTGTTTCCAAAAGAGGTCTGGTGTTAAGCCCTACAATTCCGAAGTGACGATAGTATCACGGATCAAGCAGTATTAAGCAACGAACGCAAGTTAACTCACCATACCCCAAAGCTCGTGGTCGTCCCCTGAACCTTGAACATATGAGAACCCTTGCGATCTTCTCTCGATACCCTCCTGAACTTGTCTCGACGCAGAAACGCAGATAATCGGAATATACATTGGTGTGACACTATCGTCTGACGACAACGACGAGGATGACTGAAGAGGTACAGAGGGAAACGTTCGTGTGGCCGGTGTGATCCAAAGGGGACGTAGCGGGTACGGAATATCCGGGAGTGTATAGGAAGATGCCTATATAATTTCTTAGCTATTATAACACTTCCGGCAGACAAGAAGAAGGGAGCAGCAGAAATACTCACAGCAAGCTCCTCAGCCCACTTATCCAACCTCCCCTCGATCTGCATATGCTCCTGCGGGCTGATCACTCCAGGTGGCGTATATAGAGCTGAATCCCACATCTCGCTCGTCTGGTCTGAGCTTGCTTCACTCTGTCGATGTGAATGTCGGAGTCTGATAGCCCGATTGATTACAGCACACCAGATCGGTACCGTCTTGGACAGAGCGTCTGGTATACGCTTTCCCGCTCTCGTTGAGTCAACGAGTATCAGCCTTTCATAATGACAATGTCGCGCGTCAATATCAGGTTAGTCTGTCCAAGATAACTGTATTGGACAATAGGAGTTGTTGTGGGGAGTGTCGTACCCGTTAGTCCTCGATGCAACGGTGATGAGATGAAGATTAGGTCTCCGGAGGTTGAAGCCCCAGTTGTTGTAGTGCCCGTCGGTGGATTTGAAGTATGCTGGTTCGTTTGAGGACTAGAATTGCAAAGCGTTCTATGGCTATGTCAATGACTTGGACTGCGAGTGCGATATATGGCATTGCTCTGTCACGGTGGTAGAAGAAGACTTGAACGTACGTGTGCTGGGTTCGTGTACCAGGCGCCACATCGTAAATTTGCTATACGATGGGTGACAAAAATATAAGTTGAGTTGGAGCGTAAGTTTGGGTATGAGTTCAACATAGGTATGGACTGACGCAGAAATGTTAGAGTCGGATATGCCTCCCGCACGCTCTCAACGAAGGCAATGTCCTCCTGTATCGAGTGGATACGATTGTAGATGTCGAGAGATTCCTTTCGTAGATATTCGAGTGCTTCTGCGTGAATGTTCAAAGGCATTGGAGTTTACTTAGAAAGATAGCAGGGCAGTGAAGAAGTTTCTTGTAACCAAGTTCGATCGTATAACGGCGATGTGGCCAAGCTTCGCCTCGGCTGCACGAAAAACTAAGAAGCCCCAGCTGCAAGTCTTCGTATATTCCACAGAGCCTTATTATGCAGAACTAGCACGGAGAAACACAGCGAATAATCTGCCGAAGAAACAGCTCGAAGATGACGGTACGAAAGCAAGACAGACAGGTGCCACAGTGGCGTCCCGCGAGCCAAACAGAGTGAAACACGCAACAGGCGCTGTTCTCGACCACCACGTACACGTCGACGCGCCGTCATCGACTTCCTGCAACCGTGCACGCTCGCTCCTCGTCGACCGACACGTCCTCCTCGCACCCTTCCCCCACCGTCATACGCCCCACACCGCTGTCGACGAACGCGACAAAGCGAAACGAAACCGTGCTTGACGTTTTGACGAACGACTTTGCTCGCAAAAAGTAGCGAAGGGTTGACGAGATGAATATTTTCCGGCTTTTCGGTGCGTTTGGGTCATGTTTGTATATAGTTGATGCCAAGCATTGTGTTGATTTTGGGTTGGTTTTTTGGAATGGTCGTGGTGCATGTGCTATACGATGACGTTTGGTTTTGTGCGCATGCGTGGACGCGTTATGGGTGAATGGCACGGATTGGTCGGAATGGGTTCGACTGGGTTGACTGGGTACCGGGCGTGCACGACGGACAGGCGACTTGTCGCATCTTGCATCTATATTCATCCTCTTGCACAAGATTCAAACCACCAGGTCATGTCGCGGTATGCCTTCCTCGAATTCTGCGTTTGTCCTGTTCGCTGACTGGCAGGGATTTTACGCGGTCGAATATAGGTATCTCGTTTAAGACGCAAGCGCTCTATGTCGCCGTCTTCGTCACTCGCTATCTCGACATCCTCTGGGGAGAGTGGGTCTCGTTGTATAACTTCCTCATGAAGATTTTCTTCATCGGGAGCAGCTGTTATATTTTGTACCTCATGAAATTCAAGTACCGGTGCGTATGCGCAACTCCACCACATATCATCGTACTCTGACCATCTCTACTATTCTTATACATAGACCAACCAACGACCCCTCTATCGACACCTTCCGCATCGAGTATCTCCTCGGTCCCTCTGCCGTCCTCGCCCTCATCTTCAACTACTCCTTCTCCCCGACGGAGGTCCTCTGGTCATTCTCCATCTTCCTCGAATCCGTCGCCATCCTCCCGCAGCTCTTCATGCTCCAACGTACAGGCGAAGCAGAGACAATCACGACGCATTATCTGGCGGCGTTGGGCGCGTATAGGGGGTTGTACTTGCCGAATTGGATTTACCGGTGAGCATTACGCGTTCACGTTGACCGCATCTGTGCTTTGGTGCAAGACGTAAGGGTGAAGAGAGAATGGGACTGATCGGTCGCGGTGGCTCTATAGGTACTTCTCGGAAGGGTTGGTCGACCCGATAGCTGTCACAGCTGGCCTGGTCCAAACGGGTCTCTACCTCGACTTTTTCTATGTCTACTTCACGAAGTACGTTCCTCTTGTTCCCCTTCCCCTTTTCACCAGAACCAGCTGCTCACCGAGTTTGTAACGTGACACAGAGTTCTCCAAGGTCAAAAGTTCGAGCTTCCAGCATAATACGATCACCACAGCAGACTTCTCTGTCTCGGTGGCGTTCATGCCCACAAAACTACTTTACCAGCCTCCCAGTCAGTCGACGGACGATGTGCGGAAGGTATCACTTGGTGGTATGTAGTTTGTTGGTACGGCGATTCGAGGTTGTACATGAATGTGAGATTGTGTCCGTCATGGCTGGCTGGTTAGTAGAGAGAGACAGGGATACGTTACAAGGACTATTTATAAGTTCGGAGGGTCACTGTGTGATATTCGATGAACTAGAACCAGAATCTAAAACCGAACGAACTAATGGACATATGAGAACTGAACAATTGTCTGCTGTTTAGTGAGCTTATATTAGGTGCATTGTTCTTGGTACAATCCTGCGTGCGAATTTGGTTCTGTACCCAGGTAAGACTGACTGAACTCTGCTTTCCACTGTAAGCATTCGGTGGGCATCAGTCGTCCAAAACTGATTTCGGTACTATTGGTGTTGGAAGTGTGGTGGGCCACAACGCCACCTAGCGCAAGTAAGCGCGTACGTGTCGAACGAGCGCGTCTCCGACTCGCGTCAAAGTTTCCAGTCTGCAACTTCAGCTCCGTTTCCCGCTCCGTCTTTGCTCATTCCTCTAGGCCTCACCATTCTTCAGGCCTCTACTATTTCTTCTCCGTTAAGCCACAAAAACTCCGGTCCATCAGTCGAAAGAAGAGGGACGAGAGCGCACTATGCTCGCGTGCCGGGCGCTTTACTTTTTGCTGGCGTTGGTTACGGTGGGCGTGTTGGCGATTGACGAGAATACGCGAATAGCGAATCGGACGATTGAGAGGGTGAGCGTTGCACCTTTCTATTTGTTTTGCGCTTGAAAAGTGGAGATTTGGGTTGGTTTGGGTCGATAAATAAAGACTGAATGGGGAGAAGAGTGGCTGGTGAAGGCGTGGGTAGGTTCGTTAGGCCGGGGAAGGGTGGTTTGAGATACGCGAGCGTTTGACGATGCAAGAGAATGCAAGGAATTATTGAGCTGACTTCTTATTTCTTCAGACGGTCCAACTCCGCACACATTCGCTATACGCACCATACATTGACCAAGACCTTCAAAACCGGTACGTTTCACCCATCCCACGGCGTCCCACCTCACTTTCTTCATCTATCCTTTGAGAGCTTTGCACAGAGGACTGACTACAGTATCCCTTGTTTTGTTCTGGTAGATGGTGGGACTTCGGTGCAGATGCTTATGTCGTACGTAGCTCCGTTATCACCTCCGCTTCTTTTGGCTGTAGAAGACAGTACATATCCGACGTGACTTAACTAAACCCCGACATAGAACACGAACAAGCACGTCCGCCTCACCCGGAATAAGCAGTCATTAATGGGCTGGTTATGGTCCCGTCTGCCTATCACCGCTTCGAACTACATCATCGAGATCGAGTTCAAGGTATGTTTATACCTTATCCTTCCTCCCCCAACGACATCCCGTCAGCATGAAAGAGTTTTGGTACTGACTGCGTGTTGGATTCGGTCGCATAGATTTCAGGAGAGTCAACACATCTGTTCGGTGACGGAATGGCGATATGGTTGACGAAGGACAGGGCACAGCCGGGGCCTATATTCGGTAGCATCGGTGCGTACTGCTCCTTTCCTTCTCTTTCCCTCTCTCTCTTACCCTTCTCCCACTCCCTTCCGTCCCTTCCATGTACCCCCACCCCGATATTTGCGCAAAATCGGTCTCCTATGGAATGTTATTGAATGGGTGATGTAGACAAGTTCAACGGCCTAGCCATCTTCCTCGACACGTACGCGAACGGACGACACAATTATGATTTCCCGAGGATCGTGGCGATGATGGGGGATGGGCAGACGAGTTATGATCAGGCGCATGATGGGGATGAGACAAATATCGCTGCGTGCTCGGTACGTGTATCGTTTGGCTACTTTCGTTTCCCATCGTTGTTGCATCCGCTGCGCCGCATGTGGTGGAATCTCAGTGGCCTCTGAACGACACGCGAATGAGGCTGACGTGTTTGAATGTACTCTCAGGCAAAGTATCGTCGGACGAACGTCGCCACGAAGCTTAAAATCACGTATGCTAAGGATTCGGTTCTGGATGTGAAGATTCAGTATCAAGGATGTGAGTCCTCTTTGCATTAACATATTTTCCATTCTTAAGATCAAGAGAGTCCGTTTGTGCTGATGGGTTCGCTTCGTAATAGGGGATCAATGGGACGACTGTTTCACCGTCAAAGGCGTTTCAATACCCGCGAACCCATACCTCGGTTTCTCAGCAATGACGGGCGACGTCAGTGATGCGCACGAGTACGTCCCATTACGTCCCTCTTCCTTCATGATGTTTTTCGGCAGCTAACCAACGCCATTCTACGCCACACTACACTACACTACACGACCACACCGCACCCTCCAAAAAAAAACACGAAAACGGAACCATCCCCACCAACACAGCATAATCTCCGTCTCATCCTACTCCGCCGTGCTCTCCCAGCCCGACGCTCAGCGCGACAAACACCGCTCCGACCCGTCCTCCCTCTCATCCTCCTTCTCATCCTTCTTCTCCACCCTATTCAAACTCGCGCTCTTCGTCGGCGTCTGTGCCGGGGCTTGGTATGGCTGGATGACTTATGGGCGGAAGAGGTTTGGAGGCGGTGGGGGTGGTGGATTTGGTGGAGTGGGTGGTGGTGGGATGGGTGGGTTGAGCGGTGGGAGGGGAGGGTTTGGGGGGTTGGGTGAGATGGGGAGGGGGCTGGGGAATGGGCTGGGGAGTGCGGCGGGTGGGCTTTGGCAGGATCCGAAGAGGTTTTAGGGGCAGCTAGTGAGTGATTCTTTGGTATGGAGGGCGGGTGAATGTACCTTGAGAGGGCGGATATGCAGGAGGCTGTGACGTGGGTGTAACATAATGTCCTTGTCGCTGTCGATTAGTGCTGGTACCGTGACTGAGGGGTCCAGCCTTACACAACACCGTAGATAAGTTACTCTGAGTGCGGTGACGTTGACGAAGTACATACATAGTGCTCCTTGTGACGACGATGAAACTTACGGACGGATTTTCGGATGTGAGCACCGAGTCTCGTTTGGTGGATAATTATTTGATTTGATTTCTTTCCTGCTCGCTTTCTTTCATCGATCTTTCGTCCATTGGTACATCTGCTGCATCCGCACAGATCCGCACCGGACGTATGCGCATAATGGAGCGCGACAAAGGGAATGAAAAAAGGATTTTTTCGAAGTGATACCAGTAACAAAGAAATGAGGTAAGGTACGAGAATATGAAGTGTCCGTGCAATTGGAGCCAACGAAAATGAAAACAAAGAAGAATAAGTGGAGAAGGAGACTCGAAGAGTAGCGGATGATGAGGTTAAAGCAGCTTAGATCTAGTGGTATGCAGTCGGCAGGCCATGATAGCGCAGGCAGATGATTCATACAAATACAGAAAGAGGACTCGGAGAGCACGTACAGCACGGCGAAGCAATATACAGCAGAAAGCTGAGCGAGACAGAGTCCCCATTGTGTTTAAACTAAAGAACGAAATGTAGGAAAGAAAGGACGGAGGCCTGTTGCCCTCCCGAAGCTACCACAATCAAATACGGCACAACGCCTCTCATCGACGAACCAACAACACGACGAATGGAAACAACAACACCAACAACAGCAGAAACACCATCGTACACAATGGCAAAACAATCACGTAAAACTAAACCGACTCTTCGTCAAGGCCCTCTGTATCGACCACCTCCCCGCCTTCGCCGTAACCGGCCCCGGTGGTGCTTGCTGCATCGCCATATTTCCCTGCCCAATATCCAAGCCCTTCTCGCCGTTTGGCCATACTGCGTCCCCAGTCCCGCCGCTGGGGTCATTGGGGTTCGGGATCAGCCCATCATCTTCGTAGACTGATTGGAGGATCCATGATTCGGGACGATCGCGGTTGAAGGGAGCGCGGAAGATGCGATTTTGGATGAGTGCGAGGAGGGGGATTAGGGCGCAGGTGACGGCGATTATGATCTGGCTGGAGATTGCGGGATGGTAGCCATTTGTGATAGTGTCCTGCAATAGATGAAGAATTGAGAGTCGAACGCAATTAATACGAGTAGGAAGAAGTTTGGGTAAAGTCGAGGAGTACGTACAGCGAGATGGGCAGTGTTGCGATCGAAGAGAAAGCGAAGGCCACGACTCCAGCCATCCAGGTCATTGATGATGAGGTCTATCCCTAGGCCGGTTAGGAATGTTCCAACGCTTGCTGAGCTTAAAAGCTATCCGCCGTAAAATGATAGCCAAAGCAAATCAACATTCAGCATTCATCCCGTACAACTCAAATGAAGAAAGCACTCACGATTCCGATCCTCTGCCGTATCATCACACCTGCCCCACCAACCGCCGCGAAAACCAAAACGATTATCCAGTTCACGAAGTAAAATTCTCTACTGGAGACCAACAGCCCGTCCTTGACTATGACTATCCGCAGACCGAAAGCTATGCCACCAATAACGCCTAGAAGGGCCACGCCACCGACGCGCATGAAGGAGAAAAGGCCAAGTCCGAAGCCGAAGAGGACGAAACCGAGGACGATGAGTGTGAGAGGTAGATCAGAAATGCCAGAGGCGGAGAGTGTGTTTATCAGGGCGGCCCATGCTATTGAAGCACCATAAGATGGTGTGTTAAGATCACGGAGGATGTGGGGTCAGTGAAATACAGAACGTACAAGCCATGCCCAATGCAAGTCCTACCGCACTTCCAACTGTGAATCTCCATCCTCTGATACCTGCGAGTGCCATAGGCACCCCGAACGTAAAAGAAAACACTAGCCAGATAATTGTCGGTACGGAGCCCCAGAGACCTGTTCCGCTGCCATCAGAGGCAGATGATTGGGCGATCGATTGGAGCGTAGAAGAGTCGAAGACACTGGTTACAGTGCCGTTAGAAGATTGCTCGAACTGAACCGAGCGAGCGAGAAGGTGGGCGCTGTGGCGACGCGAAGAGGAGCGCGAAGAATCTGCGCTTGACCCGACTTCTGCTTTCGAAGGCGAAGGATCGGAAGAGCTCGCTGGGGTTTGGGAAATGGTGTCGCGGATGTCGTTGGCGATGCTCGACCTGGAGGTATGCCGGGACCTGGTGATCAAGGCACGATAGATTTCGAGGGAAGGTGTTGTCACGGCCGTGAGAATGTCATTAAAACAGAAACTGTGACGAGGCTGGGGGTAAGGGTATGGCGGCAGAGACGGTGAAGCTACTGGTGCTGCTTGAGCTGAGGAAAGGCAGAACATGAATGTGATGATGAAGAGTATGCATGAGTGCACACTCGATCGTGACGCCATATATGAGTCGACGCCAGGATGAATTTGGAGAGGATTACCGGCGGCGAAGGTGTAGGTGGTAGTGCGTCCGATGCAGGAGGCGAATGTAAAGAGGGTGAATGGGATCCAGCCTTGGAGACCCTCGGGAAATATGCGTGTTTGTGGGTTGTATGAGCAGTAATGACCGTCAAGTCGAACCAGCAAGTTTGAGCTGGATTACTGCAGCACTGGGACGAGGAAAAGAGCGAAAGATCTGCTTAGATGTGCTGATCAGTAGGACAGAGCGGACGATGATACGGAATGGAGAGAGAGCGGTGGCAACAAAAGACAGACGATAACGAATGGAGTGTAGGAAAGAGGGTGCTGGTGAGGAATGAAACGCAGGCGGCCCGCGAGGCTGCGAAGGGATACGAGTTAGAGACTCCGTTCCTATCAATAGCGCATGCGCATTGCTCAGTGATATTCTGGGTTGCGACCGTACGACAATTCCCGCCCGACGACGGCTATTCGACAGTTCCAGTCAATGCAGACAGGATGATTGCGACGTAATGAGGTATATATGAACTGGTATGAATGCAGATTCAAAGCGATAGCAGAGCGGTGATTGGACAGATGGAACAAGCTAGATATCGTTATGAGCGACCAGCGTCTCGACCTTACCAGGCGCAGTTGTTCGGTGCCCCTGCAATTACACAGGCAGAAAAGGGGTTGGGAACAGGAAGACGCCTTGTCGGGGACGTTGACAGGGCCAACTGTTGCACGATGACAGGAACGGTTCGTCGCCGAAGCAAGACTTTTGTTTCCAAGATGGAAGGAAAGTTGTCGCGGCTTGTCGCTGCAAATGCCATGGCAACGCGTCGCGTCGGGCACGTGCTGCAGGGAATGATTGCACCAGGGCTTTCCCTGGATGCTACCATCCACGGGTTTTGACGGATGTGAATCCGTGAGAACGCATCCGGCATCCGTCTGGATGCCATCCGCGCTGAACTGTGCGGATGATGGGCTTCTCGGAGATGGCGGGGTCGTGATCCGTCCAAAAGGCGGACGTGACTTTGACGCGTCGAGAACGCGTCGCGAATTGGTGGCGCGTCGGTGGCGCGTGTTTTGCTCCTGACCGCTTTGTACCTGTATAGCACGCATACCACTGTAACTTAGCTTCATCATAACTCGCTCTTCATGCTTTCATGCTACCCTCGTCTAGCCAACAAGCTGCCTCCCTCAGTAATTCCCTTAGCTCTGCTCAACCAAACACAAACTCTTCTGTCCCTTCCGGGCAAGTCTTGACTAGAAGTGCTAGCGATACCAATGCACCGGCACCATCATCCAGGGCTCCTCCTGCAAAGAAAACGAAAGCATCAGGAGGGAAGGATAGATGGTTTTGGAGTACATCCGAGTTGTGGGGAGAGGATGAACGGAATATTCTTGGTGTGTGGCCCAAGGTTTTCTTTTTTTTGCTTGAGGTGTGACGGGTCTCGTAGAGGATTGGGCCGACCATTTCACGAACCCACAAGAGCACTACAATGTCACACTCTCAAAAGACGCAGAACGGAGCCCACATGAAGTTGTTGCTGTCTTTAAGTGTAGGCTCAGCGATACGAAGCACAAAACGGTCTACCGGACACGAGAAGACTTCAAGTCTGGTAACACCAACCTGCATAAGTCAGCAAGAACATGCGAGAAGCGTAACGCGAGTGCTCTTCAGCTTCTGTCTGTGTCTCGGTCTGGCACGGCTCCTACTGTCTACTCGGAGGCTATGCATAGGGTCATCATTGTTCTACGCTGCGCCTGCTCGAAACGATCGTTCAATCATTTGAAGGATCCTTGGTACCTCAGGGAAGTCGAGCTTCTACGACCTGGAACACAGCTTCCGGCTCCTCAGACTAGTCAACGTGATCTCTTGATCCTACACGAAGCATTCATTCCTCGGTTTACCGCATACTTTGAGGTCGGCATTCTAATCTGAGCTCCCCTCCTTGGCGGACTTTCACACTTGCTCAGACTAGGGACCGAAATGTACACCTCGCTACTGACGGCTGGGCATCACCTATCAACATATCTGAGCTTGGTCTGATCATTACCTGGGAAGAGCATGGTGTGATGTACCGAGCACTCGTTGAGATGATTAGGTTTGCCGCTCCGCTTTCCGTCGCTCCTCACGTATGGGTCTAAATTACACGCATATATTAGGATCGATGACCGACACACGGGCGAATATCTAGCTAAGAAGATCGCTGAAAGCTTAACTCGACACGGTATTGCAAAATATGTACGTTTCCATCGTGTCTTCATTTTGTCTTACCATTGACACGCTGCTCACCGGCTATAAGGTGCATGTTCTTACAATGGACAACGCATCAAATTGTAATACAACGGCGACCGAGCTTGCAAAGCTTATTCCCACATTCCAAGGGAAACCGGCTCGAGGACGATGCTTTCTACACAGCGTCCAACTCATGGCGAAGGTACGTCTATTTTAGCTATCATACATGCGCATACATCGACATACAATCACACGCTCATTGCTCTATCACCCTCCCTTCGTATTTATAAGGCTCTGATCGATTTCTTCGACAAGAAATACAGGAAGAAGAAGAAAGTCACCGTTGAGACCAATCGTTCAAGCGCTGCCACCATGGATCTTGTCGTCGAGGATGGTGAGGATTATGAAGGCGAAGACGCTGACCTTGCAGACATCCTTGCTGCTTCTGAGACTCCACAGGAGAGGGCTATCCGCGAAGCGGCTGACGTTGGCCAATCTGCTGTGGATGATCATGCCGTTAGCATGACTCGTGCCCGCGCTGTTCGAGACATGGCAGCTCAAGGGGTCGTTATATCTGCTGCACAGCAGCAATCTGCTATCAAGATTTTTCCTAAAGTAAGCCAAGACGATTCTTGACGCTTTAATCCCTCTGGCTACTAGTGCTAACGCATATATTCATGGTTTTAGATCAGTGGACTCGCAATTAAGATTCGCGACTCCGGCCCTATACGTCACATATGGGACAAGACTGTTGTCGAACACCCTCCAAATCCAAAGTATGGCGCCCAGCTTAAGTATCCCGCTCGACGAAACACTACACGCTGGGATTCGGAGTTTGACTGCCTCACCTCGAGTCGTGCCTTCGCCGATGCATCGAAAGCCATCACGTCAAATAAAGACCTCAAGCTTCAAACTTTCAAGTTAACTGTAGAGCAAAACAACCTCGCTAACGATCTCCATGACATGCTTTCGGTTTGACCTCCTCTCTGTCGAGATTTTCCATGACCGTGACTTATCGCAATCAATTCTCTCTAGGCCTTCAAGACTATCACTTCACTCTTCCAATCTGGTGCGACGCTCATCATTGAGGTCCTGCCGGCATTCCATGATCTTGACGTACGACTTAAGATGATGGCCAACGACGTGACCCTTGCTCCTGTCTGCCGTGTCGCTGCTTACGCCGCTCATCTCCAATGTGACAAGTACTATGACCTGTTCAGTGAGTGTGAAGCGGTTGCTTTTTGCATCGGTATGTTTCATGATTGTTCTTCATGTGTTGAACGTGGCTGGCTCAGTAACCTTTACCTCACATAGCCTGCTGTCCAGACAGAAAGCTACAGTGGTTCCGCGATCGTGGCTGGAATGAAGTACAAATCGCAAAGCTTCGCCAAGATATCATCGATCGGTTTAGGTCCTGTTACAGAACAACGCCTCCTACCTTGCCAGCCGAAACTATCACTAGTACAGTACGTTGAAGATTCATAGCCACCTTTGCTCAGTGTGATCAAACGCTCATTCACGACTCCACAGAGTGGTGCGGATCGATGGGCTCCGCCTCAGCGCACTCCCATTTTCCATGACCCCAACAACATTGAAACCTATTTAGATGCCGACCCTATTCCGACACTTGTAGACCAGACCGTCCTACAGTACTGGGATTGCCGTCTCCAGAGGACACCAGACGTTGCTCGCTTCTGCCTATCGTATATCTCTGCGCCAGGCAAGTCCTTCAGTCTGTCTTCGTCTACCCTTGGGATTTTATCTCAACCACTTTACTTTACAGCTACTTCTGTTGAGCCTGAGCGTACATTTTCGAAGGGACGCAACCAGATTGACTGGAATCAACAGAGTATGGGTCAGGATACGTTCAACCCTCGGATGGTCATGGAATCTTGGGCGGATGCACCGTGGTTTGATCTCAATATTGCAGCACGAGTTCTTGAAGAGAATTGTAGACCCTTGAGGTCAAAAACATAGTATTCGTGTAGTGGCTTTCCATTGGAATTTTTTCGGATTACAGTTGTCCATACGAACTCGTGAAACTCGAGCCTCAACTCAGCCTTAAGTTCTGACTAATGTTAAAGGTAAGTTTGAGTATATACCATCGATACAATTCGACTCTTTTACACCTTTTCCTCCATCCTGTACAATAAAATTGGAGTTTCCGTCAATGGCGGCCGAAAAATCCTAGGGGGAGGGCCCAGTGGCACCAACCTCGCCACCTCTGCGACCCGTTCGGCAGTCCCCGAGGTCCGTTGTTTCACACATATTACTCATTATAATCTTCGCCCAGCTACTTTTGCGAATGGTGGATGTTCTATATACTAAAATATGCTATCGTAATACATATTAATATGCTGAACTACTCGAGAGGCCGCGTAACCTAGAGAAAAATACATATACCAACTGTCATCCGCGCAGATGTCATCCGTGCGGATTGACCATCCGTGGATATTCTTCCCACGGATCTCTGGATGCATCCGGATGCATCCAGGGAAAGCCCTGGATTGCACGGGAGTTGGTGGCGTGGGAGTCATGTTCTTCAACAGGAGCCACGGAAAAAGCCGGAAAAGTCACCGCGTCTCGTACCGGGCGGGAAATCCATTCCAAGTTCCTTCTTGACTCGGACGTCGACGGAACGCCGCTCGCTCAAAGTTTTCAATCGCAAAAGAGGCATTGGTTTTGCTTGTTTCTACTTGCCCATCACGAATCCCTGTGAGTACTACCACCCATGACCTAGGATCTGCAATATCGTCAGACTTGCAACCTGATTTCGATTCTTGGGCCACATCCATCGGTCTCGATTGTTCAGGAACACAAGCTGCAATTTCGAGGCACATATCGATGCCGTCTCACTGGTATTCGACCATAACTGACGCGGTACCGGCTTTTATCCGTTCCTAGTGTCAATCATCATGTCCGCACCTCGCAGAGTTCTCATGCTTCACGGGTTCGTACATGTTTGACGCCACACGTATCGAGCTACTATTGATTGTCTTTCCGACAGCTACACGCAGAATGCGTCCATCTTCAGCAAACGGGTAAGCCATTCTCGAAATCGTGAAACGATGTCATTCTAGACGTCGAACCTCTCCCGTAGGTCGCCGCCCTCCGTAAATCATGTTCCAAAGACATCGAATTTGGTACGCATGTCGGCGAAATCACCAACCACCTCTTTTTCAACACCGACTCACACTGTCACTTTTCAATTCATGTGTATCAGTATTCGTTGATGCACCAGTAATCCTCTACCCCGTCGACCTCGCGAATACCTTCTCCGACCCCAATAACCCCGACACCACAAACTCACTCGCCGCATACGGGTCTGCCGAAGCCGCCGACGCGGATAAGACAGACGATCCAACGCTGACCCCGAGGGCGTGGTGGAAGACTAATTGGGACAGGACGTCAACTGATGGGCTGGAAGAGAGCATCGAGTTTTTGAAGGGGGTGTTGACGAAGGGACCGAGGTTTGATGTAAGCTCATCGTACTCTTAGCCAGAGTTTTTGTCCGTGTGGTTCTAGGATGCATGTTAACGGAGACGTATGATTCAAAGGGCATCTTTGGGTTCAGGTACGCGCATTTTGTTATTAGTATATTTTGGTGACAAATGTTTACTGAGTGACGATCTAGTCAAGGTGCAGCGATGGCTGTTATCCTCGCTACTTTGGTATAATTTTATTCTCACCATTTCCGACGAGAGGCTTGTTTAACTCTGTGTCGCAGCTAGAAAAGCCTGAGACCTATCCATCTTTCCTGGTCGATGGTCAACCACCGCATCCCCCCTTGTAAGCTTCATCTCGTTTCGTGCCGTTTTGCCTCCATTATTTTCGTAACTGATTATGTCCCTACTCCACATCCCTAGCTCATTTTGTGTATCTATCTCTGGCTTCGTTCCCCCTGGTCCCATCTGTGCCTCGCTTCTCACTCCTTCTGCACCGTATACGACACCTACATTACATGTAATGGGAAAGAACGACATCCTAGTGGTCGAAGAGAGATCGAAAGCATTATTGGAAGTGTCTGCAAAGAAGAGGGTGGAGGTGCATGACGGCGGTTTGTCCCATCTCTCTACACTTCTTATCATTATATATTCTTTTATTCGTATTTTCATATCCACATCATTTCGTCGGAATTCGTTTCTTGTTTTTCTTCTTCTCGCTCTTTGTATTTATTTATTTTTGATCACGTGCACGTGGACGCCCAACAGGTCACTTCGTACCCTCCAAAGCAAACTGGCGCAACTTCTTCAAAGCATACCTCAAACAAGCCCCCGCAGATGACGAAGTCCCGAGCCCCAGCCCTGGGCCCTCCGACTCTGCCGCCGTGACATCGTCAGGTAGCGGAACGGTTACGCCCGCGTTGTAAGGAAGTCAGAAGTTAGCGCCTGGGATTGTACTGTGGGGGGTGTTTCGTGAGGCGTGAGTGGGTTGGGTGAGATGGGTGCTATGCGATAGGTAGGGTGAAATACGAGGGGTTTGGGGTGATATTGGAGATAAGAAATGGGACATGGGAGGATTTGGATGTGGTGAGCGGCGGGTGAAGGTGAGGAGGCATGGTAGGTTCATCGGGAGCATACTCGTAAGTTACGGAACGAAGCCTACTTACACACCAACACCACACCCATCCACCCATCCATCTATCTTCCATCTATTATAGGGCATGTTTCGGGTAGATACTCGTATACTTACACTTATAGAACAGAAAAGGAAAGGCACCTTTAGAGCCGCTTTGATTGTGGAATTAACGGGGTGCTAGGAGTTGGTACATTGTTGTAGCCGATGTGGGAGATGCGCCTGTTTCTTTAGAAGTTTGGACCACCATAGACTGTAGGTATGGAAGCTATAAGCCCGAGTCTATCCGAATACAAGTCCGATCCCTGTAGGAGTCGAAATAATGACATACGAGGATGTAGAGACTCACGGGAAGACCGGGAGAAGAAGCTGATCCTTAGGCCTTGGGTCTCGGGAAAGGCAAGAAGTCGAAGTTCCTTCGTAACTGTTTCCGCTGCTGTGACGGTATGTCGGGAATGTTGGTGGGTGTTCTTGAAGCTGGCGGCACGTAGAATACGTAGGACGGTAGCAGTTGAGTACAGTGGGAAGGCGCAAACTCGTATTTGCACACTGTGATCGATGCTGGATATAGATCGCTCTGTCTGTGGCTTGCGCTTAGACTCGGCTTGGTCGTGTTTGGAACAATGCTGATGGTGGTGGGATATAGATGTATCGTTGATATACGTCAGTGTTGAGACGATGATCTTTGATGTACTTCCTGATTCTTCATGCGGTGGATTGGTGGATACAGAGACATTATTGTATGGGTGGGAGTGCCAGTAAATTGCCACAAAACATCTGATTATCTTCAACTTGACTCACTGGCCGTGGCTCTCCACAAGCTTAGAATTCTCGGATTCAAGTTCTCTGTATGCATACGAGACTCGTGAGTACGCATACGGCACGGATAAATCGCAAGCATCTGAATCAAGAAGTCTCGGATGAAATGAAAAGGCACCTCCCAGTTCATGGACATACATACGTCAGTGACGGACTCCGGTCTTGAGAAGATGATCTCCGCCACTGTAAGCCTAATGCTTCATGTGGAGATATATCCGTGAGTCGTAACTTGAATCAAAATAATCAAGATGAAGCTGGGAAATGTCTACAAAAGGGAATGTCCACGTACTTTTGCCAATAAGTGAAGGCCTATAAGCGGAACAAAGCATCGAAGAAGACTTGGGGGAAACTCCGTGCCATCCGATCGAAGAAGTTGGTCTGTGGGTATTCCTTTGAAGCCTCGAGGCTACCGACAGGCACTACTACGTCGTACTTGGATAGATGAAACTACATCCAGAGGTGCATTCATGCATGGATGGTTTCAGGGCGTGAATAATTAGCTGTGATCCTCCTTATGTGCCATTTTTGTCCTCTGCGTTTCGACTAGATCAAGTAGGGGGCGGCTTGCATTGTCAGTATTCAATGGGTTGAAATTTGATTGAAATTTGCTTCCTGAAGATCAAGAATTCAGGACGGGTGCCGCCATATGGGTGATCGACTTTTAACTTACTGTACATTTCTGCGGAATGACGATCATCGTCCCGGCCTTGGAGCTTTGAAATCTCGGCTTTTGATTGCTCCCAGTGAGAGCATGGAAGATGCGGCGTCCTACATCGTGAGACCTTGAGACCCTGCCGACGGTCGTACAGGCCACCAGCGAAATGCGACTCGGCGTATACACAGGATAAATCTGCGGCATGTCTTGAGTGAAATGAAAAAGACACCCTCCATTCCACACCTGTATCCACAAATAAAATCATGATGCCAATGACATGCATGAGACGAGTATGTATAATATTAGTATCAGAAACCCTCGCGAGAGTCAGTGTGGAGAGCATTCAGTGAAATGAACGCAGAACGCCCTACCGTGACTGCGAACACGAGGATCTCCTCTAGGTCTTCTCAACCGTCCTTCCCAGTCCCGAGTCTCGACACGTTCTTGAGTCCATATACTTCGACGCCGTTCCACGAGCAAATCCCGCTAACGCCAGCCATGGACCATTCCGAATGACAATGAGAAACTTCCACGAGACTTCGACGTCCCGCGTTCATTTCCGCTATGCTCGTTGGTTGGTAATGCTCAAGTACTGTATCCCCCTTCTCTCGTCGTGTACCTCGGTGAGATGAGATGAAGAAGTCGTCGGCGTGTTCCTTGGGGTTGAAGAGATGAACGAGGCGTGTTTCGTTGCATCCTGGATATGGGTGTGGGTATGGGTAGGGCATGGTATGACGAGATGGGGCGGGCGAGGCGAGGCGAGGCGAGGTCCTGGTGGTATATGTGAGGTGAGGCGGAAGGAACTTAAGAGGGAGGCGTGGACATTACACAGGATACGAGAGACAGGGCATGGGGAATGAAGGTTGAAGAGACGAGAAGAGGTGAGAGGGCGGGTCCCGGTGTGCGTAGTGGAGCAGCGCGCTCCTTATGTGCCCGCTAGCGCTAGCGCTAGCTCGACGTATTTGAGGAACAGTAATGGTGGAACCCGACGGCTTATGCGAAGATCGAAGGATTGGAATAGACAACGAATTATACAGCACGGGCTAAGGCCTGAACGACGCAGTAGCGCACCGGAATACCCTGCAGCTCGATGAAGAAGGCTTAGAGCTCGGAACGCCTTGGAAGTTCGAACGATCGGGGAGAAGTGGGTTAGGAAGCTCTTCATAATGCTTGCACAAAGAATGGAGAGCAAGTCTCGAGAGCTCGGACCGCCTTGGGGCTCATGAAGAAGAGGTCTCGTAACGCTTTGGAGACTAGGAGGAATGGAGAGGAAGCCTCGAGAGCGCGAACCTCCGAGTCTCTCAAGGTGTAGGCGTTAAGCGCAGGCATTGAATTAGCATGCAAGCATGTTCTCCATCTTCATCATGATCAGTGGACCTATGACGCCATCTAGACTACGCTCAGGGTTGAGAGGATTGAGCGGGCAGGGAAGAGATGTTGATATGATGGTTCGAAGGGGTTCAGAAGTCACCTAGAGTCACCAGAAGGATTAAAGGACGAGATAAAGAGGTGGTTCAGTGGTTAGTGGGTAGACTAACTCAGAAGATGCCCTAGTCATGATGGGCTCGGAGCTTCGAAGATCCCGCAATCAAGCTTCAGAGTCGACACCGTAAGGTATTCCCCTCCTTGTAGAGACTTGAGACATTGTTGTCTGAAGACTGGGTTTTGCCTCTTGGCTAGAAGGTAAGGCTGACCGTGATGAGGCCGCACAAACAGACAGACAAAACTAGACAAACTCCCCGAGGATTAGGGAGAGACTCCGGAAATGTGAACGTAAGTTGTCCGTCAGTCCATCATGATATCCGGGATGGGATCATAACAGCATCTATAGCCATGGAAAAACCAGGGGGACCATTCCCCACTACAGCGAGTCATCATGGTCCAGGAGGTACTACGGTCAAACAGACGAGACAATCTCGGAGATCTGGCAGATCCATGCAATGAAATGCTCGCCTGGTAAAGGCATGGGTCATGGACTCGTGGGTCCATGTATGTCCGGAAACATGAGCTCAGATGAGGGTATATTTGACCCTTGTACGTGGCGGATACGAGTCCGCTGGAGTCGTTATACTTAGAGGGTTCACGCTAAGATGTCCGAGTCGTGAGCAAGGATCTCGAAGAATCGGAACATGTGGTCCGTAGATGGTTAGGTTATATAAGGTTTGAAGAAGCAGGAATAGAAGACGGCAAGGTGGAAAAGGTGGGGGAGAGGGGGAAATCAGAAGCTGCTGGGTGTTTCTCGTAGAAGGGGTTGCCGGAAATGGTGAGTTCGTCGACACCATCGAACAGAGCAGGTCACCTCGTTTGAAAGGTCCGATTGAGCTCGCCGTCGCGTTGCGTGATGACCAGTGCCGTTGAACACGACGGAGAACAACGATGAGATGGAGAGAACATGGTTTGCAAGGCGATCGTTGTGGTGTTGACGAAGGAGCGCCTCAGGACGCGGCGTGACGGAGAAAAGGGGAAATACGTAATGTGACATGTGACGGTCACGCTGGGTTTATGGGATGCGCGTTTTGAGGCGGGCCACTGACGGTGCCCCTCCTTCTCCCTCAACCACCACCATCACCGGAAGCGCGTCGCACACAATGAACGCCTGGACGCCCCAGGAAGCCGGTCTCCGAGAAATTCTGCAGACAATTCACGAATCAACAGACACCCAGAACGTCGCAGTTCAACGAAACATCACACATGTACCGCTCATTTCCCCTTCATCTTCATTTCATACATCGCTCACAATCCCCACGTCTATCCTCACGCTCCACAGAAACTCAACAGCTTTACGCGTGTGCCAGACTACATCGCATATCTTGCCTACATCCTTTCTTCGTTACCTCAGGAGCAGGACAGAATCAGGACCATCGCAGGTTACCTCCTCAAGAATAATGCTTCCCTCATCCTCAGGTCGACCCCAGAGGTCGTCGAGTTCGTTAAAGCCGCCATCCTCCATGCTTTCGCCGATCCAAGCAGTATGATCAGGAATGCTGCCGGTCAGGATATCGTCACCTTTCTCGGCATCCTCGAGCCTAAGCGTTGGCCGGAGTGTTTGATGCAGTTGGTGGCTCTGCTGGACACAGAAGGCGAACAGCAAGAGGTACGTGTTTGCTTTTTCTTGCTGGTTTTTCTGCATACTCTCTCGGGTGGTGGGATGGCGCGACCGTCATTTGTACTTGAGATATCGCGTCAGCACGTTAGACGCGCTGATGTGTGGTGCCGCGTCCCGCGTCGAAGGACGTTTGTCAATGCGCTCGACAATCATCTCGATGGATACACCAGATCATAATGCATCTCGATGGCAATCCATCATTGTTGCTTGGCCTACAGTAACCGATCTCGTCGTTCGGCGATCCGTGACCTTGAATCATCTCTGATGTATCCTCGAACATAGCACTGCTCATGCAGTGAACAAGTGTCCTCGTACAATTGCCAGCAGTTTCTGGAGAACCTGACATGTGCGGGGTAAGTTTACATTTGTAATCCATCCTTGTCTGCACGGCACGCGTAACAGCCGTCAAAGATAATTACGTCCCATCCCGAAATAAGCGCTTTCCTCATCTCCTTGCAGTCAATTGTTACTCTTTTTTAAAATCTTCAGTGCGTACACAGACGTCATCTTTGACCTCAGGTCATCGTGTTTGTCTGTTAAATAGCCCTGACATCTGCCGTCAGAGCTGTCCGTCTTTGCCCGTAAATAACTCAGTGGACGACCGCTTCCTGCAATAGCACTGTGCCTGTCGAAATGATTAGAATAATCTCCACCCTATTTTGTGCTCTTATTCGAGATGACATCGGTGCTTGTTCGGCATTTCTACCACGCTCATGCTAGCACGCGTCTATTACCTTCATCTTACCATCCCAACCATCTCCCTCGTAAAATGAAGTCATCTGACCGCGTCTCAATCTCACATCACCGCCACTTTTGCTTCGTTGTCATCACAGGCCGCCTTCAACGCGCTCCAGAAAGCCTGCGAAGATTACCCTCGGAAACTCGACGTGGAAATCAACGGTCAATTCCCGCTCAACTTCATGATCCCGAAATTCCTCATGCTCACCGAACACCACAACTCGAAAATCCGATCCCACGCTATCGGCTGCCTCTCCTACTTCGTGCCCGTCTCCGCCCAGGCCCTCTACGCGCACATCGACACCTTCATCGCCTGTCTCTTCAAGCGCGCGTCGGATGACGACCCGCTCGTCCGACGCCACGTCTGTCAGGCTCTCGTGCTCCTATTGGCGAGCAGGCCGGACAAGGTGATGCCGGAGCTCGCGAGCGTCGCGGAGTACATGCTCTACTCGACGAAGGACAAGAACGAGCAGGTCGCGCTCGAGGCCTGCGAGTTTTGGCTGACGTTCGCGGAGGATCCGGATCTGGCGAATTATCTGCACCCATTGTTACCGAGAGTGGCACCGGTACTGTTGGATTGCATGATCTACTCCGAGGATGATCTTCTGTGGCTGGAAGGCGACGAGGAGGACGCGGCCGTCCCTGATAAAGAGACCGATATTAAGCCGCGGCATTACGGCGGCAAGTCGCATAACTTCGAGCGGGATGGTGCGGACGCGGCGAATGGTGGGGATGGGACAGGAGAGAAGAAGGGCGCATACGGGGAGGAGCAGATCGATTCGGATGACGAGTTCGAAGACGAAATTGATGACGATTTCGCGGAGGAGATGTCAACGGAGTGGAACCTCCGCAAGTGCGCGGCCGCGGCGCTGGACGTGCTCGCGGTCAGGTTTGGCCCGGATCTGTTGAATGTGTTGTTGGAGCCGTTGAAGGTGAAGTTGTGGGACCAGGATTGGATGCAGAGGGAGAGCGCGATCTTGGCGTTGGGGGCTGTGGCGGAAGGTGAGTTTCATTCTTGTTATTCTTTTTTGTTTAGCCTTTTTTTTGTGAGGCCTTGAGTCTGACTGGTTTTGAACCATTCTTGGGTCCGATTCTAGGCTGCATCGAGGCGATTGAGCCACATCTTCCGACGCTGATCCCATACTTGATCAGTACGTTGAACGACCCCAAAGTGAGTTGTTGACGGATTGCATCGTGCACGATCCCCAGAAAGCTGATTTATTCTTCCCTTTGCCCTCTTAACCACTCTTTTTCAGCCGTTGGTCAGGTCTATTACTTGTTGGACGCTCGGTCGTTACGCTAGCTGGTGCACAATAATCCCCAACGAGGAGCACAAGAATAGCTTCTTTGTGCCCACCATGGAGGGTGTACGTCAATTTTTTGATGTGTGAAGTCTGTATCACATGAATACTGACCCTCTATCGTATCTTCACCAGCTCCTCCGTATGGTCCTCGACAACAATAAACGCGTCCAAGAAGCCGGTTGCTCCGCCTTCGCCACACTCGAAGAAGACGCCGGTATGGAGCTCGCGCCTTACCTCGAGCCCGTCCTCCGCAACCTCGTGTTTGCGTTCGACAAGTACCAGCACAAGAATATGCTGATTCTTTATGATGCGGTCGGGACGTTGGCGGACGCGGTTGGCGGGGCCTTACAGAATCCGGTGTTCGTGGAGATTTTGATGCCACCATTGACCAAGAAGTGGGCGAAACTGAAGGACGATGATGAGGATTTGATTCCGCTGCTGGAGGTGCGTTTTTCTCCTCTGCTCCTGCACTCTTTAGTGGTCACTAAAGTAAATTTATTGGTTCGGTGTGGTGTAGTGTCTCGCATCTGTGACGATCGCAATGGGGCCCGCCTTCCTCCCTTACGCCGGCCCCGTATTCGACCGCTGCCTCATGATCGCCAAAACCTCAATCATGGCCTACCAAATGTACCAACAAAACCCCGAACTCGACGAGCCCGACAAGACCTTCCTCGTCGTCGCGCTCGATCTCCTCTCTGGGCTCACCCAAGGCCTCGGCATGGAACTCAAGCCCTTCATCGACCACGGCGACCCGAACCTCTTCCAGCTGCTGCAGGTCTGCTTGAAGCACCCGCAGGCGTCGGTCCGGCAGAGCGCGTACGCGCTGATTGGCGATCTGGCCATGGCGTGTTTCCCGCTTTTGAGGCCGCATATGCAGACGGTGATGCAGGATCTGATTATGCAGCTGGATCCGGAGCCAAAGGTGGAATTCATTAGTGCGTGTAACAATGCGGCGTGGTCGGTTGGGGAGGTTGCGTTGCGCTATGGACGTGGTATGTCCTTTCGTTCTCCTTTCCCTGGCCTGTTTGTGCTGATTTTCGCATCCAATAGACGATCCAGAGTTCCAGCAATACGTTAACCCGCTCATGACGCGTCTTGTCCCCATTCTCCTGCACCCGAAGGCCCCCCGCTCGCTGCACGAAAACGCAGCGGTGTCGATCGGGAGGATCGGGCTCGTTCATCCCGGGATGGTCGCGCCGCTGTTGCCCGAGTTTGCGCAGGCTTGGTGTCAGGCGTTGTACGAGATTAGGGACAACGAGGAGAAGGATTCTGCGTTTAGGGGGTTGTGTACGCTTGTGCAAGCGAATCCGATGGGGATCACGAAGGTGCGTTCTTCACCCTTTCATTCTCACAAGAAAATCAGCTAACGTATAGTTCGCCACGCGTACATAGAGCTTGATGTGGTTCTGCAACGCGATCGTGAGATGGAACTCGCCGTCCCCCGAGCTCAACCAGATGTTCCAGAACTTGTTGTCGAGCTTCAAGGCTCATGACGAACAAGGATGGGCGGCACAGCTTTCGACGTTCCCGCCTGCCATTCGGGAGGCGCTTCTGCAGCGTTACGGTGTTTGAGGTGGAAGGGCACGAGTGACGTGGGGTAGAATCGTTGATCGGCGATCAACCCTCTTGGCGGCCTTTGATCTTGGGTCTCCGGCCTTGTCTGTCTTTCTTGCTTGGTCGTGGTTGTGGGATAGGATGCGCGGGTTGTTGTCACGATTGCATGAAGTTCAAAAAAAAGTCGGAAAGGAAATACGAAATGTTTTGAATACTTGTCACGACCATTTTCTCACCTATGTCATGCCGTTCTTGTTCTTTCTGCCTCTTGTTCGTCTCCACTCTCACTCCCCATCCACGTCTGTCTGTGTCTTTGGTCTTCCGCTCTCAGGCTCTGTGGCTTCCTTCCGATTCTTACCTACCTATGATTCCAGTCCCGTTCGCGTTTTCGTATCCATCATCTTGTGCTCATAGCTCCAGCTACCCATCATATTTCTGAACCAGTTACTTACATACATACCTACGTACCTACGCACTCATCAGCATCTTTCACATTTCATTTCTCCCATTCGATGGCCTCTTGTTTTTCTGTTGTTGTTTGGATGGTTTCCTTTTGACTCTGTTTTTGTTTGAGTACTATACTGGTCGTGTTACTGTACCTGTCTCGTCATTTGTCTTTGTTCTCGTTCGTCCGCGTCTTTGAATTTGCTTTCATTCGAACTCCTTTTATCGTTCCACTCACTCATCCACCCTTCACCCCCCTTGACATCCTTCTTATCCTTCAACTGCATCCAACCCTTTCGGCGTCTTACCCACCTTTCAACTTCTCTACGCCAGCCTTTCTTTCAATCTGAGGCCATCTATTTTTTTTTGTAGCTACAGTACTTACATACGATACCTTCATACCACGCCACTTCCAATCCCTGCAATATTTTTCGTGTTCTTCGTTCGGCTTTTGTATACTTGCATTCAGTAGTGTTATATACATACGACACGATCTCGTTACGGTACCAACAGCAATATCAAGTTCTCGCCTCACGGTCTTACCCATTACAATAGGAGGGTTAGCCCTCGAAGTAAGCTTGGAATTGGGAGAAGATTTCGTTTGAAGTCTTGATGGGCCACGGACAGCACAGCCTCACTCTTCCATCTCAAAGTAAGCTCGACAATTTTTGGCTCCTTTCCTCTGTTCACGTACTCCTTTATTTATTGCTCTCACGATTAGGGACATTTGACTGGATCATCCAGGGTTTTACAACCAATACGCGGTAGCTTGAAGAGGTAACGGTTTTCTGAACATAAGACGAAATGACACTGATTGGGTTCCTTCTTTGTTCACCGATCAGGTCTGGATTTTCCCGGAGCCGGCTAATTGGCTGTCGGTATGCATCGCTTACTTCTTTGCCGGTCTCTCCGCGTACTTGAATATTGCAGCATTCCATCATATCCCTTCCTCAAATAACTCATTCCCATGCTTCTCAGGCGACTCGATACGTCCGAGCCCACCGAGCTCTGGGAAGTATTGGGTGCTGCATCGATCAAGACAGTATCTATTACTTCATGGTCTGGGCGACGAGCTTGTCTTCTGACGTCTCTTGGACCTCTTGCTTCCATATTCTGTGCGAAAACCGTCCTGAAAAGCCGATCCCAGTCGGGATTTTTCATCGCAAAGCTGTCAGCGGTACCCGACGATATATTTATGCAGCAACGAGTGCGCTTTGAGCGCACTATACTGCTGCGACCTCGTCATAGCGTGCTGGTCAACGGGAGCAGAGGCCCTACCACTCCGTTGCTTCTATTCTCAGGAATACATTATAAGAAGAGACCTTCGGGTTGTATGAGACTCACCAAGCTCTCCACGACTTTAGATCGACTACGATGGAAGAGACTATTGTTAGTATACTCCCAGCACAATTTCCTACCACAGTCCAATTAGGCAGCGGTATTGTCGGCCTCCTTGTCGTAGTACTCGCCTCACAAGTATACTCAGCTCGTCGCAGAAATGTATGTCCCACGCACATTTTTGCTCCCGCTTGTAAATCTTACCTTATAACACTGATTTACTCCCCGATAGGTGAATGTGCCCATGATTGGCAAGTCCTCGTGGCTTGGGTGCCTCATCCCCGCCTTCGATGCTCCCAGCTTGAACGCGTGCAGATCCGTCCTGATCGAGGGATCCTCCAGAGTAAGTTCTTCTGTTCCCTCCAAAAATCATTATACGCTCGATAGCTTCTTATCAACTCGACACGTTGTTCCCAGTACCCAAATGGATGGTTCAAGATGCGATTGTTCCCCTTTGGGACAACCGCTGTAGCCAATGGTCCTGCGCTCATAAACGAGTTACGCAATGCTCCGGATGATGCATTCTCCTTTGCGGAATTCGCTGACAAGGCACGTACCAGAGTCATCCTTGTTATGTGGTTCAGTCTCACAGCCCACTCAATGTCCGGTGAAGATGGCTGACTGTGTTTCGACATGAGTAGGTTCTCCAAATAGGCTACACAATCTCCCCTGCCCTCAAAGAGTCGCGCTACCACGTTCCCATCGTCCGAACAACTCTTACTCGTAATCTAGCCGGTCTCTTTCCCGATCTTCTTGACGAGATGAACTCTGCGTTCAAGGAATCCATTTTCAACCTTGATGGGCTGAAAGATGGAGAGTGGAAGAGTATTCCCGTACACAGGAATATCATGGAATTGGTGTGCAGGACGACGAACAGATTGGTCGTTGGCGCGCCGCTCTGTAGGTCTCTTCATGTCGAGACGTCTGAGTCAGTTCCTTATTGAGTGATTGGATCCAATTAAATTTAGGTCGAAACAAGGAATATCGCGACTTGATCATCAACTTTACGATCGATGTTGCCAAATCAAGCATGTTTATCAACCTCTTTCCAACCTTCCTTCACCCGTACGTGTTTCTCCCTTCGTTTATATTCCCAGACACACTTAGGCCATACAAACTCACCGTCCGAAACTCTTACAGTATCGTAGGTCCAATACTCTCCCAAACAAACAAGACCCAACGGAAGATGCTTCGTCTCGCTGGGCCTCTTATCGAGGAGCGTAAGGTCAAGTTGGCTGCGGACAAGAACTATGCAGACAAGCCGGTCTGTAATCTCGCCGACTACAATGTTTGTACTCCAATCGGTTGTGCTGATAAGCTGGTCTACCTATCAGAACGACTATTTGACGTGGATCCTCGAAGACGCGCCTCCTGGCTTCGAGCAGACGACCGAAGGCTGGGCCATTCGTCTTCTCCAGATGAACTTCGCCGCTATTCATACATCTAGCGCTGTAAATATGCTCTCAGTCTAAGTATACATCGCAACATGCTCACCAGGTTCATCGTCGCAGACTTTCACTCATGCGATATTCCATCTCGCAACTCAACCTGAATATATGGCCGTCCTGCGGGAAGAGATCGATACCGTCATTGAGAGTGACGGGTGGTCGAAGGCGAGCATGCAGAAGATGAAGCGACTGGACAGTTTTTTGAGGGAGAGCTCAAGGCTCAATGCTATTATTCTCAGTGCGTTATAATCATATGTCCTCTAAACATTTACCCTCTATATTGATATCCCACGTATTTCCAGCTTCGCTCAACCGTTTTGCTCTGCGCGACTATACCTTTCAAGATGGGACGTTCATCCCTAAAGGTAACTTCGTCACTGCCTCTCTCTACTCCCTTCACATGGACGACGAGAACTACGAGGATGCGAAGGTATTCAAACCGTGGAGGTTCGTAGAAATGAGAGAAAACGGGGAAGAGGGAGAAAGTGTGAAGCATCAGTTCACGAACACAAGCGTGGAGTATTTGTCCTTTGGATTGGGAAAACATGCTTGGTGAGTCATAAGCGTCAATAATTCTGATGAAAGAGATTTGACTGGTTTGTGCACCTGACTTATCTAGTCCCGGTCGATTTTTCGCGGCGAACGAGATCAAGGCGATGATGTGCTATCTTGTGCAGAACTTTGATGTCAAGCTTCCGGACGGCGTCACAGAACGTCCAACGAACCAGTATTTTGGAACATCTGTGACACCTAACCAGACGGCAGAAGTCATGTTCAGTCGAAGGAAGAGGGTCTGAGTAGCAGGGACAACTGGTCGTACCTGGGCTGTGCTTAGGTTCCCATTATGCATGGTTTGACTTGGATGTTGTCATGTTTTGCTCTGTATGGCTTTGCTATCTGCTAGTTCTACCAGTAGTATACCCGATCCGTGTCGAATGTACCGCAATTTCCAGCTATGTAGTCGTTATGGGCCTTGTATGGGCCACACAGAACGCCACATATTCGATTTTGCCTGCTCACGTGGCAGGCGCATCTGAATTTTCGCAAGTCAGACTTTTGAAAAGTTGAGTCGCCAAACGCCACACAACTCTCCTCATACACCCTTCAAGCAAGGACTGCTTGGCCTTTATACGCTCTTCGTGTCTTACTGCTATAAGGGTCCATATCATATAAAAGGGCTTAAATGAAGCAGGAAATGCTTTCCTCTTCCTCTTCGTCGGGATCTGACTCTGGTCATGAATCCGAACACGAAGAGATCCACAAGCTTACGATTAACGAGCACTTCGCCAAGGCATATGAATATCGGAAGGAGAGAGAAGAGCTGCAGAAGCGTGCGCATTGTTTTCCTCTCTCGTAGCCATCCTCGACTCATAATATCATTCTCTCTTTGGTTCATATTCCTCGCCACAGTGAAAGAGAAGTATGGCTCTGACTACGAGGAAGGCGATGAGGAAGCTCTCGACGACGACGATGAAGACTCGGAGTCTGACGAGAGCGAAGACGAGGATGGAGAGGAGTTGACTCCGGCCGTTGATGCTGCGATATTGAGAACCTTGGCGAGGATACGGAGGAAGGATCCTGGTATTTATGAGAGCGGGAGGGAGGTATTTACTGGTGCGTTCAAGAGTCTCCCCCGTTGTCATATTGTTTAAAACGATTGCTTGACATCTTAATATCATATTCTTTCTTGTAATGGTTCGTTGTCATCTGCTGTAGAGGAGCATGGCAAGTCGGGCAAGCTCGCCACAACAGTACCAAAACCTAAGGAGAAGGTCCGTACACGCTTCGTCTCTATCGAACTTTTCACGGAGACTTATGCGTATCGATATCCGGTATTCCTATAGACTTCAAAACCGCTAACTCTCCCCGCCCACCGCCTCGCCTCCATGCTTGAAACCTCCCGCTCACCCTCCCCTTCTGATGATGCCGACTCCTCCGCACCTCAACCCCTTACCCACATCGAAGAACAAGCCCGTCTCCGCGCAGAAACAATCTCAGCCTTCCACGCTGATCATTCACAAAAAGCCGACGTCGAAGAGGAAGAGGAAGAAGAAGAAGAGGGAGGTCTGTTCACGTTGCGAGCAAAGACGCAAGATGAAGTGAGAAGGGAAGAGGAGGTGTATCGGAAGTATCTGGAGAGGGAGTTGAGGGAGAGCGGTGTGGAAGGGCTGGAAGTGTTGAAAGGGCTGGTAGACATCGAGGAAGTCGAAGGAGGGGTGAAGAGAGAGCAAAATGAAGAAGAGGGGGAGAGGAAGAAGAAGAAGAAGGGGAAAAAGGAGAGGCAAGAGGAGAAAACGAAGGGTGGCAACGAGAGTAGAAAGGGGAAGGAGGAGAATGACCAAGAGTTTTTGATGAAGTGCGTGTGCTTCTCTTATTTTTGCTCCCAAAATACGTTCCTAGTGCTAGGCTGATGATGTCTTAAAGCTATATCCTCAACCGTGGTTGGATTGACCGTTCCTCCAAACGACTCCCGACATTCGACGAAATAACATCCACCAAACCGTCCAAATCCAAGTCCAAATCAAAAACATCAGCCAAGACTGAGAATGGTGATGACGACGAGGCCAAGGATGAAAGTGATGCTGAAGACACGAATGAGAACGATCTTATCGAGGACGAGGACGAATTTGAAGATGTCGTGGACGTCTTCGAGTCGTCTTACAATTTCCGCTTCGAGGAGCCGTACGTTTTTCCATCCCTGTGGCCCCATCTACCGCCATTCTGCTATCATATTCCGCCTTGTGTTCATTTTTCTCACCCACTACACATACAGTGACGCCCCACATATTCCCTCATTCCCCCGTAACGTCGATACTGTTCGACGCCCAGCACCTCATACCGAACGTCGCAAAGAAGCTCGTGAACGTCGAAAGGAGCGCAAGGAAGAAGAGTTGAAACAGAAAAGGGAAGATGTCAAGAGGCTGAAGGGACTGAAGATGAAAGAGATGAAGTCGAAACTCGAAATGATCGGGAAGGAGGGCGGGTGGAGAGGCGCCCAAGGTACCGTTTTCTTGGCCGTATCAGTTCAAAGTCGTCACTAATCATTTTCTGAGACACGTAGCACTCGAAAAGTTGGATTTGGAAGGTGACTGGGACTCGGCGGCATACGATGCTCAAATGCAAGCTATCCTTGCAGAAGTGGAAGGCAACATGGACGAGTCCGCAGACGTAGACGATGACAAACCGACATGGGATGACGATATTGACGTCGGCGATATTATGCCTCCTTCGGACAACGACGAGCCTGAAGCCGGTCCCAGTCAGAGAGAGACGGACAAGAAGAAGAAGAAGAAGAAGAAGGGGAAGGGCGGTGAGGATGTGGATGGTGGGGTTGATATGGACGAGATGGACGCGGAGAGGATGGACGTGGCTGGCGGAGACGGTGCGGGAGGGTGGGATGAAGAGGAGTGGGACGGGACGGAGGAGATGAGGAAGAGGGTGTTGGATAAGTATATGGATGAAATGTTGGGGCTGGAGTTCAATGATGTCGTATGTCCCTTATTCATCTTCTTGCATGCTATAACCGCCTTCCTGATTCTTGCACATCAAACGTAGGTCGCTGGCCAACCCACACGCTTCAAATACACAACGGTCGCGCCCTCGACGTACGCGCTCACACCTGCCGAAATTCTTCTGGCCTCCGATAAAGACTTGAACGAGTACATGGGCATCAAGAAGTACGCTCCATATCGCAAAGAAAAGGAGAGATGGGATCACAAGAGGGGAGAAAGGCTGAAGGAGTTCAAGACGAAGGTCAAGGCAAAGATGCCCAATGACGCTGATGCCGGCATGATCTTCGGTGGCGGTCATGATGGAGGCGAGCGGAAAGAGAAGAAGAGGAAGGGAAAGAAGGAGAGGATGAAGGAGAAGGCGGCGAAGGACGAAGGGATTGTTGATATGGAGGAGGGCGAGGGTGAGAACAAGCGTGAGAATGTGGCGGTCAATGGGGAGGGAAAATCACATAAGAAAGAGGGAAAGCGTAAGAGAGGGGAACCAGAGGAGGCTGCAGTACACGTGGATGCGAGTGGGCATGTAGGTGGAGAGAGCGAGCAGACGAAAAAGAAGCGCAGAAGGCATAAAAAGTCTGGGAAGGGCGATGGGATTGAGGTTGAGGTTTCATGAGGTCTGAGGGTATCTTTCTTGCCTATGTTGTCTGGATACTGACTTCCATCGATCATCATGGTAGCCATTCATATCAGAGTTCCCTTACACACCCGAGCAGGACCGCAATACTATTTGAGTGGCGGCGAGCATTGTTGCCGTAGTCCGAATATTCTTGCGGGAACACACGTCGTAAAGGCACCTTGCTATCACCGCAGGGGATGCTTACCCGTCTGAGACCTTGCTGCTTTGATCGCTGAGAGATTATGTGGCGTAGGAGTTTGGGCATCTCCAAGAAGCTCCGATCGTTCTAAAGATACCATTTTCGTCGTCCGGGACTGAAGTTGATAATGCCCCATCTATGGCGCGTAGACCTACGTCTCCCGCCCGCACCGACGTCGTGATCATGGGCAGCGACATGCAGGTCGTGTTGCTCCGCAAAACTAACAGGACGCTAAGCTCTTTTATCTATCTATTTTTCTCGTTCCAATGCCCTCTCCTCGCGGACTCGGAATAACGCGTTGTTCTTCGCTTCGTGTCGATCGGCTACTTCAAGATGGATTGTGGAGCACACGCGAAAGCTCTCAGCAGACGTGCGGAAGAAACGAGTTGCGGGTTCGTGGCAATATGGATGCCCTTGCCCGGGGACACGATACTGTGGTCAGTGGCAAGAGGCCCTGTTCCTATAGATGGTGCCGTCGCGCAGTGAAAAATGTAGCCATCCTACCTCAGGAACAGATGGGGATGCGCCTTGACCCATGCACGATTCAAGGGTGCTCATTCGCCACAGCTATCCTGTTGGGTAAGTCCATCGATATGCCCTGCTTCTTGCTACTCATGTACTGCCCACGCGGACTTAGTTCCCCTCGTGATTGCTGCATATAAAGCACGACCTTCGTCTGGCCCTATCCCACACCAACTGCACTTTCGTCGTGCGCCACACAAACTTACTTCACTCCCCGACTCCACTCTTCACAACACGACACTCATCAAACACCCGGTTGTAAACATGAACGGCAGCGCCCAGAAATCATCAGCGCAACTCGCAGACAGTCAGTATGCCGAAAGAACCAAGGCGCTATTGCAGGTCGTGAAGGAGCTTCGAGCGATGGGGTAGAGCATTATGTCCCAGCCACTATGTCTTCCATCTGCTGTGCTAATCATTCAGGACAGTGGCCAGGCCGTCGTCGACCTCCCTCGTATAGTGGTCATCGGAAACCAATCTGCAGGTGAGCGGCATGTCGAATTCAAGTGACCACCGCTCACGATATTCTTTTCAGGGAAGAGTAGTGTCGTCGAGGCCATTTCTGGCGTACGCGTCTTCTGCACACACTTACTTATTCCGTGTGTAATAATGGACCGTACCCTCAGATCAATGTTCCAAGAGATCCGGGAACGTGCACGAGATGTCCCATGGAATGCCGATTGACCTACTCCCCGGATTCGTGGTCCTGTCAAGTGTCTATCCGCTGGGAATTTGACTCTAATTTTCAGCCAGTGGTATGCTGACTCACCAATAAGTCGCCTCATGAAGCTAATTTTTTTCCTCTTCTCATCTACGCCTTGCTCAAAGTCAAGAGTGGCTGAAATTCCTTTCGGAGACTTGATCACAGACAAGAAGAACGTAGAGCTCGCCCTTCGCCGAGCCCAAACGGCAATCCTCAACCCATCCATCGAATCTCACAAGTTCTTGGCTATGACGGCGGATCAGTTGCGTAAAGGTGTTCAAGGCAGCAAACCCCTGCTCTTTTCCAAGAACGTCGTCTGTGTGGATCTACAGGGCCCCGACCTAACGGACCTTGCTTTCATTGATCTACCTGGTGAGTAGCGTTTCCGGACCTCAAATCAACCTATCCTCATCTCGAGAATACATTAGGTCTTATCCAAAACGCCGAGGACAAGCTCGTCAAGCTCGTCGAGGAGTTGGTCGTTAGTCACATCAGAGGCAACTCGTTGATCTTGGTCGCACTCCCCATGACCGGTAAGTTATAGTCCTTCTCGTGACATAGCATAGTTTTAATCGAGATATCATTTTTCTCCACAGATGATATCGACAATCAGAAGGCTCTGGCTTTGGCTCGGGAGGCGGACCCTCAGGGCAAACGTACCATCGGTACGTTTCATCCTTTAGTTTCCACCACAGGAAGTTCTGATCGAGTGCGCCCTCCAGGCGTTTTGACCAAGGTCGACGTTATCGCCAAGGGCTCGAAATCCCGTAGCCTCTGGCTCGATGTGATCGAAGGCCGAAGCAATCCTCTACTACACGGATACTACTGCACGCGACAGCCTGATGATGCAGAAAGGGAGGCCGGTATATCAGCTGAAGATGCGCGGCGCCACGAAATGTCTTTCTTCGAACAAGAAGCGCCATGGTCGACTTCCAGCAACAAGGGGCGATTTGGTATCCACAATTTGGTATCGAGGCTCAGCCCTCTACTCTCCCAAATCATCAAGAACACGTACGTCATTTCCATTGTGTTCCATGAACCATTTTCGACCTGCAGGGCACAGGCTCCCCAAAGTTGCTGCAGACGCGACTAGCCGGCTCGAGACCTGCGATGCTGCTCTCTCAGGCCTGCCACAACCTCTGGACACTGAACCAGCAACGTACATGCTCAGGTGATGTGTGATTGACAGTACCGGTCATTATGTATGACATGGCTGACTTCGGTAAATTCTGTAGCCTGATCACTGCACTTTGTGAAGACGTCAAGACTGTTGTGGAAGGTCTCCAGAAGAACCAATCCTTGGACACGAAGCTCATACAAGGGAACCGCAAGATTTACGCTGTCTTCAAAGACAATATCCGATCGACTTGTCCTAATTTCGCTCCTCGCAAGCGTAATGACAAAAATGTGAGTGACGTGTTTCAAAAATGTGCAAATGTTGACTTTGTGTTGGCAGGTCTCACCTGCTGACAAGTCCGATGGTGAGTCTGATGCCGAATCCGAAGACTCAGCAAACCCTCCGATATACCTGGACGATATGAGGTCCCACATAACGAAGTGAGCAGTGCTCCTTCCTCATCACTTAGCCGGACTAACCCGCATGATATTGTAGCTCAGTCAAACGGGAGTTGCCAAATAACGTTCCGTACGAGGCGAAGGTCAAGCTTATTGGAGAATTTCAAGACCAGTGGGGCGCAATGGCTTCGCAATGTCTGGACCGCGTGTGTAATGAGACGACTGCGGTACTTTTGCTTTGCGTCGACCGCACCTTTTCACGCTGGGACAGTCTACACTCTCAGATGCGGTATGGACAACCCTTCCGCCCACTCCATCATTTCTGAAGCGATCGCTCACCCGTGGCCCTATTCATCGACAGATTGCTCACCATGGAGTTGATTCAGTTTCATCTCTTTAGTTGCCGTTCCTTCGTAGACGCCACCCTTGAAGTCGAACGCATGCCGTATACTCAGAACACCCACTATCTGCAGTCGTCCGTGGACAAATGGCTCGCCAAATACAAGACTCAACGTAAGGAGGAGAATGCGAGCCCAGCCCTGGCGTTTGCTATGCCCGACTTTTCTCCTAATAGTAGGAAAGTCAATGGGTTCGACAAGTCAGATAATGCCAAGCAACAATTCATGAGAGAGGCGTTGGCAATTCTAGCACGCATCGGATATCCGGGCCTGAAAGAGGAGGACTTGGGCAGACTGAACGCTCCGGATGAGTACCAGACGGAACTTGATGTTATGGCAGAAGTGCGAGGATATTTCCAAGTAGCCTACAAGGTGAGTGGCATCATACACCTTTCGTGATAACCCATGCATCTGACTTTTGAGCGATCGCCTATGTAGAGAGTCATCGACAACGTTCCGTCTCTTATTGACCTCAAATTGGTCAACGGGTACGCTCTTGCCACACCTTGCGCCTCCGTCTTTCTGTTGACCCTAATGCACTCACTCCCTTAGCATCGCGAAGGATATTCAAAGCTTTCTTATCAAGCGTATGGAGTTGGGGACGCCAGAGGCACGCAAGCGGTGTGAGATGTTTTTCGCTGAGGATCCGAGCATAGTTGCACGACGTCAAGAGCTCCTCACACAGAAGGAGAAGTTAGACATGGTGAAGGTGAAACTGTATGACTGTGGGTTTTGAATATGCATGTGCTATAGGATACTAGCTATAGACGATACATAGGGACTTTGGCAGTTGATGTAGCAGTGATATCTTACAGTATTATGTTGCATCGCAGCTTGATCGGATCAGCACGCACTTCAAGTACTTACGTGTTTTGTGCCACATTCTCGTTTTCTTACTGTGCCACCGAGTGGTAAACCGGAATCGGAGTTCATATTCCTTTCACGACCGGTTCGAGCGCGACTTGAACACGACTGCGACAAGATAACCCGTCGACTGTCAGTTTGAAACATTGATATTCTGTTTCAAACTCTCTTGGAGCATGCATGACTTCACTGACCATCCAGATGCCTTTACATGGTCGTGGTACTCCAGAAGTCCCTCCCTCAACTGAGTCAACTCCGGTCACCCTTGACTTGCCCTTGACACACATCACAACTTCACCCTCACGAGGTAAAGGTTCCCGATGACGGTGATGCATTTACGCCATATAGTGAGGAGGCCAGCGAGTGGAGTAGAATCAGAAGGAGAGCATGCGGGAGATGACGGGAAAAGTGAGCGGGGATGTCAACATTGAGGCGGGTGTGAGAAGGGAAGGAAGAGTCGTATCAGAAGAGTAGGAAGCGGAACTTCGTAGGCGCTGGTAACTTCTACATGACGTTGTTCCCCGTCGATGGAAGGAGGCGGAGCGGCGAAAAAAGAAACATGGGCAGGGTTTCAAGGTCCCAGGCGGACAAAATATCTCGCGTGCGAGATGCCATTTTGGCACCCGATACTCACCCTATTTGGTGAACCTACCTCATTGGCGGGTGTTTTCCCACACAAAATTCGATTTGGAACTCAAACTCGTTTTCAAACTCGTTCTCGACCTCAGAATTCGTTGGGAATCGTCTCGCCGGCCGATCAGTGCGCGGTGAGATGCAAAATGGGCAGTTGCATCTCCGAAAGGGACCCTCACGCCAGCCGACCCCAGGAGACGCAAAAGAAAAACAAAAACAAAAACAAAAGAAAAGAAAAGAAAAGAAAAGAAAAGAATCATAATAATGTCCCGGTGGCCAATATCCTGCCTCCAGCATTGAGTCACCTGAAACTCTCGTCTTTATTAGTTGATGCACCTCCATGGCTGCAACAGGCTCTCCTGTTGGGTATAGACACCTTCGCCACCTGAAGTACACCTGAAGTGCCGCGCCTCTGGAGTTCGAAAAGTCCGCCTATAGGCCTATAGCGGGCAATTCTTTCCCCGACTGGCGAGGGTATGTCTGCAGGGTCCTAAAGTCTTGCACACTCTCTTTGTATCAATTGGCACATATAACTGATATTCAGTGGAGTGCCTTACGCTTTAAAGGCATACACGGGCAATACATGCGCCACAGTGGCTACAAGGACAAGATGTGGCCCCGGCAACCGGCACCTTTGATGCCCAATATGGGACACTGGTGGCCCCATCGGGCACTAGTCTCCCACAGGCGGACCTTGGTGTTGAAGACAGGACGTTCAACGTGTCAAGTCGGGCACTCTCCATCCCTGTATGGCCTTTCAAGCTGGGAGTTTTAGTAGTATAAATGAGTTTTGAAAACGAGAATGAGTTCTGACAATGAAAACGAGTTTTTGGCATCAAGAACGAGTTGAATATGGAAATGATGGTTCGGTTTCTGTCAAAAGTGCGAGAACGTCCCGATTTGATTAAAAACCGGTCCGGAAACCACTGTTCTCATGCGAATAATTTTGTCCGGTGAGGACATAGCAGGGTGAGCTTGAATTTAGGTGGTTCATAAATTTCATTTGGTCTTGTTCGGAGGCCAACTCACCTAACTCTTTTGTCAGGATCATCCTGGTATGACGTGGCTTTCGATCTTGAATGATACAAAGCCGCCACATTATCTCTTTTTGGGCGTTATTTGGCCCTTTCTTTCGAGTTAGCATGCCCGACTCCGCACACACTTCGTCGATTCATCGAGTCACCATCACGACGAACATTCGACATCCTGTCATTGAACTGAAGACCTAATCTTATGTGACAGTCTTTCGACGGGGAAGTCCTCCACGAGCTTGAAAACAATATAGCGCCACCTAAACACGGGCGACGAGTGAATTATTTTGATATTGTCCCGAAATCCCTCATCAGATTTCTGCACTGTTCACTCCATTTGGCCTGCCACGAGCTGTTCGTTCTACATGTTTCGGGGTTTCCCCTTTGCAGTGATCCTCGCCACTGGAATTTTCAGTTATGCATTGGGACGTTTCCTGCACTGCGACCCATAAAAGCGACTCATTACGCCTTCAACTCCTCGTATTCCCCCTGACCCCACGTTCATAACTTCAGCGGATTACTCAATTTTCCCACACACCTTAGCCCATGATGGATGACTCAAATGGCGTTCTCGCCGAGAGTCAATATGCCGAAAGGACGAAGGCATTATTGCAGGTTGTAAAAGAGCTGCGAGCGATGGGGTGACTTCGTCTGTTTCACTCATCACTGTGTTCACAAAACTGATTCTATCAAACAGAGGACAAGCTGTGGTCGACCTCCCACGGATCGTAGTCATTGGGAACCAGTCCGCAGGTAAGTCTTTCTTTACTCGTTGACATCTGTGATATTTATGCTGGATATAGGGAAGAGTAGCGTAGTTGAAGCTATCTCGGGGGTTTGTGTCCATCTTCTTCTTCCTCTTCATATTAGTGCTTCCTGCGAAGTTAAACTGTATCTCCCCTGGGGTCGTTCAGATACACGTACCGCGAGACCCAGGGACTTGTACAAGATGCCCTATGGAGTGTCGCCTTACATACTCGCCTGACGTTTGGTCATGCCAGGTTTCTATCCGTTGGGAATTTGACTCAAACCTACAGCTTCTCGTACGTCCTCTAAGAATCACCCCTTGCCATCCTCTCAGGCTGTTCTGAAACAATTTTTACTCGCTCCTTAGGCCGAGGTCACAGAGATCCCGTTCGGAGATATCATCGCGAAGAAGGACGAAGTGGAACTAGCTCTCCGCCGAGCTCAAGTAGCGATCCTGAACCCTACGATTGAGTCGCATAAGTTCCTAGGAATGTCAGCCGAGCAGTTGAGGAAGGGTATTCAAGGCAGCAAACCGATGCTCTTCTCCAAGAACGTAGTTTGCGTCGATCTGCAAGGCCCTGACTTGACTGATCTGGCGTTCATTGACTTGCCGGGTATGTACCATTGTGCAGGACATTCGTTACATGAATCACTGACAGAGATATCGGTCTTTTCTCAGGTCTTATCCAGAATGCCGAGGATAAACTTGTCAGGCTTGTCGAGGAGCTTGTTGTCAACCACATCAAAGGAAACTCTTTGATCTTAGTCGCTCTTCCGATGACGGGTACGATTTTCGGTAGTCGCGTAATTATCATGTTACTGATTGCGATTACAGATGACATCGACAATCAGAAGGCTCTCGCTTTGGCTCGCGAAGCAGATCCCGCGGGAAAACGCACCATAGGTAGCACATCTTTGTTTGTTCACCCCGAATCGAGCACTTTAGTAATGACCCCGTGATATTCTTTGCTAGGTGTCCTCACGAAGGTAGACGTCATCGCAAAAGGCTCCAAATCACGCAGTATATGGCTCGATGTCATTGAAGGCCGAAGCAACCCCCTACTTCACGGATATTACTGCACCCGCCAGCCCGATGATGCAGAACGGGAGGCCGGAATCACCACCGAAGAAGCACGAGAGAATGAGATGGCATTCTTCGATACTGAGGCTCCTTGGTCGACTACCTCACACAAGGGCCGGTTTGGAATGTATAACCTGGTAGCAAGACTTAGTCCTCTGTTGTCTCAGATTATCAAGAATACGTACGGTCTCTGCAATGCTCTCGGTCAATAAAGCGAACCTGATCACGTACTTGCCCCTGTCATAATAGTCTTCCGAAGGTGGCTGCAGATGCTACCAGCCGGTGGGAGGCCTGTAATAGTGCCCTCTCTGACCTTCCGGCCCCTCTGGACTCGGATCAAGTCACTGTTATGCTGAGGTGAGTATCTCCGATAGGTCATAGGATATATCGTGGCGCCTGATTCAGCATTTTGCAGCCTTATCACATCCCTGTGTACCGAAGTCAAAATAGTCGTCGAAGGGCTCCAGAAATCCAAATCCAACGATTCCCAGCTCATTCAAGGAAATCGCAGTGCGTATGCAATCTTTAAGGACAAGATACAGTCAACTTGCCCTGAGTTCGCGCCCCGACTACGATCCGAAGTAACGACAGACCAAGTGGACTCTGGCGGAAGTTCTGTGAACGCACCATTGACAGGAGTCATGTACTTGGATGATATGAGAACTTACATCAGGAGGTAGATTGTCGTCTAATGTCTCTGTCGGAATGACGCTTATTATTCGTGATCATATAGCTCGGTCAAGCGCGAACTGCCCAATAATGTCCCTTACCCCGCTAAGGTCAGGCTCATCGAAGACTTTCAGGATAAATGGGCCGGAATGGCCACCGAGTGCTTGGAGGTTGTCTGTCGCGAGACGACTGAGTGTCTACTGGCTTGTGTAGACAGCATCTTCGGGCGCTGGGAAAACCTACATATGCAAATGCGGTGAGTACAATACCCTTTATTTCCTATCAGATACCCAAGCATCTCACCTGTGTTTGTGATATAAGATCCCTTGCCCTTGAGCTCATTCAGAAGCACCTAGAAACCTCTCGTGCTTTTGTCGACGCTATGCTGGAAGTCGAACGCATGCCATTTACACAGAATACTCATTACCTGCAGAGTCAAGAAGACGAATGGCGTGCGAAGTACAAGAATGAGCGTCTTCCGGATGCAGACTCAGATGTCGATGAGGATGATATCAACGAGGCACTTTCGATTTTGGCTCGCGTTGGACATGCTGGGCTGAAGGAGGAGGATCTTGGCAGGCTGCATGCAGCCGACGAATATCAGACGGAGATGGACGTCATGGCCGAGGTCAGAGGATACTTCCAGGTGTCGTACAAGGTATTCACCATATCGCCGTGTCGTCATCGCATCACACTGACATTATCTTCCCCTGCAGAGGATAATCGACAATGTACCTTCCTTGATTGACCTCAAGCATGTATTTATATTCATTTTGTAGTTCGCCACTCAATGGATGTTTCGCTCCTCGTAGATGATATTGATAACCAGAGGGCTGTGGCTCTCGCTCGGGAAGCTGACCCAAAAGGAGAGCGAACCATAGGTTTGTCCCCTATTTGATCTGCTCGTCAACCTACGCCTCATGAAGCGGACGTTCTATTGCCACAGGAGTGTTCACAAAGCCAGACGTCATTGGAAAGGGATCCAAGTCCAAAGACATATTCCTAGATATCATCGAGGGTCGCCTGCGCCCTCTCCGACATGGCTACTATTGTACTCGACAGCCTGACGATAGCGAGCGAGAGAGCGGTATTACACCTGATGAAGCCCGACAATACGAGGCTGAGTTCTTTCGGTCCACTGCGCCGTGGTCGACGTCTTCGCAGCAACAGCGATTCGGTGTCAAGAACCTTTTGTCCACCCTCAGTCCTTTACTGTTGCAGATTATCAAGCAAACGTAAGTGGCAACCCACCATAGACAGATTTTTGATCTAAGGACTCGCATAGACTTCCAAAAGTTAGTGACGAAGCGTCAAAGCGCCTCTCGGCTTGTAACGACGAGCTTGCCAAACTCCCGCCGCCTCTTCCTTCTGAACCGGCCATATACATGCTGAGGTGACTACTATGCAGCTATCCTACCTTGACAGTATCTGACTACGGCTCGACAACAGCCTCATCACGTCACTCTGCTCTGATGTCAAACGCCTCGTCGAAGGCTCCTCTGGTGAAGATTCCTCAGGCCTCAACCTCGTCCAGAACAATATCAGGCTGTTTTCCGAGTTTAAAGACGCGATCAAAGGAACGTGCCCGGAGTTCCTCGCCCAGCGACGTTGTCTGTTCCTGACCGAAGATGCCAACCTTGCGGGAAAAGCACTGACTTGTCCCATGCATTTGGATGACATGAAGACGTATATTGACAAGTCTGTCTCTCAAGTATCTTTAGAAATATCTGGATCCTGATCTTTCCTCATGCGCATGATACAGCTCTGTCGCTCGCGAGCTCCCCGACAACGTCCCATATGCAGCTAAACTGAAGTTGATTCGGCAGTGCCAGCAGAGATGGAAACATCTCGCTGAAGAGTGTCTGAAGGCTGTTCGTACCAATATCCTCGACGTTATTTTGGAACAAGTACAAGGTCATTTCGAGCGATGGGATAATTTGCACTCACTGGTCCGGTAGGTCATACGTCACTACCTTTGTCTTATATAGGCCTTTCATGCTCACGTTCGACAGATCCCTCGTGACTGACTTGGTGGACGAGCATCTTACAATCTGCCAGGATGCCGTCGATTCACATATGGATGCAGAACGAATGCCGTACACCCAGAACAATCATTATCTCCAAACAGCTAAGGAGAAGTGGCTCTCGAGATACAAGGCCGATCGAGCTGCAGACCAAGGAAGTTCCAGCATAACCACGAAAACCGCACCAACGGCACCAACCACGACGGCTTCCTTCAAGCTGTTCAACAATCCACCTCAAACAGCGAATGGCGCCGCTCCTTCGAAGAAAGGTTTCACCCCTTCCGGAGGCGCCGTCAACGCATTCTCATCCATCACACCTCAGTCCGGATCGGCCTTCTCGTCGCCGCCCCCGCCATTCTTCTTCGGCAACGGAAGTTCTTCTACGACACCAACACCAGCAGCTTCCGCAGGGCAATCTCCCGCTCCGGCTCCTCTGTCTGCGGAGAAGGAAGAGAAAATGCGGCAAGCTATAGCGTTACTTACTAGCGCCGGATACGAAGGTTTGAAGGTGGAGGATCTCGGGAAGTTGCACCCGCCCGACATATATGAGAGAGAGATGGACGTGATGGCGGAGGTGCGAGGGTACTTCCAGGTATCATACAAGGTGTGCACGGAGCCTTCTTTAGTTTGTCTGGGAGGCTGATGCATTGCTGTACAGAGGGTCATAGACGTCGTGCCCATGACGATTGACCTGAAACTCGTTCATGGGTGAGCTGGCATCCGTCTCTTCGACATGTTATTTGTTCTTACTCTTCTCTCGTTAGCGTCATGCACGACATGCAGAATTTCCTGATACAGCGTATGGAGCTAGGTGCCACTCAGGAAGCGGCTGAGCGTTGTGAACGGTATTTGGCCGACGATCCGAGTGTGATTAGTCGCAGGCAAGAGCTTACGGCGCACAAGGAGAAGCTAGAAAAGGTCAAAGCCAAGCTGTATAGCTTTGGTATCTAGTCGACCTTTGTTCAGGTCTCCGTCATGTGCTTCGGATTTATCTCATTCTGTTATCGCACTGCTGTCGTTGCTAACGATGTTTGCGCATGATGTATCAGAACATGTAGTAGTAACCCTCATCTGTCCGACTCTCTGGTCACAAGATGCACGCAGCTCGTCATTGCTAGTGTCCGAATAGCATCGGTAGTTTCTGTCAATACTCGATCGAGAGCATCTTTAGTGTGAACCGTGGTCGAAAGGGGTAGGGATTCGTGCTCACAGATACATAAAACTATATATTTCTCTGGCCGGGAAAATGACACGGCCAGTCACAAATCGAGACGGTAAGTACAACAAACGAAACAAGAAATAACCCGAGTTACAGCGAACACGGGATGTATAACGCGTCGCGAAAGTGGTATAGAAAGTAGATCGAGACAAAGCCAGCAGGCCAAGAACGAGGTTAAATGGAAGTTGGGGGTCGCGGAGGGATAACAACAATGGCCAAGGGCAGAACTAGCATATTCGGGATAACACATGTGTACATATCAAGTCAGAAATCACTAGGAGGACATAGAAAGAGATTGAAAAATATCAAACGATCGCAAGCCAATTGCGGATTCGGTTCATACACCTGGTTCGTTCTTATTTACACCATCGTGCCAGCGAGAGGTAAGCCGCGATAGCTGATCAAACGACGTAGACGTTCTCGGTACGAAGGTCGTACTCCTTCAGGTTCTTGAAGTACTCAGTCCTCGCCCTCTTAGCTTCTTCTCTCTGCTAATGATAAGAAAAAATATCAGCTAAGCACTGCAGACGAAATGCTGCGACATAAACATACCTCCCGCACGTCTTCATCCGTACTAACATCCTGCTTCTTCTTCCGAGACCTGCTCCTACTCCCCTCGGACCTCGACCTTCCGCCTCGTCCACGGCTTCTGCCTGACACAGGTTTGCCCCTAGTGGTACTCCTGCCTCGAGCGCTTGCCTTGGAAGTAGGAGCTCTACTCCGGGACGCCTTACGCTTCGGCCTGTCTTCGTCTTCTTCGTCCTCATTGGCACTATCATCTGGTGCGTCGTCGTCATTGCGCCTTGTCTTGGAATTAGAAAGCCTGCTCGACCGTCGCTTTCCCTGGGGTTCCTCCTCCTCCTGCTCGTCATCCTCTTCCTCTTCGTCGTCGCTCGGCCCCCGAGTGATTGCCTTCCCCTTCCCTTTATGCCTCACCGGACTCTCCGACGGCATATCCATATCGAGAGGATTGAAGTCCGTAACCAAGTCCTCCATCATATCCTCATCAACCCTCCTCTTGACCGGACTTGGACTGTCCGCAACACTCGGTGTCCTGTCCCCAGAGAGGTCTACCTCAACATGACCGGAAATGCCAACATCTGATCCCGAATCTCCCTGGATCAACTCTTCTAGCCCTTCAAACGCGGCGTCGGGCTGTACATTCATCAACTCCACCATGACTGAACTGTCGACTTCGTTCGTATGCCGTCTACGCTTCCGCATAGTTACTTCAGTTTCGGGACGTTTACGGACTGTACGATCGACGTTGCGAGGTGTCATGACGGTGGATGGGATAGTTATAGTACGAGTCGAGCCAAGGAGGGCGATGGTGCCAGGGACCTGGGGTTGACTTTGACTATCGGGGCGAGATGGAGTAACGGGCACGGCGATGCGATGGCGAGATGGAGAGACGCTGCCTCGTCCTTGGCGAGACCGACGATGAGGCGTGCGAGGCCCAGCGGATTCGACGTCCTCGGGTATGAATTGGTTCTCGTCACCGCCTAGCTCGACTTTCTCCTCGTCGTCCTCCCGAGGTTGCTTGTTAGGCATCTTCAACAGATCTTCATCCATGTTTGGAAGATCAACAGCCGGCTGCGCATCACCATACAGATCATCGTCGCTGTCTTCGTACCCACCAGGCCATGCAGGTAGACCTTCACTCTCCACCACGGGCACACCAGACGCAACAGGCAACGAGTCGCTCCGCTCAACCTCGATGTTCCCAAACGGCTGACGCGTCTGGACCGGCGCAGCTGGAGGTGTAGGGACGCGTGGTACAGGTCCAGCGACGGCGGCTGAGCGCGAAGTCGCAGCGGATCCCGCTCGTCTTTTCTTCTTCAACCGAGCTTCAGCTGCGAAGAAGCCGAACGGATCGTCTTGAGTGGGAGTAGTTTCGCGGTGATGGCCTCGCGAGCGATGGCCGTGCCGGCGACGGGAAAGGCCAGCGTCACGGTCGAGGGCGGTGTAGCGAGGGCGTCGCGGGTCGAGCTGAACTTCGCGTTCATGGTTGTGTGAGCGGTTGATCGTTACGGCTGGGGAGCTGTGTGCGGGCGGTTGTTGGGCAGGATGATGGCGATGGGAATGATGCTCCGTCTGAGGATGGGGACGAGCATGAGTGCCAGGATGGGTCTGCCTTGGCTTCGCTGGTGGTGTCTTGGGAAGTGCCTCGTCGGCCATTGGAAGTTCATCCTCGACTTCCGTAGGGATCTGCTCGCCAACATCGCCCGGATCAACGTTATCGAAGTTGCCATAATCCTCGATGTACTCCTTCCCTTTATCAAACCCGACATACCGCGGCGCCTCAGCCTTTCTCGGGTCCGTCGCACTAGGTGGGTGGCTCGGGATCCTTGGCCTCAATACACCCCGATGGGCACCTCCACGGCGATTATGTGTGGGCGTGCGGAAATTGAGGTCCTGTTGAGTTGGCGTACGCGTTTCAACCCCTTCACCTGTGGGGGCGGTACGATCATGAGTGGGCGTGCGAAACGGCGGAGGGTCAGGATGGTTAAGAGGGTAGCCAGAGGGATCGAAGGCGTTCGCATTCTCGTTCTCCTTGTCAGAGTTGTGAGAGACCTGTGAACTGTGGAAAGGCGATGGTACTTCTGAGTTCTGCTCGTCAAGATCATCGGAGGGGAATGGCACGGCGTAGGGATCGTCCGGCTGGGGTCCAATGTCGAGATCGAAGTTCTCGTTCTCGTCGTCAGAGAATTCGAATTCGAGAGGCTCAGAGGGCTCTCTGGATGGGGCTTTCGCTTTACCCTTGCCTTTGTCTCGAGCCGGGGCCTGTGCCCCGATATCGACGTCTGACTCCCAAGGGATGCTTGTAGGCGAAGACGACCTCATGATAGTGACGGGCTCTCCGTTCTCGTCCAGTTCCACCTCCATATAATGATGACGATGAGACCGAGGGATGTGACCAGACTGGCCTTTGTCGTCCTCCTGGCCGTGAGACTTGGAAGCTATACCGGGTGAGTACAAGTTCTCCCGGACGAAAGCGAACTGATTATCCTTGTCCGAAGAGGGAACCTCCGAACCCGGATCTTGGTCTGTTGGTCTCTCCTGCGGCACATACTCGAGCTCATCGTCTGCTTCCTCGCCACGGCCGCGAGCGACCTCCAACTCTTCTTCGTCTTCATCTCCCGAAAATCCCAATCCGTCCGCAACAGCTCTATCGAGCTCGCTGTCATCGTACATCCTATTCCTCTTCTCGATAGGCTTTGGACTAGGCGTGCTTTCGTCGTCCGAATATGTTGGTGAGCTGGGAGGGAGAGACGTCTCCCTAACCTCATCGTTCTCCTCGGAGCCACTACCGTCGAAAAGAGCAGTGGGAGGGTCGATACCTGCTCCATCATGCGGAGAACGGTCGGTCGGGTAATGACGACCAGGACGAGGCTCCAGTTCGGCTTCTGTATTGGTGGCACGAATATGCGCTTCGTAGGAATCAGATGATGGTGTTTGAAGCCCTGTGGGAATGGTCGTAGCTGCGACTGGAGCTGGAGGTGGTTGCGGGGGAAGTTGGAGAGGGCCTGCATGATGATTGTTCGATGCAGCGACGTGAGCTGGAGCGGGGGCGGCAGCAGAGCGAGGAGCACGGGAAGTAGAGGGTTGCCGCTGGGAGGAAGCATGACGGTGCCGAGGGTGTTCATGGTGATGGTGTTCGTGTGGGGTCGGACTGGGGGCGTCGAGATAGATGGGTGGTGCACGCAGGGCACGGTTGACGGTTGAAAGTACGAGCGGGTGAACGGGACGGGGCGCTGGGGTTCGGAGCGCCTCAGGCTCTATTGCCGTGGTGCGAGTCGGTGTTGCGTCGCGCTGAGGAGTAAGGGAACCATCGTGTGACTGCTCCTCACCTTCGCCAGCCTCTGGTTCGGGCTTCGCTTTGGCCTTCACTTCATCCTTCCCTGTATCCTTCGCCTTCGCGGGGGGCCTGCCCCTCCGTCTCGGTTTCGTCTCGGCCACAGCACTCGTCTTCAACTTTGGCCCTGGCTTGAACCTTCCCTTCCTGATCGGAGGCAGCTCCACCACTACGTCCTTCTTAGGCTTCTTCTTCTTCGGCGTAGGATCCTCGTCCTCTTCGTCCTGCTCCCCTGCGCCTACTCCCTCCGTACGTTTGGCAGACTGCCCCGTATCGCGATTCCGCGGCGTCTTGTCAATAAGGACATATACTTGAGACTTTCTCTTGCGTTTACGCGTGTTTTTCGTTGGCTCTGGTTCGGGTTCGGGTGGTGACTCGTGGTCGGAGGAAAGGGGTGCAACAGCGCGACGAGCGCGAGTCTTCGGTGCCATTTCAAGCACTGTATTTCCTGGACTATCACAGATTTAAAACGTTATATAAGACAAGGTCCAAGCAACAGTGAAAATAGGAGAAAGAAATCGACAAACTTGGAGAACGGAAAGACGGAGATGGAAGTCGAGGAGAGGAAACGCGAACACGGCCATCGGTTCGTTGATTGACTGCCGTGAGAATGGTATGACACGTCGGCACGTGGTCGCAGTTTATTGTTTCGACGCGACGCGCGCGTCGTCCTTGATCAACGACCACAATTCACGATATCAGACGTCTGTTATCCGACTAGTTCTTCATTGTATATTTATGTTGCTCTTTTATTTGCTGTACTTTTCAGGTTGGCTTCATGGGTAGCAGCGTTCCGAGTGAGTTCCAAACGCCCAAGAATCTTACAGTCGTTTGCATATGAAACCCGAGGCGGCGTTTTTCTGTGCGCGCGGAAAGTTGTTTGTCTTATCCAAACAGTCACGGTGAGTCACAGTGTGGCACCCGAGGGCACCATGAGCCACATAGTCAAAGAATGTGGACCAAAGCCTTGCCAAAGCCTCGACACTGACATTTGCGTCAGTCTAAGGGTGGATAAAGAAGTGCAGAAAATGTTTCATTATAAAATGGGAGCTGTACATTTTACACTATGGGACACAGAACAGTTGTGTACATGGGTGATGATGGACGAGGGCCTCCTCGCAATGTCAAGTTGAGCACCTTCAATCATTGAGACATCAGCTCAGAACCTACCCACTAGGAGGAGTAGGGGAAAGAGGTACTGATGTTGTACGAATCCAAATCTGTGTCGGAGGAACATTCACTGGTACTCAAGATGGAAAGCAAGGTCGGCTTGACTTGTTCAAGTCTAACCTGAACTCATTGACAGCTCCGTCGTCGCTGAGAATGTGCAGGGCTGCTTGCAATTACCATGTATATAGTAGGTTCCGAAGATGCTAAGGTGTAAAAGGAAGGTCCAGCACGTTCGAAGCAAGGAGATGCGTACACGGTGTGTACAGTGTGTACGGGCATTGTTCGAAGACTTCGGAAATGTCCGTTGTGACAAGTGTTCGTCACGTATTTGGCTAAGACAAACAACTTTCCGCGCGCGCGGAAAAACGCCACCTCGGGTTTCATATGCAAACGACTGTATTCCATCTTGCCACTGTCTGACTCCGATGCACAGTGCGCGCTTAGCCCACTTCCTTGGACTCATTATTCCCAAGAGTTATCCTCTTCATTTACCACTTCTTCGAATCCCCTCTAATCCCTTCGATGAGTAGTTCTACCATTTTCTTTTCAGTCATATTCGCAAGGACTGGACGATCTATTCTTGTGTTATCGCGGTCTGTGCTCTCTGCGCTGTGTCCAGCTCCTCCCGGACAAAGCTATGCCCTCTTAGCTCAGTGGTAGAGCGCATCACTCGTAACGTATTTATGCTTACGTCACGTAGCTTACGTTAACGTGATAAGTACTGACCACCGATAGCATCGTCATTTGATCGTCATTTACTCACAACGCATCCCCGACCTGCCACCAGCGCGCATCCTCAGACCTGCCTCAGACTGAAGTCAACCTGACCGGGGATCTGTCGACCGTCTAATGTCTGCCGTCCCATTGACAGTTTTTTCGTATCACCTACCAGGTATTTTAATGATGTGCTTTTACCAAGCCATACAGGAGCGACCTTGGCTTCGCTTGTAACTCCGCCTGGCTGACTCTTTTCCATCCAGTTAGATTGTTATCAAAGTCTGCAACAGGCATGCCCGATTAGCTCAGTGGTAGAGCGCGTCACTCGTATCAGCGCGCACATGATGAGGTCGGTTGTTCGAATCAGCCATCGGGCATGGTATACTTTTGCAAAAGCAAACAAACTGTAATAGGGCCCTGCGAAATGTCGTGGGCCGGAGCTGGACGCGCATGCGAAACGATGTTCGATGGCCGACGTTACGGCGTTACGGCGATTGGCGGCCGGGCACTGCACAAAAAAAACACTTATTCAGGAGAGCGGGGCCGACGCGAGTAACTCGCGCATGACAGGGAGGGACTACAGAGGGATAGCTAGCACTTTATATATCATGCCTATTGTTCCAGATGAGACAACGCGAGGGTGGCGCGTGGGAACGAGGCGCCAAAAGGGGGAGACGTGGTCGCGACGCGGTGGCGGAAAGGGTCGAGTTGCCCGCTACACCGCCGGGCGTGCTAATCCTCGGCACGGCCCCCATCCGAAATACCCCGGGATAGGGACGCTGCGACCATGTGCGATCCCGGCACCGATACCATAACGAGGATTTTCGAAATTGATGTTCCAGGCTTGTCCGGCGGCCCGTGCAACAGGGCTTTTCGAAAAGGTTGTCCCAAGGTTGCAACGTCCTCCCCTCTACGTATCCGCTTAGTCAGCCGCTCCCTACCGCCTTCAGAAAGCTCTGACGACTGCATATGCTCAAGTCGCGTTCTCCTTGGGTAGCTCATCCTTCCCCGCCTCACTGAGTGTCATATACCACTCATGTAAGTACTATCCATTTAGTAGATGCCTGCTACGTATTTATTTTGACCATCTGTCCGTCCAGTCCGTCTTCTATACCCTTGGAAAAAACAGCAGCGGATGAACGTATTCAAGGTGTCTCGCTAGTTGTGTATGCCTCTATGGTCTAGTGGTTTCGCTATAGGTTTGTTCTGTGCCCGACCGTGGTTTTAGGCCGCGCGTTCAATTCTTGCCGCGGGCAACCAGCATTTTGGGTGTTTGGCGGCTTGGCGGGAACCCTCGCAGTGCCCCATGGACAACCTTGGTACAACCTTGGCCGGCAACATCGGATCTGGGTCCGTCCGAAAAACCCCGGAACAGTATCGTGTCTGGCCTGTGACAACGTGCCGCCCGGCCGACCCTGTTACAAGGCTTCCGCCCTCCGGCGGTGTACCTGACACCTACCAGATCTGAACGCGCGGAATAGATCAAGGTCGGTTGTTCAATCCAGCCAGCGGGCATCGAGTGTCTTCTACCATTTTAAAGCCACCGTCCTTCACGCTTTTTGCTACCGCAAACCTTTACCGGCATTCTCGTGTATACTACGGCATTTTTGCTTAATTGTGAGTGGTATCTTCGTCATCACTCTTTGAACAAATTTTTCTTTTGCCTTCTGCGACGACACGATAGGTTGCCTGCTAGCTGGATTGAACGATGACTCATTGGACCGGCCGCGCTACCACGCTTCTACCCGTACTCTGAGTACACTTGTGTCTGCTGTAGGTATGCATCTTCCAGTCGCCTATGTTTATTGACTCCATGGTACGAAGACAAAGTAACAGTGTCGTGTGGCGCCAGATGGGCTTTCGTGGCAACATCATCATCGATGATTGGCAGCCTCGAGGATCTGAAGCAAAACATGACAAATTGTACTTAGCAGGCCATACAGCTACACTTTCATCGCGACAAACGTTCACTCTAGGTGAGTCGCTGCACGTACTCGTTATTCAAGATCTAACACCGAACCATTGCCACCAAAGCAGCGCCACCCTCCTCGACGACTCCAAAGCATCTTGCACATCACCAATGCCCGTCAGCCCAATATTCAACCGCCCCGCAGCCAGCCTTCTATCAAGCTCAAGGTCAGAAAGCACCTCCGCCCTCTGACTACCGACTATCCGAACGTTCTCGCTCCGGAGATGTAGCCACATGGTCGGCGACGGTGATTTTGAAGTTTCTGGGACCGATATCGAAGGCATGCCATCACAGGGAACCCAGTAATGCCATGTCTGTACGTCCCCGGTTTGGCTGGAGGCACCGCGCGGTATGAACATCGGATGTGAGATATTGCGCTCGTGATCGACGGTGTCGGAGCTTGCGGAGGTGCACGACAAGACACGAACAGCGGGTATAGCAAAGATAGACGGCGTGCCAGGATTTCGAGGGCGATCAACGGTACGACTAAAAAATAAAATACAGCAGTCGTAGACGTCCATTGGCGCAAGCTTCGACCCTGCCATCCACGCCATGGTCGATAACGTAGTGTCCCCTATCACTCCGAGTACCCGAACATTGACTGACGCAGCGTGAATTTTGGTCTCCCTTATGGGCGGCAAATGGCTCGCGCTGAGAGGGTATGCCAGCGAAAATACGGATGATGCAAGTGGGGATCCTGAGGTAGATTGCCGAATCCATCGAATGAGGAGCGGAGCGGAGAGACAGTCTTCTCCGTAGACGTGCCCGTTCGATTCTCGCGGATGGTTTTGGATCTGATACGTCGCGATGCCCAAAAAGAGATGTAACACCCTCTCCTTCATATCCTCCGGTAGACCGTCCCACGGTCTCTTCACCACCATACGATGCGCCATGGGCATACTCGGACTTGAGAAGTGATACACGACGATACGAAGGATGAACCAGAGCGCTTGAAACGCCGTCCAAAGAAGCGTGATGGAAGTGGGTTGTTGGGCGAGGATGAAATAAGTCAGGACGATGGAAAATGTACACAGGATGGCGCCGAAAAGCCATGCCGTACGCCACCACCTGTGTCGTCTCGGATCGTCAACGGCGCCGAGAAATATCTTCTTGGATCCTCCTGGTTTCTTGGTGGAAGGCAACTGGCCGGCGATGATGTCGATATCGCCTCCAGTCAGGATAAGGGCCCGTGAGATGATGATTTCGTGGAGCTCAACGACTACGGCGAAGAGAAAGAAGTACGTCCATGGAATTACTGTGACGATGGCAAGAAGCGGTCCAGCAAGTCGCCAGAGACACCATGCCTCTGTGAGCTTGAGCGTAGAGACAGAGAGTGCCGCAAATTGAAAGCGGGATCGGTGTTTTCGAGCGAAAGGGTGGTCTCCGTAGGTGTACACGGCGAAAGCCTCGTCCGCGTCTGTTGCAGGGAGCTCATTGAGGACGGTGGATGTCGAAGAGTCGAACGCGTACACGTCTCGACATAGCGAGTGCTCCCTAGCAGGGTTGTGAATCTAGAGCACGAAAGTCAGCTCGTTAGTATCGTGGATTGGAGCGCAACGAATTCAGCGACCACACTTACTGAGCTATGATATCGGTACAGCCCCAATGGTACCTCCAATGTACTTCGGACCTTGTTCGCGACGCCCCAGCCTCTCGAACCGAGCCTCACGTCCATGCCTATGGCCGAATCCGACGCCTTCGTTCTCAACCCCAACGTATGTCTCAGCCATCCAGGACTAGCACCACTGATACAACCCTTCACAACAGACAGGGCTCCGAAAGTGCTAATGGGTGCCCATGCCAGGCCCGCCGCTCCACGTTGACCCAACACGAAGGATTCGGTGATTGACGATCCGACGAGGGTGGTGAGTGCCCCGATTTCGTCGAGACTGTTGCCAAAGGATATGGATGGGAAGAAGCTTGTGCCTGCAATGGTAGTGTTGGTAGCCATGGAGGTTGTGAGTGCTATGCGCGGCATGAACAGAGCAATATTTATACCAAGCCCAAAGGATGAACCATCAGAATCAAGGGCAGCCTTTGCTTGGGTGATTGGGTGGGCATACCGTTGGCAAGCATGTCTTGCGTTATGTGAATGCGTCAACCAAGTCTCGACATGGATAAAGACCTCTGAGCGGTCAGGTCTCCTGGATTGATGCATGATGCGCGGTGTTGACGCGGAGATACTTCCAGTGGTATCGTCCACATCCGCCTCAGAGGATGGAGACTTGCTCTGGCAACGATGACGACTAGAAAATCCCAGTAAAAGCCCAACGATGGGTTGCGATGAGCAAACAGTGGTTCTGAGCGGAAATGAAATGCCAACTGGCTTAGAACTAGTCGTTCAGCCGACGAGTGTATCACCGGTTCTCAATGCACACCTTTCGAGATATCGATCAAAAGGATGAGCGCGAGACCATACGTAGTCTTTGATGCCTCGGCGGTATACAATCGACGAGCTTGCGAGTCCATGGAGGAGAAAAGAACGAGTCAAGCACGCTGAAATCGAGCTTCATGCGACTTTTACGATGCTGTAGACAATGTCTGGTCTGCATGCGCGACATGAATTAGGCAAAAGTCATCAGCGACGACAAAGAGCTACGAGCTCGTGCTCGACCTAGGGAGAGAATAATTCTCTCTTAGATGGAAGAGAAAATAGAGTAGAAAAACAGTTATGATACTAAAGCACTGTTGGTAGGATTTAAGTGACTCCACAAATCATAACGACCACCGGTCAGTCGCAGTCGCCGTAATCGCTACAAATAAACGGCTCAATAAGAATGGAGGACGGAAAATGAATAAGAGCGCTGAAGAGTGATGATGGCCAACGTACGAACGGCTATTGGGGTCTCCATCACATTCGTCCAAATACTCCTCAAACTCATCAAGCATGTCTTCCATGGTCTCTCCACTTGTGCGGAAGATTTTTCCTCCTTCATCGAACACATGGAGTTCCTCGTTCTCGAATCGTCTATGGCACCATTAAAAAAAGTCAATAAATACACGAGTCGCTTCAATTCTTCACAAGCAACTTGCCACCTATTCAGAATGACACTCACATCTCGAGCCACGACATGCACCGATTGATCCACGGCCACCTAGTACGCTTTGCCTCTTGCTTCATCCGCTTCCTCTCCGGAGAGTCAGAACTTTCTGCTTCACCAGAGTCGTCTTCTTCTTCTGAGCCAGATTGATCATCGGACTCTCCACGCTTACGCTTGACGGAGCTAGTCGTGGCATGCTGGCCCTCCGTGAAGGATTCTGCTTCCGAGTCTGTAGAGTGGACCTCGACAACTTCGCGTTTGCCTTTGCTCGGCATATTTGACCAAGTGCAAGTGAAAAGCTAGTATTATTGTTCAAGAGTGTAAGAGACGGCGTGCGAGGCAATGAGCATTCCTGTCAAGCTGGCATTCTCGTAGACCAGCACGAATCGAATTTCGATGCAGTTGTCGGAAGAGAAGCTAAGACGCGCTCGTCATTCCGCGACGCGAGTGAGCCTGCCCTAAAGACGGACTATGACCGCGGCATCGGAGCCACCGTCCAGGTTCTGACCTCTGAACTCTCTCATCACGACCCAATGCTTCCAGAGTGCTTCCAGCTGCAGTAGAGCTTAGGGTGATGATGGAATTGTACAAATCATACTATCTTCGCAGTTCACATCATTCATGGTGAAAAAATGACATCAATTGCGTTGACACAACAAACGAAAGCAGAACTCAGTAACAAAAAAACACAACAAGTGTGGTACGTCTAAATAGGGAATACATCGAACAAGCAAGAGATAAAGCATAGGGTAGACTAACAATCGCACAAAAACATTATACTTACCTGAAACTCCAGATTCCCAGAGTATGAACCCTCAATCCGAGCTGGCCATCACTCCCCGCCTCGTCAGCTCGTCGATGATCTCGCACAAGAGCACCATCCCATCCATATTCGCCTCCAACTGATGACTCTCCACCACGCTGACCACACGATCGACCAACTCTTGCTCGACGTTCTCTCCCATATCCTTACGCTCCCGCTTCGCCTTCATCCACTCTTCAGTCACCACGTCCGAGAGTCTCGAGATCCATTCCTTCGGGTCCTTGATCTCCCTCCTAGGAGCGTTTCTCCTGAAGTTCTCCGGGACTTGAAGGGGACTATTTCTAGGCTGGATCTCAGGTTGCTCCTTCCTACGCTTATAGCTCAACGCCTCAACAGCAGTCCCAGCACTCATACTCTCAGCCCTCGACCTCTTTCTCTCCTGCTGCTGCTTCTCCTTCTCCTTCCTCACCCTCGACTCCACCAAACTCTCCCTAATCTTCTCAATCCTCCTACTCCTATCCTCCCCACCACCCCCATTCGCATTCACATTCGCGCCACTCTGACTCTGATTCGCATTCCGACTGACTGTCACACGACCATAAGCCACCCGCGCAGCCATAATCTTCCTCTGCGCCTCCGCAGGCGTGATCCTCTCCAACTCAGCCCTCAAATCCGAATCGAAATCGACGCTCCATGGTCCGAAGTTCGTCGACGTGTGGCGTAGATTGACGGGCTCGGAACGTGTGCGGGAACGGGGTGATATAGGTAGGGAGAGATGCGCGTTGTGTAGAATTGGACCTGGTAAGGGAGGTGACATCGAGCCGGGCTGGTGGGTGGAGTTGGGAACGTCGACGAGAGAGGGATGAAGTCTGTGGGTGGCGGGTATGGGGGCGTTGCTCATGGTGTGGCTCCGCGCGTACGGAGCTGGGAGGGACGATGCGACGGCATCAGCAGCAGCAGCAGCAGCGGTAGTCGGGGAATGATGTTGGTGCTGCGACGAAGACCAAGCAGACGATCTAAGAGGCGCAGAGAGCGGGGGCTGGGGCTCAAAGGTGTCACGACGGGGTGTCGCAGAGAACGAGCCTCTGAAAGGCGGAAGTTCGGGCACGCGGAACGACATCTAAGCCAGCTAAGACGAGGACGAGCGCGGAAGACGCAAGTTCTCCAAAAGAAACCAGGATGCCGAGATACGAGATGAACGAGGAACGCAACGGGAACGGGAGGAGAGAGTTGGGAGAGAGTGGCCGAACAGCGAAGAGAACAGCAACACGAGCGCGCCATTGTTTTATATACCTTCCTTTATGCCGGGGCGTCAACGATCACACTGTTCAGTGCCAGGTGATGAGCTCAGCTTTGGGAATCGCCATTGTTCTCCAAATGCCTCAAGGCGGACACGGGCCCATCGATCTAGAGCGGTGGCGAGGGTGCCGTTGCAGTGGTGTGGCGCCACAGTGGTGATTGTCTTGGCCCTTGGTTTCCTTGTGCCACTCGACGAGAGAAAGTGCCGGAATGGCCGTAAACAATCAAGGACGCACCATGGATCATCAACGAAACTAGTGAGTGCAGGTCGCTGTTGCATCTGGAAGGGAGTCAGCTGATGCGCAATGATCATGAGCAAGAAATACAAGCGTACTTTAGACCTCGCTGGTCCCGATGCAGTGTGGCCCAAGCGCACCAAGCCAACTCGGACAGAAACAAACTCAGAGTCATATCACGCAGAAGAAGTCGCAGTCAAGAAAATTATTTCCCATTAATTACTGGCCTACAATGTCATGTAAATGTACTCGTATGAGAAGCCCAACGCGGAAGTATCTGCCTCCCTTCTATCCCGTGAACGAAAAACCGATACCCAATAACAATTCATCATCTGTCTAATGCCCTGACCCTCGATATCAAAGAGAAAACCCAAGAAGTACTACGCCCAAAACACGACAAAACGAAAAGAAGAAAAAAAGCAGGAAGAGAAGAGAGTATACAGTACATACAACGAAATGTCCTTGTCCATGTCCATGTCTAAGTCCCTGGAACTGAAGCCTGAAACCAATCTAAGCACGGCTGAACGTTTTGGTATGTGTGAATATATTATTTGAGTCGAGTCGAGTCGAGTTGAGTTAAGCTGAGTCGAGTCGAGTCGAAGTAGGAATGTGGGAGGTCGATTCGCGACGAGTTTACCACGAGTGGTGGCCACCGCAGACGAGGATGCTGAAAAGATTGATCGCACGAGTGTTAGAACGTGTGGCGCAGATAGACGAAAGACAAAGGATGACTTACTCGCTACCAGTGCAGTACGACGACGCGTCGGAAGCGAGCCAGGTCACAACGCCACGCATCTCGTCGGCACGACCCAAGCGGTGAAGAGGGTTGAGGTCGGACCACTTCTTGAGCAGCTGAGGCTGACCGTCAAGGTACTTCGAAGTCAATCTGCACAAGGTGAGAAGATATATGGTGAGTTCATGATAGATGGAATGTGAGTGGCGAGAACGTACTTGGTATAGATGTGGCCCGGGGAGAGGGTGTTGACGCGGATCTTGGACTCGCCGAGCTCGCAAGCCATGCTGCGACCCATTTGAAGGACGGCAGACTTGGAGGTGTTATAGGAGACCCAGGCGTGATCCTGTGAGCAATGAATGAGCTTAGTTCAGATAGAGAAGAGATAATGAATAGGGTGGACGACGCACCTTGTTAGTGATGCTGCCGCTCATGGAGGCGATGAGGACGATGCTGCCCGGAGTGCCGAAACGGACCATCTGTTGCCCGGCCGCCTGAGCGGTGTACAGCACACCGTTCGTGTTCACATCGAGGACCTAAATACAATCATCGTGGTCAAAAACAATGAAGAAAACAAAAAGGTAGAAAAAGAACGAACCTGCTTGAAGGTATCTGCGGGGTATGTCAAGCAGTCCATGTTCTCCTTCAAGATGCCGGCAGCAGCAACACAAACGTCGAAGCGCCCCTCCTTATCCCCAATCATCCTCCCAATTTCCCACATCCTGGCCTGATCCGTGACGCTACCCTGCACGTACTCCAATCTCCTCGGCGGGCCCTCCATCTTCGTGAGATACTCCTGCACAGCGCTGAACTCGTCGCTGGGGCCCTCGGCAATATCAACACAGTAGACCGCGCGACAGCCGGCCTCTGAGAGTGCCATGGCCATCTCGAGACCGAGACCAGCGTTGGCACCAGAGACAAGAGCAACACGGTCGTGGAGAGCGAACTCTTCGAAGATTTTGGGAGCGGGTTTAGGGGCAGTGGCGGGGGAATCGTGGTACTCGAGCGCTGCCTCGACACCTAATGGGCTGAGAGGAGACATGGACTGGATCATGGCTTTGTGGTTGTAGCCAGCGGTGAGGGGTTTGTCGGTGGCAGGTGACGTGAGATTACGACGAGCACCGGGGACGGGAGTGATGGTAGAGGCAGAGGCGACGATGGGTGCGGATGAGAAGGCGCGACGGGACAGGGGGACAGCACGACGTGAGACGAAGGCTTTGGACGAGTTGGAAAGGGTGGAGAGCATAGTTTCGGGATACGTGAGTGGGATGAAGGGTTTGTGGAGGTGGGGCAGTGCGGAAGAGAGGTGGAAAGTGAGGGAGAGTTAAGATTTTGATGCCTTTACCCCGCTACCCCGCGTTGGGTTTTTATAGCTTAGCGAGCCGCCTTCGGAGGTTCGTAACGGATGTGGAGAGGTAAGCGTCATGCCACTAAACGTCAACCAATGGGATGGAGATAAAGATGACGTTCACACCGGTAATGCCTGTGCATCCCCAGAGGCTTGGAGGTCGGAGAGATCGTAATGGTGGATAACGAGCGGTCGAGACGGGGCGGCAGTTGCGGAGTACTCGTGGACCTATGATGGATCGACGCCAACGAGCGGGACGCGCGTCTAGAGGCGCGCTGCTGCGAGCGGGGGTGACAAACGGAGGCGTACAAGTCCGTGGAGAGGGATATCTTGCTGCCGACGGGAAGAGCATCGCTCCTTCCAAATCCTTTCCCCACTTCACGTGGCGGAGGTGGCGCATCTGTCCATAGCCGACTCCACGCGCCTGGTACACCACTTCTTCCCCGATTCTGCAAAAGTAAAGAAGAAAGAAGACAACTTCCTGGAAACTCGAAAAGACGAGCGGATAAAGAGGCTTTTGTCGCGCGAATGCAGCAGCTCTCCCATGGACGGGGATATGCAGGCAAGGCATGCACAGCGCGGAGAATCGAATACACCTCGATCCGACCTCCGTAGTACCGTGTATCCGAGTCGGTATGAGCGGGTGTACCTTCGGTGTTGCTGAGCTCGAAAGTATGCGGCCGAGACAACGAGCCTCACAGGAGGTTCGTAGCAGCGGGGAACTATCCAGCTTCCAAGACAGCCTGGGCCCGTAGCCGGGTACGATACGACGGTGCCCACGACGAGCAGCGTCGTTCTGCAAGCTAGAAGCCTGATCGTGAGGGACTGACAGGCAAAGTCATGTTGGGACGCGCAATGGGTACATGCTCACATGGGCTCGCCCGGTGTGTAACATCGCCAAAAGGACACCGATTTTGGGTGCTTGTACTGCCGTCCGTGTCCTGAACGCACGGTCTTTCATCTCATTCGCTCGGCTCTCAGCGGGCAACGGGGGTTTACAACATAGCAGCTGCTCATGCGCTAGCGCTCGGACAAGGAAGTTGCCAGCTTTTAAGCTAGAATGAACCGGGTGTGTGAAAGGCAAGAAAACCTGAGAAGATATCTGACCATTTGCAGAATTCGACAAGGCCATCGCCGCGACCAAGCCGTGGGAAGCGATGCCCAGAGATGGGAGAACAAAAGCGGTACGCAAATTTCAAGCTCCGACCGAATCGCCCCCAGCCAATCGCCGAGCGAAATCGCGCGCAAGGTTGATCGTCACTTCCACACCGTGACGAACGCGATTGTGTCACAATGTCCTCATCGTCGCGCTCGACAGTGTCGACGACGTCCTCGCCGTCAATGGCGTCGGCAACGACGCCCGTCTACAAGGGCAAGTTTGTCAACAGATCCTGGGGCCAACTCCCACCAGAAATCATCAGGTGCCGTACCCCCCCTTCACCCGCGATTGCCAGTCTGGCAGTCCTTTTACCCGCCACACACTCTCCCAGACGCGTACTGACCAGCCGGACATAGAATGATCTGCACGAATACCTTGCTGTTAGCACACCAACAAATGTTCCTCCCTTCCTCATGGTTATCGAAGGAAGTCTGGCCAGGAAGGATGCTCTACATAGCCCTGCGCGATCAGGTTTACGTTGAGAAGCTCATGAAAGTATGCCCATCATGGCAGGCAGCTCGTGAGTGTCTCTTATCCTTTTTGTCTCTCGTGTGTGTCTGCTCCGTATACGTTGGGAGACTTGGGTTATGTGTGGAGCGACTGTGGTTGTGAGTGTTCCTGCGCGAGCGAAGGCCCATCTGGCTGTCTATTGGTATTGGGTGGCGGTGGCATAACGTATCCTCGGCAGGTGCGCCAGTATATCATGTCCGATATCCCGCAGATATTGCTTGGTGTCGCTGCTCTTGCTTGGTCGAGCATGGGTGGCGCAGGTAACTGCAGAGCCACTGGTATTCTGTTGTGTTGCCCGATGCGGAAGGTATTGTTCATGTACACAATAACCGTCTTGCGAACTGCCACTGCTGCGGAAATATCGTTCATGTTTTGAACCGCTTCTCACAAATAGCTGTGAACCCCTGCTGAGACAGCCTTGGCGCTCGTCAACGGCATTCTGTGTAACAAACAATTACGCATGATCCAATTCACGCAATTTTCATGTACCTATTCTCGCACGAGAAAGCAGTAATACGGTTTCAAGGGATGAAACAGTTCGCTGGGCTAATGCCGAGGAATGTATTGGCGTCGAAGAGCCAGCGCATTTTTCCTGGGACGTGAACAATTTGTCCCAGTCACCCTCCAACTGTGCAAATAAAGCTTGAGTCTACGATTCATTTTCCTTTGCTCTTCCTTGTCTTTTTCAAGTGACGTCGCAGCGTGCTGATTTTTTTTTCTGTCTCAGTTGAACAGCACACTTTCTGGCAACACGCCATTTATGCCTTTGACCCTGCAGACATACTCATCAACACATCAACGATCGTCCAAACCGGCTCCTCCAACACCGTCCGAGTGAGCCCATATCGACACTTTCGACACATCGTTACGCATTCGTGTACCGTATGCCGCCTCAACACCCCATTGTCCTACCTCGGCCTCAATAATGCCAAACGGTTCGTCCTCCTTCCCTACCACGGGCATGTCAGCGTCTGCAAAGAGCACCACAAACGCGATTTCTGCGGTGTCTGCCTACGAAGTCCCTGCCCGCCCCATCTCAGCTACGTGCAACATCAGGCGGAGAGTGAGATGATCGCCTGCGCCGAGAACGAGGACCTCGAGACTTGGCCGAACATCTTCACGACGTGCAAGTACTGCCGCTCTGAGGCTCTCTGGAAGCGGATGAGCAACTCTCCAGCTGACAGGGAGGCCGTCGGACAGGGTCCGCCACAATGGGCGGCCGACGATTGGGAGACGAGACAGGTCATCGATACATTCATCGATCTCGGAGAGGGCACCGTCGACGAGGTCATCCGTGTGGCGCAGGAGAAGAATTGGCTTCGTCGGTATACCCGCTTTGCGGATATCATGGAGCAGGCCGTCGCTTCGCAGAAGTACGAGCTCAAGCTTACTGGTGGCGGGGCTGGTGGCGGTTACGTGAATGAGGGAGAGGACGACTCGTTTGAGCTTGAAGATGATAGTTTCGAGCTGCATCAGCGGGCGGAGGACAGTGGCGCGAAGGCGCCCGCATGTGAGGCGTGGGTCCGTGAGCGCATCCTCGACGGTCATTGGATCTCTCCAGCGGATGATTATTACAATCAGCGTCCGGCGGCCGAGCTACTGCCGGCGGCTGAGCATCCCGCCGCATGGCTTCTCGACGAGCACGCAGTCACCACCCGGCACCCGACTCCCAAAACCATCGCCGTACCGGCCGCACCGACATATCATCTCGCCGAGGCCTTGTACCGGATCCACAAAGTCAAGACCCGCGAGATTCTCCTCCCTCCAATGAGCAACATCGTCAAGCGCATCATGCTCGACTCGAGGAACGGCGAAGAGGCAATCAGGAGGGCGTCGAAGCTGAACTTGGAGGAGCTCTTCCAGGTGCTGAGGGAGACTTGGCCTTGGGTGAAGGAGCAGCTCGCCGACGAACATGTACGCAAGGCAGCAGTTTTGAAACATGCGGACGACTCGAGCTCATCTTCGACAAAGTCTGACGGGTCGCATACCACGAGTCCGGTTCTTAGCACGACAACATTGCAGACGACGCCATCTCCGCCTCCGAAGGATGCGGGTCCTGCCTCGGACGATACGTTGGATGTTATTGGACCGAGACCGGACGAGATGGCGTCGATGTGTATGGAGGCGTCCAGTTTGATGCGGTACATCCCCTTCGTCCCATTGACGGCAGAGTGTCTCCCGCCGTACAGCCACGAAGCGATCAAATCGGTATGTCTATTTCATACTCCTGCTCGTTTTGCTTTCGTAGACTCATGACTTTTCATTTCGATAGGTGTGGCGTGAGGCATGTGCCCCACTCTATCATTGTGCTTGCAGTATTTGCAAACGTACATTAATGCAGTCGAAAGCCGCCGAGGCGGCTCAGAATCCTCAGGCTTACACCTATCCCCCCCAGTCGAACCCATACCCTCAGACCAACGTCAATCCATACCCACAAAACCAGCAATCATATCCTCAGCCGATCGTCGCCACTCACGACCCTAATGTCGAGTCACCCGTCATCGCTCACCCATCTCCCGTCATCTCTATCCCACCACAACGGCAGGAGTACATTCCGTCGACTTATTCGGATCTAGAAGACGAGAGCGAAGATGAAGACGACGACGACGATCTTGACGGGGAGGGTGAGCTCGACGGCGTGCACAATTATTATGATTGGCCGCAAGACGAGGAAGGGTGGGAAACAGACCATGAAGCGACCGAGACTATTCAGGCCTCCGGCGGAGTGGATGTGGGCGTGGAGAAAGAAGATGGTGTGAAGGTGGACGGGTATACCCTCACCGAGGAGGGTAAAGTATCAAGGCATCGGGGTCAGGAGGTCGATGGTGCCGTGGACAAGGGAAAGGGAAAGGGGAAAGGCAAGGGGAAGGTGGTGGTTGAGTCGAACGCGCAACCTTTATGGGGGTTCGGGCCTGCACCGACGTTGACGGAGCCTAAAGTCCCTATTCCGAATATCAGGAAGAGCGGACATCAGCCTCCCGGCTCTGTTGCGTCGGTTCCGATCTCCCATTCCAACTCCAGGTCCAAAATATCGCTTGCGTCGCCGGAGCCTCAACGGACGCCATCGCGGAAAAGGACGTCAGAAGAGTTAGAGGAGGATGGCTCGCCGACCGGTTCTTTCGTAACCTCGAGCGAGAGTGAGCAGGAGCCGTCTGGTGTTTCACCTGCGACTCCCCCGAAACGGGCGCGGAGAGAGGGCGCGTACTCGGACGTTCGAGTGGATGATCTAAATCCGCGGTTGAAGAAGAGGAGTTCGGGTGATGTGGACGTTGATCCGGATGGCGAGAGTCCGACGCCGACGAGAAGAATGACCGGGAAGAGGGCGAGGGTGTCGGTTTCGCCCGAAGAGGAGGTCGGCCAGCGAGCGAATGCGGAAGAGCGGAGGATCGCTGGGAGTCGGGGGGCGAATATGTTCAAGATGTTGTCGAGAATGAAGGGGAAGGTGGATGAGACGGGATGAAGTGCTCTCTTTTCACGATTTCATAATGCATCTGTGTATCTTCTATGAGTTATATCAGGTATGTTGGATTCTTTTTGCTCGCCCTTTTGTGGTCGTGACAGACGTGCTGACGAACCGTCCTATGTTTTTTTTTTTTTTTTTCGATTCTTGCCCAGACATTCATCTGTACAACGTCTTTTGTGTGCTTGTAGTTTGGGCCGTTGCTCAGGTTCAGTCCTTTCCGCATCGTCGCCGCTCTCCTATTCCTCTTGACCATCGCTACCCCTTCCCAACGGACTCACCACCCCTTCCAAATTCGTGTTTCGTGTTCTTGCGTTGTGGATACCAACCAATCGTCATCTTGCTTAGACCCTCGCGCCACCGCTACATCTCTATTCCCAAATGTACATCTATCTTTCTTCCCTTCTTCCTCGTCTATCCAACCCGACACGCTCCTCTACCCTCAACATTCCATCATCGTCGTTTTTGTCCACTTTGTTCATCCATCCCCTAACCTGTAACCCCTTCCCCCTCGACCCTTTTGAATGTCTTCCCCCGGAGCGTGTCCGGACAACCCCATGCTTTTCCTTTTTTTTTGTTTCTTTCTTCGTCGATTCAGCCCTTGTGCTTCGTTGTTTATATCGTTTTTGTGTCCATCCGTCGAATTCTCGTTTTGTCGTCAATCGTCAATCGTCGCATCTGTCTGTCAAAGAAGTCTCTATGCTTGTTGGGGGTGTTTGTACGAATAGCATATATTTGATGAAGTGGACCTTCTTGGTTTTTCTCTTCTCCTTTTAGTGATCGAGTGAAACCGTTGGCAGTGGCGAGTCTGACCGACACACCAGCGTGTCGGCGGGAAGAAACGAGTCTGAAAGAAATATCCAGTTCCAAGGAAAGTTGACTGATTCGATGTTCATTGGATGTAGCGAGCACTGAGTTAGACGCGTACTCGCGAACTCGTTGCGAGCTTATGCGGTGCTCTCAACATATTTGATACCAAAATAACACTAGGATAACATGCAACATCAACATTGTCCGACCGATGATAACGACCAATTTCAAGATGTCCACATCGGAAATCGTCGTCATCTCAAGAAAACACCTCCAACAGTTCCTGCCTCGCGAGCTGCAGCCTCTCCCTCCTCTTCTGGTATTCGCTCCTACGTTCAGAAGTATCGTCCGGCTCCTGCAAGAGACGCTTGCTGTTCGCGTATCCGTTTGGTCCATTCACCCGCAGGCCGTTGAATAAAACGGTCTCGAGGTTGTTCGTGATGCCTCGGACAAGGGCTTCGTCAATGGCCATAGGAACGTTGTCGACAAAGCGTTTGTATGCGACTGACGATGAGTAATGTGATAGTAGGCCTCATGAGTGCAGAGCACGCCCGATGAATTAGAGTTATGATTTACCTTGGAAGTAAGCCCTCACGTCCGCCATGATGGCGATCGCGTCTTCCATGAGCGCAGGAGGAAGGATCCTCGCGAGAGCGAGAGGTTGTACGCCATGAATACCCATATCGCTCAAACCAGACAGAACCTTCACCAATCCCCCCTCGAATTGCCCATCGGGCTCTGAATCGGGAAGCACGCCCGCGGAAAGTTTCGAGATAAGGTTATTATTCTCAGTTGACTGTCGGATGCCTTTGTAATAGTTCAAGAACTTGTCGCGATAATCGTCGAGGTAGTGCGTGTTGCGTGTGTATGGTGTCCCTTCGACCTTCAAGAGGAAGTCGATGTTGCGTAAAGTCTCGTTGGCGCGGTCACGAATGTGCTGGGAAACGACGTTCCTGCGAGATCGCCGCCCGTTGTTAACTACGCAATACGATGACCGAGAGGCAAAAGATCAGTAAGACTCACGCAATGCTCTGCTTCAGACCTCCGTAAGCATATGCTCCGAAGTGATCTTCGACGATGCGCATAACATGTACATTGAGCGTCCTTGTAGTGGCATCAAACAGAGTGCGGGAAGGGGTCGCCCACTGAGCGATGATGGCCCCAATGAACTTCTTCTGAACGACGAAAGGGACGTGGTTTGGAAGCTCCCTGGTCACCGCGCTACAAGGGGTGCCAAAGTATCAGCCATACCATGGAACACATAATTTAAAAATGAGAGGGCTGGTGGAATTGAGCGTACGTGCGAGCATGTTCCATAACCTCATCAATGTATATCTCTTTCGAACTGCTTAACACCAGCGACTCCGCATCATCTTCGTTCTTAAGGAAAGAAGGGGCCGGCATACTATTCGCGTCAACGTTCTGACGCTCGAAGGGACAAAACATGGGTGCCGTGCTTCGAATGGAGCGTTTAAATTGTTCTTGAAACGGTCGTAGCTGCTGCAGAAGGCCTGTACTAGCCGGTGTTCCCTCCGCATGTTTCTCGATGTCGCGCACAAAGCTGCCCACCAGACGCAGAATTTCGGATAGTGGTTGGTCTGACGGAGGTTTGGGGAGACGCTCGATATCGCGTTCGGTTTTTGACAATAGCTTCTCGAGCTCTTCTTGAATTTGAGGAAGTCTACGAGGTAGTATCAGACCGTCTCGCGAGCAGATGAAATCAGGGGAGATAAAATCACAAACCTTTCGGCAATGAGGTTGGAGAGTGTGTCGCTCAAACGCTGCGTGAGACGTTCCGTGCCCAATCGCTTTTGGTGGACACCGTCCAAGTTGGACCAAGGCGCCTTAGCCATGAAGAACTGTTTCTCGCTCTGACGAGCTTCCTCCCAGGTGATGCCATCGACGACTGCCTGTGGGTTTGGATTCTTGACAGAATACCAGTCGATGGCCTCGCCGTCTTCTGCGCGGATATACTTGAGCCATTTGTCCTCGTCGCCAGATTCGATACGGTCGGGCTTGGTGAGAACGCCTGCGATACGTATTTATATCAAAGATATCGAACGCATGAGTTATCCTCGGAGAACGTACCGATTGTTCGAGTGCCTTTGGGATCATAGCGATCGGCGAGAAGATGAGCACCTTGGTTCTCGAAGTCGGCTGAAAAAATGCGGAGACAGAAAGCTTCAGCATATGCAACAGGGAGCAAGTCGTAAAACCCTACTTTCACAGGCCACTGTCAGAAGGATGATGCATCGCGACCGTTCGATGTAAGAAGTTGCAAGATTCTGGATCAAGGCGATATCCTCCTCTTGTCCTCCACGCGAAACGCTGGCGATCAGTCCTACAGACGCACCGTCAGGATCCACTGAGTACAGAGCAAAAAAAGCACCCGTACGTACCTGGCAGATCAACAAACGATAGGTCGGCCACGTCCTTGCCACTTATTTGGAGCGAGATACAGTTGTGCGAAAACGCGATTTGACGATCTCCGACGTCCTCATCGGGACCCGTGAGGTAGCTCAGAGGGTTCGCGTTAGGGTTGAGGATGGCGCGCTGCGCACGTCTGATACGCTCGGTGACTTGTACCTTATCCGTTATGGGATCGCCGAAGGGAACGTTCCTTGGTTGACCCAGTGTCGCGCCATCGGCGTCGGTGATGAACCGGAGCATCACAACACATTCCCAAGGCTCTGTCGAGTACGAAAGTCGACACTCCGTAGGGCAGCTAAGGGCAAAGTCGTCGAGTCAGGTTATAATGCTTACAGCAAGCAGAGAATGTGGCCAAACCGAGTACACGTCCCACTGGCCCGAGGCAGGCTTATTCCAGAGATGGCCTCTATGAGGGAAGATTTTCCGGCGCTTTGAGACCCAATAACGGCGATGACAGGGAGATCGATGTCGAGTTGTGCGCTGCAGCCACCCAAGAAAACAAGTGAGCCGATAATATTCTCGATATATCGAAGAGCGACCACTCACCCGGTATTATGGAGTTTGTTTATAAGGTCCAGCATCCGCCTCCTCCTTTCAGCAAACTCGCGATTGCTGAGACCAACCGCCGCATTGTCGGGCTCGACTGTAATGTCGTCTCTCGCATCTAGCATGTCCGGCTCAGTCGAGGGAGAAGAGAAAGGTGTCTCACTGTGTGGTGCGGTGAGCGCGAGCATGGTAGTGGGTTTCGATTTTAGCGATACGCGAAGTGGAGGAAGGGAAGATGGGGACATGAAAGGAAGTCGGTGATGCGCCACATAAATACTAAAGCGGCATATATAAACGGTAGCGATGTGGAGACGCCAACAAAGGATCGTCTGCCGTTTACTGTACCATGTTGCGAAATTAATGTGGCGTAACAGAAGTGCACGCCTGGAATGGAATCATTAGGACGGGGTTGAGCTCGACTTCTTTCTCTACCGTGCAACATTACAGTCGCAGTCAAGAACCGCACGATGCGTTCCAAAGTGATCCGCGGGTATATTCGCGAGGCAGACGGGACTTGTGCACAGACGAAGCAATCGATATTTCACAACATATAGTCCGTGACAGTCAGGAGCATCCGGACAGAGAGCAGAATACAGACAGAATCACGTCATGATATGGTCATCAACAGTCAATGCAGCAAATGAATGAACCTAAAAACGAAAGAAATAGGTAGCATAACACGCAAAAGTTCGCTGCAGACCTTATGAAACGGTGAAGTTGCTTGACGTCCCGACGAAAGGTGTAATTGTTCCGCCGATAGCTTTGGCATCACCGAAATACTGGATCCTGTAGGTGCCAGCAGGAGTTCCGTCCTCGATAGTCCTGTTTGTCGCAAAAAGGAATACCGACGATCGTTTCAGCGCTCGACCATACTCTACTTCAAAAAGGACATACCAGGTGATATCGACGTTGCTCGTTCCGGTGATCTAGAGACAGATGCGGTTTAGTGTATGAATCATAAGGTATACGTGTATCAGCACTTACAGTGTCTACTCTAGTCCAGTTATACGTAGTCGAAGGATGCGAGTCAGATCTGACCATCGTCCAAGCCCCATCAACATCCTGATCCACAGACAAGAAGGTCTGTTCGAGCCGGAAGTTGTTCTGGGACACAGCCAAATTAATGTTAGCTCAAGGTCGTATCAGATACCGAATGTCGCTCACCCTTGGGTTGGCTCCAATGAACTGGGCAAAGACAGTTTCTCCTGACGTGTAGGATGACTGGACATCGGCGACGACATCACCGAAGCTCTTGAAGAGAGGAGCAGAATCGAATACCACGCCGGTCTGCATGTTGTTACCATCAGCAAAAATTATCGTCAGAATATCTCGTGAGAAATAGAGGTCAATGAGCGCGAGGGCTACATACCCTCAGCGAAATAGCCTCGCCCGTCAGATCCGGCGGGGCCTCATCAGACGGAGGCTGAGCTCCGGTAGCATTATCAGCTAAATACGAGACAAGGCTTCCATACTTGTCGATATACGCATCCAGAGTCCCTACAGTTGCACAAACGTAGGGCTTCAGTAGTGCAGGATAAGAGGAGCGCAAGGACACTTACATTGTCCGAAGATGGTGGAAGCACCCTCATACCGCTGGACACCATACTCCTCCTGTGTTGCCACATAATGAGCGTAGGTATTCGCCGGTCCAGCGATAACGACGTAGGCATCATCGCCCACGATTCCATTAGCGATGAGCTGTGTGCGGATCGCGTTTCTGCAAGAGGCGCCATCAGAACTTGGAGCAGAAGATGATAGAGAGCTAGGATGAACGAACCTCATACGGCGGCCAGACATCGTGGTGAGTTCGCCTGGCATGATGAGCATGACGAACTGCCCAATACGGAACATCTGGATGTCGACGGTTCCAGGAGACCAGTTGTAAGGGGTATGCGCGTATCCCTGGGAGTTGCCACCGCCACCGTACCAGGCAAGTCATCAACAAATACTGTGAGCGATTTTGCGGCACTCTCGAAGATGATATACGACTCACGGTGTTGAGAATGACAGGCTTAGGGTCCTGGCACGCAACTTGTTCGGCATCGGGGAAAGGAGTGATAGCGCCCTTCACGATCTCCCAGAATGGGTTCCTGGGAAAATATCGGGTGAGCAATGTTACGCCACAACGCAATAAGGACGGTCGAGGGCAAGATACGTACTGTGGCTGCGAGGAGTTGTCTCCCTGGGTGAAATCAAAAGCACCAGGACCGTCACTGTCAAAGTGGGCCAGGTCAGTGTGGCCCAGAACAAATCATAAAGCTGGAGAGTAGGTACGTGGTTCCACCAGCGAAAGAGTAACCTGTAGATGTCAACACGAATTCACCGTAAGCAATGAATATCGACAATGGTCAAAGGAAGGAGTCGGGAACTGACCCATTGCAGGCGGACAGGTCTGCACGGTTGTCCCGTTCGGAAGTGTGAAGGTGTGCCACGTCCTACAATCCAATATAATCGTAGTTAGCATCGTCCAAAGTTGGCCTTTTTTGAGCTTGATTGTAAGAAGAACGCACATGTTCAAATATGTGTGCACTGCCCTAACATTGCCCTCAATCGGAGCCGTCGATGCAGTGCCGTTCATGATAGCCTGTGCTCCGTCGACTTGAAGTTGTGCGATGATCATGTTAGAGGCAAAGTCGGAGATTTCGAAAGCTGGGCCACTAGACGACGGCAAACGTGGATTGTCAGCAATGCGGTATGAAGCTCTCGTGGGTGATGGAGGTACATACCGTCCGTGACAGTCTTCGGTGGCGCCGCCACAGGTCGAAGTGTTAAATTCGCAGAGCATGCCATCGTAGGACTCGCCTGGGCTTTCGCAATACGCTCCGAGGCTACACAAAGATGCACGAGTTCATGAGGACCGGTCGACACAGTTATACTAGGAAGAATATGACTGACGTGTTTGGACTGGTGTCTCCGACATTTGCTGTTGAACGAAAGGTAAGTTGGTGAGAAAGTGAGACATAATGAACAGGCAAGAAGACTAACATTGCGTGAACCCAGCAACGAATGTATTGTTTCCGGGCATAACATCGGGCTGCTCCATGGCTAGATACGATAGATCAGTCAGAGTATGTTCATGCACGTTCGAAGAACCACCTACCCTCATAAAGATAGGCAGCCATTCCCTTATTATCCCCACTAACGAGCGTGTTATTCTGCGCAAAAAGAATTATCAGTTTCTGGAGGTGTATCGTGCATGCCACCACTTACTTCATACAAACTAGTCCCATGCACCGCGAAGAAGCTCAAAAAACCCCTCGCATTTCCATCCGCATCATCGAACTTCAACAAACTCAAGTCTTTGTCCTGATCATACTCGTACAAAGCCCTCTCGTCCGCCGGATTCGCCAAATACGCGCTCGGACTCCTATTCCTATTCCCATCTACGACAGTCGCATTACCCACGCTGAGCGTCCCAGGAGCCAAACTGTCATGAGCCATGAGCACGGCTTTAACTGTCCCTGCGACGATGGCGTCTGCCGTCTCTTTGACATAACCGAGGGAGGTGATCTGTGGGAGGAGGTTCTCGAGGTAGCCTCCGACGCCGGAGTGTTGATGAGTCGAGATGAGAGCGATGTTGGCGTTGTTGTAGAGGTCGGGGTATGTGGCGGAAAGGTTGGCGACGATAGAACGACGGATGCCAGTGTCGCCCATGGCGATGTCTAATTATTTTATAGTTATTGATATTTATTGCGAATCAGTATGGATGGGGTGGCGTGTATCATGCTACATTCTGAATGTGAACTGACCGGCATTGATCATTACTACCCTGTTCGAGGAATTAGACGAATCCGCGACGATCCATGCACGGCTACGTTGCCGCATGTACAATCCGGTGTCAGTCTGAGCGAGAGACGCATAGCCCTATGAATTGTGAGATAAGTCAATAGTCGGCTCTTGCGGAATGTGGGCCTGAAAATATCGACGGTGCTCGCTTTCAGGAAGGGAGAGGAAAACACATGCTACGAGTTGTGGCGAAACGGTAACAATTCGCCCTATCTCGTATCTCGAGAGGTTGCCTGGTATTCCACAACTCGAAGTTTCTGCGGTGCCTATCAACTAGTGCCTGTCGCACTTGGATTTCCGATTCGTAGAAGTCCGTAGACTGAGGTGTGGCTCGTTTGACGACCGTGGGTAATTCCGTTCTGTACCCGAGACGCATATCGCGAATGAAATGGAAAGAACGCGTACCATCATGTTGGTTTCTACGACAGGACTTTGAAGATGTGGAGGGTCAGCGCTCATATCAACTCTCTCACATAGCCGGGTCATCTGGACTTACCCCGTGATGTCTCCAATCCCTACACGCACCAAAAGTCAAAAGTTCTGATCGTTAGGTGATGCATTTCGTAACAGTACGCGTCGTGAATGTCGAGACGCACCAAGACCAAGGAGGTACTGCGTCTGTGCATTCACAGCAGCGATACCCATTGTCGTCTGCGAGCCATCAGAAAGTAGACTAGTAGAGGCCAAGAAAGCCCCGAGACAGAAAACAGCGCGGTTCGTGAAGTCCTGGATAAAAGAGCGCATTGCGAGTGCGATGTCCCTCGCGAGGGGTGGGGCGATGTAGGACTGAAGAAGAGGCATCTCGAAGGGGAGCAGCTGCTCTTTATATGTATACGGCAGGGCACGGCTTCTTTATTGATTGTAGGGAATCAGGAGCAGGGCCTGAGACGGGCGAGTATAGAAGGGATATGGATATCGAAGTCAAATCATCCACATGGGCAAGAACTTGCGGCGTGGGCTACTTGGCTTCGAGCTTCGAGAATCGACGAACGTTTGGTGTGATTTTTCTGTTCTTCGTAACTGAATATAGCTGAAGATCGTACAAGAGAGGAAGCCAAAAAGAAAACAATTCGCACGCCAGAAAATGAATCCAAGCTGGAGATACTGTCGTGGTGGCGACAGCGGCTGGCAGCGGTTGAACAGCGAAGGCTCGAAAGAGGCGCGTTCTCAGTGCGTCATGATCGACACGGTCGCGTGCAGGTCGCGTGTGAGCCACGCTCGAGCGGAAGAGAGGCTGCTCCGCCACTCGACAGAGGACCTCAGAGGACCGGGCCACAGTTAGTGACGTCTACAATCTTCCAACTTGCTTGCAATACTCGCACTGAGTGTTGGCCACGTATTTTTGTTCGGGTAGTTACAGAGAGCACAGGCGCGTATGCCACTTCACATACACACCGTACTAAATCGTTGCAGTCACGGTACTCACGCTCGCATGCGGCATCGTCGCAGGAACTTCTTGAACGCCGGCATTGATCACCACACAGTCCCATTGAGAAGCTGAGCCACATCGTCTCCAAACATCACCTGCGCCGCACTCGCAGGATGGAGGTTATTCCTAGAAACAGCCACACTTTAGCACTCTGTCAGTCAACGGAAACAAAGAGAGACTCTCACCCCCAGAAATCATCCGTCCCCCCATAAGACGTATTATCCACAAATCCATAGGCTGTAGGATCATCCAATATAGCAGAGAAAGCCGCATTGGCGTCCCATACCCACGTCTGGGCTCCGGTGTGCGTGGACGAGAAGTTGGTGGCGCGGACGGCGAGTTGGGCGTTGTAGTATGTTATCATGGATTTTTCGAGGGAGGTGGCGGCGGTTCCTTGGGGTACCATCTGTATCATTGTTTCGGTGAGTTGTGAGGAGTTTCGACCAGAGTCATGAAGGAGAACATAGACGGGGGATGATTGCTTGACTTACAAGAGGGGAGCGGTCGACCGGTGGGCTGATATAATGGGACATGTCACCTTGTTAGTTCGGAAAGAAAGTAGGGAACTAGTGTCACGTACACGTTGAGGAAGAGGAAGTTACGAGCTCCGGCATCGCTATTAGATGGATGCAAGTCGTTCATTAGACCCTCTTTCTGTCTTTCATTTGAGAATCAACTCACTACTGCAGGAATGTCAAGATATTAGCTCGAGGATCGTAAGGTCAACGTACAGGGACTCACAGTCTTCTGTACGAGTGCAAAATACGCGTCCAAGAGGACATCCGAGAACCTGAATCCACCTCCATCAGACATTCTGCCACCGCGAACAATCTTGTCTACCACTCACGCATCACGATCCCCAGACTCATAGTAAGAGTTACCAATATCGTTGATGCCTATGCTACCATCAGCCTCCGTCCCATGGTACTCACACGCAAGAGCAAAAATGACGAAGTGCGCACCGATCCAGAATGAGAATAACGAGTTATCACTCGTCCACACCTTGCTTCCCGTCCCGATATTAGGCTGTGCAAGGAACTCGTTGACCTGGTCCGTCATGGAGAGTACGGTTGGTTCGTATGGAGTGACGAGGCTAGCGTCGATGGTAGCTCCACCGTAGGCATAGTTGTATGTAAGGACTAGGGAGTTGTTGGAAACCTGAATATGGATAGTCGTTAGGTACGAGGGTGTTTATGGGAGGATGAGAAGAGCGTACGGCCGCAGCTTCATCAATCCAATTGGGTCCGCCAGTTGCAGTATAACCCTACGACAAAATCGTCAATGGCTGCACTTCCGAGTTATGTGCCAACAGCGACTCACGGGGTATACCGGATTTCCGAACGCGTTATCGGGAGAAGGAAGTGTCAAAGTGCTATCAAAACCAGTCTGGGTGTACGAATCGCCGCTAAAATCCCACGAAGTCAGTATCTCGTCCACCCTTGAAGTACGAAGCTAGTGTGGCGTACAAACTGAACCAGTAGTTGACGCCACTGTAAGCCGTGGCGGTAGCCTCAGGCCCAACGGGAGAACTCGCAGTAGAAGTAGCACCGGTGGACGTAGTTGAAGTGGGTTGTGTAGAGGAAGAAGCGGGTGCGCTAGAAGAAGATGCTGCACCGAGGATGCATTGACTGTAGTCTTGCGGCATCGGCTATTATCAGCACGATGTGCGATGAACTTTCATCACGGCACAGTACATACAATCATTTGAGTAGGTGCACGTATAACTATTTTTATCATGATCGTCAGTGTTTGCTTGTCAGAGGAAGAAAAAATGGCGGTTTTATATGCGTACCCTGACACGCAAGTCGTTGCCCCGCTCCAACCGACACCACCACATTGGCCCCATGCGCTGGAAGGAATCGTCAACACTTCCAGAGAAGCCTTATAAACATGGCACAACGGAAGATTCACCTCGACTGCGCGAGAGCTACAGGTACAAAAGTCACAGATGACGCAAGAACAACAAGAACAGACAACATCTGAGCGCTGAGCACCGAAGACGAAGACAAAGAAAGGGAGAACGAAAGGAACTATGTGTCGAGTATAAGCAAGGCAAGCCCAAGTCCTTATAAGAGAGCAATTCCAGAGCAAATTCTTCCGAGAACAACGAGGGAGGTTCGGAAGCGTTGAGGCATATGTGTTCGGGATATATTCGGCAGGTGTTTACCTGGTTTTGCGACGGTGCGACCTGGCTGGGTCTCGCATCAGGCTGCAGCCTGGTGCTCGATGTCTCCTGGTGACCCGTTCTGGATGATATTTACACCCGGTGATTTACCGTTGTCTGTTCCGATTCCGGTAGTTCCTTGTGTAATGAATGATCTGGGGCCGAAATAAAAGGTTGTATGTGTTCCGACGATGCGTCGGTAGTAAGTCACTGGGAAGGGCAGACTCGAGACACAACAAACACCAGAAAGGCCGTACGAGTGTGTCGTGAGTCGAGAGTATCATTCCTTGAGATTTCAGCTACTTTTATCTCTTCGACACATTTTAGGAACAGCGCTTCGAGCGAATGTCAATTTCAAGAGACATGAAGAGACCCACCTGATGCTTTCAATAGCGATGTCGCTTCAATAGCGGGACTATTCCGGGAATACAAGACGTACTTTCAGCAGTGAAGGTAGTACTGGGCACCCTGCAAGGATGGTACCCATGAGATTCCAGTCTCAAGCATCTGCACATGCTCTAGGCTTTCCGCGCCGGACCGCTGATTATTTCGAGCATACGGTATCAGAGTCAGCGGCTCTCTCAAATTACCTGGCTGAATGGTCAGAGAGAGTACTGGTGCCAGACATCCGACGGTTATGGGAAAACCCCCTCTGATCTGCGACCGATTCAGAGACGCAACGAGGGAGCCCTCAGGTGGTATGGCAATGTCAAAAAGCTTAAGCTGAGTTTCGACATCATACAAGATAGTGGGATAGACGAGGTGACGACAAGAAGAAGTTCATACAAAATCCTGAAAGGAATTTTGGGGCGTGCAGCGATGTTGGGTGTAAGGTCGAGGGTGCCACAAGGTTGCCACACTTCAGATCGTCAGGTCACAGAATATCACATTGTGACCAAGCAGTGACTCATCGGAGCCTAAATTCGGAGCCGGCGTCGCGTAGTCGCGGTGCTGGGCACTTGGCGCTTATGGGTGTTGGTTTGTCCTTGTCCACGACGGTTACCGTGATTCAGGAAGACGGCTGGTAGGTCTACATGCAAGCAACATGCAACTATCCTCCTTCGTTTCAGGAGAATAACCCGGTTTTGCTTTTCCTTCAGTCTTTTCACTGTTAGAGCGTTGCCTGCCTGAGGTAGCTGCGCCCCTGAACCGTCAATCTAAGTGGCGCTGCATATCGACTCGGTCCAGTCAAAGGACGTCCTTCGATTCTGTCGGTTGGTAGGTGCTCGTTGACGCTGCTAATCGTGACTCCAACTTGACTCCATTCTCGAAACTGTCAGATCATTTATGACCGCACTGGTTCTCTAAAGCCTTTGACTCGCTCGCGGCGGTGCCGCCACCGAATTATGGCCTTGGTGCGATGGAGCTCCCTGCTCTATAAAGGGACGAGGGTATCGTTCCAGAAAAGCATTCATCACTACCCGCAGAACTGTCTCAGAATGGTCTCCACCTCTGCTTTGCTCGCTTCTTCTCAAAACGTCACTCTCCCCCCTCTTCCCGAGCTCTACGATGCCAACTTCCTGGACACGCTCCTCCCCATCACCGAAAAGGGCGCTCCTGCGTCTGCCTCTACGACGGAGCCCCAGCCCCAGAATGCGCTTATTGACGCTCTGAAGGCCACCTCTCACCAAACGTATACCACTAACGCGGCCAAAGCCTTTGACTCTACGGACTCCCCCGTTCTCGACGCTTTCCAAGAGCTTACACCCTACGCATCTGGCTCCGACATCCACGACAGCTTGGCGAAGGCCTGGGCCGAAGATCCTCAGCTTACTCTTCGTATCATCTGGAATGCGAGGAGTATTCACGATGGAAAGGGCGAAAAGGAGTTATTCTACCGGTTCGTTCTCAATTCTAGTGTTGTTCACAAGACATTGACTGATAATCACTTTTTATTAGGGCTTTTGGATGGCTCTATAAGAACCACCCTCGTACTGCCATCGCCAACCTGCCCTCACTCATCACTCCCGTTTGTACCCGCCCCAAAAAGGACGAAGGCATGCCTCACGGATATTGGAAGGATCTCCTCAACATCTTGGCCCTCGTCATGCTCGACGAACTCCGCGCCAATCATGATAGGTTTATGGGCTTCGTGCACAACTATTGCTCCAAAGCCGACGGCGCCTGGATCCGCGAGATGTACAAGACGGAGCTTGGAAAGCTGGGGCCTAATGCCACCTCGGGCGACCGGGCAGCGTGTTCGGCTCAGACTACGCCTATGATCCAGCAGGCTGCGAAGGAGCGTCGTGCCAAAAAATCCGCTAGCTTCCATGAGTTGCTCTTGTTGAAGCTCCGGGAACCGGCCTTCCGTGCGTTATACGTCGCGGTCGCTCGCCTTTTCGCAGATCAGATCGTCAAGGATGCTGCCGTTCTCAAGCAAGCCGAAGGCATCACAGATGCCAAGGAGCGCAAAAAGCTGCTTCGCCAGCTCACGTTCGTGTCAAAATGGGCGCCCACCCCGCACGGCTCTCACGATCGTGTCACGAACATCTCCAGCGCAATCGCACTCCTGCTCCATGACCAAGGTGCCATGGCCGGCCTTTCACTTCCTGTCGACCCTTCTCCCACCCGCTTATTGTCACTCTCCGACACTCACGTCCTTCGCTCCTTCTACAAACGCTGGCATCTCAAACCTCTCCGCGACGCTCTCATGCTCCCTGAGGTCCTCATGTCCGCTAACAAGTGGTCGTCGATTCCCTACTCCCGAGTGCCTTCCGTCTGCATGAAGAACAATACCGAACGGTTCTTCACCCACGATCGCGAACGCTTCACGAAGTACATGGAAGACGTCGAGAGCGGGAAGAAGACGATTAGCGGAGCCACCCTCATGCCCCACGAACTCATCGGATCCATCATGGAGCAGCACCGTTACCTCGCTCGTTCCCCGCGCCCCGCCGATAACTTCGCTTCCGTCAAGGCCGAAGTTCGTCGCAAGCTCGCGGAGCAGAAACTCTCCGTTCTGGAGGCGCAGTGGAGGAGCATGATCGACCGTCTTCGCGAGTCGGGCGCTCTCGAGAACGCGATGGCGATATGTGACGTCTCCGGTTCCATGGGCTCCATCACGTACGATAACCCTCGCAGTAAGCAGACACGACCCATCTTCCCTGCCGTCGCTCTCTCCCTCGTCACCGCTCAACTTGCCAAACCTCCGTTCGCCAACGCTATCATCACCTTCTCTGCGAAGCCTCAGTTCATCACTTTGGAGCCTACGAGGAGTATCGGAGACTCTGTGGAGAAGATGGTGGGCGCTGACTGGGGCATGAATACGAATTTCGATGCGGTGTTTATGGACCTTCTGCTCCCGCTTGCCGTGAAGCATAACGTTCCGAAGGAAGATATGGTCAAGCGTGTCTTCGTCTTTTCCGATATGCAGTTCGACGAGGCACGGGGGGAGGAGGACGAGAACGAGGAGGACGAGGTCTATCGGCGGGTGAGCGCTGAGGAACTCGAGGAGGAGGGTGTAGAGATTCCCGAGGGCATGGAGGTTTGGGATGCGGGCGATGTTGGGGATGCGAAGGTTGATGACGGAGCTAAAGAGGCGAAGGCTGCTGGGAAGTGGCAGACGAACCACGACGTGATCGAGAAGGCATTCAAGGCGGCCGGGTACGATATGCCACAGATCGTTTACTGGAACCTGGCAGACTCGTTCATGACGACACCGGTGAAGGCGGACAGGAAGGGTGTGGCGCTGATGAACTCGTTCAGTCCGGCGATGATGAAGGTGTTTATGGGTGAGGAGGACGAGAGTGTGTTGGAGGGAGAGGATTCGTGGGAGGTTACGGGCGAGAAGACGTCGGGTGAGAAAACGAAGGCGGAGGAGGAGTTCACGCCGTTGAAGGTGATGAAGAAAGCGTTGGGGAAGAAGAGTTTCGACGGACTTGTCGTTGTGGATTGAGGAATCGGACTTTACCTGTAGCATATTTGATCTCGCACAACCCCCAACCCCCTTGCTTTATGTACTTGCATGTATACGTATACCCACCCATCATCCCCATTCTATGACTTATTACTGACCCCCTGTATTTTGTATATTACATTCGCTATCATACTCGCTCTGCATCATGCCCATCTCACACAATATATCGTACTTGCCACAATCATTCAAAACCATTGCGACAAGCTTCGTACGCATTGACCACGCATGAGACTCAAGGAAGATCTGTGTTGATGAACGAGAAACAGATACATGAGGTAGAGCACGGGCATGAGAAAAAAATGCGAATAATATACCGAGCACATGAAGCAGTACATTTGTTCAAGTATCAGCTACAATCTCATGAACGCTTCCCAAGACGAGTCCTCAGCGACATGCTGAAATCGAAACGGAAATCGCTCCGGAGGTGAGAAAAGTTCGTTTGGGTCCATATCAACATTGTGTATCTCGAGATTTCTTGGTCCTGGTATATCCTTGAAACCACATATAAATCGGTGCTCTGGCCAGTCTCTATGGAGGTGCGATCAGATGCCTAACCAGGAGGTGACGAAAAGCGAAGACTGACTGCGCCTGACACTCCACGCTGCAATAATCGACCGTATGGCATGACTTGCATCTTCCATGCCGCCATTTCTTACAACCACGTTTCATACAATGCCCAACGACTCGTGACCTTTTGTCAATGACATCAAGCCACATCCATGCTCCACGGATAGTCGGAATGGACCCGTAAGCGTCCCGGTTGTTGTTTGCCCAATGTCGAAGAAAACTATTGGGTGCGAACGCTATGTCGAGGCAAGCTCGCATGAATCGTGGACGGGGAAGCTGGCGACGGACGACGGGGAGAATGCCTGGCAACATTTCGACGTGGCTTTGAATTTCGTTTAGAAGCATTCCTATATGACCTACACAGGATTCAACCAGTGAAGGACATGAGCGATGCATCCAATAGCATAAAAAAGCCTGTCATCCCACTCACCTGCGACGATGTCGTGTGTCTCCATCTTCGAAAGCAAGGCACGTTCCATAGCGTAGAATATATCAGCACGAACGAGAACTTTCATGTAGTCCTCGCATATCGTTGTGCTCCCCCCTCCTTGTCGATCATGAGCCAGCTGGCTGGTATACGACAAGCAAACGGAGATCAATCGGATGATATCTTCAAAAAGGTTGTTCGGGATGTGTCCGCTTGTCCCTTTATCCTGAAGATATCCTGGATTTGCGATAGCGGAGATGATATGGATCCAGAATAGTTGTGCGCGTAGTAGAGCATACATGTACTCCGTGTCCGCGAGTGGTGCGCTGGTTGCCCAGCCCACCTGCAGAGCTAGTAACCATACCAGCTTGATAGACCTTTTCAGGTAGATGCAGGATGATGAGAGCGGGGCAGCCGTGATGCAGGAGAGGAAAACTGAGAATGAACGGTCCTTCATCCCATACCGAATTCGTTCCATAAAATGGGCAGGAGCCCGGAAGGCACGATGGCTATCGTATGCCCCGCGATTCGACGGGACGATGAGAGATGTAAGCGCAGAGACGCAATGATAGAAATCTTCTTTCGCGGTCGAATGGGTGATGAATAAAGTGAGAACAGGTACTGTGAAGTCGTTGGGGTCATCTATAACACTGCGTTATACAATTGATCAGCACATACGGAGAAGACTGACGGAGAAGCAAAGACAACGGAACCTTAAAAGCGTAGGATCGTGTTGAAGCATATCGTTTAACAACTCGATAAAGACCAGCCTCTCACCCATGGAGCGAGGATCCGGATTCAAAGCATTTTCGGGGGCATCGAATAGCTGAAACAAAAGTGACATTTCCCAAATGAACATCACGCCGCGGCGTCGCGGAAGTCCGACGTACTCGTTTGGTGATGTCTGTCCAAGACTCTTTGATAGAGGATGCAAAAGTCTTGTTCGTGGGATCAGGGTGCTTCAGCATATTGTCGGATCCTTGCAACAGGAGGTGGAGGAACGGAAACCACGATGACGGTGGCTACACAATTTTTAGCCTAGACCACACCATGCAGACAACGGTCGACAGGGAAGCGACTGCACGTACCTCTTTACCATCCTCGCCTTCAAGTTCAATACACATTTCGCTCTCTGGAGATCTGATAATGCAACCACATATCTCCGCTGTGATGCCTGCTCTCACGAGGCGCCGCCATCGAATACCCGCAGGCACTTTGGCAGCGTCGAGAACCGCATTGAGGGCGATGCTAATGTTCTGTTGTTTTCGTGTCAGGAATATCCCTTTCACAAGGCAGTGGATGTGTCTCTGGAAATGCTAGTACCTCTTTGTCGTCGCCGTATATAGTGCGCCCGGGAGTGTCAGACCGCCAAGTCGTGAGGAGAGTCACAAGCCGGGCGGGATTTGTGTCAATCAATCTTGCCCAGAAAGCCTTAGGGTGTTTCATGAGTTGGACGGGGCGCAGAAAACTTGGTTCAAGTTCGTTATGCTCAAGAAGATACCGTGCCACCCCGAGAATTCGATCCGGCCGCAGCCGAGGTGCCACCCGACTGCGAAACCGCCACAAACGGGTTTTCTTTCTGACGACTTCGAAGTATATCCATGTCTTTTCCATTCAGCAATACATCTGGCTGTCGAACATCATTCATACCGTTCAGATTCTCGGGCCTCGACAGGAGTACTACCAAGGGAGGTTCTCCGCCGGCGTGAATCGAAAAGGAAATCTTTCGGGCGGAGTAAAGATATTGACGTGACCTATGTCGAGATCCCTCCGACCTGGTATATCACGAAAACCGCAGATAAGTCGATGTTCAGGCCAATCCCTGTCGATACAAGGTCATGTCGTTCTATGTGTCAATTTTCTACCTTCTGAACTATCTGAAGTGAAATGAATCAAGACGCACTGTGCCTGACATTGGACATCACAGTAGTCTGCTGTTCGACAGGCCTTACACCGTCCCGAGCGTCTCCTCTTGCACCCTCGTCGAATGCATTGCCCATCAACTCGGGACATTTGTTGAAGCGCATCTAGAAACATCCAAGCATCTCGAATAGTATTGGGCGACCGCCCTCCCAGAAACATGAAAGCAGTTGGAATATCGAACGACCTGCCTCCCAAATTGCCCGCGTTTGTAGCCCATTTACTAAGCTCTTCACTGGGAGAAAAAGCCTTGTCAAAACAAGCCCGCAAGAGACGCTGGCGAGGAAGATGTCGGCGGATAGTAGAGAGCAAGGACGGCGTCATTCGAACAATGCGGTAAAGCTCTTCAATGAAAGTCCCTATATGTTCTGCAAACATCATTTCATACCGAACAAAGTATACGAGAAAACAGGGTATCATGACTTACGATATACCCTAACGTCAGTATCGGCCCTTTGGACCAAAACATACTCTACGGCGTCAAATATATCTGCACGGACCAGGACCTTTATGAAGGCCTCCCGTATCTCCTGGGCCTCCTGCCCCACGAGGCTCTTCATGCATATATTGATGAGCTCCATGACTTCTACAAGCAACTGACTCGCCTTGAAATTGGGCGAGTCTTCGATATGGCCGGGGATCCAAATGATAGAGATCAGATGTTTGAATAAGATCTGAGAGTGCAATAATGCGTGTAGATATTCTGCGCCAGCGGAGGTTTTCCAAAGTGTCAGACCGATAGCACTCTGCGAAGTGAGTGCCAAAATAAGCTGTATCGCTTCGTCGAGGCTATCGGCCGGCAGTGGGACAAGGCACGATGTAAAGCGAGACATAAATGTGACGTAGGAGCCGTCTCCAATGCCGAGCCGAATGCGGTCCATATAATCGTTGGGAGCTCGAAGCCTTCGCCCAAAGTCGTACTTGTTTCCGTCCGCAGGTCTAACAATTCGATGCAACGTGGCGGTACACTGGTAAAAATCTTTTTCTTCGCTCGAGTGCATCAGAAAGCGGGCAAGTATTTGAATGGTGAGATCTTCGGGGGCGTCTATCACGCTGATTGCAGATACGAATCAGTCGAATATCGAGAATGTACCGAGATGCAACAGACCTCAAGAATGTGTAGTCCAATTGCAGTAGGTTTACAATAAATGAGCAGAGATCTACGCGCTCTTCAACAAATCTCGGTTGCGGTCCTAAGGAGTGCTGAGGTGTCTCCCAAAGCTAGAAGAACGTGACAGGTCAGGTTCCACTTTGGCATATTAGAGGCTCGAGACTCACACGCTTGACTATCCCACCCCAATGTTCCTTCATAGAGGAGAAGCATATTTGATTTACAGAGCTCGGAAATAACTTGATGTTATCCGCTCCTTGTACTAGAATATGTAAGAAGGGAGCCCATGGAAATGGCGTCTGGCGGGACATCAGTTGTTATGAGCGATATTGAGGCCATGTCCTCTAGCGTAGAAATGGCTCACATTCAGGTCTCGTTCACCGTTTCGAGGGGAAGGAGACTTGATATTAGGAGCCCGCACGAGGCAGCCACAAAGCTCTTGTGTGATGCCTGCTCTTACGAGACGTTGCCATCGTAGTCCTGAGTCCTCTTCAGCGGCTTCACTGATCGCTATTAGAGCGACTGTATAATCCTAGGAGACGCGCCGGGCAGTTGACGAATTGAACAGCTCAGGAATTTCCCGATGGGGGTCAGACTTACTAAGGCGCCGCCTCCAACGGAAGGTATGGGGCCACAAAGGAGCCGATAAAGTTCGCAGAGCGGAGCTGTTGCTTCCAAGGCCCGAAAGCTGGGTTGAAACGAGCAGCAGAGGAAGCGATAGCGAAGGGCTGCATATCAAACAAAAGCGGTGGAAAGCGGAGGGTTAAGTGTTAGTGGAATAATTGGGAATGGGTAGATTCGAGATTCGAGATAGGTAAGGACGAGGGAACAGTCGCTCAGCCCTTATAACTGACATACCGTTTGTTGTTGAATGCCTCTTTTGAGTACTCGCCAAACCACAAATGCGAAACTTCATACTTGGGAAACTGCGTGTTTTCCCGTAGAAAACATGAAACCAAGAAGTCGAAACGATCTGCGGCACCATGGAGATATCAGAACGATCTGCGAAAACAGAAAACCTGTCAGAGAAACTTAACATTATAAGGGCTCGAAACGAGGCAAATCATAAATTCGCGAGAGGGTATACACATTCCCTTTTGGCAAAACAGAGTAAAAGACAGAACAAGCACCATAATGTACTGAAACGAGAGGAGTGATGGCGGGAAGGTGTTGGGAGGGCGCATCAATACGAAGTGTCTCGTCGAAGGCCTCTGCACGGAAGCATGTCAAATCACTGATGGCCGGGCAAGGAAGCCCAGCAGGCATGGCGTCACTCTTTGTTCACGCTCACTTACCGGGTGAGACTCGTTCGGAGATTGGTGGGCCACAAAGAAAGAGCGCGGAGGCGAGCACGTGTCGTGGCACCCGGATTTTTCCGCACACTGCGTCATGGTTCACCGTACACGCGCTGTTGCTCTGAACGACGACCCTCTCGTAGTCTCATGCAAGCAGATTAGCCAGGGGTATCAACGTCGACAACTGTCTCGGCATCTGTTATACGCTGATATCTACGTACTTTCTGATGAAGCACTCAAAGGCATTCTGGGCACGACAGATCGACACAAATCCCGCACGCGTTGTCGCTCTCTTTCCCATATTATGGACGTATCCTGAGGCTTGTAGGACCAGGTACGGAGATGAGGCGGCGGTATGTCGACTACATAGACCACTCCCGCGCTAATGTCAGCTAATTGCGCGGCTAATTCCACGCGACGCGGCTGTTGGCGACCGGGTTCTCGCTTAGCGAGAATTAGGCCGGATTAGCTGGAATTTAGCATTGAAAAGGGAACAGTCGAGCTTTGAGCAACCCTGTAGGGTGCACGACATCTCGATACCATGTAAATGTCGTAGGAGATTGAACACACAAAAATATACATACATCATAATAAAACTATAGTGTTTCTTGAGGTCAGAAAACACCACAGTGAATATGTCCGAGCCAATTTCCCATTGGCAAGTCTGAATAGCCTCTCAAGAACCATATCTCGGTGTGTATAACTCCCTCCTGTTATACTTAGTAATATTTCCGACCAGTCAAAGCAGAGAGAATGCAGAGAGAATGCGAGCGAAGTGGACGTTGGGACGAGGCTGATGTGGCGCCCGCTGTGGCGCGGCATTTTGTTTGTCTTTATTTGCTCACAGTTGATGAGAGAGACGCGTCACTCGGTCGACCTCTTTGCCTTCCACCTTCTGCATCATCCCCACACATCGCTCTCTTTCGCAACATTGAGCGTGCACTCCCGGCCCTTCCTATGGGTATCTTTGTCTGCCAATGATACGGTGAGCACCTCAGCTTGGCCCTTCTTCGCCCTTCGACATTGTGATAGGTTATTCGCTTGGCCTCTGAAGCGTCGGTGTCGCCATTCGTGTCCTGTGTAGACCATAGGTCTAGTTAGGTACGTCCTCCCCATATTTCTTATTCCTCATTTGCTGAATATGCGGCTCCGTCTGTCGCTGTCGATTGTGCTGCAGACGTCAGGTTGGTGGCCGAACTTATCGTTCACCGTTAATGCGAGCACCCTCTGCATCGCTACCTACGTTGGCGCTCTGACTCGGTCCCCGTACGTCGCTGTGGTTGGATCATGTTTAAGGTATGTGCCCGCGTCGCCATCGCAATCATTTCAGCTCCGTGTGTTTGCTGAGTATACAACTGCTCGCGTAATGTTGCGAAGGTTGTGCGCGTCATAGGGATGTAGAGCGTGATTTGCCCTCAGGGAAACAGAGCTGTATAAGGTCAGTGCTCCCCCCGCTTATTTTTGAAAAGTGACGAGTGTGGGGCGCCGCAGGATTCGCTGCGGCTGCGAACATGTTCTCATCCGCCCAGCCAATTCGTCCTACCGCCACCTTCATCACCTGCCATATTCCTATTTCGCACTCGCAAAGCCTGCATCCCCACAATCCTCACAGGATTACACTCCCTTTCAAGACCGAGCGTCATGGCTTCACCGTCGGTGTGAGTGTCGTCGTCGGTAATCGACCGTAAGCCCGTCATTTCTCTACTATAGACTATTCTCCTCTGATGAGCTCATGCTCTCTAGCCGTAACTCTTCAAGGGTATATCTCGACACTCGAGATGTCATTCGCCATGGTCAGGCCATGCGGCGTGTTCCTTGCTAGTAAGTCGTGCACCTTCTCTTAGCACGATCAGATGTCCTTTCGTTGTTGACTTCCTTATTGGTCGAACTAGGTGTTCTATCAGTCTACAGTGCATGAATGGTGACGCTGGTGATCAAACGTGTGCAACTGTTTCGGGCATGTAAGCGTAGCTAGCCATGTCAGGATTCTTTATGTACCTTGTAATTATTATATTCATTGCCAATATAATCAATCTGCGCCCCGTATGATATGCCCCGTATGATACGTGTGCATCAATGATAAAATTAGCACAAAATGGTAATCTAATAGGCTGAGGAACAGAGGACAGTCAGGGCTTGTGAGCGAAAATTAGCTCTCATTAGCAACCTGATAGTTGGCCGACTTGTCTAACCCTAATCCTAATCTGATTAGCTCTGATTAGCCGGAGTTAGGTCTCGTAAGGAGGGGGGTGATTTCCAGATGCCTCGCTGTCCTGCTGACCATATGTATTGTTCGCTACCACGAGTCACTATCATGCTAACAGTATACGTTGGAATGCTCATCATCTAGCCCATCCCGTATTCCGAATGGCCCCCCTTTACCCACGGGAGAGCTCCAAGATTATGTTCGGACGCATGACTGGGACTTCCCCACCTGTTTCTGTCCCCTTCTTGCGACGGGTACCCCCTCAAAGACCACACTCATCGTTCCAGTCACGCCTACCTCTGAACATGTTGGGAGCCCTTGCCTCACTTGTCCGACGAAGCAGTGCTCGTACTTTCGTCAGCTCTGTTCTCTTCGTCTCCTTGTCAGACTCGTACTAATCTCACATACTTTCTTTCCAGTCAACCTTGAGGACCTCGTGGATAGGTTCCCCGACCTGCCATGCAAGGTCTTTCCGAAGAAAGGTTCGTCTATTCGGTTGTATACTCCTGTTCTTCTGTCTAATCTTGTCCATAGACCCTATCACCCCATCGTCGAGTCAGTCTACCCCTTCTAAGGCGGCGCGGACTCTGATTTTTCGATCTCCGGGTACGTTCTATGACACTACCGTTATTGACCGTTGACTGATACATTGGTACATAGTCCAACATGCCATCAAGTCTGCCCCACCATCGCCTTCGAAGGCGCCCAAGAGCATCCTGAGAAAGATCAACATCATATCCCCTCCTCCATCGGGCTCAGCATTCGGAGACGTATTCACCGCCAACTTCCCCGTCAAGACCGAGGACATCCCTCCGTCTCTTCAGGCCCTTTTCGATGAGGATGCTCTCAATGGAGGGAGCTCTCGCGATGCGACCGAGAGTCCCGCTCGGGTCACGTCAGATGCCGCCAAGCAGGCTTTCCGTGACTTCGATCGTCGTGAGGCTCAGCTAAAGGGGCGTGGGTATCACCGAGGTATGCATTTATTGCTTGCGCTTTGTATTGTCATCCTTGGCCTTCATACGCTGATGATTCCTCAATTCAAGATAATGGCCTCATAGACGATCTGACGCGCTTCTGGACTGATGTCCCTGAGCTCTCCGGTCGCCGAGCATGCGATGTTCCGGTCCTTGGAGACATAGACACTATGTCAATCCTCTTCAGACTCGATGGAGAGAAGGACGCTGGTGTTCCATACAAGGATCTCATTCGTATCCTCTCTCACTGTGACTGCTGCGGACTCATCATGACTCCCCGAAAGCTTCAGCTCCATTCCTGTGACCTGGACACGCCGTTCGTCGAGACCACTCCCACCCTACACCGCTCCCTCGGCTCCTCTTCTGCCGGACCTTCCTCGTCGCCTTCTGCGCTCTACACTCCAACCCCGGGGCTCAAACGCAAGAGGAAGCTCACCATCTCCCCTGAACATATCCCGAAGAAGGTTCGAGTTTGGGGTAGTGACAAAGGCAAAGGGAAGGAGGTTGTCAAGTCGGGTGTGCGTGTCATCGAGCATGCAGACGGAGTTCTCGAGATTCTGTCGGACTCGGACGATGAGCTTGTGTGAGGTGCGATTCAATTTTTTGGGCTGTCTATAATGCCGGGTTTTTAATGACTTGTCTATCGTTCAGGATTTATACATTTGTCTTCGTGCTTCCACCAAAACTGCATGTGCGTTGCCACATAGGATCTATTTCTTGTAGCCCTCGATGGGCGGTTCCACCATTATGCTCCGTTGTTTCATCCCGCGGCTGTGCTCGCCATGTAATTTGTGTTCTGTAAAACTCCATGATAGTAATCCCAATATATTTCTTGTGCTCAACCATACCGGTGTGATACCAACCGGTTGTGTTCGTCAAGTGTTCGTCGGTCTGGTAGAATTGAATCTCCGTCTCCGTCTCCGCTTCTGCCGGGTTACGTCTTACACCTCACTCATTCCCTATCTGTTGAATCTTCGTATGCTTCACCTTTGCTCCCGTACAGCCCAGTTTTGATAAGTTCGCTCACTTTACCTCTTGGTGCCAGTGGATACACAACTCTACCAAAGGGTCTTCTTCATCGTGGCTGGCAAGCGTCTCAACGCAGTCGCCGCGAACCGGAGATTACAGTATTCTTTGGCTTGTTGTTCTTATACATCATACGCTAATTAAACATATCTACATATCTCTTCAACAAGGGCCCTGGTGCCACCATGACCATCTCGACTCCGTCATCAATACTCTATACAGCCCCTCAATTCCGGCGCTGCAATAATTTGCCTACCAACCACCGTAGCCATTCCACTTGCAACACTGGGCGAACCGTCAACACAGTGTACGGCTCCCATTTATGCTTCCAAGAGGTCAAAGCCCGAGGACCCACCGACTTCAGTGCTCCTCCACCCTCGCCATGTGCTTCTGGCCGTACAAAGTCTATGTAGGATCAGTACTTGGGATTGGTTGTCGGCTCATGAGAGAGTCAGATACGAGTGGGCTCACGGTGAAGCCTTGGAACAGCGACTATGGCTCCTTTCTGGTAATATTCATTGACCGCCACACGTCAGTTCAAACACTAACGTTCGAACCTCCACTCTTCCAGTGCTCCTGTGTACTCGGAAGCACCACGGAGAGCCTCCCAGATCCTTTCTCAACACCTGCACACCTCACCAGCTTCAAAGGTTAAAACGAGTTGTCACAAGCTCGTGAAGACTCGAGATGGTATCTGGAGTGGAGATTGGCACGAGGAATGAGCAGAAGGACGAGGATGGCGCTGAGACGAGTTACAAAGACGAGCAAACGTACGCACCATTTCCAAATCCCCTGCTCCTCATCCCCAAGGACCCGTTCGAGCATCCCTCGCGCATCTCCACTAACGCACGCATCCGTTGTTCTCTGTAGTCATCCTTCATTTCTCCACATTCATCCCCTCGTCATCCCACCCACATCCTCCCTCTGAAAAAACACCAGTTCTCGAGGAATCCGATGGGATACTCGTTCATCAGCCTTCGAGGACGTCCAGGATGTTTCGAGGAATGTATTCGGGCGTGGAATCTGGATGCGAGAGGTCTCAGGAGGGTCTCCAGAGTCTTGCAAAGAGCAGGAGATTAGCGCAACGAACAAGGATGAGGCCAGCAAAAATGAACAAGCGTACGTACCCTTCTTCGTTCACAATGTCTCGTTTCACACCCTTCAGACTCCTGCTCACGATCCCTATGCATTGCCATGCGCCCCTCAGCGTCTGTAGTTATCCTCTTTTCCCCCACCCTCGCCCCCTCGTCTTCCAGGTCTCCCTCCAAGTATATGTTAGTACCCGAGGTATTCGATGGAACACTTGTGTATGGCCGGTGGACGAAGCAAAGAGATTCGACGCGTGTTTGACAGGTATTCCGGAGTGCGTGATTGGGTCCGTGGAATTCGACGACCTCTGGGACGTTGAAGAATAAGATCAGCGCTGCCGAAGATGCAGGGAAGCGAAAGAGAGTACAATCAGCGGACAAAGATACTATCGAGCTCGCATGAAGGTACATATCGTTCCACGCCGTCACATGTGTCGGGAATTTCATTTCTAACCCCACTGCTACAGTATAAGTGCGGCCCTATGCGTGTCCGAGTGGCGGTCTTTTGGCACGTGTGCCGTTTCCAATGAGCATGATTTTTATCTGCTTCCTCCAGGTTTCTCGTCATTATCGACGTCCTCGACGATGATCTCACTCGATGCATGTGGGGTCAAGTGTCGTATCGCATCAACGGTGCGATTTTTCAGTTTCTCCTTGCCGCCAGGCTCACTTGTTATCGTGTATGTGAGTTGTTGCCGCTCATATGCTCATGCAGGCTGATAGCAGAATGCTTGTAACAACTCCATAGGCTTCAGAGTACACATACTACTCGGCAGAGGCTCAGTAGCGACGATCCTCAACTCAGTTGCCGCTGTTACTAATTGCTGTGGCGTTACTAAGGTGAGCCTATTCAAGTTGACAGTCACCGCCGTGAGCTAGATTAAACCCTAATTGACGGACAGGGTCTGATCAGGGTATGGATCCATATATAAGGGGTGCTCTTTCACCCTTTTCCCTAGCCCCGTCACTCTCGGCTTCCATCTAGTCAGTGAGTGTTGTGCACATCTGTCGTCTTTCTCTTTTTTCTCTCTCTCTTAGTCAATATATCATTGGGCAGTCGCACTTCGACATACCCTTTGGCTTCTACCCTTCGGCTCTTTCTACAGTCTTGACATATATATTATATATACACTGATCATACCCATCACTGACAGATCCTGGCTGCCCAAGCATATACAAGCATCGGGCAGTCGCACTTCGACACACCCTTTGCTCTGCCACCCGGATGACACGAACTGCACCAGCTCCTTGACCTCCTGCACCCCCGCAATATTTCGCCGTTGAAGGAGAGCGCAAGCGAGCGCTCCACTCCCAGCGCCACCTCACCTGCCCGCCTCCGCACTTACCGCACCCGCCACATTCCCACCCGTGCCCTCCATCGTGCTCCAGTGCCCGTCCCTGCCGTGGAACATCACCGTCGAGCCCTCACCCACCGCCTCACCCAGTGGCGCAGAGTTCATCTCGGTACAGGACGTGCTCGACGCACTATACAGCAACATGCAGACGCAGGTGAAGGAGGTGGAGTTCAAGGCACTGGCTGCGGCTATGGGCAAGGCCGTGAGCGATGTGTTTGGGAAGAGGTGGAAGACGTTCGTGAATGGGATGGAGAGGGAGAAGTAGAGGGGAAAGGGCGTGAAGAGGGTCGATTTCTTGGTCGGCAAGACGAGGGTCGACAGTGTGAATAAGGCATCGGGGACGAAGGACGACGTTTGGGTGTTCACTGTGCGGTCATGAACAGTCCTGGTGATGACCGTGTCTCGCTATTCATTGTGAGTGCCATTTCCCTCCTTTTTCTTTTCTGTGGTTCAAGGTGGCCGTGTGCTCATCGGTGTTTATTGGTCACGCAGATTGGATCCCACGCATGCAGTATAATCAATCCACGACGACGGAGAAGAAGAAAACAAAGAAGAATTCCCTAAATCAATCCAAAAGCATCTATACTCTCCACTCGTCCCGCTCAGGCAGTGCGACTCGGTTCATCAGTCATCTGTAGTCTATTATATGTAAAATACCCCGTCTCCATCATTGACACTGTCAACATCATCACTTGCCCCTTTGCCTCCCATCCCGTCCCGCCCATCACATCCCATCATCACACGCACTCCTCATCAGTCATCACCGCCTCTCTCCCACCTATCCCCATTTGCCATCTGTCCCAATTTTGTTTCCACTCCCGGCTCGACGCCGCTTGATTTCTTACAGTAAGTATACGTACCTTATTCCCTTTTATTTTTCTGCCACACCACCGCCCATTCCCGCCGCCTATCAACAACGGACGGTCTATCGCTATTCGTCACCTTATTCAAGTTCGCTTCGTTGTCAAGCCCTTCCGCTTAACTTTATCCTTTATTCTTTATCCTTCTGATGTTGATTTGCACCGTTACCGTTACTGCTCTCCGTCCGTCATCCCGTGTCAGCCACGTTCGACGAGTCATTCGTCCCTTGTGAGAGTAGACTCTAGTTTCGCGTCTCATCACGGGTGAGTGACCTGTGGTGGGGTTATTAGACCAATCGTTGGTGGACTGGCTTTTCTGCATCGGCGAACGACCGGGTGGTGTCTGTTCTCCTTGACCGCCATTCATATGGCTCGCCTCACCGTCAAGCTGACATTTTGCTGTTGCTGAATCGTTTTCCTTCTCCTCCATGGGCGTCCCCACTGGCATCAGCTGTGGCGTTTCCACCTTCTGTGGCGTCGCGACCTGCAACTCCCCAACCTCAGACTCGTCCCACCCTCCATGTCTCCTCACCACCTCGTCCTCATCCCATCTATCCTGCGCGGTCGCGTTTTCACTCATTAACATCCCCCTATGCGCCTCCGGTATCCCAGACAAAAACTGTGCATCCAACGTGATCGTCCCAATTCTCTTGAACTTCTCCCTATCAGGGTATCACGCGCTCAAATTGCCCGAGGGAGGAACATAGTTCTACTTCAATCTCAGAGAATGCTTCCCCTCCTACCTCCAAAGCGGGATCTTGATCTTCCTCTCCTCCCGATCCACTATATCGCGCAACCAAAGCACGGTCACCCCGAGCGCATGTTTCCCCTTCGTGATCCCACCATGCTTGAACGCAACGACCAATGCAGCGCTATATGTCTGCCTCACAGGCAACACCGTCTCCGCCTCTTCCTTCATCCACACAATCTCCCCATCCCACCTGACGTCGACAGCATGCCTCGCGACCTTCTGTTCCGTCGAGGTCATAGTCGTTTTCAGACGGAGCTCACACTTTTTCAAGTCTTTCTCAGACCCGTCAGTGCGCACGCTGACGTCCCGGAGGTGGAGTGTTCCGGTGTTGAGCCGCGGAGGTCGAGCGGGAGTTTGGCGGCGACGGGGCGGAAGAGGACGGAGATGCGGATGCGGCCGTGACCTAAGCTGTGTTCGAGGTGGTAGACGCGGGTGAGTTGGGAAGCGTTTACGAAGAGGTGATATAGGGAACATCCATGGCGTGCTGTTGTTCTGGCCCAACAAAAAAACGAGCATCACGTTTTGATACTCAATGTGGCGGGACGCCACACAGACTCCCCTGTTTATGGGCCTAGTGTTGCTGCTCGCCGTGGGGTCTAAACTTGAAAATGTCGGCGCCGAGACTCAGGAATTTGGCAGTTTCAGGTTGGAGTTTCGGTTGTGGGAACGGAGGAAGGTTTGGGGGCCGGATGGGACGGGCTTCGTGAACGCGATGCGAGGGTTTTGTTGTCCGGCGAATATGTAGGAGCTTGGGAGATGAGTAGGATGGTGGGATGGTGGGAAGTGGAGGGTGGGTTATGTGGAGGATGAAGATCTGTACGGGAATGCACACATTTTACGGTCAGAGGTTGGCGTGTGCGCTTGGAAGAGGTACGCACCTGTTTTGTCTGCCTTATCTTCACAATACCTCGTCACTGCAGCCCACACACCTGTGCATCCTCGCGATTCCTATCACTTCTTCAGAACCTCGCTAACTCTACCTATTACAGATATACTTGGAAGTTGAATGGAATCATTGAAGGGATTTTGTACTTGACGTCTGCCAGAGTTGGCGAATAGTTTTCGGGCAGGACTGGGAAGCTTCGAAAGGATGTTATGACGAGACCAGGCCCATATATCGCTACAGTGAATCATACATCATCTACTCTTAAATACTACATTTTTGAAGATGAGATGACGGCACCGAGCTTCGGCCCCATCAATGGGTGCCGAATGATTTCTTACGCCTTTGCTTCGCTTCCGGCGATGGCTGCAAGAGTATGGATTGTTCCCCGCTGTCCATCTCGCGATCCCGCTTGACCCCAAAGCGTGGTGCTATAAGTAAATGGCATGAGTGGATCGCATAAGTACAGAATTTTACTAGCACTGACGTGTTTTAGGAGGTGAATAGTGAGGGCCGCCATTTTGTGCACTCTCTGCGAGATGTGCAATGGACCCTCCAATACTGCCGTATGAATCATCCCCCTTCAAATGCTTGCCGACATCGTCGCTGAGGTTTTGTAAAACCTCATGAAGCTCTAAGAGGTTCAACGATGATTTCAAGCTCACTGCATCACCTATCAAGGACGCCAGTCCATGAAGCTTAGGTAGCAACTGCGCAACTTCATGATCTACCCGGTTTTGGATCTGGGTAGCTATCGCACGTCGATTCGAGGATTCGGCTGTGGCCTCCCAATTCTCGCTTTCCTGGTCGCCGACTTTATCTACTATCCCTTTCGCGTCTTCCTAGCGTATCAAAGAGTGGATATTAGCATAAGTAACTCATACACGGTGATCAGTCAAGAATACCTTTGTATCCGCCTCTTCTGAAAGCAAATTTTCGAGCTCAGCCTCAGCATCCATAGACGATAGTATTTCGGTCGGGGGAAGATTTGGTGGAGGAAGAGTGATGGTATTTGGCATGTCAAGGGGTCTACAAACGATCATGTTCGGCGGTGGGGTCGGAGTAGAGCAACCCGTGGGCCAAACGATAAGGGATAATGCCGCAGTGATGGTGTGGGCGAAATTATCGCCATACCACGCTTTGTTTTTAGCCTCAGTATCGAGAGCATCGTCGCGGGTGGCGGGGAATAAGTAGCAGTCGGGAACCTGTCCAGTGCTCGTCCAGTACTTAATGACCAGACGGAATGCACGGAGATGCTTGCAAGCACCGCCTCTCTGCAACCAGTCTGGACAGCTGCACGTCGCAGCCCCAGATGCGTGCATCGAAAGCCAGTAGCGCGGATACCCCGATGACGTTACATCAGCAGACGATGTGGCACAGGTAGCCCACAGCTCATAAGGCATATTACTTGGTATAGGACAAAGACGACGAGAGTGGCTGATTATAACGGCATCGGCTTCTCTTCTCTCGTCATCAGAAAACCAGGCGAAAGGGGTGGCGGGCAAATGAGTGTTGTGGTCAGGAATTGTAGCACCTCCAGTGGCGAGAGTAAATCGCTTTCGCCGCCACTCGAGGTAGTGACGGTCAACGCGAAGTTGGGCGAAGATGCGTGGAAGGATTTTCGTGATCAGATAGAAGATGAGCACGTCGAAACGAAGTCGTCGACCTGCACGTTGAAGCTCTGGGAGATCATCATTCTTCAGTACGCCGTTGAATGATTCGAGATGGTTGGTGGTAGGAAGAATGCCGTCAACAGGGACGCCGAGACGAGTAGCAGCGTCATTTCGTCCCCGCTGAGACCAGCTTTTCCATAGGTCCTCGCTCATCCAGGTGCTGGTCAAGTAATCTAGAAAGATGATACCGGCGGCACCAAAGGGCGAACTATCTGACTGAGCCTGAAGAATTCGTAGGTAGTTGCGCTCCGAGTCGATTAGGCCTTGGGCGCAGTTATGATCCGTGGTTTGTATAAGACTGTCTGTGCGTAAACATCGACAAGCAAGAGCCAAAAACAAGCAGGAAACTCACGCATTCTCGAGGTCACGAAGACGACTATTCACGTTCGTCTTCCAGAACGACTCCTCTCGTTTACCCAACAGTGTCGTTCTCTTGTTCGTCCAACATTGCCGAAGATGAAACTTGCAAAGAAGGAGAATAATGTTTGGCCAGACTATACTCAATGCACCACGCTCCTTGGTGTCTGTGTCTGTGATGACTGTTCCTGGTCCGAATGTTCGCCCTGCCGCAGATTTTCGTTTTGTCATCCACTGCTTCCAGTGGGTCAACAGCTCAGTCAGAATCTTCGTATCGTAGCCCGCATGCGTAGCTCGATTTCCCGTGGGAGCGGAGAAGAGGAACAACGCAATAGGTACCCCCTTGCGCTCTTCATCGATACCCATTGCAATGAATAGGAGAAGTCGAGAAGTTGAGACACCGAAGGTGCCGTCAAGAATCATCTGTGAGTCGTGAGAATACGACCATGCCGCCTGCTCCATGTCACTGGTGCAAATGCACACCTGAAAGCGCTCGCTCTTCTCTGTACGTCGAGCATAATGAAAGACGGCTTCGTAAATAGCGTGTTTGAAGTTCGGGTGACCAGGCTGCAGCCACTCATCGATATTATACTGTGGTAGATTCTCAACATCGATCCCTTTCGTTTGGTGATGTCGGCGATGAAGTCGGCAGTAGTCGGACTTGAGTAATTCGTAGCGGTAGTTGGCTCGAAGTGGATCTGTAGTCTTCTGGTCTCGATAGGCTTGTTGTTCGAAAAGTTCCGTATTCCGTTTACGCACCGCTCGAATCCTTCGTTCATATAACAAAGAGTGGTAGGTTAGAAGGAGGAAATACCAATAACGGGATGATTTTCTGACCTCGCGCCACTTGCAAGCTGTGCAAGTGCCACTTCAAGAACGTGAGGATGGAGAGGAACAGCTGGATATCGTACAAGACATGCTTCTCGACACTCGTCGTTATGATCGAGAATACCAACAACACGAGTAACGACATTTTGATCCGAGTATGTGACGTCTGCATGAGCCAAGCAACCCGTAAAGTCGTATGGAGCGTGTCGTGACCAAGGATCTTGTGGGTTTGTTTTCTTCTGCTGCACGGTAACACGCTGTTGCCTAGCTGCAGTGTTGTATCCACAGGCGCTGATTCATCAAATACAATTGTTATAGAAGTTACATTGAAGAGCCGTAATACAAATCCTACCACTGAACGAGCACTCGATGAACGTCGCCAGCACGGGTTCTCCACTTCGTACTCCACACCGTGGTCCAACGACTCTCGAGCTGGCCCCGACTTTCAATGTTCAACGAATGGCGAGATAGGAGGTTACGTGCGTCATCTTGGCCAGCGGTGGTGGTGGAGAAGGTACGGCGGTACACCTGTTGAGCTGTGTACAGCCCCTGGAGAGCTGATTTCTGGTCAGGGCTTAGCCAGAGTCGCTCTAGAGGGACCTATAACTCGGAAGGTAATAAGATGAACGAACAATCAAAGTACGGCGGTCGACGTACCTTCACAGTATCTCGCCTTTCGTCCCACCAATCTGCGCTCATCTCACCATGCGGGTTAACAAAACTGGACGGCCTCGGAGAGTCGGCAGGAATACTCTGAACCTAGTCCATGAGCGATGGTATATGGGCCGACTCGGAGACGTCGATTTACGCACTGTTGTTCCACTTATTGACGTTGCCTACAATAGCACAAACGTTAGCACGTTGGGAGACTGATGTATCGCGTCAAAAAGACATACCATCGGTGAAGCTTGCTCAGGGGCCGCTATTGCCACCTCGACCTCGGAGTCCAGGACATGTAGAAGCTTCGGCATTGTAAATTGCGGAGGTTAGAGAGGAATTTACAAGCAAAAGAAAAACCCCAAGACTCTGTGACATGGGAGAGATCACGACTGCGGGGGTTCTGCGAGTGTGACTCTCCTTGGTACGATAGACCCCCAGATCCTGCCCACAAGGGTTTACCTCATCGCGCACTCTGGACTTGTCGCTCGTATTCCTTCTATCATGCGTGTTGGTACTCGTGCACTTGTGACTACCGGTGCTTTCCCAAATCCTGTAAGATGGGATACCGGTTTGACAACTCGAGCAGAAACCTCAGAATATATTCTGGAAGACCTTTCGCTACCTATCAGAATACCAAAGCTTGAATGAAAGGCGTATTGGATATGGGCATGGTGAGGACAAGATTTGGGTCGCTATGACCCAATAGCTCAAGAAGAAGAAGAAATCAGACCGAGCTGGTGCTCTCCTCGTTGTCTGGTAAAGACAGAGCAGTAACCGGTCTGCTCTCCTCGAAATCATCGTCATTGATGTTCAACGTCCGGCGATTGCAACGCAAATGGCTGCGCAAGCAATTACCCCTCTCGATGAACATCGACGGCTGGCCGAACAGTGCCGAGCCAAGTAACCACAGCGTGTTTTTGCAACCCGAAATTTTTCGCAAACCGATGATCTGCACCATGCGGAACAACACAGCTCCAAGTGCCTTTGTGGACATACATGAGCATAGTTTGCTCCCGAGTAGTAGATCGGCTGAAAAAAGTAATCGAGAAAAAGAACATCTGAAGACCACCTTGGGACGAACACGAGGAGTACAGATGGCGGGATTGGTAAACGGCGGGAGAGGGCGCGAGAATCGAACCAAACACTTCGAAGAAGCACCATCTACGAAGTTGATGGGATGTAGGTGCTGTGGGCGGGCGAAGTTGTTGGCAGCTCCCAACAAAGCAAACCGCCGCCCAAATGGGCAGCAGCCACACGTTCCACGCGGACGCGCGCTACGTCACTCTTTGTTCACGCTGCCTAGCCGTCTCACCCAGGTGGCTTGACCTCTTTAAGCGTTCAACTCCGGTAGTAATTTGTAGCGATTCAATGTCATCGAAGAAGCTTGAAAACCTGGTTTCATGGTGTAGTACTCACAATATTCGCATCGACTCTCGAATTGAGCTTATTGACGACGGAGCAGAAAAAGGTGTATGTGTCGTTGCACGGAACTCTGTGATCCCACCATACACATCGCGTAAGGCCACTTTTCTTTTGTTCAAATCATAAAAATGATGCTGAAATCATCTTAGTTGTCGATATTCCCAAAGCCGCATTGCTCTCCACTCGGACATGCACGCTCTCTAACAAGATGTCCCATGTTCCTTATGGCTCGGGTGTTCATCTTGCTCTGGCTCTGGCTTTGCACTATGAGCTGTAAGATCGATTCGATTCGAACATTAGAGCCTCACTGATGGTATAATTTTTAAATGTATAGATTACTTGGGGATCAGTCGTTATGGTCTGGTTATCTCCAGTCTCTCCCTCTGGAATCCGAACTCTCAATCGGCTTGTTCTGGGCATACAGAGGTTCTGTGGACGACATTGACGCAGAAAAGGCTAGAGAATGGTTCCTAGGTACAGAAGTCGAGCAATATTTACTTTATCATCCAGATCCAGGTGTCGCTATTCTCGTACGTATCACTGATCCGCCTTCAGTACCTTGGGACCTTCCTGAAACTAATAGTACTTTTGAAAGACAGAAAGAGATAGAGGAATACTATCGCGACATCGCCTCACCTCTACTCATGTCACTGGGTGTACTGCACTGGACTATGAGCGGATTTCAGCACGCATACTCTTTGGTCAGCTCTCGAGCATTCATGGTTGATGCCTACCATGGACTTGCAATGGTACCTATCGCAGATGCGTGAGTATGTCACCCTGTCAATAACATTTTGAGGTAGGATCTGAATGGAGGCCGTTCGTAGATTCAATCATACGCAAGAGAACCATGTACATCTAGAGGTGAGTAAACTACTATGATTGCGCCACATTTGTGAATTCTCGATTAATATTGGGCGCACTGAACGTAGACAGACTTCCACGTCTGCGTATCGTGCGGCTCGCTGAGTGAGTGCGTGCATGATGCAGAAGAACTCGACCCCTCCCGAACGTCGAAACACACCACAGCTGCCAGCATGCCTGGAGCAGCAGTCATTCGTCCTAGTTCAAACTCAGAAGAGGGTGAAAACTCTTGCGAGATGGTCGTCAACGCACCCATATCTCCCTATGAGGAGGTTTTCAATACCTACGGAGAAAAGCTCACCAATGCAGAGCTCCTGCTCCGCTATGGTTTTACTCTCGACGGGAACGAGAACGATGTGGTTAGCTGGACCGTGGCCCAAGTCTGGGAGGCTTGTGGTTGTGCTGGGAAAGGGCTGGACGAGAAACACATTATTGACGTGATTCGGACATGGCCCATGCATACGGGATGGGAGGACTCCAGCTTAGTGGTCAACACGGATATAGAAGGGGAAACGCCGCCATTGCACATCACGGCAGATGGAGCGATCACTCACCATCTCTGGACGCTGTGTGTTCTCGCCGCTTGCTCGCCAGAGTGGAAGGGTAAAAGCATAGGTGATATTGTCGCTACTCTTGAGCGTGTCGCGGAAGTACAAAGTCTAGTGGAGCAGATGTTGGACGAGGGGGAATGCATGGCCAGCGATTCGATGGCATACGAAGCTGTTAGTGCTGAGGTAGGTCGATTGATCAACGAAGGGCAAAGAGCCGATCTAAAACACGAACGCCAATAGGCCTTACGCAAGGTTTTCGCCACAATCGTGGTCTTATGCAGAAAACGTATGGGTCGGATAGGAGGTGGGATGGGAAGCGAAGCCATTGGGGAGCATTTGGACGTAAGTCTTTTCCATCGTACTTACAGATCGTGTAGAACACTTCCATGCTGAACGTGTTACAATAGACTATCCCAAGGGATCACAAGAAGACCCGTGCAGCCATGACACATGCTCTGGAATGTACATCGATGCTGGAAAGTTGCGAGTCGCGCTGGAAGGAGATGGAGGATATCGTTGGTAGCGATATTCATCATCCGACCTCTGCCTTGAACATAAGATTAATTTAGGCAGGTACACTCTACAACAAACGACGTCGATTTCACATATCCATGAGCGAGTGTGCGTCCTGAACAGCAGCTTCTCGAAGGAGAATGGAAAAGGCGTGATTTATGATGAGGTGAAGCGAAAGGGCAGTCGTTGAGGCGGAGGAGGGATGGGATCCACTCCTGTTATTTGACTCAGATCATCCTTGAATCCGCAGACCAGTTTGTGCTCTTGCCAATCCCTAAAGCATGGTGATCGTGCAAGTGGGCCCTCAGTCGTAAGTGGAATGCAGAAAGAGACGCAATACTCACCGAATTTGGCAGTCCCCACCACAGTACTCCATAGTCCGACAAGCTTTGCACACATAAACACGCTTTCTACGGCAATCTCTACGCATGCACTGTCGATCGACTTGGATCAACCTTTCGATAGAAGTTAAAAAGTACCATGCGGGATAAAATAACTGCTCGGTTTCCGGTCGTTCGCGGAACAACCTCTTGACGGCAGGGCTTGGAGAATATTTTATATCGAGACATGCGCGGAGAAGACGGGGTCGAGGAAAATGGCGACGAAGGGAAGGGTAAGCCTCTGGGAATAACATTATGGTCTCCAAGACATCCTTGATGACGCAGGACACATATTCTGTGATCTCGAGTTATTCTTTATAATGTCTTCCCAGCGGAGCAAAGGAGAGCGACTTACGTAGAACCGTGCCAGTGATAGAAGAGTGCAGCAGAAGTACATTTTCTAGCGCATCAAAGATCCCAGATCGAGAGAAGGTGTTCATGATAGCTCGCCCCTCCTCTGGACCTGCAGACTCGTCGATCTTCCCCAGGCATATCGAGACGAGCTGGAGTACGGGTAGGACTGACCTCGTCACTTCTGGACGAAATTGATCGGTACGGGTGTGCGACTTTAAGACAGAAAAGAGTCGGCCGAACATAGACGTGGACCGGATGCAGGCTTGCAGGAAACTGCGGTGCGGGTGCAGTTCAAATTTTGCAAGACGGCAGAGTATGGAAGCCAGGCGCAAAGCTTCAAAGTATTGTACGTATGGCATCGTCGAAAGTGCGCGGGTATATCGAGAGAAAAACATTTGTGGGGAGCCATCGGGAAGACCTTGAAGAAAGGATGTAAAAAGGTGAGGAGGTACAGGGTGGCCTTTTCCTCGGTAGTCCAGAAGCGAAAACTCGGTTTCGGGATGGGGATCGAAGATCATAGATAAAGCTGTCGTGCAAGCTAAGAAGTCCTTGTCATCGCTGGAGTAAATCAAATTGCGACTGAGGACCGAGACAGTGATATCTTGCGGAGAGTCTATGATGCTATGTCCTCGTTAGATATCGAGCAACAAAATAGATAACGATTTGACTGTACTCTATGAAAGTTGGGTCCAAGAGAACGAGTACTCTCACGAGGTGCGACACAGTAAGCCGCTCTTTGGCGTGCAGGGAAAGCGACTTGATCATATTTCCGGGTTCATTCCATATCTATAAATCTCATTAGCGATAGGGAGATACTATTGTCGTATCATCGTTGGAGGAATAGGCGTACTCGCTGCATCATGCCATTCCACTGTGCCTTAACAGTTTCTATGAATCGTCTGTCGGAAGGTCCTCCCGGCAGCCTCAAATGATCACTTGCACAGCACAAAATCTGAAGATATGCTGTATATGGGGATACATATTCCTATGTTCATGGTCGTAAGTCACCCCATCTCTGCACTCAGCGGAAGATGGTAGATTAGACGAACTGACATCTTCCATCACTGCAGCAATGGAATCCGGAGAGAACTGTGAGACACTTCGTAAGGTGATGATGCCGCGGCATATTTCTTCGACTATACCAGCGTGTACCAGACGCTGCCACGTTCGTCCACCAGTCTCAGAGGCAGTGAGCACAGCATTCACGGCAGCTGGGTGGCTCTGAACATCCAGGAAACTATATCAGCGATGGAAACAGAATTCATTAGAGACTTTCAGTTACGTTTGGCGTATCTCCAAAACGCGTCCGAGTAGTAGATGTTCCGATGATGGAGAACATAGCAACGATGCGGGCGGGGTTGGTGTCTAGAAAGCGGAGCCATTTGGCGTCTTCGAAAGATACCGACATGGCTCTATTGGTTGACTTGAAGTCACAGTCAGTTGAAGGGTATAAGAGTGATTAGATGTCGAAGGTGTTGCATGATCTCAGCATCTGAGAGCATTCTGTAATGAGGACAGGCTTACAATTCGAGTGGGAGGGCTGCTACCCTCTGATACTCAATGCAAGCTCGAGGTTGATGTCTGTGTGGCACTGAGACGATCGACAAAAAGCAAGACTTGAGACTAATATCTTGAGCTAGAGAAGTTCGTTCTGTACTGAAAGAGTCGGTGGCTCTGAACTATGGCATATAGGAAATGAGCAAAGAGATAGGATCGTCCGGGTAGTCTCCCAAAGGCAGAGTAGACGAGATTTCAACCGGGCAAGCGAGGATCAGGAAGGAGAAATCGAGAGTGGTGTGGCAAGCTTTCGTGGGAATGTCTGCGGCTGATCCCGGATTAAGTCGACCGTCGAAACTCTCACAATTTGCTCACAATCCCACCGTCCTGAATATCCTTGGCTCTGAATTATTTCGGTGAGGGCTCCTCATCATGTCCTCAAAACACACGGGGAATACGCTTGAAAGCCATGCTCACCGTTGCGAACTCCGACTCATGCTCTCTTCAACTCGAATGATGGTCTCATTTGTCGTTTTGAATTTGGTCTGCGCTCGCTCTTGTGGTTACTCGTTGATTTGGACTGGATGGAAAACCCCTTGGAATTGGCCTGCCTACTGCTCCTCTTTTTCTCCTCGTGATATAATACTCCACTATTCTGCGTACCAGGAGATCCAGCTCATTCTGTGGGCCGACCCCAAGGCCCTCTGCTTGCTATGGGTTTTCCACAGTAAACGGAGAAACCGCGGTAGAGTATTATTCATCCCCTCACGAGACTTTGTCTCTCTTCCATTCACGATTCTTTCGTCCCAGAGTCGCTGTATATCGAGGTCTATCGTCGTCTTTATCTGGGTTTTTGACTGTCACGAGCTCACTTTCTCGACGACTTGAGCCAGATCGCTCGACCATGTCCACGCAAATGCTCAATGCGACCGTCATCGGCAGCTGCAATATTTGAAGCGGGACAGCTCATAAGTAGGTCATGTACAAAGAGCGGACGAGATGACCGAGGCCTTCTTTTTCTCGACGCTGCAGAGATGTTCGTCATGCATACTTGGTTGCTACCTGCGGTCTCGTTCCTCGTCTTGGTTTCGTCTGAATGTTTTGCTCAAACGACGACTGTTGCGACTTCGAGCGCCGTTACACCTACATTTCCTCCGGGAGCGACGGCCACACCTGCGAGGGGTGTAAACTACTGGTTTAGCTTGTACGCTACACCCTTTCCTCTCTCTTCAGATCTGCCTGTGTTAATGGCGACATTGACAGCGGAGATTCGTACACGCAGACCCAGTTCGCGAACAATGGAACACTCCCCTCTCCAGATAACCCAATGGGCAACCCTCCTTTCCCAGTACGTACACCTCTCCCACCACAAAATCCGCGTTGATCCTCAACGTTTTTGTTCCCCAAGGGCTTCACAGCCGTCGGCGGCATAAACTGGATCGACCAAGCCACCTTCACATCCAATCACTCCCTCGTCCTAACCTACAACTACGCCTTCGGGGGCGCCACGATCAACGCCTCGCTCGTAACACCGTTCGAACCTCAAGTGCTCTCCCTCGGCGACCAGGTCCACGAATTCCTCATGCAGCCCGACGTGGGGACGGGACAGAAGGTTTGGAAGAGCGAGAACGCACTGGCTTCGATATGGCTGGGGACGAATGATGTGGCGGGGAGCTTCGCGGCGAATCCTGATTATGGACCATTTGCGGATTTGTTGATGGATAATTATTTTGAGTTGGTGCAGGATCTAGTGCGTTGTCGTTCGACTTTCTGTTGAGTTATGTGGAGCGAGAACTGACGAAGTTATTATACTCGCTACGAATCCATAGTTGTAAGTATCGTTGTTGGTCACATAGGAGTCAGTAAGATACAGTACTCATGCGCCACATTTGGTTCAGTGGCGCCGGCCTGAGGAACTTCCTCTTCCTCAACGCCCCAGCAGTCGACCGTACACCGATGGTACGCCTCACGTCCTCATCTCCCGTCCACATTCAACTATCCAGTTTCATCCTTCTTCTCCCTACTCACTTACCCACGCACTACACAGATAATCGCCGAAGGCCTCAACGCCACCACCCAAGCGCGCAACGCCGTCAACATCTACAATACCAAACTGAACGAACGAAGGCTTAACTTCGCAGCCACCCACCCCGGCGTGCGCACTTTTCTGTTCGACGCCGATAAGGCATTCAACACTATTCTCGATAATCTGCCCGCGTTCAATTTTACGAATAATCAGACGGATTTTGGGAACGAGGGGGATTTCTGGGGGTGAGTGCGCTTTCTCTCGTTTCTATGATGTTTCGCGAAACTTCTGGTGCTGACTGAGATGTGTTTTGTTGGGGTTGTTACGGTCGATGGATGTGTAGGAATAATTTCCACCCGTCGAGTCAGGCTCAGGTTATCTTTGGCAATCAGATTGGGTTCGAGGTGCTGAAGGGGACGGTTTGGTAGACCGATTGTGGACCAACCTACCACTCATTCGTTTGACTCCGAATAAAACCGTCCAGGAGCATTTCTCATATCGAAGTACTAGGACCAGAGTCGAGGCCACACCTTTCGATATGCCGTTTAAGATCGGGTTTCTTCGCTGAGAATCCTTGGACGGTATCATCGATATTCTCGTGTTCACAGCGATACATGATTCGAAGAAAACGACCCTCGCTCACGTCCAGTCATCTGCCTTGTTCCTGCAAGCTTTCGAATGCACTGTTTATACGCCACGCGTAAGCTTGAATGACACTCTGGAGTGTCGCCTCGGTTCGCCCTGCCCCCCGTGTAAACATCTCATATATCTCCCATCAAATCGCCTGCCTTTCGAGCCCTCTTTTTCTCCTCGCGAAGCCAAAGAGGCAAAGAAACGTTCTTACTGACGTTCAGCACAGACCACGCGGTAAACATGTGCTTTTCGGCCTTTTTTTCTTTTTGGTATTCTTCTAAACTGGAGGGAGAGCACATTGCGTGCACCTTGTGCGTGTGATGTTATTTGAGCTTGAGGCCTGAGCGAGGATATCGTCATTGCGTCTGACATGCTTGACAGGCGGCGGGGCACGCTGAAAACAGAAATGCTTCCAGGTATACCAGGGGCGTTTACTTCCCGGAAGGTAGTCGGTCTGGCTTACGGCATTGACTTCCTTCCAATATTGAAATCGTAAGCATCCTACCAAGAGGAAGAGGGTCGTACGAGGTCGTACGATTTTCAATCGAGGGAATAGGCGTTTTGAGTCCATTCGAGGAACATATCTGTCTTCTTGAAGGCGCCACGCTGTACGCCGCTGAGAAAGTCTTGATGAGCAAAAAGCCTTGTGGATACCATGTCGGTACCAACGTATCTTTATGGAGTGTTGAAGAACAAACAGAGGCGCCGCAATACAGTCGAAAAAAGCGACGATAAGCCAAGGACTGCTAGCGTAGCGGCCAAGCCACAAAGGGAGGAGGCCGCCATGAACTTGGCCGAAAAGGAAATGGTGCGGCGCAAGCGGCGACCGAATGTGCGGAAGGCCGAGTACATAAACGCGTACGCGCCCGGTCGACCCTTCTTTTCCCCAACCCCAACAATCCCTGCACGCGTCCCCCACGCCCTCGCTAGCGATTCACCGTGTTCTCATCCCAGCTCTATATAAACCAGCACAAAAACCCTCGAAACCCTCAGTGCAAATCACCGTCGCGTCTTTTGCCCTCCTCCTTTTTTTTCCGAAAGGCTTCGTGGTCACCGAACCTTTTCTGATCTCTGTTGACACCCACCCTTTGCATGTACTCGAATCAGCTCGGGTCAACACATAATCCTCACCGCGGCTCCAAGCACACTGCAGCGAGCGCGCTAATATCCCATTAAATTTCTCCTTGCTCTGTCGTTCAACTTTTTTTACAATCAATTTCCACCCTATCCCCGCTCGCTCTTCCCGCTCCGCTCTTCAAACCCGCATACCAATCACACCATGGCTCCGAACACCTCCGGTGACGTCTCGCCTTCCAACTCGTCGATCATAGACGGCCCGCTCAACCTCCCGATCCATCCTACCGCCGCTCGGCGCCCCGCCGATCTCGTTACCGTCCAAGGTGCGAACACCGTCTACTCGGACGAGTTCATTACCTCCAAGTACGAGAACCGTGGCGCGGACGTCGTGGTCAAGGAGGAGGGCCGCTATGTCGTCAAACCTACCATCGACCCCTTCGAATTCAGGACCCAACGCAAGGTCCCGAAGACTGGGTACGTCCCTCATATTTGATCCATATCTGCGCGCGTTCTGACATGTTCTACTTGGATCTGTCTTTGTTAGGTTGATGATGGTCGGTATGGGAGGCAACAATGGCACGACCCTCGCCGCCACTATTCTCGCCAACCGCCACAACATCGTCTGGCACACCAAGTCCTCCGTCCAACAGCCCAACTACATCGGCTCCCTTCTCCGCGCCTCTACTATCCGCCTCGGTCTCGATGCCACCACCGGCAAAGACATTCACGCTCCTCTCTGCGAGCTTCTCCCCATGGTCCACCCCAACGACCTCGTCCTCGGTGGTTGGGATATCTCCGGTACGCCTATGCACAAGGCCATGGCCCGTGCCGCCGTCCTCGACTACGATCTTCAGCGTCAGGTCGCTCCCTACATGGAGGAGATGGGCTCTCCCCTTCCGTCGATCTACTACCCCGACTACATCGCGGCGAACCAGAAGGAGAGGGCGGATAACGTTCTCCCGGGCGAGAACAAAGCGGAGCACTTGGAGAAGGTCAGGAGCGATATCAGGCAGTTCAAGGAGAGGAACGGATTGGACCAGGTCATCGTGTTCTGGACGGCCAACACGGAGAGGTACAGCGACATCGTACCCGGCGTGAACGACTCCGCGGACGGGATACTTGCCGCGATCAAGTCTTCTCACGCTGAGGTCGCTCCGTCTACCGTCTTCGCCGTCGCTTCCATTCTCGAGGGCGCTCCTTTCATCAACGGCGCCCCGCAGAACACGTTCGTCCCCGGTGTGGTCAAGTTGGCGGAGAGGCACGGGTCGTTCATTGGTGGTGATGATTTGAAGAGCGGGCAGACGAAGTTGAAGAGCGTGCTTGCGGAGTTCTTGGTCAATGCGGGGATCAAGCCGTTGAGCATCGCGAGCTATAACCATCTCGGGAACAACGACGGGTGGAATTTGAGCTCCGAGAGGCAGTTCAAGTCTAAGGAGATTTCGAAGAGCAGTGTAGTGGATGATATGGTGGCGGCAAACTCGTTGCTGTACAAGACGAAGGAGCAGATGATCGCTGAAGGTACGTTTTTCTACCTTAGGTTTAGCTTTATTAGTCGCAAGTTCTTATATATTTTTGGTGCATAGGTGCTGTGGCTAAGGATGGCAAGGCGGTCAAGGGTGAACACCCTGATCACATCGTCGTCATCAAGTACGTTCCAGCCGTCGGCGACTCCAAGCGCGCCATCGACGAGTACTACTCCGAGATCATGGGCGGTGGTCGTTCCACCATCAGCATCTTCAACGAGTGCGAGGTACGTGACCCGTTCCGTCTTCCTTCCTCTCACCTCAAGTAAAACTGATCTGTTGTCGATTTCGTGTGTAGGACTCCCTCCTCGCCACCCCCTTGATCCTGGACTTGACCATCCTCGCCGAGCTCCTCACTCGTATCCAGTACCGTCCGGGCGGTGCTAACGCCGGCCAGAGCGACTTCAAGCCTCTTTACCCCGTGTTGAGCTTGCTCTCGTACATGCTCAAGGCCCCGCTCGTCAAGCCTGGTACGTCTCTAATCCACTTCCTTGACTTGCATGACTGATATATTGTCTTGTATCACTAGGCACGGACGTCGTCAACTCGCTCTCGAGGCAGAGGAACGCGCTCGAGACTTTCCTCAAGGCCTGCGTCGGCTTGGAGGGAAGCAGCGACTTGTTGCTCGAGACGAGGATCTGGTAATGATCTAAATTCGCCCTCTAACTTTCTTCTTGAACGAACGCGCAAAGACGCGAAATGTCTCTCACCTATCTTTTCCCCTCGTCTTCGTCCTACCAAACTGTGTTCGCCGTTACCCATCATACCCGCCCATTTCGAAGGTCTTCAACGCCCGGGCTGCTTAGATTCTTTCTTTCTCTGTGCCGTTTGCGTGTGTAGACAGTAGAGTTAGATTGGGTTCTCAACAACCTTGGGGTTCTGTGCAATGCATTTGTCGTATTCGTGATCGTGCTCTTCCTGCGTGTGCTCGATGTTCAGAGATCTCACAGGTTTTTCAATCTTGTGTGCGAGGTGAATGTACGCCACACAAATGTTCCCGTTTCTCGCCGAGGACCGGCACTCTGGCCTTGAGGTTGTCGGAGCGTTTCTTTGTGCTACTCTTTTGCAGGGGAAGTACGTTTAAATAGCTTGGGTTCTACCGTCCGACTGGGCTAGGAAGCTCTGACATCTCACACGGCGTTGCTCTCGCTCTCCAAGGCTCGTATTCCTGCGGACCCAGCGCGCGGTGTGATACGAATGTCGAAAGGCTTGAGGTGACTAGCATAGCCCATTATTGAATTTGTTAGTTCGTGGACACAGTGTGGTGTCGACCACCAGATGGGAACGACGAAAGAGATACGATGTCGAACGAGAAGGGAACAGTAAAAAAGGCGGGGTGGAAAAGGTTGGCATTACCGTGACGAGGAGGGATCAAAGGCTCAACGCAGACACAAACTTACCTGGTCACGCCGGTCGTATACTCCACCCGCGGCTCGATAACTCTTCCGTTCTCATCCACGCATTTGCGAATGTCGAATGTGGCGAGGATGCGGGATATGTTGTGAAGGATGGCTTGTTCTGCGAATTGGGCGCCTGTTCAGAGCCACCGGCCGAATGACGGGTAAGAATCAAGTTGGGGGGAGACAAGGGCAGGATATCAGCAGCGGGAAGTCGTGCCGAACGAGTGGAGAACGGAGAGGGTTTGAAACACCTACCGGGACAGACTCGTGCTCCAAAACCGAAGACGTATTTGCGAGGGTCTATTTGGGGATCTTTCCCGAGGAAGCGATCAGGATTAAAGGCGAAAGGGTCGGGATAGACGTCTGGATCATGCATGAGTGCCCTGTTAAGCATCAGCAGATATAAGCATCGTCGGATTTCAGAGGAAGATGGAAACCTGACCAGATGTTGGCGAAGACGGTCGATCCTTTGGATATATACATCTCTTTATAAATGTCGTCCTGCATAACGCGGTGAGATACGCCTGAGCAGGTGCGATGTCCAAGGTCAACTAATATTTCGATGGAAACAGGAGAGGCGGACTCGGGGGTAGAACGATGGCACGAACCGAGAGGAGCTACTGGGGACCATCTCAATGTTTCCTGCAGAACCGCATGAACGTACGGCAATTTTTCAAATTCATCAGCATCCGGTAACCTCTCATTTCCTGTGACTTGCAAGATTTCCACTCGGGCGCGTGTTTGAGTCGATGGGTTCATGGCCATACAGAGGAAGAAAGTGGTCATGGCTGATACCGTCTGTACTCGTGAGTTGTAAAGTACATTCAGTTTCGCAGTGGATATGTGAGAGGGAAGAAATATCTGACCGTATCTGCCCCACCAGTGTACAGAGCAGCGGAGCAAAGCTTGATGATGTCTTCTTGCTCTGCATTTGGAGGTGGCCCATTTCCGCCGTCGGGTAGCATCAGCTCGGAAGTGAACGATTCGATGTAGTTGCCTGATATCTACGTGAATGGTTTGCGTTACTCGATTCAATTCCCCGTGTTAAGGCAATCGTACTATCTGCTCTTTGGCCCATTCGTGTGGCACGACGTCCAGTTTACTGAACTTATCTCTGTAATTTGCGGCAAATCTCTTGAAATTTGCCCCAGGAAACCACGACGGAACGTAGCGCACTATGAATTGGAGTCGTGAGCTTTCACATTAGATCATATCGTTCTTCGTGATCGGAGCGGCGTGGTGAATTTTGCTCACGGAGAGGAAAGCTCTCGACAAGAAAACGGCCTGGTCTGGTAATCTCGGCAGACAATGCGAAGACTTCTTCCATTATGGATACGAAATAGTCATCGTTGGCGTTCACGGTCCATCCATAAGCAATCTGTAGGATCACCGCGCCCGCATTCCTGAATATATGGAGCCAGTTCAAGCAGAAGCACCGTTTAAACCATCATGGGTCTTGCCATCAAAGGGATAATATCAAACTGACCTCCTCGCATGACTCGCAAATTCCTCAGGCTTCTCCAATAGACCCCTCAAGAATACCATCGACTCACGCTCCATCAACGGCCTATACCCCTGAATCGCCCGTGGATTGAGCCCAGTCCGTAGCAGCTTGCGATATATCTTATGTCGGGGATTATCGAAGCTGATATTGAACACATTCCACTTGCGCCCAATGAGTTCACCGTACATTTGAGTACGGGGTCTGTCGCTGTATATGGAAGACCGAGCTTCCAGGAGGTCGTTGACGGCGGTGTGAGTATTGAGCATTATCATTCTGCGGCCGATGGCGCGGTATGTGAAGACAGGGCCTAATGATAGTTAGAGAATGGAGATGGTCACTATTAGCCAAGAAGAATATTTTACCGTATATCTTTGCCCATTCGGTGTAGGTCTTCCAAGGCTCAGTCCTAGGAATCTGGTGTACGTTCCCGGAGAAGAACTTCGTCGGAGGACCGGGTGGGAGAGGCCTTGATCCCGCACTACCAGTGGAATACAAGACAGTTAGCAATACTAATATTGGCGCAAGGAGCAACCAATAGCTCGGCCGGTCGAGAAGGGCAGCAAACACGTCGGACTCTGAAGACATCGAGATTGAGAGTGCAAACGAAGGCCAAAGAGAAGGGCGGGCAGTTCGAACAGCTGCCTTTACTTATGGTCACGACTCATCAATGAAACGTGGTTAGGTTAGTGCTGGGGGAAGAAGATTCCAAATGCGTAGAGAGATGAGCCCTCCAAGAAAGCGGATAAACTTTTCTGCAGTGTATAATAGGCTCCATCATTCTCCACGGGCAGCAGACCAACACAAGCGCTTTTGTGATGGAGGATCGGAACGAACGTCCTATCGTTGCCATACTCTGGGTTAGAACAGGGACGAAATGATGGGCGCCTGTAGAAGGCAGAAGGCATTGGCGGTGAGGTCTTCCTGAGGCTGGGCCACAAGACTACACCTCGAGTGTTGGACCGCACTAAGGTGCATTATGAATCGTACCCGGTTATCGACGCAATGTATTCTGAATCTCGTCCAACGCGAGACTCCCTGTATGACACACTTCAAGAGAACTGAGATGGTAGCTCTCATTTCAACCAGCCTCGACGAGACGAAGGCCCGCTGATCCCTTCCGCGGTGTGATGGTTATTTCAAAAGGTTTTATGTGCCTGTTGGCAAGAAAAAATGATGATAGTGAGACAGCAAGCTACTGGGAGACGAAGACTATCCAGCCTAACCTTGTCACGCCAGTTGTAAAATCAACTTCGGGCTCTATGGCGAAACCTGTCTCGCTGGTGCATTTTGCGACGTCGAATGTCGCCAGTACGCTCGAGATACTCAGAAATAGTGACTGTTCTGCAAATTGAGATCCTGTGAAAATCCGGGAAAGCGTTCAATATATCATCCTAATTTTACAAGTGAGAATAGCAGTGCGTACCCGGGCAGACACGAGCACCAAAGCCGAAGACATACTTCCGAGGATCAGGTTGAGGAGTGTTTGTTCTAGATTGGAGGTACCGCTCAGGCTCGAACGTGTCGGGGTCAGGATAAACGTCGGGGTCATGCATGAGAGCCCTTAAGAGGTTTATTAGCAAATGTCAGGCTTGCATGCAGAGGAAAGTGTACCATATGTTAGCTACGACGGTGGACCCTTTCGGGATGTGATATCCTTGATATACATCATCTCTGGTGACAGAGTGAGGAAGGCCTTGCACAAACATCACTTTAGAGAAAGGGATAATCAGAGATGTCGACACATAATCACGTTACCTAGTGGTGCAACTGAAGCCCAGCGGAGTGTTTCTTGGATTAGAGCACGAACGTAGGGAAGATTGTCCTGGTCGGTCCAGTTCGGCAGCCTTTCGTCTCCGACGACCTGGGATAGTTCTGCTTGAGCCTGTCGCTGGGAGGAAGGGAATTTGGCCATGAGCAGAAAGAACGCGGTCATGGCCGCGACAGTCTAAGGTTGAGCGGCGGGCGTCAGTGTGGACTTGCATGATAAAAGAAAAGCGTATCAGGACGAGTGCTCACAGTGTCCGCCCCGCCGGCATACAATGCCTCTGCGCAGAACTTGATGTTCTCTTCTTCCTCTGCACTTGGAGGAGCTTCTCCATCTGGAAGCAGCATCTTCGAAGTAAACGATTCTATGTAGTCCCCCGATTCCTGTCCGTACAGAGTACGCGTTAGTGTACCCACCACTGAGAAAAAGTTGTGGACAGACCATTTGCGATTTCACCCATTCATGTGGGACATCTCCAAGATCTGACATCGTCTTTCTCCACACCGCCGCCTGCTTACGGAATCTACCTCCGGGCATCCATGAAGGGATGAACCGCAGAAAAGGGAAATGTTCTGCGGGGAATGCGCCTGGGCGGGTGACCATCCCAGTAATCCTGAACCCTTCCTGTATAAGGGAGATAAAATAGTCATCGTCCTTTTTCACGGTCCAGCCATAGGCGACTTCCAATATGATACCACCGGCATTCCTTCAACGCTAATTTCAGTCAACTGTCTTGGTCCGAGTGATCCGAGTGGACGCTCACCGTCTGATGTGACGAATGAAGTCTTCGGGTTTCTCGTATAACGCTCGAAGCATGATCAAGTTCTCTCGCTCGAACAAGTGCTGGTAGGACCTGATTGATCGAAGGTCGAGACCCGTACGGAGAAGCTTGCGATACGTCTTGTGCAACGGGTTCTCGGACGAGATCTGGAAGACCGTCCTCTTACGACCGAGTAGTTCTCCGTACATCCACATAATAGGCCTCTCGCTGTAGATGGATGAACGTGATTCGAGAAGGTCGGTGACAGCCTTGGACGTATTCAATACGATGATATGGCGACTGAAGACGCGGACGTGAAAGATAGGGCCTGGACATGGAAACGCGAGTCATTTTACTAGTGCTTAATATAGAGGGGAGTGAAGAGTGCTGACCATACTCCTTTGCCCATTCTGCGTACTTCTTCCATGGTTCGGTCTTCGGAAGTTGATGAATGTTCCCAGACAGAAACTTCTGAGGTGGTCCAGGCGGAAGATGTCCCGAGTTTCGTTGCTTGTAGAGGTGGAACACAGAGACCCAGACAACACTGAGTGCAAGAATTATCAGAAGAAGAGGATCCAGTTCCATTGCAGGAGACGACGTGCCGGGCGTAACGACGACGTTCACGAGGAAGCTTTAAATGGGAAGAAGTGAAATATTGGAACACCGCGTTCGGTAACCCGATGTCCAAAAATATCAGGATGAGTGTGTAAGGCGTCTCAGATCTCACCATTCTTACGATTAGCGTCGGATATGCACAGAAGCCCAAGAATGATCAAATGTGAAACCGGAGTTCTCCGAATACGACACACTCTCTTCGTCAAAACAACAAGAAACGGTCCCATGGGGAACGTGATGCTCGAGTAAATCCACTGGAAGTGTGCACAGTGCGCGCATCTTCACGACGCGCAAAATTCTGCCGAGGTTTCGAAACTTCTTGGCATAATCTGCGACATAACGCTCGGCATCAAGGAAGGAAAGTCCCGAAAGGATTAGGCTGAAGTGTGCCTATATCGGCGGTTTCGTTAATCCTTTACTGAGCTTGTAGTATACAATGGACGAATCGTCCGCTAATATGGCGAGAAATATCTCCTCCGGATCGCCCAACTCGGCGTACGCAGATTTCAACCTGAGTCATCAACGTCAGAGTATGTTCCTCTTCGCTATGAGGTAGCTTGATGTTACATACCATGCGATGGACAAGCTTTCTGCGAGCGAACATGGGACTACACATGAAGGCTTTTCCTGCATTAAGCGGAGCAACATGTCAATAAGTCAGAGTGTCCTAGAGAGCGCTATGGCAGCATACGCTTTCTGGTCTGCGCCCCCGGAAACCGGCACGCTGACAGTGCGATAGTTCTACGATCTCAAGGTCCGCCCATTGCTGCGCTATCACAAAGTGTTGGTCAGACTGAAAGTGAAAGGCCACAAAGCCTTCAAGACAGTTGATGAATGTGGATAAACGCACTGTAAAGCAAGTCGTTATACGCCTGGTAGACGACTCCAGCGGCTCGGGGATATTTTGAGAGTATACCGGACACAGCTGCAAACTGGTTTTCAAACGCAAAGCAGGTTAGTTGTTTGCGGCTGCATCTGTCCTAGTCATGTATGAGACACCGACAGATGGATGGGTTTCCATTGCCATAACCGTGCACTTGTAGTGAGTGGCGGTGAGTGGCGAGGAGTCAATTGACTCGAATTATGGGTTGGGCTGACGTCGTTCTTAGCAAACTATCGCAGTGTGTATTTTTCTGCTCTAAAATTGCCAGCGGCGGAGTTTAAAACAGTAGATGCGGTCCTGCGGAAGAAGATTGGCGTCACACGGTGATGTTGGGGTACAGAAGAAAGAACGAAAAATCAGGAGGAAAAGGTCGTTCAAACTCCGCCCGTGCCACGTGCCTACACTGTACGCCACACTCGCACTCAATCCGAGAACAAACATTGCACTTCAGCGGTGGACGCTTTTTGGAACGAACACAGATCGTACGGTATTATACTTTCATTGGCCATCGCAGAACAGACAACTGCCACTAGCCTTATAACGCCCTCACAGCTCAACATGATCTAACCTCACACAGAAAGCAGGTGCTGAGAGGTGAGCGCATCGCCATGTCATTACTCCTACGTGCGTACGATAGACGTTCTCCTCCACGCCAAAACTCCGCCCATCCAACTTCGCCGTTCCATTGCCTAGGGTTTACTTCTGCGCCGGCGCCGCAGCGCCCGGAGCTGACCCTTGAGGAGCTGATCCGGGAGCACCAGGGGCAGCAGAAGCACCCTCCTGGCCTGGCAGTGGGGGAGCCGGCAAACCAGTCATCGATCCCAGCGCAGCGAACAGGTTCCCTGAAGCCTGTGCCGCCTGCTGCTGTCTATCCTGCTCCAACAACGCCTCGAACTCTTCTTTGTGTTCTTTGATGTATTGTTGTTCTTGGAGATAGAGCGCCTGGGCTTCGCGGCGTTTAGCTTCGAGGTAGGTTTCTGGCACGGCGGGTTGGGACTACAGGACGAACGTAGAAAACATTAAATCAGAGTTGAGAGAAGGAAAGCGGAAATACGAGGAATAGGACGTACGGAAGCAGAGCCGCCGAAGAGACTGCTGAGGGTGAATCCGCCAGATGAGAGACCTTTGTGGCCACCTTTGGCTTTCCAGTCCTCGATGAACTTAGCTTTAGCCTCAGCTTCCTTCTTGGCGTATTCGCGGGGAATATCCTTCCCTTGGTACGCCTGAAGGATAGGCCTCACGTCCTGCGGGTTATATATGCCGATTGCTACACAGAACAAGGTCAATTGTGAATCATCCGTCATTTGGGGGGAGTGCAGAGAATCGCGGGGATGCTCACACTCTAGGAATGGAATCATCTCGACCAAGCCTTTGGCCTCAGGTCCTTCGACCTCGCCCTTCCATGGGCTCATGACAATAGCGTTTTCAGGGTGCGTTCGAACATGATTGGCGTGTGTATCTAGAATGACGACTTTGGAAAGGTCACGGTTGAGGTATGACAGGTCTTTCACGGGTCCTTCGTCCGTCGCGCGGGTTGCATCACGGAAAAGGCGGTAAGTGATGAAGAAATTGTAAGGGTCGAGTTTCTCGAGGACGGGGAGGGCGGTCTAGTGGGGAGAAGGTAATTAACACATAGTTGATCGGAAGCAACATGAGGATGGACGCACGTAGTGATATTGAGTCGTGAAAATAACAACTTCGTAAAATTGCGATAAATAAGCCAGGAAATAGTCTACGCCTGGACGTTTTGCTGTTCGCCACCCGTGTGCTCGCTACACCAGAACCGACAGTCGTCAACGATGCTACGTGCAGAGAACATGTAGTCATACTCACGTCCCATGTACTTGTTACAAGTAAGTCGTCCATGGAGACGACAAGGGTGTAAGGTTTTTGATGCGGCGCAGGAAGGGGAGGGGGGAGAAGTTCGGGCCACGCAGGTTCAGAGAAATACTAGAAAAAGGTGAATCGGCGTTTCGTGGCCTCTGAAAGCGTAATCTTGACGTACATCGAACATCGACATGAACCGAGTTCTTGTACGTCCCCATCGTGTTGATGGTGCCGTTTCAGGAGTCTACATAAACCGTGCGTCAGCGCCACATCATGCCAAAAGAAATGTAGAAACACGTACCAACTTCAGCTCCTTCAACTCGTCCGCTTCCCACTCTCTCCCGAGGTAGAACCCACCCAGACCCAAACCCGCCACGAACAAGGCCATACTAATTCTCGCGATCATCCTCTTCCTCTCTTCAATCTGCGACAAACTTCCTTTCGATGAGCGCGCGCCTGTACGCTCTCCCTCTGTCACAGGAGCCTCTATCAGAGCCTCTGGTGGTGAGAAGTCCAACGATAATGTTTCAGGCAAGGGTGTAGGTGGTTTCTGTGAAGCATCCTGAGTAGCTGGGGGAATATCTGTTGTACTTTCGGGAGTAGGAGCAGCTGTGCCGGGAGTAGGTTTTGGAGCCTGAGAGTTGATCCCTGATGAGGAGCTCTCGTCTGCCTTTGGGGCTGCAGGTTCAGCAGGTGATTTGCCATTTTTTCCACTTTTTGATCGTTTTGAGGCAAAACTTCGGACAGCATAGGAGGATGAAGGATGTGAAACGGATTGTCGGAAGGAGGGGATGCTCGTGGGTGGATGAAGAGGCCTGGCGAGGAGAGCACGACGGGCGGCGCTGGAAAGGATGGGCTGCATGGTCTAGACAATGGAAAGCACGACGTCGAGCAAGTCTTCAAGACGGTGGTCGCTGTCGAGGACGACGATGACGTGCACAAGACGAGCAGAGAACTCGGAAAGTTTGAAACCTCGAGTGGCGGGCCGGGCCGACACGGTGTATTTTTTACATAGTACGTTCGCCACACTAGTCGCCACACGGCTTGCTTCTCTACCACCACCATCTCGCAGCGCTACAGCACGTCGAGCTCGGCTTCACCTTTCGCGCAGATGATCTATCACTAGGATTTCCTTATATCCAAGATATTTTATATGCTGTCGATGCTTGATCTAGGAGTATATTGGGAGTATCACAAAGTCCTCGTTGGAGGGGACATAGCTTACCTCAGGCTGCGCTCCCGCCCAAGCCATCGAGTCTCAACTGCCGTCTGGTCACCCTGTGTCATTGAATTCCTTATACAAAGCCAGCTCAACCAATTTGTGGTTGACCCAGAACTCATCATTGAACACATTGACAGAGTTGATCCTTCTGCACGGCCACGTAACTCGTCTCTGCATTCGGATGGTATCATCTCCTCAAACAAGGTTTCCAGCCAATGGTTACTTCTAGGCAACGTCACGCAGATGCTACCTGAGCTCGATGGTGGCACATTGACATGTCTTCTCCTTGCTACCCGCCACACAACCCGCTGTCTAAGTGGCCGTAATAGGATTTCTGTCCGGTCCTCGTCATGCGATGTTCATCTGGCTTGAGATATAAGGACATACTGAGTATGGCTGTTTAACTTCATATCGAAGGACTGTGAGTTAAGCTCTCGCACAGTAATCGCCTAAACCGTCTATGTCGACAAGTCAAGAGGTAGCTTCCCTTGTTGGAGCAGGGCAGGAGATTGCAAGTGCTGTCTCGACCATGGTACCCGAGAGCGTTCTCTACGGTATGCGACCCTTCTGTCTGTTAGGTGCTTACATGGAATGATCTGACGGATATTTTCAGGAGCGTATCTCATATTCATGATATTCGCGGCTATAATATTACAGTATGTCTTTCGTTCATCTTAAACTCTCCGTTTAACTCACGGTATCAACTATATTTAATTGGCCGGCAGCGCGAAGCGGGAGCGTACAAAGGCCCATATAATTATGTTCTCCGTTTCAACTATCATGTTTGCCATGTCCACGACTCTCTGGACGTTCGACATCATCAATATCGTTCTGCCTCTCCATCAGATGTTTTCTTACACCGACACACAAGCTGCTGTCGCGAAGAACTTCTCAAACATCAATGAGACGAAGTACTTTCTTGGGTCTATTATCTTCACTCTGGAGGTCAGGATTTCACCATCTGACTACGCTACAAGTTAGATTTCCACCGAGGTTGACGTGGATCCAATATGTATAGTTCATAATGGGCGACGCGGTCATTGCCTGGCGTGCGTGTGCGATATGGAACATGAACAAGCGTATCATACTGTTCTTCGGAACAATGTTATCATTGTCTCTCAGTGAGCCTCCCATCTTCACACCAAGCAGATTGTATCCTGACTCATTTTACAGCACTGACGTGTGTTTACGTTGGTTGTGTCGGAGTCAATGATTGGGATTTCCTTGATAGGCCTGCCTCATGCCAGGATATGGTAACGGCAGCATTCTTCGTGTCCGTTGCGAGTAATCTCGCTTCGACATGCATGATTGGACTAAAAGCATGGTCAGTTCCTTTACTTACTTTGAGACCATGGCCATTTCATTCCACCTTTTTTGTTCTGATACTAAGTATTTTTCCTTTTTCTGCAGGCACCTGCGTAAAGATATGCGCGCCAGTAACAAGGACGGATGGTCGTCTGCTGGGAAAGTAGTACTTCTACTCGTCGAATCGGGCTTTATATGGCTAGTTATCTGGGTGCGTCAAAATTTCTAGCCTCGCTTTTGATTGTACTCAGAAGTGCTTTGATGTATATAACTGTCATGATTCATAGCTCTCCCAATGCTTCACCTACCTCCCCGTTTTCACGCCTTCTAGTGGGACCGCTGCATGGATTGCAAATAACGTCCTCAATTCCGTTGGTAACCAGATCGTTGTACGTCCTCTTCGCCATCTACGTATAAGACTGCGAGGAATCGAAGATGCAGATTTCCATCCCACCTTCCATCACTCTCAAGGGCCTCTACCCAGCGATCGTCATCGTCCTGGTACACCACCAATACACCATCTGGGACACCTCGAACATCTCCCTCAATGGGGACGTCTCTCCCAACGTGGACAACAGTCTTGGAGATATGCAATTTATGCCCCAACATACTTCTATGGAGCCATAAATGTATTTCTTGTCCGAATAATTTAATGGCATGCCAGGGGGGACCAAAGCCGAAAGCGAGCAGCTTCAGAAATTGTTCAAAGATGGAATGCGTTTGTGTAGACAATTACGCGGCACATTTCTGTCTACATAAATGATATAAATTATAACAACAATTTACTACTTGTTACCGAACCTCACGATTGACCGCATTCAGGTGGCCCGTGGGTAGTAAAGCCCTCAGCTTGGGCCACACCATGACGACATTCTCAGCGCCACACCGGGCCACGCCTTCCGTTGGTCGTGCAATTGTGCCGAATGCGGAGATGGAACGTCAAGAGGTCCTCGAAGAAAGTTGTTCGCTCACGCTCCTTCTTCCTGACCATCACCACGACTCTTCGCCTCGACATGGCCAGAGGTTACTTTGACACCGTTCTGCGCAACAGTTCCCCTCCTGCCGTCAGGAAGGAGGTCCCTCTAATAGGTCCCGCATTACAGCATCTTCCATACGACCTCCTGCTGAACATCATCACACATTTGGATAATCGAGACATTAGTCCTATAGTACTGGTGTGTGCTCTATCTTCTCATTAAGTAGGTTAGTCCCGACTGACTTGTATGCTTCCGTCACGAAATGTTTAGACATGTAAAACACTGCACGCTTTCGTCATGACGCGGCCAGTGTATCGACATCTCGCAGCAGGACTTCTGCGCCGCTGTAGAGCTTTACCTCTCGCCGGCTTCCAACGACTCGGAGATCTCTCAACGGACCAACTAATACATCTCGTCAATAAAGCCGCACGACTAGAACGAGGCTGGCTGACCCGCACACCACGACCCGCTCGATCATCCCTCTATTCGCCCTTACTCAACTCTCCTTCCTCCTCTCCTTCTAAAGGCAAGGGCAAAGCAAAAGCCAACTCCGCCGATGATTCAGACATTCGATTAGATGATGACGGCAACCGAGATTGGTACAAGATCGTGAGCACACCGCCGGACGAAGAGGTAGACTGGCTTTCGCCCATTACGGCATGCTATACGCTTTGCGCCACAAAGAGTGGGAAGGTTGTGTGTTGGGATGTGCAGAAGGATGAGGGGTTGGCGCAGTGGAACCCTGGAGAAAGATGGGAGCTGTGGAAGTGTAGGGTTGAGTTTGATGAGCGGTCCGTGTTCTTCACGATGGCCAGGGTGCTCGGCGGAACGTGAGTGCCACAGTGATTTTGTCTACTTCCTTTTCTACTTTGTTTCGCGGATATGGCAAGTCTTGGTGTGCGAACTATATCCTTGCCGCGTCTGCGTATTTGCCTTTACACTTAACACTTGCGAAGCAAGATGTGTGGCGTAACATTGCGTTGGAACCTATATCATCTCGTCGAGATTGAGTTCACATCTGCCAGATTCGGAGCGTTACTTTTGATGGTGCCCACTGCCTAATATTTATAGACCAATCACCTTCTTATAACCATTCGCTGATATATATTGTCTTGAAAGCAGTTACGACGACAAACTCATGGAATTTGCGCTCATGCAAATAAAATTCCCCGACCCCAACCTCGAGAGCTTACCATCAACAAGATCAAACCCACGAGAAGCCCCCGCTTTCTTTCCGTTGAAAACATTCAAAATGACGGGTCTCGTGATGAACGTCTTCCTCCTCGACCCCGTCGCGCGATTGCTCTCAGGCTTCATCTGGATCGTCAGCTCCAGTACGATTGGGCTTTTCGTCCTTCCAGATTGGAACCGTGATGAGTATGTTTTCGTGGACACGAAGATACCCTGCGTGAGTCAAACCACGATCTACCTCACATCGACGTCCAGTCTGACATTCTGCCTGCATATTAAATTAATTACCTTCCGACTTAGGTTTCATCGCATAATTGGTCGTGCATACTACGAAATAATGAGATCGTGATACACTCCGAAGAGGCAGACAGAGCCGTCCAACATTTCTACCCCCTCTCCTTACTTCGCCAACACATCACCCCTCTTTCCCCCCTCAGTGGCAATGCACCATTCGTCACTGGCATTCTCCGGTCACCCCATATCGTCTCACGACCGTTCGAATTTCCACTATTACCTCCGGAATCATACAAGCCTCCCTTTCCAGACGAAGAGGAAGAAGCGAACGATGCTGGACAGGGTCAGCAGGGTCAACCACAAATACAGAACCAGAACGGTGCACTTGTCGTGCAGACTACTTTCCAACAGCAGCAACCCCAAAACCCACAACTCACAGCAGGAGCCTCGACCTCTGCCGTCGCCACATCCGCTGCCTCTTCCTCCTCCAGTAACTACGCCACCGACGGAGAAGACGACTCTGATCACAATCATCCAGCAGACCAAGCCCTCGCTCGCCACATCTCCCGCAGTCCCCTCCCCAATCCCTTCACCTTCCCGACATGGTATCCCGAGTCTGCGCATTTTGTGCGACAGTGGTGGCCAACGCTGGCGGGGGTTCCGAGCTTGAGCTGTACGGTCGTGCTTTTGGCTCATCATCAGAGGAGAACGCATAGGACGAAGTATGTTCTTAGTCAGCACTATTTCCAGGTACCAGTCTCCGAGGTCGAAATGGAGACTACGACGGGGGAGACACAGGCTGCGGGGACGAATGGGGCCGGGGCAGGCCAGGTCGCCATCGTCAATGGCCATGGTCATATCCAAGCCGCGAACGGCCACTCGAACGGTACGACACACGCGCACACACTTTCGAACGGTGCTGGTCCCAGCGGGAGCGCACGCGGAAACGCGAAAGCAAACTCAAACGGGCATCGTAGTCCGGAAGATGCGCTGATGAAGATGTGGTACGTCAGTGCGCCGTTCGAAATCGTGTGCGTTATGGATGTTGTGAGCGATGAAGGGGATGGAGACCCACCTGGAGAGGCGGTGGAACATCCCAGACCGTTATTGGCGGTCGATTTTGGGCATGCAGTCTGGATTGAGTATTATAAGCCTGCGATTGCGGGCAGTGGGGGTACGGAACATGGGGTCAATGGGGCCGGAGGGTCGAGTGATGACGGCGAGGGCGAGGGCGAGGAGGAGAGGGAGTATAGTGGGCGTGGGCGTGGGCGCGGACATGCTGAGGATGACGACGAGATGGAGCGCGAGGATGGCTCTGAGCATAGCTCCGACTATTACGGAAACCACGATGGCTCGAGCGATTCAGACGATGAACCCCCTCAAGATCAACAAGATGAGGACCAAAACGGCCACCCGGCCGCACACTCCGAAGCTGCCCTCCATCGCGGCGAACTCAAACGTCTGCGTTTCGTTTCATTCCCGTCTATCTCCTTCGAAGAAGACGGTCGGGTCGTGAGGAGCGGGATTGGGGGCTCTATGGACGAGGGCAGCGATGACGGTGACGACGATGATGATATGTGGCCGATGGAAGGATCGGTGAAGACATTAGAGATTCCGGAGGAGTTGGACCTGGACCAGGTGGAGACGTTGAATATCGATCAGAGTCAGGGGGCGGTGATCATGAGCGTGAAGGAGGGGAGGATATTTATTTTATGTTACGAGTGAGTGGGGATCTGAGCGGATGGGTGAGTAGCTAACTCGGAGGATAGAGGACGAGTGGGTGGATGGATACTTTTGGTAGGGTTTATGGTTATGGTTATTGGGATTTTGTATGTTCTGTGTTTTTGTTTTGTGCTATCGCTGACTCTGACTGTCATTCCGGATCTTTGATCTCTGGGATTGTGGATCATGGGTATGGCGCTCTGTAATTTAAATAAGACTCCCAATGTGATGTTTAGATTCCAACCATGTATACAAGCGAGCGGGCTCGAAAGACCTACTATATATGCATATCTTACGCGTTTACCTATCTGAATCTCTAGCATGACCATGGAATAAGACTTGCCATCGCCATAACCGTTTCTTCCCGTGTAGTAGTAGAGTACTGTGTATCCAAAGGGCCACATTCCAGTCAAAGTCAACGGCGAGCTTGGGCCACACGGAGTTTGCCGCGGCCAGAAGCCTCGCGTGCGACTAAACTCGCCATCGTTGTCTGTTCTTGCTCACGATCTCCGGCTTCACCACACTGGCATATGTTTTTCTTGGGAAAAAACTCTCTGGGGGCTCGCTCTGTGAGAGTTCCCTCTGTCGTATTGTTCTTGAGAAAAAAGGCCCACATACTCTTTGCAGTACCGGATATGAATCGCGCTGAAGCGGCTGAATGACAATTCAAGCGATTGTCCTCAGCACCCTCGCCGTCACTTAGGTTTCTGCTGTCTTCGTTTGCTTCGAGATCATATCTTACCCCAATTGCGAGCTCGAGAGGGGTAACAAATTTCTCGATCTTACGGAACCGTAATCCTTGTGCCTGGCTTCCGTACTATAAGACCGAAGTTCTCGAAGATGTGCACATTCTTAGGCGTCCGCGAAAGATCAACAGGTCGTCTTCTTACAGGTGAGTATAGCATACTTTGTGTGTAGACGTTCTTCTGCTCGGATACTGACGAGGTACATGATTCACAGGCTCAGCCATCTGTCAACATGACTGGTTCCGGTTTTCTTTTGCCTCTTTCGGCGACTCTATTATCTACCCTCATTCCTGCGCTCTCGCTATCACTGAGCCCACGGTCACTTTCAACCACACAACCATCTGTGACGTACGATCTTGGCTCCAATTTCTCCCTCATATGGAACGCAGACGCATCTCAAATTTCCATCCAATCCGGAGAAACGCAGGATATTATCTGGGCCACTGTTCCTGGCACTTCCTTCGTCAGCGCAAGTGCGGGGAACGACTCTGTTGAGGCAGCCAACGGTAACTTCAAGATTACCCAGGTTGATCAGGACTCCTGCCTGGACCAGAGCGTCGCCTCAGTGGCCCAATCTTCGGACGGTGGCGTCATCGTTGGCGGAGAGTTGTCCACCTGCATCGGCGTCGGCACATTATCCGGCGGGGAGACCTCTGCTCGGTATACCCTACAATTCTCGATACCCCAGGGCTTCACCGACCGCGTAGCCTTCTCTCTCGATGTCACAGGCTCGACCAACCACTCCTTCCCGCTGAAGAAGGCCTTCCTATCTTACCAATCTGATGCGTCTGAAGACTTCTACGGATTCGGGGCTCAACCATCGTTTGCTTCGCTGAAAGGCCAATCTATCCCTATATTTTCTCGGGAACAAGGCGCGGGACGCGGCGACGAGCCTTTGACGACGCTCGCGAATCTGAATTCATTCTTCTCCGGTGGGGATAAATTCACAACATATACCGCTATTCCACAGTACATCACCACCGATGGCCACGTCTTCTACCTCACCGAGCAGTACACGGCCTATACGAACTTCGATCTCACACAGCCCGATGTCGTGACGGTTCGATACGACGGCCTCAGCGTTGAAGGTCATGTGGCGAAGGTGTCTCCCGGGAAGAACAGCGTGCTGCTAGACGCGGTCGAGTTATTGACGGAGTATACGGGGAGAATGCCGGTGTTGCCGACATGGGTCGATAAGGGCGCGGTATTGGGCATTCAGGGCGGGCAGGATAAGGTTGACGGTATCATCATCGAGGCGCTCAACTCCAGTACCCCGATTGCTGCGGTTTGGCTCCAGGACTGGTATGGTTTACTTTGCGACCACCGTATGTCTCTCTCGTACTCACGTAGCTTTCATATTCCACAGGGTAGGGACGCATAGTCAAACCGGACCCTACGTCAAAATGTGAGCAATCGAAAATCTCCCTTGAGTTATACCTGGATTATTGATATATTCTCGCCTTCTACAGCTCGCGCCTCTGGTGGAATTGGGAGAACGACGAAGTACTTTATCCCAACTGGACCTCGTTCGTTCAAAACCTCCGCGACACATACGATATTCGCACTCTCTCCTACGTGAACACCTTCCTCGCGAACGTCAGCACGAAATCTTCAGGCTTCAAGCGCAACCTTTACGACGAAGCTACATCCCAACACTTCCTTGTCCAGAACACCACCATCAATTCTACGGCTATCATCTCGAGTGGTCCAGGTTTAGACGCCGGAATCGTTGACCTGACGAACGGCGACACGACTACATGGTTCGCAGACGTCCTGGCGAACCAGGTCTGGAACTCCAATATCTCCGGATTCATGACGGACTTCGGAGAGTATACGCCCGTATCAAGCGATGTTGCGCTGGCGAGCGGGGAGGATGCTTTCACGTACCATAGCCGGTACCCGCTTCAATGGGCGCAGTTGAACCGTCAAATCGTCGAGGATCTGGACAAGACTTCCGAAGCCGTTCTGTTCCATCGATCTGCGTCGTTCCTGGCGAATCGGTACATAAACCTCTTCTGGGCGGGTGACCAGAACGTGAACTGGGATAGGAACGACGGGATGAAGTCCGTCGTTCCTATAATGGTTCATATGGGCTTTTCAGGTTACTCTCAGTCGCACTCGGATGTCGGAGGCTATACGACCATTCTATCCACCGTCGGCAATGTTACGCGTTCTCAAGAACTTCTGGGACGTTGGGGCGAACTCGCAGCGGTTTCGAGCGCCGTCTTCCGTTCGCACGAGGGCAATATCCCAAGCGTCAACGCCCAATTCTACAGCACAAGTGCGACGTATGCATACTACGCCTACAACGCCCGTCTTTTTGCCGCCCTCGCCACATATCGCCGTCATGTCCTCGACAACGAATCGACACTTCGCGGGTGGCCTCTTCTCCGTTCACCCGTTATCTACCACACTGCCGACACCGCCGCCCGTGAGATCTCCTATGAATCGTTCTATCTCGGCTCAGAGCTCTACGTCGCTCCCGTATACGACTCCCAGACGTTCACGGTCGCCGTCTACCTGCCTGGAGATACGGCTGACGGGGAGGGTAGGACGTACACGCATGTTTGGAGCAACGTTACGTATGGAGGAGGGCAGACCGTCGAGGTGGACGCACCGTATGGTCAACCGGCGATTTTTGTCGTGAATAATTCGACAGCGGTTGGGATTGATGAATTATCGGAGTTCGTGAAGAAGGAAAGCGGGACAGTATTGTCGGTTGAATGATCTGAGGGTAGGCTCTAATGGATGTTTCATCCTTGTGACGCTTCGTAATAATTTCGCTAGTGTAGGGCATAGATATTTCTGCAATATACCCACATCTGAGTATATCACGGCCCACGGTCTGTTTGCCGCTTGTATTGAGGACTTCATTGTAGTAAACTCATGGCTATATGGGCATGTGCACTGTGCCGCTCGCTTCACTCGACCGCCACGCGGCATTTCGTCTACACATTTCAAACTCAGCCCTCGGAGGCTCTACGGAAGCTATATTTCCGAGTTCTCCGAGTCACATGATCTTCGTAAGTTGATCCTTCTTCTTTGGAAACTATTGTTGTATAAATACATACCGCGGAAGACATCGTCGCGGATGTTTTGAGTTCATGTTCAATGGTGATTTTCATTGACATGCTACCACCATAGTATTTGGGAATGACATCAGCCGGCTGATCTCATCCTGCGCCCAGACTCTCAGCCCAGCGGGCGAAAACCGTCGGGGTGTGCTCCATCAGCACCAAATGGATTGGTGCAAAAGTTGGGGATCAGGCAAGAGATCCCACCGGGCATGGGACCAGGAGAAATGTTGTGGCCCCCCACCTACGACGACACCGAATTGTCAGGAGCCAATGTGAGCAGTAAGTCAACTAGTTGATTTACAAAGGAGTGATTATTCTATACACTGATCAAAAGGTAGTCGTAATCGTACAAATACACTGAAATTTCACTGTTTCATAGGAGTGTATGAATGTTAACGAATCATGGGAAGATACAAACATTTCGTCTATGCGACAAATACCAATTCCACGACAAAAAATCAAGAGGGCTTGGTAATCTAGTATTGCAGTCAATATCCACTGATGCAAGTCAGAGACGGTTCTGGGGCGTATAAGCCAGAACCACAGCCACCCTTGAGGCAAGGCTGACAGCGGTACCAACAAACCAATAGAGGAGGCACACAGTTAGTATCGCCTTCGTCGATACATCGCTGCTGCTCAGGACCCGTCCGAGGATGGCATTGCGCCTCCGATGCCAGCGTGAACGGCTGCACCAGCGGGCATGGGGATATGTGCGTCATCAGATTCAACGGTGGGAGGAGGAGGCTGATCGACAATGCGCTGCGGTTCAGCGGTCGGGCTGGCGGCGGGCAGAACGCATGGTGGCCGTCACTCGTTGGACTAGTATGTACCGTTGCTTAGAAAACTCACCTAGTAGAGCCCGAAGAAGATACAGTTCCTTCAATCCCAGTTTGCATGTCTTTGTCCGCAGGTGCAATAACATGCACACCATCGGGCTCGATGGTTGTGGGGTCGAGCTGAGCGGCATCATGCTGGAGTTCCTCGAGGGCATGATTGTCTTCGCCGGCTGAGATGATAGGATGGCTCAGGGATATGACAGTAGCCTACACTCGAAATCTATGAACATACCGGTGCGATGCATTGGAAGCACAGACTATGGAGGACTGGGGTAAGAATCTTGCAATTGACTACAGACGTTGTAATCATTACCTCTGAGAAGTTAGCAAAGAGGCCCCTGATATTGCGACCTATGTGCTTCACAACATCAGCGACATTGGGATAAGCACCTGCGACGACACCACGACTGTCGAAATTGGCATATCATTTGTCAGTGCAGTTCCGTCGAGATCGTGGGGGGATGAGGGGAAACTTACATAGCGGAAAATGCGCTCTGCATCTCGCGATGGATAGTGCCGTTGCGAGTAAATGGGGATGACAGCTTATGGGGGAAATGATCAAGTACAAATATCTGATACCGTAGCAGATAACTTACAACGACGAAGCGGTCTGAGGCGACTGTGGTGACATTGGTCCAACTAATGCAAGTAGGTAAGTACTTAAAAAGAGAATTACCGAGAAGAGGATTCAACTACGTACCGAATGGGTAAAGTTCGTGAGAAGTAATTTCGGAACTCCTCGTTGTCCTTGAGTTTGAAGACAGTATACGCACAAGCACCGATAGTAATAGCAGAGGCCACAAACCCGATATAGGCGTTGACGGTCTGGAAAATGGACTGAGATGACATCGAGTAGTATCGAAAGTAGGATGGATATAGTGAGGGGAATATGTATGTAAGGGGTAAAAACGATGGGAAACAAAAGAGGGGGGGAATGTTTGCACCATGTTTGCACCATGTTTGCAGCATCGTGCCAGGCTTCGGAGGTGGCACAGCAACAGGTTTCGGAGTGTGGCGCAGCAAAGTTCCCAATATGGGACTTGACCTCGGCTATATCCTCGGAAGGCCTCGATTTTTGTGTCTCTGGTGCCCTCTGACTTCTCGCGACCCTTGCAACAAGACATGGTCACATCGAGTAGTCTTCAATGGGAGCCCAGATCTCTACTGGCAGTAACATAGAGGGTCGACAAAACCGCCACAGCCTTCGACGTCTATCGTCGATCTCCCAGCAGGGTGCGTAGGACTGACATATATCTCCCGAGCGATATGTCAGTCATAACAGAAGACGATCACATACGATCGTACTCAGGTGACACTATGGTCGCCGGCGGAGCCGGAAGCTCATGTCTCTGCACGACGTCTGACTCGTAGGCGACCACAGGTTACAAAGACATAACGCACCAGTCACTGCTGTCGGGTATGTGTCCAAGATTTATATCTATGTTGAAGCCTGCCATCCTGATCATCTTCAATGCTCTCACCTCCATCAGTTGCAGCGCTCTTTGAGGGCCCTCTGGTGGATTCATTACGATGACCACGTGATATGAACTAGTCATGAGCTACACCCCCACCAACCCTCGGCAAGTGTTGTTCATGGGCGTGGTCATGGACTGAGAAAAAGCCCTGAGTTTGTATTCCGGTAGCAAGGGGATGATGTGGCTCAGATGATATGAAGGTGAAGAGTTGAGCGTGGATATCGACGAAGGGCCAATGCCATGGACGGCGGAGGCTCGATGAGTAGCGGGTCAGGGAAAGAGGGAGAGAAGGGGAGAGGAAAATATCAGTTCTGGTCCTTCTTTAGACAAGGCGAGAGACTGACTCCATTACAGGACCATGCTGGGAACAAGGAGCAAGAGACGTGGTGCATCCATCGATCAAGGGGAAAGACGCGGATATCAGATCACTGCGTCGAGACTCTTTTGGCCCTCATACGATGGAGGTCTGAGGCGGGAGAAGCACTGCTCATGGAGTATTTCAGCGCCAGGATTATCATTCAACGAAGCGAGACGCTGTTATATCGTAAGTCGTCAATATCGGATGTCTATTCCTAGATGCTCGACCGTCGTTTCAATATGCACTGATACATTCACGAGGAAGTACAGGGTCAATGCAACCCTACATCATGTCTAGCCCGAAAAATATTGCGAGAGTTCATCCCACTACCAAGCATGCTTAAAGGCGCTCCCTTGAAGGGAGATGGAAGAGGAGAGTGGTGCTGAGTGGTGATTTTGCAGCACCACAGCGCCTTTCGTTGATACTTGAGGACTGTCGCTCCACGCTGGGATTCTCTTGCGGAGAAGCGCGATTCCCGTCTTGGGGTCGAGCATACTTCACTTCAAGAGCGTCTTCATTGACGACGCAAGGAGCATTTCCGTTCCTGAACAGAGGTACATAAAATTGTTCGTCGCCGTTCAGCGTGCTGCGTGGCACCTATATGTATACTTACTTGCGGGAATGACGTCCACTAGTTAGTGTAGCACTACAGCCGAGAAGTCCCAAGGAGGTTAGATTGCCACGGGCAAGGCAAGAGCCATGATTAGACTCGGATTCGTAAGAATATGCCCTGCTTTCCTTTTCCAGACACGGCGGGAAACCAGCGGCCAAGTCAAGGACAACGACCATTGGTTGTGAGACTGCGGGTATAACGCAATGCAAAACCCAGAATTAGTACATGAGACGATGATTGTGCTAAGTGGAGATCCACGCTGCACATGCGATATAGCTTCGGCGTTCGTTGCATTCTGCGTATTATACGCAACGCGTGAAGACAACGAGAGTGAGTAGGTCACTCTGATCACGGTCGGAAGCTTCACGATGGGCGAGCTTAGGAGAAGCGACACGTACATAATAGCAACCAACTTTGGCGCGATGTTTCTCGCCGTCCAACGTAGTCCTCCATGGAGGTATGCCAATATAGCTTGAACTCTATCGGACCCTCCTGCGAAGATTGTGCGCGTTGGTCTCACGCTTGTATGCTTCTAGACGCTGTATATTTGTGAGAGCATTAGAGTAGATCCAGAACATCGACTAACGGCCAGATATAGAACAAACGAGGACTGCAGGAGGTGATTGAATGTGCAGATGTACAGCCAAGCTGGTTGGGAAAAGGGGCAAACCCGGGAACTTTGCTGTCTGGACCGCCATTTCGGTCGGAGATTCAATGTTGATCTGTGGCACTCGGGTAATTTTGACTGTCATGAGCCACAGTAGCACCTGCTCAAGGTCTAGGTAGGTAGTCGACTTGAGACCTAACTTACAGTAATAAGCAACGAGTTGCGGAATCTAAACTTCAAGCTTCACCAGCACGGCTGCATTACTACTAGAATACAATGCCAGAATTCTAATCTTCACTTCATCCGAGCACCCTCAAAGGGCTCTAGTCGTCATGATCCCAGCTACCCGCCTGCTGAGGAATTTTTGGTCCGCCCGCTGGTCTGCTCATGATGATGCTATCAACGCTGAGTACCGAGATCGCAGCCTCAGTGGCCAGCTTGATCGCCCAGTACTTTGCGGCGAGCGAGTCCAGGTGCTTGTACTCCACTGCCGAGAGCGTCCCGTCCGTCTCATGCTAGAAGGAGAAAAATGAGTAAAATATTCAGACACACCATCCCATCGCATGAACGTACCTCAACATCGACACCGTACACTTCTCCGCCCTCTTTCTCGTGCTTGGCCCATAACCGCGCGACAACCTCGTTACCCTCCGCACCTCCCCGTGCATTTTCTGCCAACGTCCTCGGGATGACCTCCAGAGCAGACGCGAACCTCCTCACAGCATGCTGCGCAAGCCCCTTCAACCCAGCCCCATAAGTGTCCACACGCTTTGCCAGCTCGAGCTCCGTAGCGCCAGCCCCGGGTACCAACCTTCCGTCCTTCAACAAAGCCTTGATCACACCAACACCATCATCGACCGCACGCTCCAAATCGTCTAGGTGGTTCTGTGTGGCGCCACGAAGCACGATAGTCGCAGTCTTCGTCTTGACCTCGCCACCAGACAAAGGCGTGCTGTCGTCTTGGCGGAGCACAGTGACGCGATCACCGCCGACTTCGAGAGTCTCGCAGACATCGACGAAACCAGCCTCTTCGGGCGTGGGTGCACCGAGGCGCGCGAGGGGAGTGGCGGATACGACACGGCAAAGACGACGAAGTTCAAATTTGGAGAGGACTTTGAGGACGAGGATGTGGTGTCGGTTGAGATAGTGGAGGGCGAGTTCGCCGATGTTAGTGCCTGCGATGATGACCTTGACGCCGGATGCTGCGATCTCGGCAAAGATCTGAAAAAATGGCATATTAGGTGGAAGAAAAAGGGAACGGGTAGATGTGTGACGAACCTTCTCCATATGCTTCTCCTCTCCGCGAGTGAAGTTAAGCATGTCTTCGGCGTTTTTGATGAGAACGGTACCCTTTGTCTCTGTTTGTGCGATATCGATGGGGTTGGTGAATACAGCGACCTTGCCTTTCGTGATCTGCTTCACATCGCCTGACATAATCATAATCATAAGGATTATGAACAAAAGCAAAGAGCAAAACAGCGCGTACCTTCTGGTTCTCTGCCAAACACCATACCTTGCACAACCCTGCTCGCGGCCAAACTGCCGCCCATGATCTTCACGACCCGAACGTTGTCCACATTGAACATTTGTGGGTTTGACGGCATGACAAGAAGAGACGCTTCGGCCACGAGCGACGCGAGGGAATCCTCGAATCCGTATTGTTTTGCTGCGATGGCGGGCTTGATGGCTTGGGTAAGGGATGCATGGGTCATAGGGCTCGGAAGCTCGCTACATGATAGGTCTGCATCGTCTGAGTATGGGCGGTGTCAATTGAGGCATATAGATTAAACGTACTGTTAAGCTCCGAGAGTGCCTTATCAGAGGCCAACTGGTATCCCTTCATCACTTCACTTGGGTGAAGGCCCATGATCAGGAGGTTCTCCGCCTTTTTCAGCAGCTCTCCGGCAAGGATTAGCACCATGTTTGTCGCATCACCCATCTACATCCATCCGTTGATTTAGCACCTGGAATAATGATACAGCCAAGTGAATGCGCACCTCTTCCTCCTGTGCCTGTGATGCCATGACGAGCAGTTTTGCAGCCGGATGGACGACTTCAATTTCCCGAATGATAGTTGCAGCATCTGAAGTCACAAAAAGTCGTCCGAGATGGTTGATCACGAGCTTATTCCGTCCTATTGAATCATAAGAATACCAATGACACAGTGTAATAAGATCTCCAACACACCATTTGGGCCGAAACTTGTCCGTACGAGATCGGAAAGCTCAGAGACGGCTTGGATATTACGAAGGACGGCGTCCTCAAGACCTGACATTTGCTGAATGCATCGTCATGCTCTATTACTGACTGATAGGAATCGTATCTGCACACCTTGTATCCATCTTTGAAGAGCTGGATATTGTTTGCTTTTGGGACTTTGAGAGACATGGCTGTAGAGAACGAGTGGGGAAGAATGTGGCGGACGCGTCGAAGTCGCGATTTCGGATTTGCGTGGACGTGCGTTGATTACGTACGTATACGGTGAAGGTGCCACTGTGGCGACTCTTTCTACGACAAGTACTTACTCTTTTATTCGGAAGCACTATCAACTAGGCATGAAATTGAAAGGGGGAAGAGAATCGATTGTGCACGTATGTAGTGCAAACTCTATACATTATGACCGAGAATAATTCAAGTAAGCTTTTGCGACGCCACCCGCGTTCAACATTCCGTGCATAGATTCGTATTATCTCGACCCTTTGAAGGAGAAGGAGGTCACAAACATGAACCCATGCAGCCATGATAACAATTAAGAGCATTCACATAAGAAGTGAGTTAGCACCTCTTCATCTGGTAAAGGTTGTCCACAGTACGAAGGCGGGGGAACCTGTCGACGGGGACAGGGTAGTCGGACTAGAGAACACATATGGCAAAGGATCCGCTATCAGCATCTCATTTACGATGAAACTTGTGTCAAATGATAAAGCACTCACCATTAAATGTATCCGTGGGTCCACATTGAAAGCAATCTTCCTTCCTGCGCACAACTTCTCAAAGTCCCTGAACACTTCCCTGTATGGCCCCTTCGGACCATAATTCATCGTAAACATCTCCAGTTTCGGGCAGAGTAGAAGCACCGCATGGGCAAGCAGAAGCGCTCTAGCCTTCTTCACCTCGGGACGGCCAGACCTGTGGTACCTATAATGCTTCAACGTCGGCGGCAGGGCGCGAATCGTCCAGTGCCCAGCAAGACAGTCCCTGAGAACCAACTCCTCCAAGTTGTTGAAGGCATCAAGAACGTGCCACGATAGACCGTCCTGAGGGGGGTGCGAGAGCCGCAAGGAAAGCAGGAAGGGGGCGAATGGTTTGTAGTCCCACTGACTATCATCGAATACCATGGGCATAGAAGCTTCGAGGATACGCAACGACGGTTGGAAATTCGTCTCACTTTCGTTGGGCGGAGGAACCAGCCAGTCCAGCACATAGCGGTCTGGGTCTGAATGAAGTGAGAGCTCGTATAACGAAAACGGAGGTCGTTCGGGAAGAACTTCAGCAGGGTTGGTCATCTCCATTCCGTAGGGATTCCGGTAACTGAAATGACGAATTGTCGGCCAGATGAAAAACAGCTGCGCGAGCGCCTTCGTGATATCGCACCGAAAGATGACGTCCAGAGACCGAACTTTGACTGGCAGTGCGGACAGACGAGCGACCTCATCTTCCTCGAAACTGGGTGTATCGATGTTGAGGCCGAGGTGATAGAGGTAGGGACAATGGGAAAGCATCTGTTCCAAAGTCGTCACGGATAAGGTGAGTACTTTAGGCTTGGGCTTTGTGTCTGAAGGTGAGATGGCAACGGATAAATCGAGAGAGAGAATGCGATTTCCAATGTTGAGCTGCTGTGTCAAGAACCTATCGAGGTCAAGAATGGACTTCTGGGAGAAGACGTTAATTCGCGTGGTGATGCGGTGAAAAAGGATCCTCTGTGCGGCCGGTGTCCAATCCTTGCAGACTAGGGCGCACGAGCGAAGGGTTCGAACATTCGTGCTCATAATATGTTGGTCAGGTTCGCAGAGGACGAACTCGAGGATGTTTGTGATCAGTTCGGGAGCAAGGAAACGACGCGACTGTAACACACATTTTCTTAGTTTACTTTTTCGCGTACTTACTTGTTCCATAGCGCCACGTCCGGGGTCGGAGTGGCGCGCCACGTACAGTCTCAAGCCGCGTTTCGGCATCATCCGTATACACGTGTATAGTCGGAGTTGTAATCGTAGCCGACCTGTATTTAGTGTCGCTTCGCCCTCTTCGGAGGGCGCATCTTACTTGAATTCAACGTTTCTTTTCTCTTCTTCTCTTTCTCTCTGTCCGCGCGCGGTACGCCTCCCACGAGACGTATCGCTCAAGGATAAGGCTCGTGAACTCTCTTCTTTTCCTCTTCAACTCTCTCTCGACGATCCGGGCCGCCGGATCATCTCGGATTCGTTTCCGTTCTCTCCCGCGACGCTGCCACGTCGTGTTCGTTCCCACTTCTCTCTTCGTTCTCTCTTACTCTCTCTTTCTCTACGTTCGTCTGCCCGTCTCGCTCAGAGGCGCCCTCGTCGAGCGGGCAGTCTTTGAATTCTTATTCTAGCAATCTATCTCTCTCTCCTTCTCTTACTCGTAATACTACGTGCGTGACAGTCGTTCC